ACGCAGGCACAGGCAGACCTGACCTCCGACCTGGTATCCAATCACATAATACCACAGCATGCCATGGCATTTTGCATGGGTGGTTTTCCTTCAGAAACTTCAGAAATTCTGATAGTGCAGGCAGCCTCCCATCCGAGTAGATTTTTCAGCGAAGCGTTCGTTTGCTTCATCTTCATGTAAAGCATTCCCACATCATCCAGGTTGTCTTGATTGACCACACCGAAACATTCTTTGAGATGATGATCCTGCAGAGCGCAAAATTCCTCCCAGGATTTCCAACTTGGACTGGCGGCATGATGTTTGTAGTGTTGGCGTGGAATGAGGGAATCTTACCAGCCAGTCAACATTGCCGAAGAAAACGCCCACAAAAGCCTGCGTGAGGAACTTCGAATCTGCCAACCAACAGAATCATGATAAAAATTGAGAAAGATGAAATTTTTGTTGAGATTGATGAAATTCAAGATAAAATACCCCAGAGAGCAATAAATTGTCATGGTCTTCCGTTATTCTTTCAATGGCCGCTAGGCTTCCTAGCTCCATTCTTCACGAAGCCGAATTTGCGGAAAGCAGGCCTTCATGACTCTGTCGTGTAGTTTTGATCGACAAGATACGTTGCTGGTATCTCTCTTTTCAGATATCTGTAACGAGCGAGAAAGATGTCTTGTATCCAAATCGTGTACAGCTCTCGAGAGTATCTGAATAGTCCATGCCAAATTACATTGCAGTGGTTTCTTCGGAAACACAGGCACTTGGAAACAATGTGAGTGTCTGTTTCCTTGTCCTTCGGATTCAGCTTCCATATCTTTTGGCACCCTAGGACAAGCTCATCCTGCTGTGCTTGGCCTTGCAAAGCGCCTCTTGAAGCTGAGATGTCATGCTGACCGTAAAAGTGAAGAACGGAGAAAAAGGCCTCCTAGATAGGTGACTTGTGATTTCCTGCCCCGTGAAAATGAGGTCTTGTGAAAATAGGCTGTATTGTTTTGTCTCGGTGATTTCTTGAGCACCGTATCCGCCCCTTCTGTCGTGTAGATCTTCCCAATTTGTTTCATCACGGATGGAACTTGTTTATAAGATGAACTTATTCTCATCATCATCATCCTCCAGATCTCCAAGATGAAAGAGGCTATTCACCCGGCAGGGCAAACAAGGCCTGATTATGCTGGATTTTGAAAACCTGCTTCCGTTTCCAGTTTCTGCGCTCAATCTCCAGCGTGAACTTCAAAGTTGTGAAGAAAAAGGAATAATCTATTTCTTTCAATGAAGAACTCAACTAGACCCAAGGGCTAAATTGAAGTGAAGCGTTGGCAGGTCGTTCTGATCGGAGTTCACAATGTACCGGCATTTGATTCAGATATCTCCTTTGCGCACGGTATCCAGCGCAAACAGTGCGTGCTCCTTTGCCTCAATAACACCATTCTTGTCGGTGACAAGAGTGACAAGAGAACGGCAGTTTCGTCAAAGTTGTGGAGCAAAAAAAATAATCTATTTCTTTCAATGAAGAACTCAACTAGACCCAAGGGCTAAATTGAAGTGAAGCGTTGGCAGGTCGTTCTGATCGGAGTTCGCAATGTACCGGCATTTGATCCAGAATTCTCCTTTGCGCGCGGTATCCAGCGCAAGCAGTGCGTGCTCCTTTGCCGTAATATCACTATTCTTGTCGGTGACAAGAGTGACAAGAGAACGGCAGTTTTGTAGAAATCTCAATGTATTGTCAGAGCCAACACGCAACCATGGGTTTCAATGCTGGTCTCAAAAGCTGTGTAGTGTTTGGCAGCTTTGAAGAGCAGTAATCGCCAATGAACTAGCGAGACCTTCCAACAACCTCAAAATGGCAGCAGAAACCTCGAAGCTGTCTAGTTCAGGGTGTTTCCCACGGAAACCACATGCGGCTTCTTCGAGCTCGGCAACATTCCCTTGCATTTTGTCGAACCACGCTCTGAAGAACATGTCTTCACTTGTTGGAGGGGCCGTCTTCGCTTGTTAAACGCGCCTGGCCGAATAAACCAGCAGATTGCGAGAAAAACCCCACGAGATAATCTGTGCTGGTTCTGACGAAACTTGAATATATCCGCGTCTTTGAGATCCATGGTGTTCGTGTCTGAAATGGCCGAATTATGTTGAGCCAGAGCATTTGATGAACACACCGACGATATCCGACCAAGAAGGCCAAGCTCGAAAATGATCAACTGCCCAGGAAAGAGGGAGGGACCATACACATTCATGGCCCGCCGTCGAGAATGGCAAGGATTTATGGATGATCCTCGTGTTCAAGGAAATTTCTCACTGACAAGAAATGAGAGGTGAGAGCAGATAGATATCTTGCTCCCTGTTTGCTTTCCGCTGAATCAATAGTTTGTTAGCATCTCATCAAAGGAGGGTCGGTGATAACCGGATGATGCGGATTTGCTCTTACCTGTATATAAATATATAGTTCTGATGTATGGGTCTCTTTGTAGGGAATCCGGTCATGGCCACGGCGTCTTGCGATGATGGCCGGGTTGGCTGCTCCCTTTTCGGAATGGTTGGTGGACGCGAGTCATTCGTCTCCGACGTCCTGGGCAGGCCGCAGAATCGTGCTAGCCGTGATTGTAAGACTCACAACGTGCGAGCCGATCCTTAGTCAATGGTGTAATTTTGCGGATGAAAAAAGTCGAGACATTATCGATTAAATGCCGGTATCTTGGGAAGACTTTGGATAAGACCTGTCGTTTTATGGCATAGCGGTTCATCAACTCCGTTTCTTGAACTTTTCGAATTGGTTTATCTCCCGCTTTTGGATTTTCTCAGGCCTTCCTCCTCCACGAAGTAGGTAGCGAGAAATCCGTAGAGGGCTTGAGTGACATGAGTACTGAATTTTGAGTCCCATGATTTAGGACTTGTGGTAACCTTCGGCTGGTTCACTTTTCTGCCCGAGATGCATCTAGCTCACTCCCCATGTCGTTGATAATTTGGGAAATTGTTGAGCGAGATTGAATTGTGATGGGTTTTTCTCTGCAGTATGGAAGTGCATCGACACTTGCATATTCATCGTGGCCTGAAGAGAGATTTTCCAAGGATATGAAAGCCGAGGTCGGAAAAACTCGTAAGAAAACGACTTCATTGGCCAACTCTCCAGTGGCAATTGCCGCAGTTTCGCAAAACATCTTTTGCCAGATGACTTTGCGTAACAGTATCGAGATTGTTGTTTTTGGAAAATGGAAATCGTTGCTCGGGCAAGTCTTGCTCTGAAGTGAAAGGTTTCAAGGCAAGTCCACTTACTGAGTAATCGATTTGATTGATGTTTAGATCACATCCAGGTCAAATTTTTCAACGACCAACTTAAGGTCTTCCTGCATGGGAAACCATGAGCTGCTATTCTTGCATCCTCATATGGTCCTCATTGATGTCTCTCGCATTCTCCATTGGTTCTTCAATAGCTGAATTGCCAATGGTCTGATTGCCATTGGCAAGAATGGGAATGGATAAGGAAGATCGGAAAAGGAAGCAATGGTTCCCAATAATACCCTCAAGTGCTTGATCGTGTAGTTTGTGGGCTGGCCATGGCCTAGCTCATCTTCTGAGGGTTTTTGTCCATGGCTAGAAATCTTGCCAGATTTCTCGCAGCTGCTCTTCTTTTCGCCTTTTTGACGTGAAAGCTGTGAATTTTGAGACCCATGAGAGATTGTTTCGGAGATGTCCTCTCTGAGCTTAGGCCCCAAAGAATAATCTCTAATCTTCCCCATTATGCACAGTTCGAATGCACTATGTCGTTGCAGAGGGGAGGCCCAAGTTGATGAGCGATGTGTTTTTAGAAATATGGGTTGGTCCTCTGTCTTAGATGAGAGTGAAGCATTTGTTTCTGGGTGAGAAGGTTCTGAGGAAGGCTTGATTGCCTTTTGTGTGGGTTCCAAGCTTTGGTTGTGTTTGAAATATTTGAAAGGGAGGAGGGAGTTGGGCTATTTATGTGTTTTTCTGGTATGTTTCTTCGGAGTTCGGGGAGGTGGAGGAAAGAGGAAGAACGAAGAACGAAGGACACAGAACGAAGGTCGAAGGTCGAAGAACGAAGGTCGGGAAGGTGCAGGAAGGAGGAAGAACCAAGACTGAAGGTCAGGGAGGTGGAGGGAGGACAAAAGATGAAGACCGAAGGTCAGGGTTGAGGTTGAGAAGCCAGTGTAAGAATTGAATCATGACAATTTGAGATATGAAAAGGGTTTGGTGTTGAGAAGTTGAGAATTTTAAAGACAGATCAAGGGTTCAAAGCACACAGTGGACTAGTGGTATTTTGAAAGAGAAGGTCTGTTAAGTACTACTCAAGTGCTACTCAACATATATATTTTTATATAATCGTATGTGTGAAGAAAGTAAACCTTGCAGGTGGGCCAAAAACCAATTTATATCACGGAACAAGCCTGTATTGAAGGGATTTGCCATAAAGATCAGGGTAGCCTTGTCACTTGTGATTGTTCCCTGAGGGGCCTGGGCGGCCTTAGCGCAGAAAGAAATGCAGAAAGACTGGTATAATTTTGGGCGTTTGCTTACTTGTAACTGACTTGTAGCTTACTACTCGTAAAGCGACCTCGCGATTTTCAAATGCTTCATGTGGTAAGGTTTCATACTACGACGTAAAAGCTATCTCAAAGGCAAGATTTCTTCATGCCACCTGTCACATATTGATACTGCAGGTGTCACATATCAACAGTCTTTGTTCAGTCCTGCAGGTTGGCCGTCTCAACACCACAGGTTCTGCCATTTCCGGATGGAGCCTAGTCTTGGCTCCTGTTGTTGTCAACCTTCAGGTACTTAAGGTAGTTCTTTCCTTCTTCTTTCCTTCCCTTCTCTTTCTCCCCTGTGTTTTTCTCAAGTGTAGGACCTTCTGAACAATTACATTGTTTTCTCGCTTGCCTAATCACACCACCTATACTAATTTAAAATCCAGAATAAACAGTTACCTCATATCAGACTTCAAATCACCTTTCCTAAACGCTCATTAATCAATATCTGCCATATACACATACTAAAGCTCACAGCCCAAAAGCCAACGCGCCCATCAAGACACCAAACATCGCAAATACCCAAGGAACCCAAACTCGAACAGAATTCCCACTCGCAGCACCCGTACCCACAGTAAGACCACCCCCATACGTCGCAGTCGGGACACCCGCAGCCCCCGTCGCAACAGGGACCGGGCTAGTCGAGCTCTCCAAGTACGTAGCCGTATACGGCGCAGTCGGGGAGTTGAGAAGAACGCTGTTCGAGAACGACTCACTCGCTTCAGCATTATCAGCCGCATAAACCGACCAGACCGTCGTGGTGGTGGTTTCCGTCGAAGTAACCGTCTGCACCGTATAAGGCGAATACGAAGTCCAGAAGTAGACCCAGTAGGACCTAAGCAAGAAACAAGAAACAAGCTCAGCATGAGCACCGTACCCTCTGCCCCAGTAAAGTGAAATGACTCCAATCCATCCATTTACTCACCAGTAATACGTCGTATAATAGTACTCATACTCGACGCCCACAGCCGTCGCCGTATACCCAGCAGAACTAGAACTAGAACTAGTAGTGCTCCCAGGCACAACCACCGGCTCCGTCGCCGTCGCCTCAGCCACACTTGTCGTCGTCGTTGTTGTAGGCGCCGCAGCTCCCCCACCCGCCCCAACACCCACCGTATTACCCAAGCTGCCCGACCCGTCCGAGCCCGCGCACCCAGACGCCGGACAACACACTTTCTCGCCCTCGAAGATCTTGCACTGGTACCCGGCATCGCAGTAGTAGCCGCCCTCGCAGCACTGGCCCCCGACGGGCGAGCAGTACCCGGCATTGCCGCAGCAGTTCCAGCCGCTAGGACACGTTCCGACGGTGCAGCATGTGGCGCCGGGGTCGGCGCAGTAGCCGTTACTGCAGCAGCCGTTGCCGGCGGGGCAGCAGGTGGAGGAGTCGGTGCTGCATGCTGAGTACTCGTTTGGGCAGGTGTAGTAGTCGCGGCTTAGCAGGTTGGTGTTGGTGTTGGGGGTGGTGCTCAGGGCTGACTGGGCGAGGTTGAAGGTGCCGTTTGAGAGGAGACGGGGTTGGGTTTGGGGTAGGGGGGTAGAGGCATGAGTGGGTGGTGGGTGGGAGAGGAGGAGGGTGAGGAGGGTTGATGCTTTTAGTGGGAACAGCATTCTCTCCAGTTGAGTTGTAGGATTTTTGATATGATGGCACTTCAGGCGGGATAAAGAGCCCTAGTATCCTCCCTCAAAATACTATACTCAACCTTTCAAAGAAGCGTTTGGGAAGGACTAGGTGTGCTGAATTCAAATATGGGAGCACACACACACTTGGGTGCATGGCTTATATATAGGTATATTCTGTTTCTGGCCTCGCTAGATAATAAAAGAGGGGGATAAAGGTACACCGCAACCACTAGACACTCGCATGAGAAGAATTGGACCCCAGAATTATACTTTGCTCGGCGATGCCCAGATCTCGCGATGGCATATTGTTGTTGCAACAATACGAGGTAATAAACTTTGCACGGACTCGAGCCGCTCTGCAGGTGTACAGCGCAGCGGAAAATATCTCTAGGCTTAGCAACATTTGAATAGAGCAGCAGATAACCATGTATGTAGGGCTGTGGTAGAGCGCAAGGCCAGACCCCTACTGGTAATTGATCGTCCCGATCCTACTACGTGCACTGTATGAATTAGTGTTGTTGATATTCGCGATGACAACCATGGAACTTAGGGCTTAATTTCAAAATTAGGACCTGTGCCGTCCCGTGAGCCTTGGGCGTGGGCTTGGGCTTAATTCAGACAGCCCGAATACGAGAGAAACTCTATTCCAGGGACTATAGTCCCTGAATTCTAATGCACGAGGACTTGTGTCTAGCTGAGTCCCTGCATGGACTTCGTGTAGCTTTGCTTGTTGATTGGGTGGCCTTGTTTTAGCTAGGTTGCTTTAGGGTTGTTATATCTTGGCATTGGAGAGATGTGATATTGGTTGGTTCTTGTATACTGAGATGTGCGGAAGAGATTATTTTCACGAGTGTAGACAATCAGGGGGAAATAAAATGCAAAGTAACACATGAGTACTAATTACCTAGCGTCAGTGCATTGTTAAACTCAGGTAGATTGTGGAATGGAGTCGAGTGATGTTTCACACGCTAGTATTTGTGCTTGGAGGACTGACAAGATGCGCAAACAAGAGATGGGCACAAGTTTTCCACATTGCGTCCGGTGCTTGACTTTTATCCTTTTATCGAACGCGAACTGCCAGTGCTGACTTGTCTGGTATTGCTACGAGTCATGTTCTGCTGTAGTGTAGAGCCTCATGACTCGACTTCATGCCTAGGACAGACTCATTCATATATGAAGGCTCTGGGCATGAGACTATATGCTAAGAATATTCAGATTCAACGATGATACAGTACTTGCTAGTCGGAAGAAGCTAGGCGTAAGTAGGAAATGGACACGCGAGGAAAGATGGTTGGCCATCCACAGGCGGTACCCTTGTATAGAGTGTGGAGGCGGGAAGGGAACCGACCCCATATTGTGTGAGTGTGGGGTCGTGCAAGCCACCATGATCAACGGAGTTAGGATTTAGCCGGAGGATATGAGATGAGACATGTACGTTGAATTAAGAATGTGGAGCTGCTTAGGTAGTATCATGGCGAAAGACCTTGATGAAAGATGTGATTTTGCAGATCATTATTCAAGATGCATAAATTGACACCACAATCCCAAATGTGGCGGCCAGGTACTGTCTGGGTAGTAGGTATTACAAGTCGAGGTGGAATAAGACAAATACAGTACTGATACTACTGGATAAAGGAGTTGAGGAGCCTGAATGGTTGTCAAAACGATGGCTGGTTTTCCATCCATATAATGGTTCTATGCTATTGTACGTTTCACACATAAACCCAGGAAAAGGGCGATTCAAGACAAGAAAAAAACAGGAGACTCGGCAAGTGCAAGAGGGAGAGGATGTGGGAACGCAGGAGGCGGACTCTGGCGCCGAGAGTAGAATAGTTCGGGTTCAGGAACGCAGGTAGGGTAAAATGTGGAAAGGAAAAGAGAGACACAGGATAATAATTCTATGGCTCCCTCACGCAGTCAGGCCGCTCTCATGGTCCGAACTCCCAGTTGATGCCGGAGGGTATCGGAGCGCTAAAATGATTTCAATCTTTAGAGTCCACCGCAGAGGGTCTCAGCGATGATACCGGTGATCTGGTAAGGGTCGGCGTTGGAGGCGGGGCGACGATCCTCGAAGTAACCCTTGCCGTCCTTGGCGCACTGGCGGGGGATACGGATGGATCCACCACGGTCGGCGACACCATATGAGAACTTCTCAATGCTGCCGGTCTCGTGGCGACCAGTGAGACGCTCCTCGTTACCCTCACCGTAGACGGCGATGTGCTCAACGTGACGGGCCTCGAGCTTCTTCATCATGGCCTCGATGGCCTTCATACCACCCTCGGCACGAGTAGAAGCAGTGGAAACGTTGGTGTGAAGACCGGCACCGTTCCACTCACCCTTGATGGGCTTGGGCTCGAAGGAGATACGGACACCGAACTCCTCAGCGACACGGTGGAGGATGAAACGGGACATCCAGAGGTGGTCACCCACTATATATGGTCAGTTTTCTCTTGTCTTGTTATATATATAACATAGATGTTAGGCGGAAAAAAAGTGGAAATCTTACTCTCGATTCCGGGAACGGGGCCAACCTGGTACTCCCACTGGGAGGGCATGACCTCAGCGTTGATACCGGAGATGTTGACGTTGGCGTACAGGCAGGCACGGTAGTGAGCCTCGACGATGTCACGGCAGTAGACCTTGCCGGTACCGACACCACAGTAGTAAGGACCCTGGGCACCGGGGAAACCACCGGCGGGCCATCCGTAGGGCCAACCATCGGTACCGAGAAGAGTGTACTCCTGCTCCAAACCGAACCAGAACTCCTCCTTGGCGTGGGTCTCGAAGAGACGGGCAGCCTCGTGACGGTAGTTGAACTTGTTGGGGCTTCCATCGGAGTCCCAGGTCTCGCAGAGAACGAGGATGTTGTCACCCTGGCGGAAAGGATCGGGGAAGATGGCAACGGGGCGCAGGTAGACGTCGGAGTTACCGCCGGGGGCCTGACCGGTGGAGGAACCGTCGAAGTTCCATTCGGGGAGCTCGTCAACGCTGGTAACGGCCTTGGTAAGGGTCTAAGGAAGAGACATCGTTAGTATTTTTTTTTTTCTGTTCAGGCATTCGGAGAGCTGAAGAGCCCCTCTATTTCACGTGATGCGGATAGTTGCAGGCGTCGCGTGCTGCGCGATCGGGTACCCCGTGCACAGGGCTTATCGAGTTCGATCGAGCGATAACGATGGCAAAAGCAACCAATCCGACCCCGCGAAAAATAGAAGAGGCCCAATCGGAAGAGTTGTGTATAGACACCAAAAAAAAAGATCAAAACACGTACCTTGGTCTTGGAGCGAGTGCCACCGACGGAATCAATCCAGATGTACTCAGCCTGCACTTGACCGCGCTGGTCAAGAGACATGTACTTCATGAGCTAAATACCCAAAGGCAAGTCAGTATGTACATTTCCCCTATGGCTTAATCGCCATTGTGGAAATTCAAAGCAGCAAGAGTCAAACGCACATTCTCCGTGTTGGAGATGACTGTTGAATCGGCACCCTGAGAGGAAGAGAGATGTTAGCAAGGTGGTTTCTCAAGGGAAATGAGTCATTGGCATGACACGTACCATAATGAATGATTATGAGAAATGTGTGAGATTAAAACAGGTGTAAATAGCTTGCAAGCAAGCAAGAGAGGGTTTTGAGGTTTTTTTGTTTAAGAGGAATCCCGAAGGATGTAGAAGACAAAGAAGCACAAAACTGATGGATGGAAAATCCAAGGAAAGAGGGGAGTTTTTAGATGGATGGTGGGGGGAGAAGAAGAAGGGGAAAGGAGCGAAGATAAAGATTTAAATTTAGTCACGCCCTTGTGAGTTCTTTTTTTTTTGGGAAGTGGGGGAGCAAGGAAAGTACGTGCAGGGAAAAATGATTAAAGAAAAAAGCAGAAAAAAGCAGAAAAAAGCAGAAAAAATCAAAAAAAAAATCAACATTAAATTACATGAAGGCGTGGATCAGTTCCAATCCGGACTAGCGGTATGGATCCTACCCGTATTCCTGGTATTCGTAATTTTCATCCATTTCGTTACCGACAAAGTGCCTCATACTGTAGAACATTCTTCTCAAGAGGTCGTTGGGGAAACCATACGCATGACCCTTTTCTTTTCTTGTGATGCATCTTTTCTTTTTTTTTTGCCAGGATTCAATAATCCTTTCGAAAAACAAAGTACATGTTCCAAGTCCAAGCGAGACAAGCGCAAAACAACCCGGGACTTGACCGTCTATTTACCGATCAACGCCACTCTTGTGTCATCATCGTCGCATCATACAAGCTGCGGTGCCGGTCGTCGCCGAGATCTTTAGGAATCACAAGAGAAAAAAAAGAGATCTTCCGCTATGCATTTCCATATGCCGTGGATTGATTCTTCAAATTAGCCTAGGTTTCAACAATGATCCTTTCCCCGTCTTTTGCAAATGCCTGGTTTTCCCCGTCATGTTCGGTTGTGTGCATTTCTATATTTCTATATCCACGTATAAATATACAACACTCTTGTCTCTCGTATCTATCAATACTCCGTACACATGCAGATAATAGACCGCCACCTAAAACGCCTTCTCTACCTACAACTTAGATTATAGATTATAGATTATATTCTTTGCTTCTTTATGATTTTTATTTTTATTTCCTTTGATACACTCTTGATAACCTCCATGTATGCCCAATCAGCGGTCAGGCCTTGTAATTAGCCCCAGTAATCAGCATCCTATCCCTCCCCTCCCGTTGGACCGATAACACCCAGGAACGCCCTGCTTAGGACCTGTCAAATCAATGGCTATCAATTGGAGCGGATGTGATTTTATTTTCCTTCTTTTTTTTGATTAAAAAAAGGAACAAGATGCCATGTGCACCTTGCGCGCATCTGCTTCCCAGATCTGGTCGGCCCCGCGCTCTGTGTTCCCGAGGCGCTGAACGACCCCCCCGCGTCTGGCTTGTCTTTAATCCCGAGCGGGAAGGGTCCGGGGGAGTGTTCTCCCCGGCTTGATCACCCACACATGCTCATCTGACAAGAGATCCTTGCGTATCGCAGGTTTTAAAAATGCTATATCATTAGGGAGATTGTTGCTAATGGTAGTTAGCAATTGCTCAGATCCTTGTTGGTCAAGGCGTGCATATGTATTAGTTGAGTACTCCATACTGCGTACAGATACTTTCTGTAGAGTACATGTAGGATTGATAGCTCAGCTCTGCGGCCCCAGTGATCCGCGTAGCCAAGTTCTAGATTGATGGAAAAAAGCAAACTACTAGTACACAAGAAATGTTTGAAACGGTTGCCTTTCCATTCCAATTTGATTTTTGATTTTTGATTTTCTTTTCTTTTTCACTATCAAATACAAGATGCGGTGAACGGTGTATCATTGAAAGCCCTACGAAGTATAGCTTGGAGTATTCGATACATACTAATGACAATTGCGCCATTCGTTATCTCGTACCGCGTGGACAAGATAAGTAAAAACCACTTCTCTTTATAGAATAGTTCCAATAGATAAAAGAAAAGCACCGTACCTGCAGCGGCAAACCCGCCAAACCCCAACTAGGTCAGAACATCCATCAAGATCCATCTCGGATAAAGCAAGCGATCAGTTTTTTTTTTTTTTTTTGCTATCTCTATCCAACTCATGATAAATATGATACACTATGATTCTTCCCCGGTTGACCGGTAATCATACACTCTTCATACACGGATACTCCACGGTACTCCTGGTACGAACCTTGGAAATACAAAGATCCGCAAAACCCCATCGAAACTGGAGAACCCAGCCACGCCGGGACTGGGATCGATCAAGTCACAGTCCTGGCTCAAGTGGAGCGTGGCAAAACGTTCTCGAAACCTCCGTCTACACACCAATCAGCTGCCTCGGTCGTCTGAGAACCGCCCCGACACCGGCCATGGATTTCTGCATTTGCTTGCCTTTTCTGGGTTTTGCGGTTGTAAATTGAGTCACGCGTCGCGTAGATTTCATTTTGGGAGAATAATATGGAATAATATAATAATATTTATGGTTTTGATTATTTAATTATCTGTTCTTTTTTATCTTTTTTTTCTTTTCTTTTATCAGGGCTCGGCTAATGTTATGTAAAGATATCCGCTTTTTGGATTCATTTGTGTGCTTAGCAAAGAATGTTGAAGATCAAGCGAGAAAAATCTGAACTGGAGGTTTTTGAAAAGTCCCAAAAAAAAGATTAAGGGAAAAAAAAGCGAAAGAACGTTAAGTGAAATAGATTTTATACATGCACGAAAAAGTGGCGACAGAAAGATCTCCCATTTTCCCCCGTATTTTCGTCGACGAGTTAAGGTCGGGAGGTTCAGGAAGGGATTAGTGGCTAGAACCCTTATTTCCCCGACTTCTGTCAGCCCTGGAGATTTTCTAAGAATAATCTAAGAATAATCTCTTGGCCATATATAACCGGCCACTCCGTTAAGATTCAAGTCTCCGGGGTTGCACATGCACAGCCTCTGTCTCAAGTACTCCTAAATCTATTTCTATATTCCGGATACTAGCAGTAGTGCCTGTATCCGTACCTGTCTTCCGTACCGCGTATACCTGTGCGCCAGTACGCAGCTCGTCTCCATTATACAGGGATAAGAATAGCACCTGAGAGTCTGAGACAGGGGGTTAGTCATCCGGCCTTCAGGCCGAAGAGTCTCGACTTTGAGTCTGAAGTCTCGACTCCTGCACCTTTGCAACGTGGAAGATATCCCGGCCAACCAACTCGAATACTTGATATTTGCTTCTCTTTTGTTTTTGGCGAATCTTAAATCACGCATTTTACTGCAATCGCATGCAGAAATCGGCCCAACCTGACGCCAAACCAGAAGAACAGGAATCGCTGATCAAATTGCTTATCGGGTCCCGCTCATTGGCCCATTGGTCGCTTGACACACGCCGCTGACTAGTGATAGTCATCGCTCCAATACTTAAGACGTAATAATCTCCCAGTTGGGGAGGTGCGAAGAGGGATATCTGATCGCATGTTTAAACGCAATTAATGCGATTTCTTTTTTTTTTCTTTTTTCTTTTTATGACATATAATTTGCGTTCGGTGAAATGGAAAGAATATCGAAAAATGCTAACTCGGCTGCTAATGCTGTGCTGGAAATACTCGACGAAGGCCCGAGGGCGGAGTACAGGGGTAAAAAGACAACAAAACACAAAACACCAAGGAAATGTCTGTACGAGACATTTTGATGCCCTAATGTTAAATGCCTCACTTGGAATGTCAACACAAAAAAGAGAAAAGAAAAAAAAAGAGCTAGTGTGTTCGGATGAGGGGCTTGAGCTATATCCACTGATAACGAACTATGTCATACCACAAAGCTATCGCAAAAGCCTCAACCGGTGGGGTGCTTTCGGAGAGTGGCTGAAAGTAGTGCCTCGTAGTTCGTTTCACCTCCGTTACGAGCTGTATTAGATCCAGATGCCCAAGTGTCGACAGCTCTAGATCTGTTCAAAGAGGGGTTACTTTTGAGCTCTTTCTTTTTCTTTTTTTCTTTTCGCTCTTTTTTTTTTTCGCGTCTGGCGCGTCGTGTTTATTGGGTTGTCGAGTATATACCTCATACAACATCTAATGTTGTACCCTGTACATCCATGGTGACCTACTTCTTGCGATGATGGTGATGGTGATGACGATGATCCTGTAAACCGGACCTGCAGACAGGTGCACCCCGCAAAACTCAAAACACCTCTATCGGATCGACTGCGACGACATGGTGATGTGATGTGCGATGTCGCCACTTCCAAGTACGATCATCCTGTGATACGAGACAGACATTGAGAACTTGCGAGGTCAACAATGACTTAACATTTGAATATGGTCAAAGATAAATCTTCAAGCTATTTTCTGGGTTGTACAATCTACGTCATTTAGGCTGGAGAACTTGAAAGACCGGAATATGGAAATGACGATGTTTTCTGGACTAACTTGCATTTCATAATCGTAGCCGATCAGGGGTGGATTGACTAATAGGTATCATAATGTAGGTCGATTCAATCCATACAAAGGGACTTCTTAGGAAGTGCATGAGGTTGCAAGAGGTTGCAAGTCGGCGAGGGTGTACACTGTGGCATTGTGCGACACAGCTCAGGACGCTGCATGCACAAACCCCACCAATGCACGTTGCAAAGTAAATCTATGAACTGTCTCGGGGGTTTAAGATAAGAACTTGAGCCTCCATAGGCTATGTTTTCCACCTTGAGCATATCACTGGCGCAATTATCCGCCAGAGCGGGTGAATCGTGCAGCTGAATCGGGGGTTCAGAGCAATTGTTATCTTGCAATGACCGTACCAGAGACTCATTAGTTTCCGGGTCAAGTTCGTGCCACATTAAACTGAACGATAAATGGTCAAAGGAACCCAAGGTCCATCTCATCTGGGTCTAGACACTGGGTTCCCGGAATATCCGGCATTCTCAGCCTTAACCGCTGCCGAGCCGTTCCCGCAGGACCCATTCCACCAGGATACCCAAGTCCTGCGAGGTCTCCAAGACCCTGGCGATCTTTTTGTGGATATCATGCAGGCTTGGCTTGTCATTCGACCCTTGCATCTCGGTATCCCCGGTATCACCATTGGTTGCATCAAGCCCTGAGCTGTCAACCACGGTGATACGGCCATTAAGGCCAACCTCGAAGCAGAGCGAAACCTGCACTGATTGGCGTACGAACTTCTCGACGTTTCCGGTATCTCTACCGGGGTCTGTGATAAGCAACATGAGAGCGGGTGCTTGTCCGATTTGTGTGCGTAATGTCACATCTACCTTGACATCTGTCATAAACAGCCGGTCACTTCCCTGACCGTCAACAGACCAGGAGAAAATTCCGCTAGAGTTGTCCGCAGTTGGGAACCCGTTGCTGAGCAGCATGTTGAGTTTCTCTTCATTAGGGTCATCATTGCTGAGGGTAATGATGGTTTCTGAGCCAGCGAAGAGATTTGAATCTGACGCCAAAATTAGGCCCGAAGTTGAGCCGGAAGGAGATTTTCTCGGTGTCGTTTTCAAGTCTGCCTTCATGGCCGCTTCTTCCTGGGCGGGGACTTTGAAAACTTTACCAATCAAACTAGCGAGCAAAGCGTATTGACGGAATATCTAAATATCATTAGTGGTGTTGGAAAGGGCCAAGGTTTGAGGGTTCACATACGGGAAGGATTTCGGCGAGTTGTCGAGGATGAGAGAATGGAAGCTCACGAATCTTGCGGCCTGAAACAGATTCGAATGCTTGGAAAGTGTAGTTATGCTGCTTGACAGAAGATCCACCAGTGGAATCAAAAGAATGTACAGACATCCTACGCTTTCTGCGGCCAGGTTGAGGCGATGCATCACCCGATGTCAAGTCTGATACCAGCAAGCCATCATATGTAATCATTTTGAAATCATGCGGTAACTGCATTCCGAGGTGTCGATATATTTCCAAGGCCGCGGGAACAGGGATGTCAAGAGCAGGCTCTAGCTTAGCAACGAAGCGACGATTTGGCGGTGATGACTCAAGCATACTTGAATCAAGAGCCATTGGATCGGGGTGGTCTCCATGCGAGAGTCTCATAGTTTGGGGAGGTTCAAGCCATTGAATATGTCGCACTGTCTCAGCTGAGGGCGATGATTCGGACTTATCTCCAGATGTGAAGGCCTCGCTTCCGATCCACTCTTTGGAAATGCGAAGGGATGGGTATCCTTCTTCACACTCAATCATCACAGTCCATATCCGTTCTTGGTCTTCCATCTCGACAGCCTCTTCATCAATTGCCATTGCGTCGGGTGATTTCCTTGCCTTGAAATCCAAGACTTTGGCCTGATCGACCCAGAACTCCAGGCCGAGACCAATTCGAGATCCTTTATGCATGCTTGGGCGCCCGATAATGCCAGAACATAGATGTTCATAATCTCCGCCATATTTGCTATGCTTCCTTTCTTCAACCCAAATCCGCTTGAGATTCTCCTCGAGACCCTCCAGCGCCTCGAAGCAGTTCACTTCCTGGCTGAGCTTATCCAATTTCGCAAGCCACTGCAAGTTCTCGTGGAAGCCCTTGAGGGACTTCCAATTTCCCGTCTCACTGTCTTGGGGCGACTGGACTAGATTGCGTTTCAAGACCGCAGTTGCTTCGCCTCTTACCTCACCTTCCGTGTACTCTGGCGTAGCATATCGCAAGCTAACATTCTTGACGATATCATGGCCAGCATGAAACTCGATCTCCAGATCGACAAAATTGCCGGCGATATTGATGTCATTATCCTGCCAAATTGATTCAAACCCTTCCAACCGACTCAGTCGTTCAACTCCCTCCCGAGACACACCCCGGCCCGCAACGCGCGCATGTAGACACAGCACCACTTCCTCAATTCGATGTCTCTGTTCCTGGTCGTTATCTCGGCCCATCCCGAGCTTAAGACCCTGCATGCCTAAATTTTGTATATCGTTATCATGCATGCCGTGACCAACAAGAGCGTCGTGAACCGCTGGTGACGGGCTGATTCCAGTGTAACCGCCAAGCGCAAGTAACGCGGAGGGAGAGCTGAAATTGACGGAATCATCGACTGCGTTTGATACGGCGAGAGGTGTGGCGTATTGATGGGATGAAGAAACACTTATTTGGTGTGTATGCCCGGGACCGGAGGCTGTCGGTGTTCTTGTAGAAGGGGATTTGTGGGCAATGGACCGAGAGAGAGGCGCAGAGGATGGGTGCGGCGAGGAAGTGAGATGAGTTGGCGTGGCGCCAGGCTTGGCTGAAGGTGTTGCCATGACAGGCGCGCAGTCACTTTTTACCTCACAAACAAAGTAAAGGCCCGGTAAGTCCCTGAATATGCTATGGTAGCTGCAATTTCGGCGCGGGATGGGCAGTTCAACCCAGTGATCCTTGGTGCGCTCAAGAGCGGATTCCGGAGGTGTTATGTGTAATTGCGGCCTTCAGGATGAATAGGCGGAGGATTGATAACCTACAGCTCCCCACTCTTGAGATCAACACCAACACTGCAATTAAACAGCGCAACTTCGGCCTACTTTGTCGCTTCCAAGTTCTCCATAACAAGCCCCATCAGGTGGACCAAGTGCAAGCTATCATTTACCGCCTTGGTGACCGCCTTCCTAGATCTACGGAACTGCATGAGGTCAGATCCAAATTCCAATCCACTTCTTTACAACCCAACATATTGTATAGCTCTTTACAATAATGTTCGCTTTAAGAACAGCTGGTCGGCAGGCCTGGGGTTTGCGCAGAAGCATCCAGCTTCGTGGTGTTGCCACATTGGAGGGAAACTCTCATATTGTATGTGTTTGTTCAATTGACCCGTTCGTTCCGATATTAACTTGGCATAGTATGTATTCCCCAGTGAAGGTGCAGCTGGATCGCATATTTTGTCACTTTTGCCAACTGAGCCTGTCAACCAAGACTTGGCAATTGGAATCACAACAAAGCTGCCACCTACTACGGATTCGCTTCGCGAGAATCCCAAATTCCTAGGCATCCTTCAAGAGGTCTTCTCCGCGTATGCACACGAGGACCCAGAAGCACAGTCCCAAGCACAGGTGATGGTATCCACGTCTGGAGCTAACCTGTACTCTGGCGGTGTGCTTACGGGTGGTAATCGGCGGAAGAACAAACGTCGCGCTGATATGGGTGACTCCAGTGGCGGAGCCAGTGGCCAGGGCGGTGCTGGTTCTGCTGGCCGGGGCGGTTGGATTCACGTCTCAGACAGTCGACGTCCTCCTGATTTCGGGCGAATTGCCTGGTAAGCGAGCGCATACCTGGTTGGACTAAATTGACTACTGACTCTATACAGGCCCGAGGACATCTTCGGAAGTCTTGAAGTGGATGCCGATGGACACTTTGTCGGGGGCGATGGAAGATATCAGTCTAGTGGTAAGCATCTTTCAGATCATTTGATTGGATATCTATCTGACCTATAGCAGGCACTTACAGAACTGTGACCCGTGATGGAATGTAAGTGACCGTCACCATCTGGTAGTAATTATGTTGAATGTGTTGCTAACTCGAATTTCCAGTCTGGGAATGAGCCCATTCCTCAGAGCGAAACTAGTTAAAAGATTGAAGGAACTTGACCAGCAATAAGCCTGATCACATTAGCTGAAGGCAAACTGTATAATAGTGCATCATAACTAAGAACCTTGATTCCCCTCTCATAGCAATTCATTACATTATCATTATTTGAAAAATTTTGTGATTCTTTGGGATCCATCGGTCGGTTTCGTTGCACCGGGTTTCTTATTGGAGATGTTGGAGGTGGCACTTCGTGTCTTCATTTTCTGCGGAGTGACTGGGATCTGCACCTTCGCTTTCTTGTTGTCATCATTTGGACTTGAATCCGGCGTATGCTGTCGCTTAAGGCCTAGTGCTGTGGGCTTCTTTTCTTGACTATCCTCGGGTTCGATCTTAGTCTTTGACAACGCCGGTTCCTTCTTTGAGAATGTATCGGCAGAACTGGACTTTTTCTCTTTCTTCTGGGCGTTGGCGAAGAAGTTCGCAATATTGCTCTTGTTATCCTTGCTGTCAACCGGAACAATAAAGTCGGGGGAGTTGTTCCCAACTTTTCCGACTTCTTTCGGGACCTGATAACACTCCAAATCGCCCTCGAAGGGCTTCAGAAGCGATTGTAGCTCTTTTGACCAGGTTTTCCGACTTGGGTCAAGCCATGTCTTCATAGCCTCGGACCCAGCGTCCAGGATAACAGGCATGCGTTCGTGGAGAAAATTCAAATAAGGATTTGATGAAGTAGTAATCACTGTGAAAGTGTACAACTTCTCGGTGGATCCTGCTAGTTGTCAATCAAATATGTATCAATAGACGAAACCAAAAAATATTTGCAGTAGTAGCTTACCCTCGTAGGATACGCAGTCCCATAATCCTGCAAAGTACATCATGTCACCGTCTTTCCTCTTAACAAAATGTGGGATCCTGTCCTTTCCTCCTGGCCCTTTCTTTAACCATTCGTAGAATCCTTGGCACGGTATAATACATCTCTTGCTCTTCTTCATTGTGGTCCACATGCCCCGATCTTCGATGAGCGAGTCATCACGGCAATTGATCGTGCGCACGAGAGACCCATAGTCTGGGTTTCGCTTTGTCCAGAATGGGACGAGACCCCATTTCATGCTTTGGAGCTTGTATTTTGTGCGGGTTTGGCCTGCATCTTCCTGTACCTCACGGTCTGCATTCTGTTCCTCGCTAGGTCCACCATGCTGTTCTTTTTCAGGAACATCGGCCCGGTAAACGGCACCAAAGTTTCCAGGAGCAAAGTTGTAGGTCTCCCTTACTTCGTCATCTTCTGGTGCTTCATCTACTGGCAATCCTCTGTCCTCGAGTTGCCGTCGCATGTACGCCATGCGCTGTAGAGTCAGCACAAGGCTAAAATAAGTATCAATGAGGACTTACCACACCCAGAGAATAACGGCCACACATATTTCTCTGCTGAAATTAGAAATATAGCATTGAACAGTGTATCCTACTATACAAAAATGGTTGCCCTTGTTGAAGTCGTAGGCAGATGCGGATGGGCGACGTCATATGGCGGAGAGAAGCTAGAGAGAGCCAAGAGAAAATCAAATGGCTTCGCTCCGTCACGGTCTAAGTACAGTCTTTTCAGCACCACACCCTCCCATCACAAACCACAGTTCGAATTCAACAACGTGGATTTACTAAAAATAATTTCTAACAAACCACATCGCCAATGTTCCGCGCAGCATCGCGGCGCACCAGCGCCTACACTTCAAACCTCGTCCAAGTACAACGCCCGTCCCTGACTCGGACAATATACACCAACAATGCCCGGCCAACGTCCCAATTAAAGCCTACGAATGGCTCCCGGTTCACTCTCGCACAAATTCCCCGCTCCCGACATATCACCTTTGCCCAGCGCGTGCGCCTCCAATACCGCGAAGCGTCAAAGGGGATCTTCCGCAAAAACCCCATCCTCCTCCCACTAGCCGTTGTCGGCGTCGTCAGCGCAATTGGCACATTCATCTACATCACCTATGTCGAAGTCACTCGTGTCGGTCCCCAGTACCACAAATTCCCACCGCCGGTGGCCGATGCGCTCCGCTCCGCAGTGTACTACACCGAGATCGACCTGAACCCACCCAAGGCACTACAATCGTACAAGGAGGCGCTTCGGATCGGAGTGGAACTGGGCATGCACCCTTTCTCCGACGAGGTGCTCGGCATCAAGCTGCAGGTGGCGATGATGCTGGAGAAGGCCGGGCTAGTGAAGCCTGCCATCGAGGTATTGGAGCGCACGAAGGACGAGGCGCTGAAGTGGGTGGAGCAGGGACAAAGTACGGAGGCTGCTACAGTGGGACCTGCGAAGCCTCAGGCTGTGCAGGAATCTTCATCCGTACAGGTCACTGCGGACCAGGTGCAGGTCAATACCGAGGCGTTGCAGGATACAGAGAAGGAATTGCGGGAAATGCAGGAATTCGAGGCGCGCCAGCGGGATCGTGCGCTGAAGAAGGTCGTCGGCATGCAGATGAAGCTCGGCGAACTTTACGCTAGTGATCATATCCAGGACGAGAAGAAGGCCGAGGCTGCGCAGGTCGCTGCTGTGGAGCTGTGCTTGAAGGAGATGCACCGTCGCCAGAAGCTCGGGCTCCCTGTTGGTGGGGGCGAAACGAGTGAAGGGGGAGCTGAGTCGTGGTTGAATATGACGGAGATTGCTACGGCGCTGGGTGAGCTTGCGTCTACGTATAGCGCTAAGGAGCGCCATGAGCTGGCCTTGCCTTTGTACTTGCGTGCGTTGGAATTGATCCGCGAAGCGGAAGGTGGCTCGCCGTCCTGTAAGCAGGTTGGCCTGCTTAACAATGTTGCCAGTGCTATGGTTGGGCAGGTACAGAACCCGGTTCGGAGCCAGATGAAGACCACGGCCGAGCAGACTGTTGAGGCAGCCCGGATGTGGGCCCAGAAGTCTCTTGATGTGGCTGCCAGGATTCAGCCACCGGTTCGCGATGAGGAGTGCGATATTAGCTGTGTTGTGGCGACCTACAACTTAGGTGAACTGGCAGAACTCCAGAAGAAACCCAAGGTGGCTCTGGAGCGCTACTTGGAGGCCAAGTCGCTAGCAAGTGGACTTGGGTTTGAAGAAGGCATCGCTATGGCGGATGAGGCCTTGAAGAGACTTGTGAAGAAATGATGATTTTGGCGAGTTAAACTTGCACGACCTGTGATAGGTGTGCACTTGTACATGTACGAATCTATATTATGACCTTAGAATTCAACTCCGATGGACACATCCGCGACGAAGAAAAAAAATTTGATAGACTAAATCTGTAGGTTTATGATAATAATGCGTATCACGTAGTGAGCTCTTCCCAAGCCGACTTCACTCATAACTATCATTCGCACATGGCGCTTCGCGTTAAATCTAGTATGTAAGAATAATCCTCAATGCAATCCATGCTTCCGACGTTGACTACACGCTAGTCTTCGGCCGTACATTGATCGGTGTATTCTCATCGACCGGCTCATTCGACTCCCCGACGTCAGAGTCGTCAGCTTTAACTCGCCCGATTATCCCGCGTGCCGTATCCCTCTTCTCTAGATAAGTAATGAGTGCGATAAACGGCAATGTCAATGCTCCCGTGACCAGACTGGCAATATAACCCTTTCTGAAATTAGGCGCATCTGTCGCTGGGTAGAAAATCAAGGGCCACCAGGTGACAAAAGCAAAGTCGAATGAGTTCATGAATCCTGTCGTGATGGCGCGGAGCTGGAAATCATGGCTCGTCACGTCGGCCATCCATGAATACCATACGGCCTGCGGGGCAAAGGTTGTGCCGAGTAGGTAAAAGGCAACAAAGTATGCGGCATCCGTAGAGGGGCTAGAGACCAATATGGCCGAGCCAATGATGAAGGTAAGGCCGATTGCGATGGAGACTTCCCAGCGGGATTGGAGCTTATCGGATATGACGGCATAAAGCACTGTTCCAACGATGGCTGTCGCGTAGATGCCCGTTGGGTAGTTGTTTTGCTGGACAGTGGTGTAGCCTCGCGAGGCCATCCAGTAAGCCATGACGTTGTTTGATAGCATCTGCACACAGAGCGAGTACACTAGAGGCTGAGGTTAGATGTGCAATAAAGTTCTGTATTGGTATTATCCACATACACATGAAGAGGAATGGCAAGAGATAGAATTGCCAACTTAACAACACGCGTTTGAACACGGTCTTGTCCCATGCTTCCTGGCGAACAGGACCCAGGCGAGTGGCCGCATGTTCCTTTTCTTCGTCGTTGAGATACCATGCAGCACGGTGAGCAGGAAGATCCGGAATGAAGACCCATCCTATTACTGATTAATACTTGCCATCGATGGGACTGTCTTCGTAGGCACAACTCACCAAATATTGCCACTGGGATTGTCATGACCGAAACGATAATGAAAATCCATTTCCATGCTGGCAGGCCGCCCTTTCCTGCGAGAGTCTGTAACAGACCAGCCTGCATCCAGCCACCGGACATTGTTCCCAGTTGGCCAAATACGCAAAATACAGCAGCTCGCATTCCCAGCTCGGTTTTTCGGTACCACGAGCCAAGAATGAACTGTGCCCCGACGCTGCAGACATCGTCAGACTTTCAACACTTGAAGATTTAAGCTGTCTTCGGTAGAGAAGACTACATCAACGTGTAGACTTACTATGCGATTGCCGAAAATCCTCCCTCGATGGCGTTCAGCACAATGACTTGCCAGGCATGAGTCATCTTGTAGGTTATTAAAGTCAACACACTCCAAGTCACATTGGCAGCGACGAAGACATATTTCGGTCGCAATATAGTCAAAAGACTGGTGCCGGGGATCTGGCAAACGGCGTAAACAACCAGGTACGCCGTATTCATGTAGTTGTACTCTTTCCCCTCAAAACCCAAGGCCTCTTTCATGCCACTGATGTAAGCAGTTGAGTAACTAGCCCGAGTGATGCCGAAAAGGAACCAGATTAGTGAGAAATAAGGGAGTAGTGTCACATCGAGTTTGGATAGCAAGGCTCGGTCTTTGGCGTTTGGGCCCCAGAGCCATGTGGCAACCTTTGTTGTCAGGGCCATCGCGTCTTTCGGATCAGAGAAAAAAAATTGCTGATGTAGTTCGGACAGTCAATGAGTATATCAAGTGTGGTTTCTACGCGTCAGTGAGTCAGTCCTGAGATCATCATCGGGGGATAACAAGGAGGGAATCGTTAGAGGTTATTTCAACCTTTTGGAGATGGAAATTTCGCGCCGCGGATCGGTCAGATTTAAAGGACGAAGGCCATAAGCCTGGTGCAGTAATCACGACGAGCTCCTAATGGATGGTGAGGATTTGCTGATAAGACGGTTTCTGCGGGGTTGACCTCGGCATGATGTGATAGCAAGGGAGAATGACTGATTTTCACCGCATGTAACACTCCCCCTTCATACTTGGAATATGACCCGTGGACAACTGACACTTTTTTTTAGGTCTTTCTTTTATCTTTCACTTTGCTTGACTCATCAAATCATAGCTCGTGTCTTAGTAAGTCCTGGACCTTTTTCATGAGCCAAAAAATGCTTGTGTACTTAAGTCGCATTTTCAACCCATTTTAACGATGCCTACTAGTATAGTATACATGTTGTATAATTTCAAGCATCCATTTGATGTTCTATCTGGAAGAATTATCACAGCAATTTTCATGCTTACTCAATATTGGTGTTGGATGTAATACCCTCCCACTCATCACAAACCGCCAATCTCTCATTGCAGCTCGCTCTCATAGCCACGAATGCATCAGGACCAACAGGCAATCTCAAAGGCAGCTCCTTGCCCGCACATAGACCCTCACCCCGTACAGCGTCAACAATAATCTCGCAAGCCTTCTTGGGATCACCAGGTTGAGTCCCATCCTGGGCTTCAAGGCCAAGCCTGACGAGTTCGTTAAGCTCCTCATACACAGGCAGGCGGTGATATGCCCCTTGACGCATTTTATCATGCGACATAATTTTAGTACGAAAATTGCCAAATGTTAAGATACAAGTCCGAATGCCGAAGGGAGCGAGTTCAATTGCCATATTAGGTACCAGACCCTCGATCAGACCCTTCGAGCCTGAGTAGCAGCTCGCGGCTGGGGCACCGTAGTACACGCCCAAAGACCCGCTGAAGAGGATAGTGCCGGTCTTGGCTTCACGCATCAGAGGAATGAATGAACGAGTGAGATTGAGCGGGCCGAAGGCGTTAACTCGCATACCATGGATCATGGATTCCTCACTGTGGTTATAAATTTAGAGTAGAGGCCTACGTAGAATCAAACAGGGTGGAGCTTACTCATATTCTTCTAATATTCCTGCTTGGATGAAGCCGGCATTATTGACCAGTACATCTACTTGGCCGTAAATTGCCCATGCTTCTTTGGCTTTCTTATCAAGCTCTTTCTGCGGGGCCAAAACGTCGATCTCTAAAGTTGCTGCACCGGCATATTTAAGAGCAAGCAGTCGGTTCGCGCCAGTCTGGGCGTTGTTCGGACGTCCTGTTGCGATAACTCGGTCACCCTGGAAAATATAAGTGAGTTCAGTTGAGTCGATTTCATGGTTTGTTCTGTTTGACGTACCTTGTCAAGAATAGCTTGAACAAAAGCCTCTCCCAAACCGGAGGAGCATCCGGTCACAAGCCAAGTCAATTGTCCAGGCATTGTCAAAGTAGTGATATCGTTCCAAGATTATAGGAGTCGTGAAGTGAAAGGGAGCAGATGGAGATTAGAAATGAAATTTGTGCTCGGGGCTACCTTCGTTTCTACTCCATAATGCAATGATTCTTTAATGGAACTGCATATCTAGGTGAGGGGCAAACATTACAGGTCCTTTCAAGTTTTACGAGTATAGTGTATATTAATTATGGCCGGATACCGTTTTGCAGTGTAAATTTACCAAACTATAGCATGGGGGCCAAAATTGTGATCTCTTTCCCTCTTGAGCTATCTAGTTATCCGCATTCTGTCAAATCACCTTCATCATAGCCTAGAAGTTTCCCCTGGTCACTATGAACACCCCTTTGACTCGATTGGGAGTTTCTATCGCACCGTCGACAGTGCGGGTGCTCTCTAAACTCGCGGTCAAGGTGGTGGGAAGTGTACGGGGTTGAACGCTGTTGATCTACGCAAATATATGATGCCACCATTCGATAGCTCCGCAATGGCAGCTAATATCTACCACACCGGCATTACATTCAGCATCGATCTCGAAGTCAACAAGGACTTTGAAACAATCGCTGCTGGGATGTTGAAACTTTACCAGCGTGACCTAATCCAAAATGAAGGTTTGACATCTACCGTTCAGGTCGAAGACCGGTGGATTGCTGTGGAGAATGTCACTCGCCTTCTTCTTGCCATGTTTGGAATTGGAATGAAGAGCTGGTCATTTTCTTAATTGGAAAGAAGCTTTCTACGAGGATAGGTTTGTTTCCATTTTGTTTCAAAATTTCGAAATTTAACCCAGAAATGAGCTTCTGCTTGTTCATTTATCCGGAACGACCTCCCCAGGCCCATTATCAATCTATGTCACGGCACACCGAGCCTAATGCAGTATACTCGGCCGTCCAACCTTGAAAGTTCCCACATTCGCTCCAGCTAAGCACATCGGACATCGGGGCCGAGAACGCGTGTCGTAAATTGCTTCTCCTTGATCCTCTCACCCGAGGAGCCTCCGATCCGGAGAATCTTCGGTGAAGAACAGGGGGAAAAGCTTATTGCAACTATATATCACTCAAGTATACCTCAGTGCTTGATGTACCTGCATAGATAATTTGAACCCTGGGACCACCTGGGTACAATTCATTGCAGCCTTCCACGCACGGTTTCAAAGAACCTCCTCTCTCAAAATGTTTCCATCTACAATTGCCACTTCCCTGCTCCTCGGCAGCCAACTCGCAGCGGCCGGCCTAATCCAACGCGAAACCACTCAATTGGTGAACAGCACCGCCTGTTCGAACGTCCACATCCTGATCGCTCGTGGAACCACCGAAACCTACCCCGGTTCGTTGGAGACGCTTGCCGAACTGATCACTGCCAACAACGCGGACACCACATACGAGAACCTCGTGTACCCAGCCACCTCCGAGACGACGACGGACAGCTACCACGTCGGCAAGAAGGCCGCACGCAAGCAGCTGACTAGTTTCGTGGAGCGATGCGGGCACACCGATTCCAAGCTGGTTGTGCTTGCTTACTCGCAGGTCTGTATTTTATTCCAATTACCAGCTGCCATACATGTTGACTGACTGGCTCACTTTCTTTTTTGGATGAAATAGGGTGCGATGATTATTGCTGATACCCTTGCTGGTGGTGGCGGCGACTCGACTCTGGGCAACCTGACTGCTCCCATTGACTATGATATCGGAAAGCATAGTAAGTACTGCTAAGGATTGATCAGTTCATCTCGGTTTTCTTCTGGGGACCACCTAGGAAGGAAGTACCCAGTAGATACTAATTACAATGCTGTCTGTAGTTGATGCCCTCGTCCTATACGGTGATCCACGCCACGCTCCCAACCAGCCTTATAACCAGGGCTACGAGACCTTTAACGTCACAGGTGTATGTTTTAATGAGTTAGATATTGGCTGTAGTGGATTGGGAAGCTAACTAGAAGACAGAAATATCCTCGCCCGGAATTCCAGGTGCGCTACTTGACGGAGCATTACGGAAAGGTGATTCACGATTTCTGTAACGTGAATGACCCGGTGTGTGCCAGTGGTACTAACCTCACGGCTCATTTGGTTTACCCTGAGATCTGGGATACAACTGCTGCTGGATGGGTGCAGAGTGTCCTTGATAAGCAGTGATTTATGTATCAATCCCTGTTTATTCATATAGAAGACACTAGTAGAAGTCGAAGTCGGGATCTTAAAGGGGTTGTTGGAAAATCTGCATGTACTACTAGCAAGCAAGATAGAATAAAGTTCAAGTTCGAGATGCTAGTTCAAGACACATCTGCAGGGGGAATCTGGATGAAGAAATGTGCTCCACACTTGATCGATAGAGGCTATTAGCACATTGGACATTTGAAGCTGGTAGGATAAGCATCTACTAGTAATATACCCACTTCGATCCAGGTTTGTGCTGGGTTTATCCTTAGTGTGTTCAAAGTTCGAAGGTTTCGGACGATTTGTAAGAAACTACAATATCTACAATGTCTGGTCACACCCACTACGAGATGGAAAAGGGTGAAGAAAAAATAGGAAAACAGTTTTGATGCCTTATGTGGTATTAGAACATCACATGCCTTCACAAGATCCCAGACATCCGATTTTAATGGTGAATCGAGTAAGCTAGGCATGTCAGAAAACCTCAGGGCCGGGTAACACCGTGTCCCGACCCAAAGTGCTTCATTGCTCGTGGCTCATACATCCCAAAACCAAAGCCCTTCTTGTTCTGGATTTTGAACTTTTTTTTGATTCCCTTGGCAATAAGATCAAAAAGAGGCCTCCTCCTTCACACTCATCAACTCATATCTAAGCGCGCGACATAACACCCCAGGCACGGATCTTGTTGTCGGTGTAACCGGCGAACAGGGTCTGGCCATCGGCAGACCAGGCGAGGGAGATACACTCGGGGTCGCGGGACTTCTTGCCCTTCTCGACGTACTCGGGCTTGAGCTCATCAACCTTGGACTTCTTCTCGAGGTCGAAGATGGTGATGGAGCTGCTGGTGGCAGCGCACAGCCAGTAGCGGTTGGGGGAGAAGACGAGAGCGTGGATCTCATCACCGGCGTGGAGGGAGTAGAGGTGCTTGGACTCGTTCAAGTCCCAGAGCATGGTGGTACCGTCCTTGCCACCGGAGGCGCAGAGGGATCCATCGGGGGAGATGGTAACGGTGTTGATGTAACCGGAGTGACCGATGTGGTCGGTCTGCAGGCGGCAAGAAGCAAGCTCCCAAACCTAAAAAGTGAATGAATTGTCAGCGTCCCAATAATTCATCAAATCTTTCTTTCTAGTGAAAACGAAGAGAAAAATTTTCCTCCCCAACTCAAACATTGAATACAAATTCAATGTTTTGAGTTGGTTTTTTTCAATCAGGCATTGGTGATAATTGTCTCATGGCCCACGAAGGGCTCTGAAGTAGCAAATACGTAAAAGATGCAAACATCCTTTGAAATGAAGGGTGGGCAGAAGTTGGAGATCGGGTGTGGAAGCGTACCTTGACGAGCTTGTCCCAACCAGCGGAGACAATGACGGGGTTCTGGGGGTTGGGGCTGAAGCGCACGCAGGAAACCCACTCGGTGTGGCCCTTGTCGGTGATGGTGTACTTGCAGTCACCGAGGGTGTTCCACAGCTTGATGGAGCGGTCACGGGATCCGGAGACGATCTGACGGTTGTCGGCGGAGAAAGAGACGGAGAGAACGTCGTTGGTGTGGCCGACAAAGGTGCGGGTGGTGTTACCGGTGGAGAGCTCCCACAGGCGGAGGGACTTGTCCCAGGAGGAGGACAGAGCGTAGGCACCGTCGGAGGAGATCACCTATAAAACAGAAAAAAAAGACCACCGGTCAGCGAAAACCGTTTCCAATCGTATCCCAGTATTCAATTTCCATTCGTGTCGATTCCCAATGGATCCGTATACATCATGATTCGATTTCGAGAAGAGGGGGGGGTAGAAATGCATACACAGTCAGAGACGATGTGGGAGTGACCCTCGAGGCTGCGCTTGGGGTAGCCGTAAGCCTGCTCATCACGGGTAAGGTTCCAGATGATCAGGGTCTTGTCGCGAGAGCCCGACAGCAGCATGTTGGGGCTAAGGGCGAAGTCAGAACATGATATATTGCGAAAATTTGACGAGGCTAGACCTACTTCTCCAGGGAGGTCGCAAGGGAGGTAACCCAGCCATTGTGGCCCTCGAGGGTGCCGCGAAGAACCAGCTGCTCAGCCATGATGAGTGAGTCGTTGAAGGGTGAGGATAGGGCGGAGTAGGTCGTTGACGCTGGGGAGATAAAATCAGAGGAAGGAGGTGCTGCGTGCCCGCCAAAGCCCTAACCCGGTTGGCTGGCACCTTGTGTGGTTCCGCTGTGCCCTAACAATAAGCGAAGGGTCACGTGGCTTATCTTATCGCCCTTGACGGGACTACAATTGTATTGAAGTATGAAGAACATTGTATACATTTCTATGAATTCTATCGAATTTCTCTTTGTTGTTTTAATTATTTAGCTGCAATCTAAGATTGAAGATCCTTTCGTTTTTCTAATTTAAAAAAAAACCCACCGACTCGAATTCTCTGTTCATCTTGAATCATCCATAACCACGAAGACATTTACTATACAACATAGAGTATTTCCGCAGACCCATAAGAAAGCCAGGTCTAGCCATGGAATGACAACCAGTCTCTAATGTGATTGGCCTTGGCCCCTTTCAACATACATAATGATACCGCATATATGCATCAACCCTATCTTAAATCACCAAGTATACAGGGCTTTTGCCTTTTTTCCTTTTGCCTTTCGGCATTGATCAATATCATACACAACTTCCAGTACTACAAGTACAACAACCAGTAGATCAACCAATCCTACCCGGTTCACCGGTAATCCACCTGGGCATACTTATACAACAACCGCAACCCCTCTCTTTAGGAGTCGAAAACCTGCACATCCGGCATCCGTCCCAACCCACGACCACCACCAGTCTTCTTATTCTTTGCGGCCTCGAATCCAAGGGCGCTCTTATCCTTCACGTGCTGTCTCAACAGCTCCAACACGGCAGATCCATCCCACCGCTTCGGAACAGGCCGGTACGCAGCCCTGAATGCACCAATGGTCTGCGCCCACTCGCCGCTCTTGGAAGCACCCTCCTTCCAGGTCTCCGTCAGCTCGTCCTCGGCAGGAGGGTTCTCGCCGGTGACCTCGGGCGGGTCCTGGGTAGCCCAGTAGTAGATATCCCAATCGTTCTCATCGAGGAAGCTGTCATATTCCCGGAGCTGCTCCGCAGTCATTTCGCGGAGGTAGACGTCGGCGAAAGTGGAGAGGAGGAGGTCGGACTCAAGGATACCACGCTTGCGGCTTTGATCTATTGATTGGTGGTTAGTGTATGTTTTAAGGTTTGTATGCGTGCAACTTTCTGCCAAGCTTGCATCGACAGCAGAAGGGATTACGAACATAATAACCGAGCTCGCATGGTCATGGTATCTTCTCCAGCCCGCTTCAAAGGCTCAACCTTGAAGGTAATACCTTCCATCTCACCAACTCCAAGCTCGGGCTTCTGCGCACCACTCTCTTGACGACCGCCGGTGAAATGCTCGATTCTTCCTGGGTACGGGTCGTTGGGGCGGTAGTTTGGGTTGACAGAGTTTAGCATATCGGGCGGCGCAGGCTTCTTTCCGACATTGGGGAAGTCCTTAGTCATGGTAGAGGTGGTGTTCGGCACGAATTGGTTCGGCGACTTGTTGGCCTGGTTGTCACGGTGCTCCTGGACATTGGGATGGGCGCGGTTTTTGGCATCGTTGAAGCGTAGAGCAGTCGCGCCGAATGAGCGGTTGATTGCGGGTTTGCAAGACGCGGTCATGGGCCGCAAGGCGCGGTTAATCAATCTAGGTGCTGACATTTTTGTGCTTTATTGTATCCCTTCAGGTTTGTTGGAACCTGGATTGAAAGGGAGAAGAGGCGTTGATATGCAATGCTCGGCTTGACATCATCTCGAATCATCGCCCGGGCCGAAAAAGCTACCTGCAACACCCGATGTTTGCAGTGTTTGCAGGCCAACCTACCACTGAATACATTGCAATTAGTACGCAACGCTAACATTGTCAGTTTATACCCCATGAGAAATCGTTACTGGTTTGGAAATGAATCAAGTTTGTTTGATTTGTATCCAAGATAATATTCTAGAGAGTAAAGTTTCAATTATGGATGTAGTAGTAGGGAATACCGTAAAAGTAGTATATGGTAAGAGTCTACAAAGAAAACCGTATATTGGTTATACCTCTAGGTATCATTTCAATCCAGATATAAGGGAACGCGCGGTTTTGACAAAATGTTTGACGTATTGACAAACACCGTATCTTGAAATCGATACATACTAGTTCCAAGTGCTCGGTGTACAAACTTCGTACATACTACTAGTACTAGTAGTATCATGTATGTTGCTGTCCGGATGCAATCCAGCTTTGATCTATGCCCAGCACTGGAGGCACTAACACATTCGAAGGTTCAACATCCATCCATTCAAACCTTCAAATGTCAACCCGAACTATCTCTACAAGTGCACAGTATCTACAATCCATAATCCAAGATTAACCCCCACAAAAGCAGGACATATATTTTATATCATCGAATTCATGACCATCGAGACAAATGCTATGCATAAGACACGAGTACAAAAGCCAGATCCAGACTCAGCCGATGCCCTCCCAAAAAAACCCGGCAACGCTGCACTGATCCCATCAATCCATCTTACACGAAATCCAACATAGAAACATTCGAATGCACTTTGACTGCACTTCCAACCAAATAGTACCTACCCTGCAAACAAGCTATGTGTCCCCGAGCCTTAAAAAGCCACTGTCCCGACGCAACGAAACGCAAATAAAATGCTTAGATAAGGTGCTTGGACCGGAAGTACGCGCGCAGGTACACAACCTGCCACGCACCAAGACCAACCAGCATACCCATAGTGCCGAAAGCAAACCACTTAACACGCTCATTGGTGCTCTCATTGGTATCACGGAGACGCTGCTCACGGGCGCGGAGGTAGTCCATCTCAGTAACGATATCGTTGACCATCTCCTCGATGCGGCGGAGGTCGGTCTCGACGGGCTTGAGCTTCTCCTGGGCTTGAATGCTAGACCAGTCGCGGGCGTCGGCGCCGATTTCGACATCGAGTTCGATTTCGCGGGAGGGGTTTTGGCCGTTGTCTGGAAGAGGCGTGTTAGATGGGAGGGGATCTTGGGTTGGTTGTGTGGGGGGAATGAACTTACTGCGGCCAACGAGCTGGTTCTCAAGGCACACGTCGAAAGTGGTGTCGGCGGTGGAGGTGAATGCCTGGCGCACTTCGCCGACGATGTCCTTGGGACGGCCGTGGTCATTGCCCATGGAGTCCTTGATCTGTAGTCGGTGTTAGCAATCGGTGGTCAGTCGTGAGAAGCGGAGTGGAGTCGATGCGTGGTTGCGGTGTTGTTGGTCGTGGCGCATGCCCAGCGAATCTGGATTTGGGGTCGGGATTCGATTGGTTGGGATGGGGGATAGTAGGTGTGTCACGTACGTGCATGTTGACGCGCTGGCCGTCACCCTTGGAGCCGCTCACGATGGCGGTCACGACGACCAGCTGGTCCTTGGAGATAAAGTTGCGGATACATCGCTCGTTCTTGCCGTTGCCTCCGCTGGCGGGGAGGTCGAATTTCAGGGCAGAGGCGATTTGGACGACGAGAAGGAGGAAAGTGAGAATTGACCTCATTGTGAATGGAGAGGAGCCCATGGTGGGGGATTTTGGCGGTGGTAAACAGGGAAGCTGATGGTTGTTGATGCCACTTAAGGGGACTGGAGGATCACCTAAGCACGGAGCACCTGACCACAGACAAGTCCGCCCTACTACGACCAAGTACAAACATGAACTACATAAACCTTCAAACTTCTTTAAGTTGATAAAAGTAATTAAAGATGTATATAATCGAAAATAACAAATTATTCCGTCTGTAAGTATTATTCAGTCTAATATTAGCTGTGAATGCTCATCCAGTTGGTTCTCATGCTTAATGCTTTCTTATAGCACATCGGACACCTAGATTCTACAGTATTTATACGAGTCCAAAAAAAAGAAAATCCAAGTCAAGATGAAAAAAAGAGCGGGTTCTGAGCGTCGAGGCTTTTAGATACAGACATAAGTACTTCAAACATGGTATCTCGCAGACTTCACAAAAAGAAAAGCACATCACTGGCAAACCCCCAAAGATCAGATCCAATCTGATCCAACAAAAGAAAAAGAAAAGAAGCACCGTATTAGTCGTGAGTATTGCATCCAACAAAATGGAAGGAAGAAAAAAAAGAAATAGAAAGATAGTCACACAAAAAAACCACCAGGCCGTAGCTGTGAAGAACAAGAAAGAAAGTAAAAAAGACAGAAGATACTGCGATGCAGCTCTATGCAAATAAATGGGCAAAGAAATGAAGGGAAATGTAAGGGAAATACAGGGCATGAAAATGTGACAAAACGATAGACATGAGATATGTGATCGTCATATGGCAATGGAACGCTGAAATGGTAACATCAAGTAGTCGAGATCATAGCATGATACTGGACTAAGCTTCGAACTTCTTGCGTCGTGTAAAGAAGCGGGAAATTCCGCCTTCTTTAGTCTTGGGGCTCATGGAACTCTGGGGAGCAGGCTCTGGCGGGCCGGTATTCCGGAGGAAGTCCGCTAGAGCACTGGTCTCGGTTTGGCGGTTGGTAGCGGAAGGCATGATGCCAGGATTCCGCTCCATGCCGACTTTCAGGGAGTAGTTGGATGGTGTGTTGTTCTGCGAGCGCATAGAGCTGACTGACATCTTTGACGAAGGAACCCTTCCTGTTGTCAGACGAGACTTCATGCTGCCCGACCCATTCGAGCTTGACGACGCAGGTGGTCGCACGCTCAATGGTTGGGGTTGGGCTTGCTTGAAGTCGGGTGGTGGTTCGCTGCGCAGGAAGTCGATTAGACTTTCCTCCTGGCGTGGAGGCGGCTTGGCTTGGAGTAACTCCTCAAGCAAGTCGTCGTCATCATCGTCATCAATGGCATAGGGGTCCGGAACACGTCGTTGCTTGCGAGCGGGGCGAGGAGGCTCCGCCGGTTCTGCCATTAGTGTGGATGGGCTTGCCTTGGCCTTTCCACTGGGACGCTGGTTTGAATCCAAAAGCCCAGTCCGCGAGCCAAACGAAGTGTATGACTTGTTGACGCTAGATCCGCTGGCAAGGGATCCATTTTGAGAATCGATGTGGATGTCATCCGAGTCGATTGTGTTTCGGAATGGCGCAACAGTACGGGGGATACGAGCACCGGATTGCGGCGGCCCTTGGCGGATGAAGTCAATCAGCTCAGAAGTCTCCGATCCTCGGGTCTCTGCTGCGCGAGCCTGCAGCTTGGGACGGTTTGGATTTGACCGGTTAGACGAGATGCTAGGCTGGGTTCGAACAGATCTGGGGGAGTCGATGGTAGGGCTTGGGGCACTGGTGGGACCAGATGAATTGTTGGCGGTAGGACTGCTGGTGCGAACCTCACGGGGTGGTCCAGCAGCAGCAGCGGTTGTGGGAGACAGGCTCATCCGCGAAGAAAGTGGGATGTATTTGGGAGAGTCAGCTGACTTAGCGATTCCAATGGCCTGGTCTCCAGTGGCCTTGGAAGAAATAGAGGCCCGAGGATCGGCTCCTGGTGGACCGGTGTTCTTCAAAAACTCGGCAAGATCAGTAGTGTTTGTAGTGTCAGAGCGAGGAACAGGTCGAGGAATGTCCGGGAATGTCATCTCCCTCACACTCCGTGGGGTTAACGTGAAATGGATAGTCTCGTCGCTGTTGATGAGCTTGTCCAAGTCGGTGGTATCGTTGTCTAGCGAATCTCCGCTGCCAGACGCCCGACTTGTCTCAGACGAGCTGCGGAGTCGGAGGGATGGGGACTCGCCCGGGGGACGATTCATCAGGCCCTTCAGTTTGTTTGAAACCTGAGATGTTGTGGAACCAGCAGTCACCGGACGCTTGTCGCGAGTACTGTTAAAGCTCTCTGAGCGGCGAGGCTTGGTCAAGACGGACGAGGCGATAGATGTTGATGGACGCCCAGACATACGTTGGACAGCAGCTCGTTGCTCGAGGGTTGGGGAACTACGGTTGCTAGTAGTCACGATCAATGGAGTGGGCCTGCGGCGGGTGCGTGATTGTTGAGACCGTTCACTATCTCCAGAAGTTGACGGCGCACGAGAAACGTCTGGTGACGCAGCAGCTTCTGGGGTAACAGACTCGGAAATAGGCAAGTCTTCAGCAGCGGCAAATTCAACGGCACTAGGGTCAGAACCAGGAAATGGGAAGGGCTCGGTGACGATAACAGGCTCTGAAGGAATCTCGGAGGATTTTTCAGAAATGACCGCTTCGTTTAATGTGCCCAACTCAGACACGGAACCGATGTCTGATTTATTGTGATCGCCCTCGACAGCATGAATATCACTAGGAGCCTTGATAGCCTCGATGGTGGCGTCGGCGGGGGGTGCCAGTGCGGGCTCCACCCCTTGCGTAGGTTGGGTAGCGGGAAGATCACAGTCACTAGTTTCTGCAATGATCGGCTTTGCATAAGACTGGGAAACATCCCTACTTGGCTTTCTCTTCGGTCGGTGAATTGTCGACGTCAGTTTCGGCTTCTCGCACATCCCCTGTCCTTCGATAACTTCCGGATCCTGAGTGGGTCCATCGATCGAGGAGACCGAAACACGGTTGCTGTCGGCCTGGTCCGTTCCCTCCTCCTCGTCCTCGTGCAGACGCGACCGCAATGATGCGATCGTTACACCAACTGCCGGTGCAGCCTCCTCTTCTTCCTCCTGCACGACAGACATGTGCTCTTTCTCGGAAAATTCTTCTGATGACTCCTTGAACTCATCGGACTCTGTGGTGACTGCGATACCCGTGGCTGTCTCTGTCGCATCCACGAACTCGGCCGATTCATCATCCTCGTACATGGTCTCCAGTTGCTTCTCCTTCGAGGAAGACCGGGAAGTTCTGCCGGACTTGGGTGATGGCTGATCTGGGGAGAGTTCGTCTGCCTCCTCGTCTTGGTCGGCCTGCGCCGCCGCTGGAGGAACTTCGTCTTTGTGGTTTGGCAATGATCTCGAGCGAAGGTGGCGAAGCAGGGGACTCTCCACTGCTGATGCGCTTAGAGGGGAGTTGCCGGACCTGCTCACCAACGATGGTGATGGTACCACCATCAAACTCCTCGGTCGCACCTTGTGAGCGACCATCGCCTGCATGGTCTGTGCCACTTCGCCTTCCATGTCTGGGTTGTACCCAGGCACCTCAATCTCCTCAATGTCATGATCACCCATGGGCAAAGGAACTTCGATGGGATCAATTGGCACGGGGAGTTCTTCAGAAGCAGGGTCTGTTGGGGTGACCGGCTCCTCAATGGTAACAATGCTGCTCTTGCGACTGTTGGCCAAAGTGTGCGAGAAAGTACGGCGTCGGAAAGACTCGCGAGATAGTGTTCGCGAAAGAGTGGTTCCACGTCTGCGCTTTCTCCAGGTGCGCCATAGGCGACCCAGTGTCGCGTTCAGCGCGAGCTTCTCCATATCGAGATCCTCCACGACCAACCGCTCAATTCGCTTGCGGTGGTCTTCCATATCGTCTGAAAATTGACTTTCGGTGTCGTTCAGTTTCGTGGATAACCTTGATCGTGCAGTTTCGCCTGCAATGACAAGCGCGCGCTCGCCGATGTGTTCAATAATGGAAGTCAAGAAAATTGCTGCTGCGGGGGTGATGTTGTCGACATGACTAGAAAATCTGCGGGGGGCACCGTCGCTTTCGCCGAGGCCCTCCTGTGCGATGAATTCGTCCTCATCCTCCTCTTCCATATCACCGAGTCTGGTGTAGACCATGCATCGCAGACGAGTCAACTTCCACGAGCGAACGAGATCAAAGTCCCCACCGGGCTCCTGACCTCCTCGGAAATCCGACTCCTCGTCATCTTCACCTCCCATGTATTCGCCCAGTTCTTCATCTGCAGTAGCCACGACTTCTTGTGCGAGGCGAGGTTTCAAGACATCCGCCAAAATCGGGCGAATGCAGGCTAGTTGTGTAGATTTAGAGGCGGCGAGAACATTAAAAAGTAAATTATCGAGGAAACCATTCAAGAGAGATAGTGCCGCGGGGGTCACTAGGGCAGTGGCCGTGGCCCCAGTGTCCTCATCCTCGGCGACAAAATCAGCGGCATTAAATTCTTGATCGGAGGTAATGATTTCGGAGGCGGCAGCGGAAGAGATGAAACCGGGTGGAGGACGAACGGTAGGCGGCGACATGAGATTGACTCGGGAGTCGCTGGAAAGACTGGTACTGCGCGAACGAGTCAAACTCCCGGCGTCCAGGAAGTCGGATCTGGAGTAATGTTGCATGGTGAAAGGTGACAAAGGGAGGGGTATATCAATGCTCGGACACGGCGGGTTTGGGATAATTTCTTCTGTAGCGGTCCTGACCACTGGGGTACACCCTCGATCGTTCGGACTGGGGGGAATGAGTTGTAAATCAAATCTCTAAATCATCCTGTACACCGTCAGTCTGACACTTTCGCCGCTTACGTTGGGAGAGGTTTGCGATTATTCGGGGGCCAGTTGATATGGTTGGCTTCGGTTCGAATTGTACGACGGTCATGCATGAGCACCGCGCCAGCGCCACCCTTGGCCCCCCGTTCATAGTTTGAAGGTGCATGTAGATTGACAACGTACCCGTAATCTCATTCCTTGTACGCCATGGATATGATAAATGTCCAAGTGAAAGAAAGAAAAAGATGGAACGGCAAAAAGACCAAGAGTGTTAAAGGTGGGATAGAGAATGAAGTTAAAGTGGGAAGGTTATTGGAAAAAGGAGAGTAATAATTCTTCAATGGAGTGGAGACGATTCGGGGGTTCAGTACCGAATGGGACTTGTACAGAAGATACGCCATTGTCAATCCATGACGCCCAGCTCTTTTTTTTAAGCCCCTGCAGCGGGAGCGTAATCCACTACCACGAGCTCCTTTTCCTTCTTTTCCTTCTACTCGATCTTCTATTATTGGCGCTTATTGGACTTTGCCCCAAATACAAAGACCTAAAAAAAATTTGCCCTCTATTTATTTGTTTGACAATTTCTATTTCCGAGAAAGCACCCAAGTTTCTCCCTTATCAGTACCTGGCGGAATCTGGTAAACCATGGACCAACTGGTATAGAGCCGTCCTATGGCAATGAAGAAACCAGGGGTAGAGAAACAGTGAATCCACGATCGGCCCCAGACCACGACATTGAGCCCCACTTGAATCACCAATCAAGTCTTGTAACGGCCAATCAATAGCATCGTGGGCCCCATGGAATCTTTTTAGTCTTCACCACTTAACCTCTTCCAGCTGTTCTATTGAATTTTTGTTCCCGCATCCACCGAGACAATTTTGAATTTCCGTTTCACCTTTTTAGTTTAGTTTTTGATATATTTGATGAGATTGGTTTTTCTCTATTTTTCTTGTTTTTCTTTTTTAACACTTGGCTTGTGGTTTTAATTTGATTGTATTTAATGGCTTAATAAAAGCCCTTTTTTTTCTGGAAGCTCCGTCTTTGTACGGAGTCCCCGTAAACAGCACGTGGTGGATCCACGGAAAGATACGATACCGGTAATCACCACGTTCCCCGTCCCTATGGCTAATCTTTGCTTAGGCCCCCAATACAGTTTCTAAAACACGATCCCGCGTTACAGTTGAACCTTGTACTTCTCTTACAAACGCCTGTACCTCTCAGTAGTTATTCCAGATACTTTGTTTTCAACTTCTTTGTCCTCCTCCCCGAACTTCCACCAGAGATGCATTGATCGCCATGACCCGAATGTGACAACTCATACCCGTGGTACGGAGTACAAGTGGACTACCTTGCCTACCCGGTACAGTTCACCGACGATCCCCGCCCACAAAAAATACCACTTGCTCTCCAGTCCCTCGTGTCATTCGGGGAGGGAAAAGATATCCCGATCGTATCCGTGGAAATGTGGCTTTGGTTCAAGCTTCCGATCAAATCATCTGATCCAAGTCTATTGAATTTTGGTACAGATGTACTCCGTTCCTGCCATCCACGGAGTAATCAAGAACTCCGCTTTGATACTAGTTGTGTACATGCTTGTGTTCTCGGTTCGCGGAATCTCGGTACCTAGCAAATATGAACTACACTACTGGGATCCTAATGTTAAACTTACTCCAACGACTCCATACAAAACTGGGGTAATTTTTAATTTCCGGCCATCCACACTGTGCAATTGTTCAAAGAAGCGGTCAAGTCAAGTCCATCACTCAGTTCCCCTGAGGATCAAGGCCGGTCCTGATTCATGTTCAAGCTTGATCGCAACGCTGGGTCAGACCCACGATCGACATCCTGCTTGGCGGGTCTGCCAACAATTTATCCTCCCGTTTATCTCCGTAACCTTCGTTCTCGGGGAGGGGTGGGGGAGCTTGGGACAATACTCAATAGTGCGCTTTAGGGTGAAGAGGGAGGGGGCTCGGACGACGACTTAGTGGAAACTCTACCTGGATCCAAAGGTCTAATAAATCCATCTTGAACCCTCAATGCTCAAAGAAAAAGAAAAAAAAAAGAAATATATACTACAATGGTTTTATGCGCCATTTCCATGGTTTTAGCCTCTAGCATTGAGCTAACAAGGTCAAATGTTACATATCCCCAGATGACAGATCAGATCACATCACAATGCATACACATACACATCTCTATTGATCCATCAAACCTCTCATTGGCTCATCTGAGATCCCCCTTCCCTGCACCCCAGTCCTAGTCTCCTCAATAGCGTATGCTTATAGGGTCCCAAGCGGAAACAAGTGAAATTGACTTGCTCGATCACCCAGATATTGCCTTGTCCAACGAGATCACATTGATCTCAAAAAATGAACCTTGGAACGGCCACGTAAGTTGCCGTTTAGCTGGACGATCTCATCAATTCCAAATAGTATGCGAGATGTTTCTTTTCAAGGGAACGAATTCCCCGTCTTCAAATGAGCCCCATAGTACAATACGAAGTACATACGGACTACGGAGGAAGATCGCATAACAAAGAATAAGCACCGTGGCGGTGCAGCCCGCTAACGCCCCTGAGAGTGGGAAGAGATCGCCATGCAATGGCGCCAAAAAAAAAACTGGTTCTGTTGAAGTTTCCACCAGTCTGGCACCATACCACAAGCGAAAAAAAAAAAATACCCCCCACGCGGTGCCCAGTGGATTATACTGATCCACATTCCCCGTTCGCTGTCAGACTCTTGCCATTCCTTCGGGCCCACATGCACATGAAGCACTTGAGCACGCCGTACAGAGTACGATTTATACGCCAGAGAATAGTGGTGTCCAGCTGCCCTTGAATTGAGTTTGCCTTGCCACTGTTCCATTTAAGTCTATGTGGCTTCTAGCTTATACATATTTATGTTCTTAGATATTTAGATATTGATATATATGTAGGGGACCTTCCAAGGACAGCGAAGATCTTCCACATGTGCAGATGATTGATAATCGCCAAAAACTCCCCAACTGTGGTTTAAACATTGAACATGCATATCGGGCATTTCCACATGCACATGTGTGCTTCTGCAACTGAATTTCTGCAATCTGCAGCACAAGATTCGACGGGCCCATCACAACACACACAACCAGAACCTTAGACAGAAAAAGAAAAAGAAAAAAAAGACACCATAGCACATCGAGATAAAATTCAGCATTGACAAGAACGACACGTCCAATCTCTTCTGCGCCGAACAAAGCAAAGAAACAAGCAGATCGCACTCACCGCATCGATGCAAAACAGAAGCCAAGCCAGGAACGACACATCCGAATTTTAAAAGGAAGAGGAAGAGCGTGGAGAAAATATCCCGAGGCTAAACGAAGTCTGTGCTCACGACGCCGTTGCGATCGACACGGCACAACGGCCCTCTTCCCGACGCTCAGGGCTGTCCTACCAGTTCCAAGGTCGATGTGACCTGTCTCTCTGCATGAGATGGCGATCACTGGTAACATGATCTAACACCAATGGGCACGGAGTCTCTATACTGTAGCGTGGGCGTTACACAATGGACTGCATGGCATCCTGATATCGTGCATGTGAGGAATGCACATGGATGTATACGTACCCAGTCTGGACTGGGGTCGATCTAGATGGATGGAACCTTGGATCTGAAGCACTTGAGGTTGCACCTGGGCAGCTAGCTGGGTTCTCCTTGCCTCGGGCCTTGAGTGATTTGATCTGTTATCTTCAAGAATGTACACGTAGATTTGAGTTGGGCTTTCTTTCTCCGCAGAAGTCTTTTCTTTGCAGACATCTGGAAGGCACCGGGCTCGTATCCTGCGTCAGCGTTACATCTTGCTACACAGAGTTTACTCGATTACTGATTGTGAGTGCCGATGGCTACCTGGATGGATGGATAGGATCAATGAAATGAAGATGATACCTGTACTCCGTACGGAATACGTATGTGCTTTTTTACCAAGTAGCACTTGAGGTATGTAGAGCCCCTTCCTCACCTCAATGCTGTGATAACAGCCACCTCTTCAGCGTAAGTGGACCATCAACTCATCAACTCCCGGACCCGCTCTCTGCAGCTCATAATGTAATATCCATAATGCACTGGAGACACATACGAACCGTAGCAGCCGCAGTGGAGAAGCGTGTAATACCCACGCCCCAAATGCCGGATCAAGAAGGCGTGTACGGAGCTTGAGTAAAAGAGCCACAAAGCACAAAGCACAAAGAAAAGGGGAGCTTAAAGCCAGTGCGCTGGCTGCGATTACAAAACTCCTGAATGGATACAACATTTGACTACGGAGTGCTTCGTACTCCGTTCATCCCTACTCCATACATACGAATGCTCCACCCAACACGGTTTTAAAACGGGAAATCCCCCAGAAGAATCGACCCATGCCCACTAACTAGCACTTGAGTAGTTGCACATTCACGGAGTCAATTGATCGACTAGGTTCAAAGTATCCGTAACTGGCATTGATGAATCTATGTAGGCCCCTCGCCCTCGCCCTCGTCACAGACCACCCTCATCCACCCGGGGAATTTTGCTTTCCCATCCGCGTGTCGGGAGCGGAGGGACTAACCCGGTAGAGAGTGAAGTATACGTATACGGAACAAGAGCTGCGCAGTGTTAAATTCCATCCATAGATGTTCATAGTACTACTGTAGTAGGTAGGTAAGCATAGGGAGATCATTCCATGCGTAAGCACTGGACTTGAACAATAATGTTTGTTTCAGTCCGCCGTTTCTCATTTCGGTTTAAACACCCACGGGGTAATTCGCAGCGTGCTGATCTAGACGTTGAGCGGGTCTGCATGTTATGAGGGGGTGACAGGTGGGGTTTAGAGTAGGGACTAGGGATTTGAAACGGGAAGGTCGAGCGGGAAGAGAGGGGTGAGCACGTCTGAAACGCGCAAGATGTCTAGATTGGAGGGTGTGATGGACTGGGGTTTTCTGGAGTTTTCTGGCGGGCGTGGAATGTTGTTTTATTTTCTGAGATTGTTCTTGTTGCGATTGGTTGGCTGGGATGGATGAGGAGAGTCCTTGTTCAAAGGGGCTTGGCTCGGGTTGATGGCAGACTCTCCAGTGAGGTGGGAGGATGGCGGGGCTGTGTGAGAGATGAGGGGGCGTTGGGGTGCTACTACTTCAACTGAATATTTGTATCCCTGTTGTACTACTTGGTAGGCGATGGTGATCATTTATTTGTGCATGGATCGAGCCCTGCTGAAGGCGCAAGTGGTGTTACCTGTTCTTCAATGTTGCTCATACTACTAATACTCAGCGGGAGCTGATCGTGCTACGGCAGAGGGGTAGGGACAGGCTATTTTAGATTTGAACATTGTAATCAATTTTTTTTTGCAATAATTGAAAGCTAGGAAAAAAACATGTTGTTGCTAACCCATGTGAGGGCTTGTTCCCGCAAAACTGAGATATCCCGAATAATGTATGCTTGATCTGGTTGTTGAACATCCAGTAAATTCCCTTCGCTGGTAATATCCAGTCGAACCCGAGATCCCATTTTTTTCTCATAATCGTAACGTCGTAGTAAGTGGTTGGTTTTTTGGTATAATCTGAAAGCGATGAACACTCAGACTAATGCTGGCAAGTTATCAGTGCCGAGTGCGTGTGCAATTCCACCAGCAAAGAAGCTCAGCTCATCGGGAAGAACGTCCACATCGCCATTTGTCAGGCGGTTAAGGAGAAAGTGTTCGATCTTGTCCAGCAAAACCTGATGGGGGTTTGAAGACGAGGGCAGAGCAGTCTCGGAAGCAGGCTCAATGGCCAAATCTTCCTGGCGGAGTGCGATCAGTCCATTCAGTTCATCCGCAGCAAGGAGATTCCTGAAAACTCCGATTACATGATTAAGAATTAGGTCCAGATACATGCAAGGGGGATCGTCTGGGTGCATGGACTCTGTCTCGTGACCAAGTCTGATATTGTCCGCCTGGGTGCGGAGATAGGTCTTATAATTTGTGTCCGCGATACCATGAATCCCGTGCATGTATGCGATGAATAGACGCTGATCGACATCAACGGCATCGCGTGTGAAATCTTCTAGCTGGGTGGCGTTTATTCGAGAAAATTCCTTGCGACGACAGTGACCGTTGTCATGGAGATCATCTGCATCAGATTGGTCCAAGGAGCTCTGGGTACAGCCCGCCTTTTGGGCAAGTAGCATCATCTCATGCACGGTCATCTCTGGATGAGATTCCGACTCAGGTTCCAAGGGCTCAGCTTCAATTTCAGGAGTGTCAATGTATTGGACTTGGGGGTCAAACCGCACTGAGGTCTCAAAGCCGATGAAGGAGTCGTCGAATGAATCAGTGTGGTCGCGATGAGTTTCGGGCACATCGTGCGAAGTTTCGTCATCCCAGACAGAAAAATCAGACATGTCATCCTCATCGTCCTCTTCTTCGGATAGAGCATCGTAATCAAACTCAATATCATCCGATCCATAACCTGACTCGGAGTCGCTATCAGATTCCTCGTCTTGCAAATTTGAGGTAGAGTTCTTGAGAATAGATTTGAGGAATGGATGGAGAGATGGCTCTTCACGTTTGGGGATGAATGTAGAAGCGCTAGATTCTAGCGGAGCGGTGGTTTTCGACGAAACTGACAATTCGTCCGAGCCGTAGCAGCTGTCTTGCGTGAATGAAACTTCGAGTTGACCGAAGGTGGAGGAAAGAGAGTCCCATGACTCTCGGTGGTTGGTAGCGGGAGCCATGGTTGAGGCTGTCTCCATGTTTTTGGTGGAGCAATTTGTGTGTATTCGTGAGTGTGAAAATATTGCGTTGCTTGGTGTTACCACGAAGTCTTTGACACTAACCCTGGGAAGGAAGTGTCCACGTTCGGATTCGTAGCAAGTAGATTTAGGGTAGTTCAATCGAAGATCAAAATAAGAGACGATGGGCGTCGAAGGCCTCCAAAGCACAGAGAGAATTCCATGATGAGGCACACGTGGATCGTGCGATCGTCTAGGGACACTTGACGGGGTTGACCCCAGCAAGAATCAAAGTTGGGTACATGTTGGTAATTTTTGTTGAAAGGTGGAAATGTGTTGTTAAACGCCCGTTCTCGGAGATCGGGCGGGGTGGAGGTATCGTGGGTTTGGATATGATAAATCTCGGCGAGTTTGAGAAGGGGGAGTTGGTGACGTCGGCAGGTGAGAGGAAACGCGAGAGTGGCGCGGGCGAAGTTTAGGCGATCCTAGCGACCCGATGAAAACGGCGCAGGAATGTCAGAGAAAATTCGGGGTGACTTTCGCGTTGTTTCGGAAAGTCTTTGAATGTTGAAAGTCGCTGGGTAAGAGAGGAGAGGGTTGAGGGGAAGCGAGAAGAGGAGAAGAGAAGAAAGATCCGAGGAAGTGAAGAAACCCACGTTCCGCGGGGTGTGAGATCCGAGTTGACTCACTCCGGGGTCGGAGGGAAAGTGCGAGAAGTGAAGTGCGACCGCGACCACGAGAAGTCAACAGTCAATAGATAAAAGTGGGAAGAGAATGATTAATTCAACATCAGAAGATGAAATGAATTAATACCCAAGTCGAAGCAACTGGCTTAGCCCAGAACTTCCATCCAAGAAGTGTTTTTCTTTCATTTTCGCCTCTCGTGATCGTCATTCTGACTCAGCCGGGTATCCGCTTCCAAACTAGGAAGGTTCCAACTTTCAACTTCCCAACTCTCCAGGCTTTGGGCATCAGGCACATTACTCTAATGATCTACCAAGTTCAGGTTTGAGCTCATTTAAACTCACATTTTGGGTCACTTCAGGGTATCTCATCTTGGGTCCTTGGTTCCTGAGCTCTCTGAGTTCCCCTGCCTGACAGCTTTTGGCAAGGCGAACTGTAAGGCCCTCCTCGCCCAGTTTACAATACGTCTCTTAGTACTCCGTACTGCAGTGGAAAGGACGCCTAGGTAGATCATTGGGCTGAAAGAGGAAAGAGGAACAAAGAGAACATGCAGCAAAGAAGAAGAAAAAAAGACTAGTTATTCACACGCATCACAAAGAAATCAGAAATGACAAATACGAAGGCTCATTCAACAAATATTGGCTTTCCGGACTTGGACAAAGGTGATTATTTTGGCTTGTCACGCAGGAAGAACAAAGAACGAAATGACTGGGCAGATGTTGACTGTGAGCCCTGATGGCTATCCTAAATGGGCGATCCGCAGTCTTTGGTGCAAATCTATTGGGCTTAGGGTCTTCAGATCAGGGCATTACCATATTGAAAGCTTCTCCCGAAGTTCTTTTTACTGCATGCGACAAAGGCTTTAAAGTGATCAGCTACCATCCCTGTCAAAATTGTTAAATATAGAACATGGGGTCTATTTTGAGAGACCAACCCTGGAGAAGATCAATCATTGGTCAAGGGTTTTCTATGCAAATCCAGGCCTCAAAGCCGCGGGGCCTCATTATTCTCTGTACTAACGCCTTAGGCACTCATTTGGAATGTTCGAATCTCAGCAGAATTTTCCGCGCACAATTGAGGGGGGCGTGACATTCCTCCCAGCCGTTGGCATTCCGCTCCACATTCCTACCTATCCGCGTCACTGTACTGGCCCCCACGATATTTTTTGCAAGAAATTGGCTAATGATAGTACCAGAATTGTTCAAATGGAGCAGCAGCACGGATCCTACCGTCTCCCGAACAAACCTTGTTTGGGGGAAGAGGTTCAGACCGTGGCTGTCATGACGCATAGATTGTCGAAGCTATCCATCAATGGGAGAAATCTCAATCAGTCGGAGCAGCTGACTCTTTTATTAGGAGAGAAAAGTTTCTCCTGGTTCCTTAATCTTGGCTTGGACGATCCGATCCATATCCAAATGCTCCAATACTCCCTTATGCCCCCGCTAGAGCTATGGGTGATGTCCATTGAAGGTGTTGATTTGACATAAAACTTGGAGCTTCCCCCACACCCGCCACACTGACTTATGGTGGTCACCGGTTTTGGTCTAGCCAGAGAGGGTTACATTCTCTCTGGTGGCTATTCAAACCCAAGTTTTATGACGGGAGTGGAGTCAGATTGAACCGGCTCTATGAGCCAGTCACCATTAATGCCCTACGATTGGTCTCAAAGCACTGGAGGTTGTCTGGATACATTCCTCGGCCCATGGGTGGATCTAATGACTGGCCAACCGGATCTCTTGCAGTACATTCCTCATCTATCGGAGAGGATCTGAAGAATGTATGCGAAAAGCTCGAGGCTGGGATCTCTCGCGACAATTCAAATAGTCGCCTCGATCTGTTTGTTTGCTTTGCTTTCTTTGCATACTCTGCATTGTTTTGCTTGATTGACAAACTATCAAACATTCACTTTTTGCAGTTCTCTCTCTCTTTTTTTGCATCATTTGCATTGATTGATCTCCCCAGATCTCCCGTGATCCACACTAAGCCCTAAGTAACCCCTCGAGCCTAATTTGGGTCCTTGGTACCAATCACATCCTCTGTTTCCCCCCCGGTCGTTCTTTGACCTGCATTATCTTACTTCGCCGCAAACGGAGACCAAGCCGCCAAAATGTTCGCTCAGCCATTCGATCATTCGTTCAATGACATCTTCGACCAGTTTGTCAATGTGGAGTCTTCGGGCCCCGATGGCAACAAAGACTCGTTCTCTGGTGATTTTGACCAGCTCTTCCCGCTAGACTCACTGTCGAGTGACTGTGGCGATCACTCCCCCACTGGCTCCACTTTGAAGCGCCATCAATCACCGCAACCCTGGAGCCAAGAATGGTCCCTGCAGGACGACGGATCTCAGTTCGCTTTTCAAGACACTATCCACCCATCTGCAATTTCCGACCTGGATTTCAAGCACACCTTTGAAACTTCTTCCCACCCAACACACACAAACGGTGTCTCTACTACTTCTCCATCTACCCCACCGGCAACTCCCCGCCGCAACAAAGCTACCAAGAGTGCTCTTATCACCCCCAAGTCCATCCGCCATCGCGACCCGAATGAGCGTCGTGGACTTTTGCGCAAGCAAAGTTTTTCGCCCAGCTTGATGCGTTCTTCCAACCTACACAAGGGAATAATGGCATACCCCGAGGCATGGGCCCAACGGATCCAAAATTTCACTTTGGCCGGCTCAGATGATCGCCTTCCTTTGTCTCCCCCACCTTCAGATGTTCTGGTTCAGCACGAGCACCTCTCTACCGACATTATCAACCACCGGGATTCCGCCGATATGCAAGCGCATTTCTATCAGCGATCCCCCGCAGTTTCCATGCCATCTCCTTCCATTGGTGCGCTAGCACGACACCAGCAACAATATATGAGCCACCCAAGCTCCTCGGCTTTGACCAATTCCAGCCCTCCTTCTGCAGATGACATTTTCTCTTCTTCACACTCCTCCGATCCTCAATCCATCTCCTCATGGCAATCCGATAACCTTGGCACCTCCTCCCTATCTTTCACTCCCGATCTACAAGCTGCTGACCAGGCTTGGTGGTCCCCCATGCCTTCTCGAGTTGCGCAACAGCAGAACTCTTACCAAAAAATGGTCCCTTCCCCAGTCCCCCAACGCACCATGCAAAGCGTTGGCTCTCAAAATGATATGATGCAAGGTGGACTAATGATCCAATTGGATGCGCCTTTTAACATGGCCGGCGACTCTTCCTTCTCCAACAACATGCTCCCCCACTCTCACAAGTTCATGGCACCTGCCACCGCTCCTCAGGTCCTTGACTCCCGTTCTCCTTCATTATCTCCCAAAGCTGGTACTTCACCAAAGAAGTCCAACCACCGCCGCACACACGGCCGCAAGCTCTCAGGTCAGAGCATGAACGGCCCTAAGCCGGCCAAGATCACAAGTCCCCGAGGGGCCGCCAAATCAGCAAATGTATCATTTGTCAACTTCACCGCCCACGACAGCCAACGCATCCTCGGTGGCGTTGCACCCTCTGGTAGCTCCAAGACGAAGGCCCGTCGGGAGCAAGAGGCTCGTGACAAGCGCCGCAAATTGAGTGAGGCAGCTCTTTTGGCTGTCCGTAATGCGGGTGGTGATGTCGAAGCCCTGGAAGCAGCTTTCTGCTAAATATTTCTGTGTTTTATTATAATTGTCTTTTGTCTACGTTGAAGCCGGTGTTTTTTTTTGTTTTGATATCATTGGGTCTATCTGCCTTGGTCGTTTTGGTGTTTGATTGTTTTCTTTTTTACTTTTGGGTTATGGGTTCTGGGTTATACACCAAAATGTTAGATGTATTTTCAATGCTTACACATATACAAGCATGTCTAATTTCAATTGACCATATCCATATGGAATATCTTTCACTTGCCAATCATTGTCATATTTGTTATCAACAATCGAGGGCGCTTGTGTATTTTCAGTATCCTCCCGAACTACTGATTCCAAATTCATATCTCACTCCTTATGATTCCTTGATCTAATCTTCAGTTCAAGTCCATATTTTGGGGTATTTAAAGAATGTTTTCTATTACTTTCTCTTTCCTTCTTCCATATCTCAATACAGTTCAAGTTTGCAGATCTCTCGGCGGTAAGCTCACCAGGCCTTTCTTTCTTTGGTATCATTTTATATTGCATTCACTTCTACCCTATGTTCACCTTAGCTTTTTCTTTCACATTCACCCTGATATTCACCACATGCATTGAATGTTTCACTCTCGCATGGATTCATCCTGTCCTTTCCGTTGGCCTTTCCATCCTTATTCTCTTCAAAATTCAATTATGCCCATTCACTATGTACTACTCCTTTATCCTCCATTGAATTTTTCGAAGATTCTCAATTTTTCTTATATATACCTCGCAAAATTCGATTGATTTCTTTCTCATTCTCATCCCTCAAACATCTTCCTAAGTTACCAGTCTAGCACATTGCCTTCGCTTTCTTTCCATCATCCTTGCGGTGCCTCTTTATCGCAGTACGTTTTGTATTCCTGCATTGTTCCTACCTCGTCACGTCCTATGGATACCTGACACCACCCATTGACTTCATACTAATATTTTTTTATAGAAACTACTGTTACACATTCACTTCCAAAGTTCATACGGTAGTCAGGTCGCGCCTGGCTCTTCGCCTTTTTCCTCGCCCTTCCAACCCTTTCTCGACCTCTGCATTGGGTCCCTAGGACACCAAAAAAGCAGGAGAACAGGGTTGAACCCCACCGTACTCCGCAGACCGAACTCTTTTTTCTTTTTTTCTCGTTTACATCTTCAAGGGTCATTTCAATTTGACCCGTCAAAACTCTTACCCTGTTCTGTCCCACTTGAACCACCATGTCTTCCGGTGGCCGTGGAGATCGTGGAGGTGGTGGCCGGGGGGATCGTGGAGGCCCCCGTGGTCGAGGAGGTGGTGGCGGCTACCGTGGTGATGGTGGTCGGGGTGGAGGCCGTGGTGACGGTGGCCGGGGCGGCTATCGAGGTGACGGTGGCCGGGGCGGAGGCCGTGGTGGAGGCGGCGGAGGTGGATATCGAGCTCCCCCCGCCGCTCCAGCAGAGTAAGTCACCAAGCCCTAATGCCCCAAATGACAAAATCACTGACATGTTTCAACACAGAGTCCTGACAAAGGTCCCAGCCGCTCTGGACAATGCTACGCACAAGTTTGAAGATCAGGCTATCAAAGACAGCGGGGGAAAATCCTCTGGAACTTTTGTCCGCCGCCCGGCATATTCAACTCTGGGAAAGCAGATCATACTGCGGGCAAACTTCTTTGAGCTTGTCATGGATCCCAAACAGAACTTCTTCATTTACACAGTTACTATCTCACCGGAACCTCAGCCCAAGCGACTGAAGAAAGAAGTCTTTGAGCTACTCCTCAGCCATGATCGCCTCTAAAAGTGTAAAGCTGCTGCTGACATGTCTGGGGAAGTCATTACATACGGTAAAATGGAGGATACTTCTCCTGTGACGGTCAAGCTCCTTGGCCGTGGCAAAAAGGATGAAGATAAGAACAAGTACACCGCCAAGTTCAGCAATGGTACAGAGGTGAACAGCAAGAAATTGCTTGCGGAGCTCAAAGACTCTACGCTGGGCTACCCACTGCTCAAGGAGGCTGATACAATTCGGGCGATTAACATTATGCTAACTCGTCTTCCACACCAAGACAAAGGGATTGTCATCACGGGTAAGGGACGCCAAAAGTTCTTCCGGATTGATGGCAAGAAGCAGTCTTGTTCCCTAGGAGGTGGCCTCGAGGTTCTTCGAGGAGTCTTCGTGAGCGCACGGCTTGGGGCTGACAAGATGCTCTTGAACATGAATGTGAACCACGGAATCTTCTTCCAGCCCACAACTATGGCCGAATTGACAGACGCATTTTTGGAGTGCTTTGGTGAAGACCGTCCGCTGTACAATCGTTACATCCGAGGCTTGCGTGTTGAGGTCTCGCACCTTCCTAAAGAACTCAATGAGCAAGGTGTCAATGGATGGCGACAGAAGTCGATCTGGGGAGTTGCACAGCCTGAGGATGGAAAGAAGAGCGAGCATAGGCCTAAGGTTGACCGGATCGGCTCTTCGCCTCCACATGTTCAATTCTGGGAGAATGAGCGCGACGGCAAAGGTGGCAAATACATCACTGTCAAGGATTACTTCAAGAAGGGTATGTATATCTGACCCCTCACGCGAACTCAAAGTTTAACCTCATTTGGGTCTAATTACTAACATCGGATAGCTTACAACATTGAATCCACCAAACCAAGACCAGTTCTTAATGTTGGCACCGCAGACCGACCTGTCTATCTTCCCCAGGACGTCTGCAGAATTCTTCCAGGACAAGTGTTCAACGGCGAGCTCAACACTTCTCAGCGACAGCTCGTTATCAAATTCTGCTGCCGCCGTCCTCCTGACAATTACCTGTCCATCATGAATGAAGGACTGGAAATTATGTCACTCAAGGGTGAAACAAGCAAGTCGTCTGGGTTCTATATCAATGAGAACATGATTGCGGTTCCTGCTCGTATCATTCCACCCCCTGCTCTCAAGTATGGGAGAACTTCTACAGTTCCAAGAGGTGGAAGCTGGAACCTCCGAGATGTGAAGTTCACCAAGCCTGCTTCCCAGCCTCTGAAATGGCAAGTTGTTAGTCTCATCAACCCTGGTAATAGACGAGGCTTCTCGGACTGGGAAGCATCCTACAGCCGTGGGGGTATCAAGAATGCCATCGATGAGATGGGCAAGTCTTTGCGGGAATTGGGAATTTCCTGGGATGAGCCTATGCCCCATGAGGTTGTTGAATACCAATCGGGACCTGGACAGCGCAAAGTCGTTCAGGATTGGCTCGACAAAAGCGCCAAACAGGGCATCACGTTTGTTCTTGTTCTCATGCTCGAGGGCGAGGATAAAGCGTGGAATCACATGAAGTGGAGAGGCGACTGCCAATACGGAGTTTTGACCCACTGCTGCAATGCTAGCAAGTTCCTCAAGATCGACAAGCAGTACCTGGCCAACAATGCCATGAAGATTAACCTGAAGCTCGGTGGCGTCTGTCAATCCCTTGATTTTACCAAGATCAACGTTCCAATGCTCAACCAAGGAAAGACCATGGTGGTTGGTCTTGATGTTACACACCCTTCAGGAATGGACCCAGAATCATGTCCCAGCATCGCATCAATTGTCGCCAGCATCAACAAAGACATGGGGCAGTGGCCTGGAGAAATCTGTGTTCAGGTACGACGCAGAGAGATGATCGTTCACATCTCAAGTATGATCGGAGGTCGCCTCAATCGATGGAAACTTGAAAACAAGGAGTACCCTAAGAACATCTTGATCTATCGTGACGGTGTTAGCGAGGGCCAGTACCAAAAGGTCCTTCAAGATGAGCTAGCACCTATCCGGACGGAATGTGAACGACTCTACACCGATCGGAAAACACCCCTCCCCAAAATCACCTTGGTTGTCGTCACAAAGCGTCATCACGTTCGTTTCTACCCTACAACAAATGCCGACATGGATCGGAACAGCAATCCACTCCCTGGCACATGTGTTGACCGTGGGATTACTCGTCCAGCTCTTTGGGATTTCTACCTCCAAGCCCAGTCCGCAATTATGGGATCGGCTCGTCCTGCGCACTACATTGTTCTTGTGGATGAGATCTTCAAGGAGGGACAGATCAACCCCGCCAATGCGCTGCAAGAGGCAACATCCGCTATCTGCTACATGATGGGTCGTTGCACTCGATCGGTTTCCTACGCCACTCCAGCTTTCCTGGCTGATAGATTCTGTGATCGGGCACGAAAATACATGCTTGCATACTACACTGATTGGAATGAGCGACAAGGAGGAGGCTTTCATCACCCTCCTTGCCCAGATAGGGATCTGATTAAGCTTAATGCACGGGTCTCTGAAAACATGGTCTACATCTAGTTGATCTTGTATCACGAGTGATATCGGACTGATGGTGAAATCTTCTTTTGTTCTATTTTTTGCCAAATTTCTTGTTGCATTTTGCTCCCACCGTTGGGCTGGACATTTTGTCAGTGACATTATCCGTTGAGTTTGATCGTTCTGGACAATCTGCTATTTGGATACCTTTGTGCTTGGGTCTCAATTTTTGTACGAAGTTGGAAGGCTTTTATTCGCATTTGTCATTTTGGGGTGCCTCTGATCTTTCACATTGACGATTTATGCGCTGCATATTGCGACAAGACCTATGCGAGTTGAGTTCGAAGAAACAAAAACCGTCACCACAACAAAAAAAAAAAAAAAAAAACCGAGAAAACTGTTACAATTGACAAAAAAAATTGGGTGGGGGGCTTGATGTTTTTGCATCATTGATTCGATTTATGCTGGTGAATCTTGACTGTTGTAACTTGTGCAGGTGTGATTTGGTCTTAGTTTATTCTTAGGTCTCTCTTCTCAAAAAATACAAAAATATCCCCGTTTGGGCGAAAAAGAAGCTGTGCTTTCGAGAATTACAATTCGAGGTCTCTAAACTTAGAGTGTTTAGTACACTAAATGATTAGTATGGCTATACTGTATACAGCACACGGCTAACATTGAAATTAATATCTAACATTTGAAGTGGACCTTGGAGGGATATTTCTCATTGGATGTCCATCTCCTGCAAAGAGCGAGTATTATACTAGTAACCTATAGACGTTACGGCCTATGGGTATTCCCTTCTTGAAACATTGAAATGCGTTGAACTATTTCAGTACAATAATATTCATGAATCTGAGCTACTCTTAAGGTTCAACGTTAAATTTCGTATAAAATTCAATTCCAACTTCGCAACTTCAAAATATCCTTCAAGTGGTCATTTCAAGACACGAGTCCAATCTCTCTCTGCCTCTCGATAAACTAACAACAGCTTCAGACCAATGTCCAAAATCACCTCACAAAAAAAAAGCTTAGAAAATCGTGCAGCCAGCTAGTCAAGACTGAGCGGCCTTAGGAGGGTACTTCTTTCCACCTTTCTCAACCTGAGGAGTACAGGTACACCACTCGCTCTCGGGAATAGAGTCCAAGACAGATGGGATATGAGCACCACAGCCCCACCAAGACACCTTGTCTGTGGAGGTTTAGTTAGTTATGGTGGGATGTCGGGTGGTTCCCGGGTAATGAATGCCCAGATCAGCGGAACTTACTACAGGTGGAGCACTGAGCCTTCATACACATATTGGAATGAGAGTGGGTATGTGATAAGATGTGTGTTGGGTGTCTGGATTATTTTCAGATGTGAGAAATTTGAGTGTTTGGATAGCGCAAACCAGGAGAAGGGGATGTTGCTTTTATAAAAGTTTTCGTGGTGAATTCTTAGTCATGAACGCCGATGATGAAGCCCGAAAAGCTGAGAAAGCCCGATCTCGTATCGGCGTTCCCTGATAACGCCTTAGCTGGACGTAATCGTAATGGAAATTGAATTTATTGCCTTGCCTTGCATTGATTTAAAGGTTTCTTCAGCCAGATCATCACATTATAAAAGTGGTTGATATTCAAATGATTCAAGCGAAAACATGGTGGGGCAAAACGTGGGGTGAAAATCGGGCTTTTGGCTCGGATAGATTTAGACTCTTCATAACCCGAGTACATAGGCTCCACAACCAGAGGGACAAGCTACGATTCCTTGTATTGCAGAGCCGGAATCTCCATACTTGAGAACCAAGGATCGGCATCAGCTTTGTGATACCCGAGCCAAGAAGACAGAGACGCCTCGGCAGTAACTTCTCCACCGACACCACGCGTCTATTACAAAAACAACCATGACCGTCATCGCTGTGGCGGGAGGCTCCGGGGCTGTGGGAAAGACCTTGGTCGAGAGATTGATTCAGGAGCCCAAATTCAAAGTCATCGTGTTATCTCGTCAAGTAAGGATCGTTCCATTCGCTTCCTCCGTCAGGGCAATTGCTGATTGATCAAAAGTCAACTCAAGAATCATCTACCTCGGAAGTTTCAACAGTGCAAATTGATTACGACGATATTGTTTCGATAGCGAAGACTCTTGATGCGAACAATGTTCACACCATCATATCAGCAATTGGCCTTGTCTCCGATGAGACAAGTCAATCCCAACTGAACCTCATTGATGCAGCCGAATTATCCACAGCAACACGGAGATTCATTCCGAGTGAATACTCGTTTATTCAAACGGCAGAGTGAGTTCAAACCCCTTCCATCACCCGCACAACTCTACTGATATTTTCCCGGCGAAAGTCTTCTTCCGATAGATCCAAGCATCAAGTTCTGGCTCGATGCAGCCGATCGTCTGAAGAACAGTACACTTAAGTATACCCGAGTCATTCCTGGCTTCTTTATGGACTACTGGGGCATGCCTCGTGTCCAAACCAACCTTCATCCCTATGTGTTTGGAATCAACATCGCCAAGCGCGAAGCCGCTATCCCCGGTGATGGAAATGACGTGATCTGCATGACCTACACCCACGATATGGCCACCTACGTGATCAAAGCACTCGATCTCGACGTGTGGCCTGAGTTTAGCGTGATCGTAGGAGACGAAGTCACCTATAACCAGATTCTGAGCCTGGCAGAGGAAATCACAGGTAAATTATCTTCCTGTTCCCAATCTCTCTCTTACAGCCTAACCCCGCTCGTCTTCAACAGGAACCAAATTCAAAGTGACATACGACAGCATCGAGCAAATCAACGCAGGGGATGTTACTGTCCCACCAAGTCTTGATGATACAGAAGAGGACTCATTTGATGAAACGAAAGAGATGACGGCATTGGTCAGCCGTCTTACTGTGAGTGGGGTTTTCCAATTCCCCAAGGAGAACAGGCTCAATGCCCAGTTCCCGGATGTGCGCCCCATGAGGATGAGAGAATTATTGGAGAAGTGCTGGAAATAATAGGTAAATGGCAAGTTTAAATCAAATACAAAATCCACTCTTCATTACAATTGCATCGATAGCGAACTTCACGGCCTCACATACACAACGCACGTATCTTGAGGAGCTTGATAGCTCATCAACATGCGCACCGGCTCATGAGAACCACCTTGTGACATCGTCGAATTTAACCAAGTCACTTAGCAAAGCTGTCCGGGGTTTGTCACTCCAACACACACATTGCGACCGGGAATCAGGTTCGAGCACCAGGGGTTGATGTCGGGGTTCCAGCACAGCAGCTGGTCCATGGTGAAAGTGTTTTCATTTTCAGAGACGATGTCCCAGCACGTATCTCCGTGCTGAATCTTATAGAATTGGTTGCCTTGATTCAAATGTGAGCGTTTTTATTCCTGGAATTTGAGTGTTCGGGTCAACTAACAACGAGGGTTGTAGGAATCGGGAGAGGCTTCCATTTGGTCTGCCTTTGGCTCAACGGGGACAGATAGGGCTAGAGACGCAAGTCCCAGCAAGATAATGGCTTGGCTGCATACGTGAACCATGGTTACGATTGATCGAATGCTGAAAGACCCTGTCGAGAAATCGTATACCGCCAACGACTCAAAACGGAATGTGTTGCTGAAGGGAGGCTTTGCTTGAGACTTCTCCTACAGGTGCTTTTATATCTGAAGAATTGACGATCATCCAACCCCGATACCCTTGGGCCCTGCAGGGGTCTGCGATAGCCAAACTTCAATTTCATCACGTTGTATGACCGTGAAAAGACCACAGTCGCTACAGTCTTGCTACTGGAAAAAAATCACTCATGGCCATGTGTACTCAGAAATAGTCCCAACCCCCTCAAGTCCGGGTTGCAATGACTTAGTTGTGCAACCATATCTACTAACCTGCCACTCAAGCATAATCGGTATGTCTCTATTGACAACATGATGTGACGCTCTAATCACATCCCAAGTACAGATAATCATGGACTTTCAATCTGATTATTCAACTAGGTTGGCAGTCTCAATTCCATCTACACATGTGTCTCGGGAAGACGAAGTATGGTTCCGGTTTGTTCAACAGTTACATTGCGCAAGAGGGATCAACGATGGGATACCGTTACATTCTTAGGGAGACCTGACCTGCGATATGTTAAATTCGTAATACCCTCACCCAATGGGTATGCTACCGTGGGATAAAGCTTGCGGCCGTGCGCTGAGTGGTTCGACAGATATCCCGTGGGGGCGATTGTGTGACTGCCACACCCTGTGCCACATTTCGATATCGCCATCTCAGGCCCGAGGGAAATTAGACTTATTTAAAGCTTTGAAGCTACAGAGAGGCTGCAGAGTGCACCATGGTCGGGATAGTCGTATCTTGTAGCTGGGCATGTTGTGTACCGCGAAACGGTCGTTGCGTGCATTCATTCTTAGATCCCCCCTTCTTGGCGTCAGACATGTCTCTGGCGAGTTTGATGGTTGAGTAGCACAATCTTCGTGTCTGGCTGTCTTTGAAAGCTTAATCTTGTCATTTTTGTCGTCGGCGTTGGAGCTGGCCAATGTGTTATCGTTCCTTGGATAAGTTAGTAAAGACAATGCGTCACGCGATTTCCGGTCGGAGTCGACAACTCTTGGCTTTGCTTTTTAGATATGGCACCAGTACTGCTTTCTGTGGTACTTGATCTAATTGGAGCAGACGCGTCTTACTTTTTTTTCATTTCCAAGGGTGGTTTGATCAATCTCATCTCATTAGACTGGGGTAGACCTTGCTAGATTGGTCTACAAATAATTACTATCAAGGATACTCCAAGCTTCAAAATGCCCTCATTATGAAACAACCAAGACACCAACTGCCCAGGAATCCATCCGGACCAAGTATGTACCGTTCTTGCTGTGAACCTTTGTGCTTATCGTCTCAATTTCCACCTGATAAGGCTGATTGCCTTGAAATTGCTCCCCCGAAAGCATTTCCAATCTCCCTGAGCTAGTCTTAGGGACACTGATAGTAACGTTCTGCTCGTCAGGTCCATAGTTTGCCAGCTTCACATAATACCGTGAGTCTGTCTTCGTAGCCACCCAATAAAGGGGTCCAAAGTCTGCTGATGAATTTACCTGCAGCACCGTGTCCCCTTTATTCGATGCGAACATTTTCTGCACAAAATAAGATGTCGACGGCGTAATAGACCCAGGAGTTGAGTTAAACCCATACATAGTCGGCTAGAAATTCAAAAGAAAAAATGGTGACCGAGTCAGTTTTGAGTCCCAATGTTGTCCAGCTCTATCCGATAAAAACTTACCGACCATGCTATAAGCCCAAAATGTTCCAACATAGGCGCGTACGCTGCCATCGCGACGACATCGCTGTTCCGTTCCATACCCATCATGTATACAGCTTCACTGCAGCTACCTTGCATATATGACCAATACACTCCCTTTGCATTTGATGTATTGCGACATCCGTACTCACCAACCATAACTGGCTGGTCCCGGGGCTGATTATCGAACTGATTGAATAATGCCACGAAATCATTCGGCGCACGATACAGGTGAAGGTCGATAATGACACCAGCAGGTAATGGCGACGGTAGACAAGAGTAATCTCCATTCGAGGCCACGAGCGTGATGTTGGGGTATTGGTCGTGTATGGCCGTATAGATCTGGGTAAAGCGATCGGGGTAGGTGTCGCACCCGCCGGTAAGATCGTCTTCGTTCCCGATTTCAATATAATCAATGTTCCACGGCTCCACGCGACCGTTTTGAGCTCGCATTTTGCCGAACGTAGTGGACGTGTTGCCAAATAGGTATTCTAGCTCGTTCATGATATCCTCGACATACGGTTGCAGGCTGGGTCCTGATAGGATGTCGCCATATGACTTGCCTGACCAAACAGCCAGCAATGGAGCCATTTTCATGTCCTCGCACCACCATAGATACTCGTCTAGACCCAAGGCATCGGTGTTGGGATAGAACCAGTCGCTCTCTCGTCCGGGTCGGTCAACCAGGGGCCCGATTGTCGTGTTCCATTTCCAACGGTTATCAACCTGCAGGCCCTCGAGATTGTTGCCACCTGGGAACCGAAGGAACTTGAAAGAGACTTTATCTAGCATTGTCGCAAGATCGTCACGCAGTCCATTCTCGCGGCCGTGAAATGTCGGTTGGAATAGTTGAATGTACCCAAAGTTCAATGCGCTTCCGGCAACTTTGGATCCGTCGAATGTCAGGTGCCACTCGTTTTCTCCATCTGGCGATAGACTGGAATTAAAGGTGGTGTTGAATTGGGTGAAGGACGCTTCTGTGCTTTCCACGCTCATGTTGTGATCGGCATAAACGATGCCACTGTGTGATCCAATAAGTTGAAGATTGATCGTCCCTGAATAGTCCCCAATCATCCAGAATGAGCTGTTGTACGTGGAATTCACGACATGAACTCCGCTGTAACCTGTGTTGGCAAAGCCAACGTATCCTGATACACTCTCTGGGACTATGACAGCCAGTGAAGACGTGATGGCGTCGCTCACGGGCGTTTCGGTATCTTGAAAGATATCTACCATCCCGACAGGTGCATATGCGGTCATTCCCAAACTCGTACCCTGGAATCCGTTATTCTGTAGAAGCTGTCCATGTATTCCGCCGTCCCCTGAGGGGAAAGAGTGTTAGTTTACTTGTGGTAATATGATCTCACAATTGGTCTTACCAGAATGATCCATTTCCTAGAACAACGTCAGCGAGTTGAATACGAATGATCGAGATTTCTCTTACCTCGAACATGATTCCATAGAGCAGAGGACTCGATTTATTTCCGCCATCTGGAGAAACTGACAATTCAATTGCATGACTTAATGTGATGAGTACTGTCAAGGCCAGCGAGGCGTGTCTTATCGATGCCAACCTCATAATGGCAGACAGGGCTTAGCAATTGAAGAAAAAGAATATTGCAATGATTAAGATCTTGTGGAAATACACTTATTAAAAAATTTAAAAAAAAATTCTCTCCTGTGTTCCTGGAGTCAATTCCTACTGAAGATCCACCATGAATCATGGAACTCCAGGGCTACTCTTTGACCATATTAAATCTTCAAATCGTGAAACTTCCCATATTCCATCTTTCTCAACTCTCTAAGAAAACTTGATGAGAAAATTATTATCAATACATCTTTTATGTTGAGCTTATGACTTTTCTATTGATTTATGTTGGCGACAATTTTGAGTCAATAGAAAGTCATGACGTCGATTATTTCCGCGAACGCCGAATGACTATTTGAACTCACGATAACCACTCACAAAGTCACATTTTTTCGGAGAATCAGACTTGGAATGGAAACAAGATCGTTAGTTTATTCAATATACCAATTTTGCGTCGCGTGCCTATCGTGTAGGGATTTTGTTGTAGCCTTCATTTTAGTCAACTCATATGGCCGACACGTCTAACTAATCATATTCGATCGGTTCTTAGCCAGTATCATCTGAGTCAAACAAGTGTTTACTGGACAATCAATACCCAATTCCTTGCCTTTTTTGATAATCCACCCATTGATGTTATCAATCTCCGTACTCCTTCCCTTCCTAACATCCTCACGCATACTGCTGGAATTCTGCGCCGTCTTTTCCACAGTATCGCGAAGTGTGGTCTCCAACAAGGCTACTGAGAACTGTGGGGCCTCATCACAAATCATCTCCTGAGTTCCAGGGATATTCTCAAAAACCTTTGATATTTCGTCTAACAGTTGGCGTTGTACGGGCCAGAGCGCAGAGTTCTCCGAGAGCTCGCCGTTGCGAATATCCAAAAGCGCCGTTAATGGGTTGAGCACACAATTGGTAGCTAACTTGAGTAGCTGAACCCTCAAAAGATCAGCGTCTTTCAATTCCGTACAGCGAAGCATCGGCGATCGCACGAGAGTATCGACAAGAAAACGGCCGCGACGCGCCTTATCCCCATCTACAAAGCCGATATCAACACAACCATTTGGACCTGACAATATAGCCTCGACGGCCGCCTTCAAATACACGCCGTGACGAATCACGCCACACATGTACGTCGGCCGTACTGAGGGGTCGGAGAATAGGCGCTCGTTTAGATCGTCGATTTGACCAAGACCATTTTGAAAAAGACATATGGTAGTTTCGCGCCCGATGCGATCCTTATAGGGTTCAAGGGCGGCTACTGTTGCCGATGCCTTGACAGCGACAATCAGGTGACGTATTTGATTGGTGCTCGAAGCTGTTTTTCCCAACAGCTCGGCACTAAAGCCTGAGCTTTGCTGCAAATCCCCGTGCTCTCCGACGCGGAGCCCGAGTTTCCAGTCATTCGCTGACAGGTCCTGGAAGAGACTTTCTCTGTGGATGAGAAGCGTCACGGGCGGTGGGTCAGCGACCGAGCGGAGACATTGCGCAATGAACGACCCGATACTCCCCAGCCCGAGGATATAGATGGGACCGTCGCTTGCCATGGTGGATTGAACTAGCGGCTGAATTGTACCTGGCCTGATCGAAGTATACAAGAGTCCGGGCCCAGCGAAGACTAGCCTATGGATCGGGTGGAGACGGGGTTCTTTGCGGTCGAATAATTTCCGACGATACCCAGCCGGACAAGTAGCCGATCGGGCTGCCGAAAACTCTTTCCACGGGGTTCGTTTTACGTACCGGATCCATAGTTTTTGGCATTGTCGTCAATCTCCACATGGATTCAAGGAAACCACTGCCAATGATAGGCATGAGTCAGTCCATCAGGGAAAAAAATTTCCAATGCGTCTCCACAATTGCTTGGGGGTCGAATGCTGGTCCACAACAATATTCAATACATCCTCACTCTACTAACTATACCTTTGATCGAAGTTCCAACTATCCATTTTGACCAGGGTATGGGATATCAGAGAGAATGGAGATAATTTCGAAACAAGAGACGCAATGTCGGACTCGGGAAACTCATTCGCCGAAGGAATTCGAGCATCCTTTTGATTTTGCGCTGGTATAGTACCTGAAACTCTCGGCTCAAAACGAAGGTCAGGTCCGCTAATACATCATGGGAACAGTTGCGAAAGCTGCACATTGTAGTTGCGGGTGTATATTTTGTCTTTAACAGCTCGCTTGGATCTTCTATCGCGTCCGGAGCCCACGATGAGCTGGCCACCGATTTCAATATCCCCAGCGATAGCATCAAAATGGTTCTTCCAACGTCTCTTTATATGGCTGGTTTCGCGATAGGTAAGTTAATCTTCTAGCTAGATGAATTGAGCTTCCTCTGACATGATGACAGGCCCTGTCATTTTTGGTCCTTTGAGTGAACATTATGGCCGCAAACCTGTTCTGGTTTCAACATTCGCCATCTATCTCATCTTCATGATGGCATGCGCATTGGCACCGAACTTTCCGGCCCTTCTTATCTTCCGGTTCTTCTGTGGTTTGGGAGGATCAGCACCAAACGCCGTGTTGGGCGGCCTTTTCTCGGATATTTACGAAAACCCCCATCACCGCGGGCTGGCGATGTCGTGGTTCATGTTTGCGACTACTTTCCCACCACTTTTGGGTCCTATTATCTCTGGTTTCATCTCCACCATCACATGGAGATGGACCTTCTGGGCGGGTCTGCTTATTGCTGCACCCGGTATGCCCCTCTTGGTCACCATGCCTGAGACATATGTCCCTGTTCTGCGTCAAAGAAGCAGAACATCCGACGAGAAAGAAGGAATTGTACACAAACCTACCACGAACGCCGGTGCGGGACTATCTGTCATTCTCTGCCGTCCGTTCCTGATGTTCACACGAGAGCCGATTGTCTTCTGCTGCTCGATGTATCTCGCTCTCATTTATTCCATATTGTACCTGTACTTCCAGGCATATCCCATCATTTTCCAAGGTACGTTCTTTCGGCATGTCTATCAATCGACGGCTCCAAGCTGACCACTTCCAGATCTATATGGCCTATCAGCAGGTGTAGGCGGACTAGCTTTCCTTCCAAGTGAGAAACACCCTTGTCCCCTCTCCATCTTCAACTTCTAACCTGTCCACCAGTCCTCCCCGGATCCATCCTCGCGTTTATCGTATTCTTCCTGTACAGCGGATACCACAGCAAAGCCCTAGCCGCTGGCCACCGCTGGGCAACATCAGAAGAATACCGACGCCTCCCACTAGCCTGCGTCGGGGCGCCCGGAATCCCAATCGCCCTGTTCTGGCTCGGATGGTCCGCAAAGCTCTCCATCAACCCCGTCATGCCCATGATGTCGGGAATCTTTTTCGGATTCGGCTACCTTCTCATCTTTATCGCGCTGCTCAATTACTTGACGGACGCGTATAAGCAGTTTTCTGCTTCGGCCTCGGCGGCCGCGAGCACCTTGCGATCATTCTGCGCCATCTTCCTTCCCATGGCTGCTAATCCCATGTATACGAAACTGGGGATCGATTGGGCGAACTCGCTGCTTGGGTTCTTTTCTATAGCAATTGCTGTTGTTCCGTTTGTCTTTATCAAGTATGGGGCTTGGATTCGGGCGAATAGCAAGTTCGCGCAGCAGGCTCAATAGGTACGTTGTGTTGCTGCGTTGGTGCATCGGTGCATTGGGGCGATTTAAAAAAAGTGATTTTGTTTCTTTATTTGCATATTGTTGCGCCTGGTACATACTACATCTTATAGACATAATTGCATGGTGATTCGGACAATAGATTGGGTGTATTTGACCTCGGAACACTGGTAAATATTTGTCCATTCTAAATAATCATTTAAAGCTTGGATTGCTTCGCATTCTTCACGGCCGCAATGCATTCAATCTCCACATCCGTTCCCAATGGCAACTCCTTCACGCAAACACAAGTACGCGCCTACGAAATTCATTGTCAGACATTCCTTCTGCAACTGGAATAATTGGACATCTCAAACTCACCGGCATCGGCTTCTCAAATGTAGCCGCATAAACCTCATTGACAGCATTGAAATCGCCCATGCTTGTAAGGTAAATGTTACACTTGACAACATTATCCAAGCTACTTCCAGCAGCTTCCAAAACTGCGCGGAGATTGGCAAGGATTTGTTTCTGGCAAAATGTTATGCGTCTGTAGAAGAGGACATTGTAGTTTAGGGGCTTGGTCTTACCGTTCGGTTCCCGATTGGACCTGCGACAAGCGCGCCGGTCTCGGGGTGAGAGCCAATTTGTCCGGAGCAAAAGACGAAGTCGCCCATTAAGATGGCTTGTGAAAGGAAGGGTGCAGGTGCTGGCGCATTTGAAGCGGTGATTGGTTGCTTTTTAAAAGACATTTTGTGTAATTTATTCGATTAAGGAGTAGTATTGCAAGGGGAAGTTCAAGTTATGAATGAAAGTTGGAGATTGGAGATGTTTATCAGGTTACATGTACCCCAACTACATTTCGGCGCTAACGGGGCCTATTTGTAATCGCGGGGTTTTAAGTAACTTGGGCCTTATCTTGAATGTGGGTCATCACTGGTCAGTAAAAAGTATACCGTTCACAAATTCGCAAGTAATTGTTGACAGGAATTAAAAGTCTCAGTTTATCTAACGTGAGATCGGAGGTGGGCAGGTGTAGTCCCACAGGCCGTGCAAATCATTTGTCATGTAGACGCTGTGAGTGGTCTTCTCCTATTACATCGAGCAGCCTAATGGCAGCCGCGCACATTTTCTATAGAAACACAAGGTACAAATATGGGTATAGAGTCAGTAAGTGAATAAAAATTATCCATTGAAGGTTATTCACTTAAATCAACTGATACGAATATCTTCTCATCTCACCAACTCTTTCCTCCTGTCTTTCTCTCCTCGGCCCTTTCTTTTCTGATCTCTTGATCAATCTCCTTCACAATGACAGACCATGACGGTGATCAACTCCGCACCTTGTCCCTGACTTGACACAAGTCAAGTGAAAATCTCCCTTTTTCATCTGATGACGAGAATGACAAGAATGAGTTGGTCGAGGGGCATCCTCTTTCTCTCATAGTTGGCTCAAGTCAGCTAAGTGCTCCACTGTGAGATTTTCCGCTTCTATTATACATAAATGTAAACCAACTACTCTACTAATACTCCTTTTATAGGGGAAGCAATTTACCGCCAAATCACCAAGTTGGACACCCTCTCGAACTACCTGCGCCCTGCACGCGGTTCGACAACTTCGGCCCGAGTGTGTGGGCTCAGTTCCTCATGCAAACACCTTTCCCTCTCACCATCGCCATCAAAGGCCAGAACATAAAGGGACAGCATCTGGGCTATCTGGTCCAGTTGGAGCCACAACGAGAGCCGGTTATCCGGCCAGGAAGGTGCAACATCTGAACTGCTGGAAAGTTTTTCAGCCAGATGATTATTCACTTGTCAACGCCGAAGCGATTATGATGCAAGTGGTTGGTCGCGGAATTGGTCGCGGTATTGCAAACATTGAGAACCAATGTGAACGTTGCCGAAAATATCAAGGCCCCTTTTCAATCTGCGTTCGGGTTAATAGAATCCCAGCTTGCGCCAATTGCCACTGGAGCGGTGATTCGGATAGATGTTCCTTTAACACAACCCTGTCGCCCAAGAAGACACCACAGTCTTCTAGGCTCCTCACACCCGAGAAGCTTAAAGAGATTAAGGCGGGCAGGTGTACCGCCTCATCACCAGGATCCAGCAACTTGAAGAAGCCCAGATCAAATCATCATCTGTGTACCGTCGCCAATCCATGGAGGTTAGAAACCTCAAATCAACAATCTCGCGCCTCGAAACTGTGCTCAAGAAAGCAATGGTCACAACGAATCTGGGCAAGATGATCAAAACATTCAGTACCATGACGGACCGGGCGAGAAAAGGAAAGATTGATTGGGGGTGGTGTGGCACTGCAATCTTTCTTCCCCACAGAGAAAAATCCACGGCTTGGGCCCCTATCGCGGTGATACATTGGTGTTCACTATCTTAGTAATTCCATTTCATTTCCTTTTACCTCTCCTATCCTCCCTCCTCATGTAGCCAAATGCGTGATATAACTAGCTGGTAGTAAGACTGTTTCTTAGCTTCTCCACTAAACCCCACAGCGTTGGAAGGTCTTACCCGATTGCGACCCTGAACCCCCAATACACTCTTCCAAAGTCTTGAGAAAAACTCTGCAATCCAAGGTTTGAGCAAATATATCCGAACTTAGCACAATGAGCTTCATAATGTGATGACCGTCGGGTGGAATTCGAACCGTCTCATATGGACGATGAATGCTTTGGATGCCTTGGTTTTTTAAAACGTCGTTTGGGGCATCTCAAATGATCTCTGTGTATATATAAAAAGATTCAAAAATTACAAAAAGATTGACCGACGCAGGGATCGAACCTGCAATCTCTTGATTCGTAGTCAAGCGCCTTGCCATTGGGCCAGCCGGCCGTCTTGTATGACAAACTGTGTCAAATTTGGCTAGATAAAGGAAGCTGTTGTGGGATCACGTGCACTGCCCCGTTTAGGGTTCGCGCGGGTTTTTTGGTATGTAGCAGCGGGCTTTGAAAGGGCTTCCATGCCAAATTTCCAGTTCCAGGTCGCTGTATTTATTTCAATCTAGTACTAATGAGCTCATTGAAAATTTTCCAAGCTCGAAGGTCTATTTAAGCACTGGAATGCATGCAATGTGGATAGGTTCCTGGGCATATGTGCATACTTAGGTCAACTCTGACCTGATGTATATATTTCCAATCCAAATCAACATCCATTGATAGATCCACCGGCACCCTGGGCAAATAATTACATCCAAGGATAAATATGTATGCTTGTACCCAGGTGTACCTCCATTGATGTGTGCATGTGGATACCTATCACATTAGAAGCTTTACTGTGGTACCTAATGTCTCTCTCGGCGCTTGGAGAATTCAAATGTTTTTGTTGACTAATGAGAATACACCGACCAAGAAGGACTTAGACGGATGCGCCTCGCTTCTTCCAAGGTTGGTATACATGTAGCGTGCGTACTAGTATGATGTATGTAGGAGATCTGTCTGGAGGTATGAACATTTGGAAAGCACACCCGTGGACCCAGATAATACTACTTAGGTAGGTGTTTGATACTAGTGTCCAGATCTTGCACATGCCCTCTCTACCAATGTCCGACGATATTTATTTCCATCTGTACATACTATATCCATAGATCAAATGATAGCTTCATACCCGGCTAGCTATATTGTTTGACTACTACCTAGTAGGTAGGGATGTAGTATTTCTGGTTGGTGATTAGAAAGTGAAGGGGGTGGTTTTTCTGGGTAGTGCCAGACTATGGTAGAGTCTAGACCAGGAAACAGTTAAGTGGGTACTCTAGAGTCTTGAGTACTTTGCGGGAAGATGTAGTATCTTCACTCACAAATTCGATAAATTAATTGAAGGACTGAGTTGGAATTGGATACCGAAGGATGTAAACTTGAGGATTTAGTGGATAGCGTATTCCAGAGTGCGGTGAGGTGAAACGTGCCAATCAAGAGAGAAAGCGGGACATAAAAAGCCAATGACGCGTGATGGAGCTTTTGACTGCAATGACAACCCCTGTATCACGTGACGTACCGGGTAAGCGACACCTCAGCAACGACAACAGCGGACCTCCTGAGGTCACTTCCGCTTCCTTAGATTCATTTCCCCATACCCCTCTCCTTCTTCTATCTCCCTTTTCTTCCCTTTGTCATCTTCTCCTCGATCTCGCCCCTTACTCCTCACCTTCTTTTCATTCCCATTTCATCGTTTTACTGGGGCGTTCAGTTAGGCGGATCAGGTCGTACTGCGGCGGCCTAAGTAAATATGGCGCTCCCCATCAAGTTCACAGAAGTGGTCAATGTGAGTTGATATTACCTCGATGATTCCATAAATGTTCTTATTTCATTTACTGACTACAATCATGAAATAGTTGACCAATGTCGGCATTGCGGTATGTCCCCAGTTTACTTGCGCTGCTTCCCCCCGGAAAGTGGCTTGCGACGAGCCCCCATTTATGGCTACACGGATACGCCGGTCGCCCCCGGAACTCGCTCTCTAGCTTCTCGATACACTTGACTAACATATCACGTATCATATAGCCGGCGTCAATTGGCTTCACATCATGCGTAAGTGCCACATGTCCCTTAAAACAAACAACTCGGAGACGTGGCTAACCTGGCAATGACCGTATCGCAGACCCTAGAATCCGATCACTATATCTGTGTTCGACAGAAACTCGAAGAAGATGATAAGCCTCAAGTGATCATCGTTGACTTGAAAAACAACAATGAAGTCATGCGCCGGCCGATCAACGCCGACAGTGCAATCATGCACTGGAACAAGAACATCATCGCCCTCAAGGCCCAAGGCCGCACAATCCAGATCTTCGACCTCGGGGCGAAGTCGAAACTCAAGTCTGCGGTCATGAATGAAGATATTGTTTACTGGAAGTGGTTCAGCGAAAAGTCCCTGGGTCTGGTTACCGACACTGCCGTGTACCACTGGGATGTCTACGATGCTACCCAGCAAAACCCAGTGAAGGTGTTCGACCGACTTCCCAACCTAGCGGTATGTTTCACTTCTCCTAATAGATCCGCGTGGGAAGGTATACTGATCAATTGTGTGCTCTTTCCAGGGCTGCCAAATTATCAACTACCGTGTCAATTCCGAGGAGAAATGGATGGTCGTTGTTGGTATTAGTCAACAGCAGGGCCGTGTTGTGGGATCCATGCAGCTCTTTTCGAAGGAAAGGGGTATTTCGCAATTCATTGAAGGTCATGCTGCTGCTTTTGCGTCTATTAACGTCGAGGGTTCCCCCCTACCCCACCACCTCTTCTCCTTCGCTGTTCGGACCGCGACCGGCGCGAAGCTGCAGATTGCCGAAATCGATCACCAAAGTCCCAACCCAGCATTCCAGAAGAAGGCCGTGGAGGTCTTCTTCCCCACAGAGGCCGTCAATGACTTCCCCGTGGCTATGCAAGTGTCCACAAAATACGATATCGTTTACTTGGTAACCAAGTACGGCTTCATCCATCTCTACGATCTCGAGACAGGTGTATGTATCTTCATGAACCGCATTTCAAGCGAAACTATCTTCACAACCGCTGCCGATTCGGAGGGTGCTGGAATTGTCGGTGTCAACCGCAAGGGTCAAGTTCTGTCCGTTAGCGTTGACGAGAACACAATCATCGATTACTTGACTAGCAACCCTGCAAATGCTGGCCTCGCTGTCAAGCTTGCCTCGCGAGCTGGTCTCCCCGGAGTTGACCACCTTTTCCAAACCCAATTTGATAACTTCATTGCTGCAGGTGACTATGGCGAGGCTGCCAAGGTTGCTGCCAACTCCCCTCGCGGATTCCTTCGCACACCCGAAACTATTACCCGTTTCAAGAACGCACCGCAGACTGGTCAAATGTCAGTCATCTTGCAGTACTTCGGTATGTTGCTTGACAAGGGTGCCTTGAACCGTTACGAGAGTGTGGAGCTTGTTCGACCTGTGCTGCAACAGAACCGGAAGCACTTGCTTGAGAAGTGGATGCGCGAGAACAAGCTGGAGTCTTCAGAGGAGCTCGGAGATATTGTTCGTCCGTATGACATGGCTTTGGCCTTGAACGTTTACCTCCAGGCCAACATTCCTCACAAGGTTGTTGCTGGATTCGCCGAGACAGGTCAATTCGACAAGATTCTCACTTACTCCAAGCAAGTGGGTTATCAACCCGACTACACTCAGCTCCTGCAGCACATCGTGCGGGTCAACCCTGAGAAGGGCGCGGAGTTTGCTACCCAGCTCGCTAGCGAGGAGAGTGGTGCTCTCGTGGATCTTGACCGCGTTGTGGATGTCTTCCTCTCGCAGAATATGATTCAGCAGGCAACCTCCTTCCTCCTTGATGCCTTGAAGGACAACAAGCCCGAGCAAGGCAATCTCCAGACCCGACTTCTGGAGATGAACCTTGTTCACGCATCCCAGGTTGCAGATGCCATTCTTGGTAACGAGATTTTTACTCATTACGACCATGCCCGTGTTGCCCAGCTTTGTGAGAATGCCGGTCTCATCCAGCGCGCTCTAGAGAACTCTGATGACCCTGCGGTTATCAAGCGCAACATTGTCCGCACTGACAAGCTGAGCCCTGAGTGGATGATGAATTACTTCGGTCGTCTGTCTGTTGAGCAGACTCTCGAATGCCTAGACACCATGCTCCAGTCCAACATCCGCCAGAATCTGCAGGCTGTCATTCAAATTGCCACCAAGTTCTCCGACCTTCTGGGTGCCAACCGCCTCATCGACCTTCTCGAGAAGTACCATACCTTCGAGGGTCTCTACTACTACCTTGGAAGCATCGTCAACCTTAGCGAGGACCCCGAAGTGCACTTCAAGTACATCCAGGCTGCCACTAATATGAACCAACTTACCGAGGTCGAGCGGATCTGCCGAGAGAGCCAGTACTACAACGCGGAGAAGGTGAAGAACTTCTTGAAGGAGTCTAACTTAACCGAGCAGCTCCCTCTCATCATCGTTTGTGATCGCTTCAACTTCATCCACGACTTGGTTCTGTACCTTTACCAGAAGCAGCAGTTCAAGTCCATTGAGGTGTACGTACAGCGCGTCAACCCATCCCGTGCCCCTGCTGTGATTGGTGGTCTGCTGGATGTCGACTGCGATGAGAGCATCATCAAGAATCTGCTCTCCAGTGTGGACGCCAATTCCATCCCCATTGATGAGCTTGTTTCTGAGGTTGAGAGCCGCAACCGCCTCAAGCTGCTTCTTCCATTCTTGGAGGCTACCCTTTCAACCGGCAGCCAGCAGCAGGCCGTTTACAACGCCCTCGCAAAGATCTACATCGATAGCAATAACAACCCCGAGAAGTTCCTCAAGGAGAACGACATGTACGATACCTTGATTGTCGGAAAGTACTGTGAGAAGCGTGATCCCAACCTTGCGTACATTGCCTACCGCAAGGGCCAGAATGACTTGGAGCTTATCAACATCACCAACGAGAACTCCATGTACCGTGCCCAGGCCCGCTACCTGGTTGAGCGTTCCGATCCCGAGGTTTGGACCTTTGTTCTCAGCGAGAATAACATCCACCGTCGCTCGCTCGTCGACCAGGTCGTTGCCACTGCTGTGCCCGAGTCTACCGAGCCGGACAAGGTTTCTGTGGCTGTCAAGTGCTTCCTCGAGGCTGATCTCCCCGGTGAGCTGATCGAGCTGCTAGAGAAGATCATCTTGGAGCCTTCACCCTTCAACGACAACACCAGCTTGCAAAATTTGCTGATGTTGACTGCCGCCAAGGCCGACAAGAGCCGTTTGATGAACTACATTCAACAGCTGAACGAGTTCTCTGCCGATGAGATTGCTGAGATGTGTATTGGTGTTGGTCTCTATGAGGAGGCCTTTGAGATCTACAAGAAGGTCAACAACTACCTCGCTGCCGTCAATGTGCTTGTTGAGAACATTGTCAGCATCGACCGGGCTCAGGAATTCGCAGAGCGTATTGAGCTCCCCGACGTATGGAGCAAGGTTGCCAAGGCCCAGCTCGATGGTCTGCGTGTCTCCGACTCTATTCAGTCCTACATCCATGCTGATGACCCATCGAACTACAACGAGGTGATTGAAACTGCAACCCACGCTGGCAAAGACGAAGACCTCGTCAAGTTCCTCCGCATGGCTCGCAAGACCCTTCGCGAACCCGCCATCGACACCGCTCTTGCCTTCTGTTTCGCCCGTCTTGATCAGCTTGCAGAGCTTGAAGACTTCCTCCGGTCGACCAATGTCGCCGACATTGAAACCTCCGGTGATAAGGCTTACGAGGAGGGCTACCACCAGGCCGCCAAGATTTTCTTCACTAGCATTTCTAACTGGGCCAAGCTTGCGACCACCTTGGTGCATCTCGCTGAGTACCAGGCCGCTGTCGAGTGTGCTCGCAAGGCCAACAGCGTCAAGGTCTGGAAGCAGGTCAACGAGGCTTGCGTTGACAAGAAGGAGTTCCGTCTTGCCCAGATTTGTGGTCTCAACCTGATTGTCCACGCCGAGGAGCTACAGAACCTGGTTCGCCAGTACGAGCGTAACGGTTACTTCGATGAGCTCATCTCCGTTCTCGAGGCCGGTCTTGGCTTGGAGCGTGCCCACATGGGTATGTTCACTGAGCTGGGTATCGCTCTGTCCAAGTATCACCCGGACCGTGTGATGGAGCACTTGAAGCTCTTCTGGTCTCGCATCAACATCCCTAAGATGATCCGCGCCTGCGAGGAGGCCAACCTGTGGCCCGAGCTTGTCTTCCTTTACTGCCACTACGATGAGTGGGACAACGCCGCTTTGGCCATGATGGAGCGTGCTGCCGATTCCTGGGAGCACCACTCTTTCAAGGACATTGTCGTCAAGGTTGCTAACTTGGAGATCTACTACCGTGCCCTGAACTTCTACCTGCAGGAGCAGCCTCTTCTTATCACCGACCTGCTCCAGGTTCTGACCCCTCGTATTGATGTCAACCGAGTCGTGCGCATCTTCCAGAGCTCCGATAACATCCCTCTGATTAAGCCTTTCCTCTTGAACGTGCAGACCCAGAACAAGCGGGCCGTCAACGATGCCATTAACGAGCTTCTGATTGAGGAGGAGGACTACAAGACCCTCCGTGACTCTGTGGACAACTATGACAACTTCGATGCTGTTGAACTTGCCCAACGCCTTGAGAAGCACGATCTCATCTTCTTCCGCCAGATTGCTGCCAACATTTACCGTAACAATAAGCGCTGGGAGAAGTCGATTGCTCTGTCCAAGCAAGACAAGCTCTACAAGGATGCTATCGAGACTGCTGCGATCTCTGCCAAGTCGGAGGTTGTTGAGGAACTGCTTCGCTACGTAAGTTTTTTCTTCCACGTTATTTTCCACTTGGATTATTTATGATACTAACATTTTTTTTTCTTTTCTCATAGTTCGTGGATATTGGTAGCCGTGAGTGCTATGTTGGCATGCTGTATGCCTGCTACGACCTCATCCGCCCTGACGTGATCATGGAGATTTCATGGCGCAAGGGTCTGCACGATTTCACCATGCCCTTCATGATTAACTTCCTGTGCGAGCAAACTCGCACCATTGAAATGCTCAAGAAGGACAATGAGGAGCGCAAGTCTCGAGAGAAGACCAACAAGACCGAGGAGGATAACACCCCCATCCTCGGTGGTTCTCGGCTCATGCTGACCCAAGGCGCGGGGCCACAGGCCAATGGCTTTTCTCCCCAAGTCACTGGTTATCGCGCGTTCTAGATTGATGCAATGATTCCCTGGATTTTAGTTCCCTCACACTTTTTTTTTATCTTTTATTCTCATTTTATGTGTACCATAAAGCGACGTGATGACTTCTTTGGTGCGAAGCAAAAGACATGAGTCCCAGGGGGAAAGGTTGAACCTAGCGGGGAAAATGTGCCATAGGAGGATGTTCATGACGCCCCGTTAATTTATCATTTTGCGTTATCTCTTTTATTTTAACATTTTCTTATCCACAATGTATTTTGATAGGCTTTTTTTTCCAGCGTTCTTTCCATGTCTAGATCCCTTGGTCTGGGCCGTGGTCGGCCTTTTTCGTTTTCAGTAGCCGCATCTTGATCTTGCGTGTTTTTTTGTTTCTTTTTCTTTCCAAGGGTTTCTTCTTGCTTTCCGACCATTTGAAACCTGCCTTAGCTTGTCGCTGCAATGTTGCTTGCCAAGCAATGCAGTCTAGAATAGACCCAGTCAAATCATGGATTGAGGATTGAAGCTGACTTTCCGTATACCCCGCCAAGCCGCCAAGGCACCGCATTTCTTCACTATCTGCCCCATACAAAATACTAGTAGTCAATAGATCCCCGCGCAAGGAGCGTCTAGCCCCGGTGGAATATCGTCACACTACATGGCTGCCCAGACATTCCGCTCATCCAAGTGGGTAGGGGTGTACTTGAATGATGCGCAACTAGCGATTCAAGTTACCCCGTCAGCTCTTGGCGATCGACGCCGAGCAATTTTTTTATTGAGACGGAATCTAATTTCTGCAGTATACGCAAATCCTGTGTAAATCAGTGCTACCCAAGGTTGAAACGCCCCAAGGTCTTTCGTTATCAATGTCCTGTCGGCCCTAACAAAAGACGGTCTACAGCTAGCTAGCCCCAGGCACCTGCATACAGTACACTCAGCCGAGTCCAGATGGCGAATATCGGCAATCGACAGCTCGCCACCTTATTTTTAAATTATTCCCAGGTTATTGTTTACTCCGAGTCCGATATGTTCTCCGTAGCGATGCGATGCGATCCTCGGCCCGGCTGGATGGAACAGTCAAGATGAGCTGTCTGTTCCGGGGAAATTCTTTACCCCGTGGAGAATGTGGAGTGTGCTGTAGCTTCCCCCAGCTCGGGGAAGAATTGTGGCAGTGAATTTTTCCGTTTGGGACGAGATTCTGGAGAAAGCTGGATCAGCTGGGGTTCTGGATGGCGGTTACTGAGGGTGCTGACGTGGTGATCCATTCAGGTCTGAAATGTTGATTTGAATTCTGGATGACGTTGTGGTTCGGCTGAGTTGGCGATAAGGTGTGGTCGTGGGGATGGATCTGATTTGCGGGCCTCCGGCTTGTGGTGCGTGCTGCAATGCAGTCCCCGTTTTTGAGGTTCGGATGGTGAACAATTGGTGATAGTTTGTGGAGTTTTGAATCTATAGTTTATGGTGAATTGTTTTTTTCTTTTCAATCCTATTCTCGGTAGAATGTCATCTGCTCGTACTGAGATTGTCATATGAAGTATTTTTAGGAAGGGGTCCGGCACTTTTGGTGGGGCGGGGAAGCTATCGCATCTCCGGGTTATAGTGAGGATTTCACATGAACCCCTCCCTTTCTATGCCAATTCTTGGCCAACTTGGCTTCGGAAAAAAAAAAAAAAAAATCGAATCACCTGTCATACATGGGACGGGAGATCACCGGAATGCCAAGTGCAATAAAACATTTGAAAAGAGACATCCCTCGGCAAGGGTCAGGTACAAGGGCAGAAGGTGTCGGTGATGATCCCGCGGTGTCGGGAAGAGGACACCGGGGACAAGTCAATTCCACTCCATAGGAGATCCTTTCCTCTAGGGAATTGTACACATGACCCAATTGCCATCGGGAAGACGCCCGATACAGGTTAGAAGTTCCCAAGTCAATTGGCATTTGATAAGTAAGTTACAAAAAGTATTAGGTGATGGCGGTTTCGGAATGAATTTCCCCGAGGTGAAGAGTGAACTTTGATGTCCGATTTAAACCATTCAATCGGACTTTCTTATTGGTAGATAATTGTTTAGAATCATTGTAAAAGGGAAGTCGAGAGTTCTCCGAGTTTCCCCCGGACAATTTTCTCCAGGTTTGCCCGTGGATATCCGTTCGTTTTATGACTCAGTGGGAAAAAGCTGTTGGAACTTAGCTTGTGTTTCTGTTACCCACTTTTGTTCCTTTGGCGTGATCGCTGTGAAAATCTATAAGCGCCTTTTTTTTTTTTAATATTATAATATTTTAATTTTAAATCTAATTCCTCTATCCAAAAGCCCCGAGGACCCGAGGTTGTTTTCCCCATTCTTTACCTAATCCACCCGATGCTATACAATGAACGGCTATGAGATCATCGGGAGATCTCGTTGGAATTGGACTTGGATAGGCCCCTCATTTCTCCGTAGATGGGTAAGGGATAAATTAGTATATAAAGTACGGGTAAGTCGCTATATCCGGTGGGTTCAATTTTTATTTTTATTTAAAGAAAGTTACGAGAAAGAATCCGCCATTACCTCCAAGCATCAATAATATTAATTGAAATTGCTTGGCTATCTTATTCCAAAATCTCCAAATTCCTTGGATCCGCGTGAGAGAGTCCGGTGTACCGGTGAGACTTGTGACGGTAACCTGGTAAGTACTCGTTACCTCATCCTGCGTGTCAGCTACTTCGCCCCGGAAAGTACCTGTGACCTTCAAATGTTGCAGATCCATGAACTTTCCCCTCCTTTTATCTATCCCACCTCCCTCTTTTTTTTTTTTTCTTCTTCTCTACTTTCCTCAAATTCCCCCTATCCTCATCTTCCTTGATTTCACAAAATCCGAGGAATCCATTGCTTATCCTGACTTTGTTGCCTAGTGCGAGCAATTGCGCTTGCGTTCTGCCGAAATCGGCCTGGGGTAAACTATCCAGAGCTTCAGAAGCCCAAATTAACCGTCAGTCCGCCCCGCGCAAAACATTTCCCTTTCATTTTCCCACTTTCCCTTTCCCTATTCCATCTCAATTATCCCCAGGTCACTGGGGTCCAATTGAGTTTTCCGGAATTATTTAAATTAACACGTTTCAAAATCATTTCAGTTCTCTATTTCCCCTAATATCCCATCCTTCCCCACGTCACAATGTCTGCCCCGCACCGTCAACCCGAGGAGGCAGTCGATGAGTCCGAGTTCATCGAGGACCACCACGAACACCACCATGACTCCGTTCACCGTCGCCTGCGGGCAAACTCCACCATTATGCACTTCCAGAAGATTCTCGTAGCCAACCGTGGTGAAATCCCCATTCGCATCTTCCGTACAGCCCACGAGCTGTCCCTGCAGACAGTCGCTGTCTACTCACACGAGGATCGTCTGTCTATGCATCGTCAGAAGGCCGATGAGGCTTATATGATCGGCCAACGGGGTCAATTTACTCCCGTCGGTGCTTACTTGGCGGGTGATGAGATCATCAAGATCGCCCAAGAGCACGGTGTGCACTTGATCCACCCTGGCTACGGTTTCCTGTCGGAGAATGCCGGATTTGCCCGAAATGTCGAAAAGGCGGGCATCGTTTTCGTGGGCCCGACCGCCGACACCATCGATGCACTGGGTGACAAGGTTTCCGCTCGCCGGTTGGCGATCAAGTGCGGTGTCCCGGTTGTTCCCGGTACGGAAGGCCCCGTCGAGCGCTTTGAGGAGGTCAAGTCCTTCACTGATGAGTATGGCTTCCCCATTATTATTAAGGCTGCCTTTGGCGGTGGTGGCCGCGGTATGCGTGTCGTCCGTAACCAGAGCGAGCTGCGGGACTCCTTTGAGCGTGCTACCTCTGAGGCTCGCTCCGCCTTCGGTAACGGAACCGTCTTTGTTGAGCGCTTCCTCGACAAACCCAAGCACATTGAGGTTCAGTTGCTCGGTGATAACCAGGGCAACGTGGTTCACCTGTTCGAGCGTGACTGCTCTGTTCAGCGTCGTCACCAGAAGGTCGTTGAGATTGCTCCGGCCAAGGACTTGCCCATCAATGTCCGTGACCAGATTCTGTCCGACGCCGTGAAGTTGGCCAAGTCCGTCAAGTACCGCAACGCTGGTACTGCTGAGTTCTTGGTGGACCAACAGAACCGCCACTACTTCATTGAGATCAACCCTCGTATTCAGGTCGAGCACACCATCACCGAGGAGATTACTGGTATCGATATTGTCGCTGCTCAGATCCAGATTGCTGCCGGTGCTACTCTGGAGCAGCTTGGTCTGACCCAGGACCGCATCTCCACCCGTGGTTTTGCCATCCAATGTCGTATCACCACTGAAGATCCCTCCAAGGGCTTCTCCCCCGATACCGGTAAGATTGAGGTCTACCGCTCCGCCGGTGGTAACGGTGTCCGTCTTGATGGTGGTAACGGTTTTGCCGGTGCTATCATTACTCCTCACTACGACTCCATGCTGGTCAAGTGTACCTGCCGTGGTTCCACATACGAAATTGCCCGCCGCAAGGTCCTGCGTGCCTTGGTCGAGTTCCGTATCCGTGGTGTTAAGACCAACATTCCTTTCCTTGCCTCTTTGCTGAGCCACCCCACTTTCATCGATGGTACTTGCTGGACTACTTTCATCGATGACACCCCCGAGCTGTTTGCCTTGGTCAGCTCTCAGAACCGTGCCCAGAAGCTGCTGGCTTACCTGGGTGATGTCGCTGTCAACGGTAGCAGCATCAAGGGCCAGATTGGCGAGCCTAAGTTGAAGGTCGACATTATCAAGCCCATTCTTAAGGATGCCTCTGGTGCCCCCATCGACGTTTCCCAGCCCTGCTCTAAGGGATGGAAGCAGATTCTTGACAGCGAGGGCCCCGCTGCCTGGGCCAAGGCTGTGCGTGCCAACAAGGGCTGCCTGATCATGGACACCACCTGGCGTGATGCCCACCAGTCGCTCCTGGCCACTCGTGTGCGTACCATTGATATGTTGAACATTGCCCACGAGACCAGCCACGCTCTCCAGAACGCTTACTCTCTGGAGTGCTGGGGTGGTGCTACCTTCGATGTGGCCATGCGTTTCCTCTACGAGGACCCCTGGGACCGCCTGCGCAAGCTCCGCAAGGCCGTTCCCAACATCCCCTTCCAGATGTTGCTGCGTGGTGCCAACGGTGTTGCCTACTCCTCCCTTCCCGATAATGCCATCTACCACTTCTGTTTGCAGGCCAAGAAGTACGGTGTTGACATCTTCCGTGTCTTTGACGCTCTCAACGACGTTGACCAGCTCGAGGTCGGTATCAAGGCTGTCCAGCAGGCCGGTGGTGTGGTTGAGGCCACCATCTGTTACAGTGGTGACATGCTGAACCCCGCCAAGAAGTACAACTTGGAGTACTACTTGGCTCTGGTTGAGCGTATTGTCAAGATGGGTACTCACAGTCTTGGTATCAAGGATATGGCTGGTGTGCTGAAGCCCCAGGCTGCCCGTCTCCTGGTTGGTGCCATCCGCGAGCGCTACCCCGACCTCCCCATCCACGTTCACACTCACGACTCTGCCGGTACCGGTGTTGCTTCGATGATTGCCTGCGCCCAGGCTGGCGCTGACGCCGTCGATGCCGCCACCGACAGCCTGTCTGGTATGACCTCCCAGCCCAGCATCGGTGCCATCTTGGCCTCGCTCCAGGGCACCGAGCAGGACCCCAAGCTTGACTTGGCTCACGTCCGCGCTCTTGACACCTACTGGGCTCAGCTCCGTCTGCTCTACTCTCCCTTCGAGGCTGGTCTCACTGGCCCCGACCCGGAGGTCTACGAGCACGAGATCCCCGGTGGTCAGCTCACCAACCTGATCTTCCAGGCCAGCCAGCTCGGTCTTGGTCAGCAGTGGGCCGAGACCAAGAAGGCCTACGAGGCCGCCAACGACTTGCTCGGTGACATCGTCAAGGTCACCCCGACCTCCAAGGTCGTTGGTGATCTGGCCCAGTTCATGGTGTCCAACAAGCTGAGCTCCGAGGACGTTGTCGAACGCGCTGGCGAGCTCGACTTCCCCGGCTCCGTCCTGGAGTTCCTTGAGGGTCTGATGGGTCAGCCCTTCGGTGGCTTCCCCGAGCCCCTCCGCTCCCGAGCCCTGCGTGACCGCCGCAAGCTCGACAAGCGCCCCGGTCTCTACCTTGAGCCTCTGGACCTTATCCAGATCAAGAAGGACATCCGCGAGAAGTTCGGCTCCGCCACCGAGTGTGACGTCGCCTCCTACGCCATGTACCCCAAGGTCTTCGAGGACTACCGCAAGTTCGTCGCCAAGTACGGTGACCTTTCCGTCCTGCCCACTCGCTTCTTCCTGGCCCGTCCCGAGATCAACGAGGAGTTCCACGTCGAGCTGGAGCAGGGTAAGGTGCTGATCCTCAAGTTGCTGGCCATTGGTCCTCTCTCCGAGCAGACCGGCCAGCGTGAGGTCTTCTACGAAGTCAACGGTGAAGTTCGCCAGGTCGCCGTCGACGACCACAAGGCCTCCGTCGACAACATTGCCCGTCCCAAGGCCGACGCCGCGGACAGCAGCCAGGTTGGCGCGCCCATGAGCGGTGTTGTCGTTGAAATCCGTGTCCACGACGGCCACGAGGTGAAGAAGGGTGACCCCATTGCGGTGCTGAGCGCCATGAAGATGGTAAGTGAAATTCTATACACCCTTCCAATTTGCAACATTTTTCTTTCTATGATACTTTTTACTAACAATTATTCCAGGAAATGGTCATCTCCGCCCCTCACAGTGGTAAGGTCGAAGGCCTCCAAGTCAAGGAGGGCGACTCCGTTGACGGCCAAGACTTGATCTGCAAGATCGGCAAGGCTTAATTGTCTAAAAGTTGTGTATGAGATGAGATGTGCATGACTGTTGCGCAAAGATGTGTGAATGATAGCTTCTAGCGTTATTAGTTTGTTTTTTGGTTACTTTTCCTGCGGGATCTTTCTTTTGGGCTGTTTCTTTCCTGGCCTTGGTTATGTTATTTTTTTCTGGGGTTCAAATTTTTTTGGTTACTGTCATCGTCCGAGACGAATGGATAATTTTCAAATATCTAAATCTCCTCAAGTCCGTCATAGCATATAGCTCTGTAGATTATGTACCAGGGCTCCAAAGGCCGTCCAGTCAATGATAGCATTTGGATTTGAATCGAAGTATCCAGATGTCCATTGCAGCAGTTGATTGCGATGGTATTCAAATGTTGTTTCCAATATTCAAGTAAATAGACTGATCTACAAACACGTACGTTATACCTCAAGTGCAAGTACCTCCCTAGGTCGAGGCTCAAAGTACTCAGCACTTGAGAGCTAAATGTAAGGTGAATACCATCAACAATACATGTCCTCACACATGCCTACTAGTAATACCCATATGGATCTATATCTTCACCATATAATGCAGTTCTTCCATTCAATTCATCATTCAAATGCGTAGTACATAACCAGATAACCAATCAAAGCATTTCATAATACACCGTATAAAAAACAACAACAGAAACATCACAAGACCAAAAGCAGACCATCAGACCATCTCAACATCGGACCAATTTTCAATCCAAATTTTCATGTCTTAATTCCAAGTCCATCACTTATCTCCCCGAGTATACCCATTCCACAACTTCGAAAAGTATCCTCCCTGCGCCTGCTGCTCGTTCCAACTCGCCCGACGCCCCGCCATAGTCGGGTCCACCGACTCCCGCTTCTGAGTATGCAGATTGGAAAAGAGGCCGCCGCCACTGCCGGACGAGGCGCTCGAGCGTCGACGCTCGCTAATGCTCGGGATGGGCGGGGAGCCGGCCGCGTTCGTGGTGCCGGCCGCGGCGTTGGCGGCGGCGGAGTTCGAGCTCGTGGAGGCGTCGGAGCCCTGTAATTATCAGATATCAGATATCAGCTATCAGCTAACTACTGGTATGTATGGGCTTGCTTCGTCAGGCAGGGCTTACCTTGCGGGCATTCAGGTTCGCCATCATCTCCGGCGTCAGAGCCCACGGTGCGCGGGAGGTAGGACCCTTTGCACCGCCGGCTGTCCAGACGTTGTGGTGCTCGTGGCGATCGCCTGCTATGCCGTGCCAGTGGCGGCGTTCGTTGTCGGACATGTTGTCGGACATGTTCGAGTATTCAAAGAGGGCAAGGTCCGTTTTTGAGGCTTGTATTGATTGCTTTTCCTGTTCCTTGTGGTAGTAGGAACGGGGTGTAGGCTTAGTAGAGAGTGGGTTTGAGATGTTAGTTTTCTTAGTAGGATTTAATTGTAGAGATGATGAGGAGAAAATGAAATTAATTCGGAAGGGAGTCATGAGTTGGGGGATGGGTGCGGAGTCGAAGACGTCATGGGGGATATGTTTGGGTTGGGGGGGTGGGATCCATGGATGGGGTGGTGTCGTGGTGTAGAGATCGAGATTGATCTTGGACATTGGAAGGGAGTTACGTGTGTAGATGGTAATAACAAGAGAATAAACATTTGAAGGATAAGGGAGAGAGCTGAGGAGAAGAGATGGAGACATACTAGTACCGTTGTTTGTTGGTGTATGGGTAAAAGAGATCGGAAGGATTTTGTGGGATGAAAGCGACTTAAATATGGGGATGACCGATCTATCAGTTATTTTTTGAATGCTACTAGTAACTACCATTTGAATGACTACTAGTACCGTATGTGGTATGTAGCAGCAGTAGCTTTCCCCTGCTCTAGAAGTGGGAATACGGTAAATAACCCCAGACTTGGTCAGGCGATCACTGTGAAACCACGCCATTATTGGTAAAAGACAAAGAGAGTCGGCCAGAGGCAGGTCTGGATCAAGCTCCTCTCAATCCCACCACTGAAATGCACATGAATCATTTCCGGGGCATCTGGCGAGTCAGAGTGCGCATTAGATGGGCCGTCAGCGTGGGGCTGCAGCTTGACGTAACCAAGAATGCGGGGAAAGCTGGAAAGCAGTGGAAAGTAGCGATGCCAATCAACTTGTGCGTACCAAATCTCTACTAGTATTTACTCAGTACAGTGTCATGTTCTCCATACCAGAAGTACCGAGTAACCCCGCACTTTTTCAAATGTACATAGTACTAGTTGTACTAAAATGCACTAGTGGGGCGATCATGTTTCAGGTTGATTCTAAGCTTGGTATATGGTCTTGCCTACGCAGGAAGTTGCACTTCTGTGAGCTCATTGGTTTCCATCAATCTTGATTAATTGAGTTTGACAGGAACGAATTATAAAGGAGGGCAGGTTTGTACAGTTCAGGTTCTTGCCTCGAGAAGAAGACCATATAGTAGCAGCTTGAGGATGAACAGGGGCTGGTGGTGTAAAGACCATAGTATATACATATGTTCGATGTTGATTTAAAAGATGCGAATCGCCAAGCCTGCTACAATTGATTGATCGCTCTATTTATGTACGGTTCAGCCTGGTACTATGAACAAAGAAGCCTGCACATGTGAGCACATTTAACTCTCTACTACTAGTACGCTTCCTGATCCTTGCACGTGTTTTCCACTTATCTTTACCTCAGCATCTCTGCGTTGCCATGTGTGAGTTTCACGTCCTTCCCCTTGGCTTCATGGACGGAATGCAACCAGATCATGCACTAACATCTTCGACCCAGCTTCGTTCCAGCAGAATTTCGGACGTCGACATCTGTCACCAGATACAGCAAGGTCATTGGGCCTTAATGAATATGGAAACCCCAGACTGGACGATTTTTCAACTCCTTTCGCATGCGCTCTATTAGATGAGGTGCCCGTTCGAGATGTCAAATGGCGCTCCACCGAGAAGATGAAGGTTCGAACCTACGCAAACAAACTGGCTGCTCTCGCCTACCAAGTTGGAATCGAAGTGGGCTCTCCATGCGACTGCTGTCAAAAATTAACAGGTCCCTTTGCTACTTGTGTGGTTGTCATTACGAAGTCCAATAAGCTGTTATGGGAGGGGGCTTGCGCATCATGCGCATACCTCAGCAGAATGAAGTCTTGTTCTTTCCGGACTTATGGAGCTTTGCCCCGGGAAATATTGGCTCGGCTTTCACGGATTCAGTCGGATGATCCTCGCCTTGAAGATTACGAGGGCGCATCTGAGGCTGATTCCGAAGCAGCTTCTGCTTCTGCAGAGTCTTCCTCATATGATTGGACACCTGGTTCTCCTGGACCTTCCTCGGAAGTTGCTGCTCGCCTTGAATCAAATAATCAATTTCCAAGAAGAACTACCATGGAGATAGATGTCGCACTTTCCCCAGCAGGCCCTGCTCACCTTGAGGTATCTGCCACAGAAACCCCAGTCTCATCGGAAGCTGCTCGTATCAAGGTGTCTTCCTCAAGTAATGCATCACCAAATTTGACTTCCGGAAATGCATATTTCGTTGCAATTGCTGATGACCTCGGAACGTCTTCGAACAATCCGCTACCGTTTCTTTCGCCGCGTCCTACCACTGATAATTCCATGACCACCCCCTTCCAACCTATTTTTGCATCATCCTCGCGAACTGTTCGTACTTCCGCGGGTCCTGATTATCCCGACACTTGGTATAAATCCCCGCTTGATGATCACAAGGTATATACCGCCGCAAATCGCGGGGATATAAAACCATTAATGGAGGCGTACAAGGCTATGTCAGTCATAGAAGAGCGACTGAAGTATGATCGTCGCCGCATCGAACGTACTCTGATCCAAAAGGGGGCATTGGTCGAAAGAGACATAAGGGAGCTTGAGGAGCGAAACCCTTGGGCTGAGGACGATGATGAACCTCGCAATTCTAGGTTTGAAGAGCGCTTTCCTGATCGTCATAAACGTCGCCGTTACTTCTAGCGGGATTGCTTGGTCTTTGAACGCCCAGACAATGGCATGGTCAGGCGAGCATTTGCAGCCCTTGGCAGTCTGCGGTCATATGCAATGGACCCAAGCTCACGGGGCGACCTGGAAAAGTTCCGAGAGCTTTACTTTGGAGTTGATTCTATCGGTCCACCCGACTCTATCTTCGCCAAAACGCAAAACGAAATTATTCTCGCGCATATCCTCATAAGACCTCATTTTTTTGCGTTCTGTCGCAAATCGCGCAACAAGCGATACGAAACATGCAATACGCAAAACGCAAAACGCAAAACGCAAAACGATATTTCTCGCGCATATTCTCACAAAAGAATCAAGTCATATACAGGTCAGATGCCTTGAGTGGTGCCCTGAATACAAGGTCAAAACTGCCCCAGAGCTCGACTTCCCGCCGTGACCAACAAACAACTCTTCACCGCTGGCTGGCCCTTTGGTCAACCTACGGCGACTTTGACTGGTACCACAGACAGTACCACCATGATGATGCGAAGCTCACCTGCTCCTGCGGCAGGCATAAGAGCCCAGAGCCCATCGCCCTCTGCCACTAGGCGTGGGGGCTGATGGAAGGGTGGCCGCTACGGCCGCAAACCCCCTCACATCTACTGTTGCGATTTCTTCGGGCTCTCACCTCTGGGGACTTCGCAGCACTCCTGCAGTATACGGCGTTCTACGCCCGTATTCTGCACCCGGTAGCTCGCTACCAACTCTCATTCTCTCTTTTCTCTCCCCCTCTCATACTCCCATTATCTCTCGTCTGAGCATCGGTCCGACTCAAAGCTCAGGAATCAATGCAAGGCAGACTGGGTGTTTAGGCCGGACTTTACAACAAACGAAGTTGTGCGCCGGTATAGCCTCCTTTTCTCTCATACGTGAGGTGATTTCCTCAGCGTGGAAGTTACGGAAGCTTTTGGTTTTCTTTCCCGCTCGCGTGTTGTCTAACTGTGTTGTGTGAGATTTTCGGACTGGTCTGGCAGGATTACGGAGTATGAGTACTTTCAAGTTTACTTGGAGGGATTTTCATTGGTCATCGACTCATCCCCATTTTGATGTAGTTATTTTATTATGCTTATGCCATTGTGATTCATTTCGAGAACATTTTATGAACGTAGATGGTTCTCGTCAGCTAGATCTCCCCTTATCGTTTTGTGATTTTGTGGAATCGCAGTGGATTTTTGACCTAAGTCAACTATGGCGGATCCTCTCTTGGCCATCTATACCCCGGGAAATACTAGTAAGATCTAATAATAGATCTTGATGACCCTAGAGCCCGTGTTGAACTGGCGCTGGAGGCTGTCCATTGATTGTGGATGCTTGGGGTGGCTGCGTTTGGTATAGTAGTTTCCCTGGTGGGATATCTGCAATTTCGAGTGGGGTTGAATTTGGTGGGCTGGTCGAGGAGATAAAAGATGGGTATCTCAGTCTACGTACGATTACAGATTACGGAGACTACTGCTACGCAAAGAAAGCACACCAGGTGTAGACAGTAACGGACAAGATAGGCCAAGGTGGTACTCATCTCCTAGGACAAATCCCGGAGATAGAGACCGACTCTTTGACAGGGCGAACCCAAGTCAAGCGAGTCATGGTGATACTGGACCGAAGTCCAGTATCAACCAACGTCTTTTCGACAATGGTTATGCGGAGTTCAACACCTTTCGTGTAGCCTTCATTGTGAAAAGGGAATGTGCTTTGTGCAAATGTAGTGAATTCATGTCTCTAACACGCCTATCCTGGTTGCCGTGATAGAAAAAAAATAAAAGGGTTCAGAACACCATATCCGACGCAGAGATCAGGAGCCCGGCCGGGTTGATTCTCATCCTGGGCCGAGTTTTTTGTTTTCTTTTCGGGAGGGAGAATCGTAAATCACAAGATTTCAATCACCCAACTTTCCATGAGGCGTTTACCGGATGATACCGTCGAAGCGGTTCTTGAACCACTTCATGGTCTCGGTGGCGTTGATCTTGTGGTTGACACCGATGGAGGACTTGCAGCGGCGACGCTTGGCAACACGCTCACCGGGGCGGGTCCTAATTGGAAAGAAAAAAGAATTGTCAATAATGCTCCTTTGTCATCTCTAACCTTGTCGTTTTTTAATCCGGGTTTCCTGTCACTCACATGCAGCAGTAGAAGTCCATTCCGTAGATACCGATACCGGGGTCGTACTTGATACCCAAGTCGATGTGCTCGGAGATACCGAATCCGAAGTTACCGGTCTCGGAGAAGTTGCGCTTGCGGAGCTCGTACTCCTTGACCTTGAGGCCACGCTCGAGAATCTCCTCAGCCTTGGGGCCACGGACGGTGACGTGGACGGAGATCTTCTCGTTACGACGGATACCGAAGGTACGGACGGTGTAACGGGCCTTGCTGTAGACGGGGGTCTGACCACTCAGCTGCTCCAGCACCTTGGCGGCACGGGTAAGTCTATCACCAGACTCGCCGACAGAGATGTTCAGCACGAGCTTCTGGATGCGCAGCTCGCGCATGGGGTTCGCGCTCTTGTCCTTTCCGTCCGACTGCATTTCTGTTAGAATGTGTGTTGTGCGATTGGGAATAGTGGTTGTGGTGTTAACATACCATGGCGACTGGTGTGTGGGTAGGCGTGAGGGTGGTTGTCGACGAGATGGAGAACTTGCGAAAAGCACAAAAGCGGTTTGTGTGGGCTCCGCAATCACGGGATCTAGGTCACGGGAAGTCGGAAGCGAGCCCTGTAGTCACATGACCTAGCAACTTAAAAGAGTTAAAGTTCAGAGTCACATGATATGCCTAATTGAAATGCTGATCTAATCACAATTATGTCAAGGCGGTGTGTTCGTACGTATACTTAGCAGTACACTACTATGACCTCGCATATTCTAGGACCTTAACGAAGGTGCCAAAACAGGAACTAGGCAAAGAAGAAAAATGATACAACTGAAATACTTACAAATGTGCTCGAGAATAGTAATAATGTAAGAATCAGGGTCTTGTGTCGGGAGGACTTGGCACATCGGTAGTATGTAGTTTGCCTGCTAGTGCAAGTCAGATGAGCTGACCCATTGTGTCTTTATCTAAAGACAAAAGTCAAGCTGGAACAGAATTGAAGATTAAATCCAATCGTCTAGACCCTTTCAAGGGATTCCAGGAAGTTGGTTTAGGTGTGCTGTGCTGTATGACGTTACAGCCTGAATCCACAGGCACCAACACGTGAAATTACATAACGTCGCGACTCGGTGAAGTGACCTTGCGCAGTTATCAAGAGCTAAGCTTTCTCGACGGATCACGCGCCTCGCTCGCTCGATCTACTTACCAAGAGAATAGTCCAACTGTCTCTCTTGCAAATTTTTTGAGTCCTTTGAGTTGCATTCGTGCACTTTACAGTTCATAATGGCCGCCAACAACAAGGGCAAGATGGTAAGTCTCTCCAATTCTTCTGTGCAATACCGGACTATGCTATATGCACCGAATGACAGTCGCTAACTTCTTTTGTCTAGGCCAACCTCGTAAGTTCGACTGAAAAGATACAACCATACTCCAATTGGCTCCTCTGACAAGTCTCCCAGATCAACTACCGGATGAGAGTTACGCTCAACGATGGTCGCCAAATGACCGGCCAGATGCTGGCCTTCGATAAGGTACGACTTATATCTCTACCAGCGTATATTCCTGGCATGTACTGACATCATTGCGTTTTTCTCTCTCACAGCACATGAACCTTGTTCTCGCCGACACAGAAGAATTCCGTCGCATCAAGCGGAAGTCAAAGCCCGCCGCTGGCTCCACTGCCACCCCACAGGTCGAAGCGGAGGAGAAACGAACCCTCGGTCTGACTATCGTGCGCGGTGCCCAGGTTGTTTCCTGCTCCGTCGACGGACCCCCTCCTGCCGATCCCTCTGCTCGTCTCGGTAACACTGGCCCCGGTATTGGTGCCGCTGCCACTCTCGCTGCCGGTCCTGGTGTCAGCAAGCCCGCTGGTCGTGGCCTGCCCATTGGACTCGGTGGTCCTGCTGCTGGTGTCGGTGGCCCACCTCCCCCCGGTGGCTTCGGTGGTTTCCCTCCCGGTGGTTTCCCCGGTGCGCCTCCTCCTGGATTCGCTGGTCGCGGAGGACCCCCAGGCGGACCTCGTAAGTTCTCTGGAATAATACCCTGATCACACTCATGGATACTGATTTATTCACTTCTTTAGCTGGATTCGCTCCCCCTCCTGGTTTCGTTCCCCCTGGTGCTCCTCGTAAGTTTGAGTCTTATCAATATCGGTTTTTCTTTTTTTGTCTCCTGCTAACGTATTCATATAGCGGGTGCTTTCCAACCTCCTCCCGGATTCCAGCCCCCGGGCCAGGGACGAGGATACCCCCCTCCAGGCTTTGGCGGCAGATGATTTAGGTGTACATCGAAGGAAGATTCCACTGTTAAAATTGGCGGCTTGTTTTCGCCTGGAAAGTTGTAGGCGCGGCTCAGGGCTAGGAGCGAACCAGACCTATGTCCAAGGAAATAGCACGCAAATCGGCTACATCAGCCCATAATCTATTGTTCCTAACCTTCAAAAGAAGATTGTACCTCCATATCTGTTTCCTCTTGCTTGCTTTGGCCTTGAATGTTCACATGTGCATGTTCGTGAATTGCAATATTTCTAGTAGGTATCTCTTCAGGTAGGTGCCGACCTCGAACCAATAATATGTGCTCATCTCAGAGTCCGGGACCTCTCACTCGGTTTTTTGGGTCGAATGTCACGGCTCAAATAAGCATATGGGTTAAACCACTCATGTTTCTTGATATCGCGCCTAGATAATGTCCTGATCTTATTGTCCTTACACTTCAGAGTTCCTCTACCTTTCCTGACTTGTCCGTCTTACCTTTCTTCCTTTCCCTTCCCTTTCTGCTGATACCAATTCTCCCTATCTTCTTATCCCAGTTCGTTTTCTTTGTCCGAACTAACAGGTATGATATCCATTTACTCCGCTCTGTATATTTCGCTAATCAGTTATGCAGATAGCGGTTCGAGAACCTCTGGATGCTCTTTAAGACTGTGAAGAGCTTGTTGTGCTAGACCTCGGGGCCACTGCACCCAACACGAGAAAAGCTAGCACGGCGCACACCTAAGGTCTGCCTGGCTTTGCTTTTTTCTTCGAAAGAATGTTAAGAAGAATCCAAGCATACAATATCCAAGGACTCGTTACCATCTCGCTGTATTCACTTACACAAATCTCGACAATTGGCTGCCAAATTCGACCGCATACAACGCCCTGTCTGGACTACGAGCTACGTCCCCCAGATATGGAGCGGCGAAGGAAAGACTCTGGTAAGCGTCACGGATACGTACCCAATTTTCACGGGGAATGCCGACAGCAACGGTGTACAAATACACTTGAACAATCCCGCCCCCAGCTACTGTCCTCTCCACACAAGTGGTATACGCCGTGTGCACTGGCAAGCATCTGTTCGCAGCAGTTCGTGGACGTGATTACTGGTTGAACTTCGACCATAGCCAGACGGAGACGCTCGCCAGGCGATGAACATATGTACAGTTATCCAAAGACTCTGTTTGACAGCTACATATTCTCATCAAGGCTATATATATCTACAGTGCATGTGCATGACAGACTCAGGTGGATCTATACGTTCAAAAGCTTTTTCAGTTTTGAATTGTCCAACTACACATGATTCGAGGCAACTACTATAAGGCGGCACAGTACCCGGCATACGACCTCAAACCATCAGTGAATTCTTTCGTCGCGGCGCATGCAGGTACGGGATGGACATCGGGAGAAGAGAAATACCTCTGAAGATTGTATTCAGTACCTACTCCAATCCATGAACCCTCTTTTCCAAAAAACACGATAAAATATGGTTTCATATATGTATTCTGCGATGACTACTAGCTTTAGAATGTGTTCGAAATAACTGTTGTAGTACATGGTCTCATTTTTGAATTTCCGAGTATGCATTTGGATTCCCGACGGTAGAAAGAAGCTCACCTGCATGATGGCATCGAATAGATTTTCTACAACGTACTTCTTCAATTTTTCATATCCGCTAATTCTATGCCCACGTGAGTTAGTCAAATAAAAAAACCTACTAGTTTTTCTATAAAAAAACGCAATTTAACCAACCCTAGAGTTAACGGAAATAAGCCGCTTGATATCCGACACCCACACGTGACCAACGGCCGACCCCGGTCAAGTCAATTCCACACCCGCAAGATCCCCAACCACAACTCACCGCGCCCTTACCCTCGATTGTCACTTGCATTCGTCGCCATGGCCGCTTTCATTAAGGCAATCAACGCCAAGATCCGCTCCAACAAGGTTGCGGATTATGTCTGCTCCACCCGTACGTTTCTCGAGCCCCAATTCTTCCCCCGAGTTTCCCGCCGTGCTTCCGGGACCGAGATCGGCTAGCTATGATACTGCACCTTGGAAGTCAGAACGCAAGAGATCAGCTTGTCCCAAGTGAATCGGAAATATCCGAATAAAACCCCAGACGGAAGCACAATGCGGGCGGCAACAAAATAAGCCGCAACTTTGTTCCTGGAAGTAGTTTGCTAATGACGATGCTTTATCGCAGACTTCTGGGGCCCCGTCTCCAACTTCGGTATCCCCTTCGCCGCTGTGATGGATACCCAGAAGGATCCTGAGATGTACGTCCGATATAACCGATGCATTATTCCCAGACTAGTTCCGTTTCAATCGGAAGCTGGTTTCATATCCTTCACCTTGGGATATCCGTGTTAGAGATAAAGACTGTGACTAATACCGTTACCCTGCGCAGTATCTCCGGTACCATGACTGGCGCCCTTATTGTTTACGCTGTCACCTTCATGCGCTACTCCCTCGCCATCACCCCCAAGAACTACCTGCTCTTCGCCTGCCATTTGACCAACTTCGGCGCCCAGACTACCCAGGGATACCGGTATCTGGCTTACTGGAAGTACGTGACACCGATAAACATATGGTGGATGTCGGCATGGATATACGTCCATGTGCATCTACTACCAAATTGATTGTTGACAATACTGACATGGTTTAATTGTTTTAGCTGGGGAGGCCGAGAAGCTCAGCTTGCTGAGAAGGCCAAGCAGGGCAGCATTGTTGCTGAGGGCGGTTCCGCTTAAAATCTTCATCCTTAGTTGATATTTGTTTGGCTCGCTCGTCTTTTACCTTGGTATGCTGCATTGTACCTCGATTCTGTATTTGTGCAAGCTTCTGCCTTATCTTGAGTGACTGAAGTTAGAAAATTACTAGAAGAGGAGGATGGGAGGTATTTAGTGCGGTTTCTTAAGGAGAGGATTATAGAGACAAATATCTGATAGGGGGGTTTGGCTGGCAAGTGCACTGACTTCGTTCAAAAGGTGCAATGTGCTTGTCTGGTCACTGTACATAGACTACTAAATTGAATCATTTCGTCCAGAACTTTTTATTGACGTATGTATAAAAATGGATGCAATAAGGCATTCATTGGAATGAAAATCAGAAGAATTCGCTTTGAGGCATTTAGAAGGCAAGAGATATTTGTACAGGAGCCCATGCAACCCATAAAGCCCCCGAATAGATCGCCGAAATGAAAATCAAATACCGTGAATCATGTCTGCTCGCGGCTCATGCGAGAAAGAAGCATAAACAATGCTATGCCATCTAGTGTTGAAACGGCCAAAGGAAATTATTGAACAATACCAACATCAGCAAAAGCCAATTACTTAGAATCGCAATAGCCAGGGCTTTGGGGAACCTGGGCACCAATCCAGTTTTGGATAGTCAGCGATGTCGTGTAGATACAACCAATGACACCTAGAACAGTAAGGGCGATGTCGGCAAAAACCTGGCGCCGAGAACGGGCACAGGCGCGCAGGTGAAGAAGGGGCTATATCGGAAATTTGAAAATTAGTCTTCAGATCCGAAAACAATGGCAGGACAGTAACCGAAAAAAAACTTACAGGGTAAACGTAGATCAAAGGTACACACGCAAAGCTGCCGACAAGCGAAACGAACTTGTCCAGATCGTCGGCTCCGACCCAACCGACAAAGGCGCATAGAATCACCAAGAAGAAGCGGAAGGCATTCTTCTTCCACTTGATATACGGGTTATATTTGCCACTGCGAGTGAAGAGTTCGTTCTCCATGATACGAATGGCAGGGAAGAGCTGTAGAGGAGTACTCAGCAAGATGGCGAGCGAGTAAAGCAGCTGTACCACATTGACAAACTTGTCATCTTGAGGCAAGTTAAGCAAAATGACAGTCTTGGTGGCGGATCCGTAAGCCGCATAACTCAAAGCTCCTGCAGAAAGGAAGATGAGAGTAATGACGACCATGACACCAGCTAGGACTCCTGGGAACCGGTGGGGCTCTCTCATTGACTCCTGAATTGGGATGATGAGCCCAATTCCTTCATAAGTGAAGATTGCAGTTCCAATAAACATGGACCAGGTTGCGGGGTTGAAAGCCACAACATCTGAGATACCCCCATTGCCGATGAGAGTGCTGGCATCGTAATAGTAAATGTACAGCAAGCCCAGTAGAATGAATGCATCGGCAATAAGTGCAGTGAAACCAAGCTTGCTGATGTCGCGGATCAAGGAAAGGGGCAGGAAAATAACCAGTTGCAAGAGGATCAAGTACTTAAGATCAACGAAGGAGGTGCAGTTGCTCACAGCCTGCACAAATGCCTGCAGGTTTTGTGACACGAATACAATGTATGCGGCCACGAAACCAAGCTGACTGAGAACAATAGATCCAAGGATGATACGTCTCATGTGCTTTCCATACAAAATGCCGCCGATATCACCAAAAGAACCATCGATCTTCATGCGGGTATTAACCAGTAAGATAAAGGCATAGTAGCTGAGTAGTGAAACTCCGAGAAGAACCATGCTACTAAACAGCAAGCCTCCGTTCAAGAAAGCGCGGGGTAAGAAAAGAATGCCTGTACCGACAAAGGACTTGAGCAACAACATGACGGCACCAGTAACAGTTGTAGTACCGGGAGGTGCGCGCGCCTTGTGCTTCCGTTTCTTACGGCCTGCGTGGTCACCCTGAAGCAAGGCGGCGTCTTCTCCAGACTCTCTGCCATCATCTGGTTCATCCCAAGTACCAGAAGAGAAGTACTCATCTGGACCCAAGACCTCATCGTCCTCCTCCAGCTCCTCTCCTGCGAAGTGACCGTACATCGTCAAGAATTCCAAGAAGCTGGAAGTGGGGAGCTGATGCTGAGGTGGTGCCCCAGAGTTAGACCCTTGCACACTTCCACGGTGTGGGCTTCCCGCAGTCCTTCGCAGATAGTCTCGTCGGAATCCTCCTGGCACAAGAATTGTGTGGATATCCTCGGTCTCTGCCGATGGAGCTGGTCGGCTGACGCTGAAACTCTTGCTGCGTGCAAATCGGTTATCGGAGTCAGCATCTTCTGCCCACCGATAGACCTCTCGAGTCATGTCGCCTCCCTGCAGCTGCAGACTTGAGAAATGGTCTTCACCCATGCTAGTTCCAAGCTCCGACCCGGTCTCAACCAAATGTCTTTTCACCACCTCTGGATCCTCATTAGGAGCCGGGGAGTCGATACCATTTCTAGTGTCAAAGGATCCATATTGCGAAGCTATAGGTCGGTTTTCGAGGGCCGAGTGTATGACAGGCGATCCAGCTACTCGAGAGGGGGTGCCAAAATTCGGGGGCGAGCGACCAAGACTCTCCTGCAGTTGAGATGCAAGCATCGAGTGACCCGGCCCTGGAAGCGAGGAAAGATCGTTGACAGCTCGGAAATTGTGTTCGGAGGTGAGATTGGTGTTGTTGGTAATAATTGGTCGACTGCCTGGGATACCTTGTCGAGATGACAACGAGGTGCCTAAAGACGGAGAGGGAATAGGTGATGCCAACCGGGCCATCGAGGCCTGCCGAATGGTTCCATCCGGAGCAGGAGATGATGATCGAATTGACGATGCTGAAATTGGCATTGCCCTCGCTGGGTTCAGCGAGGAACTCTCGCCGTTATCTGTCATATTGAATGTTTGTTCCTCCTGATCAGGATCCGGGGACAGGTATGGAAAAAGAAATGGGCATGAGGGAAAAGGGGCCTGCTAGTTATCAAGTAATCCAGGGCCGTGCATCTACTGGGAGAGCGTGAAAGTGAGTTATCGTGGTTGGTGGAAAGAGGCGAAGGAGGCCGATCGTCTCCAAGTGCGGGTGCGGTGGTCTTTGCACTGTTTGTCCCCTTTCTTCACGTCATCCCATCTATTGGATTAGACGCGCAGTGACGCAGGTGGTGATTCTGCTTCTTTTTTACCTCGATTATAGAAGACTGCTTGCTCACTTTGCTTTTTGATTTTATTTCGCCTTTTGTTCTTGACATACCCTCTAGGAGTGTGGGTGTTCATTTGTCCCTTATGCTCCTAGCGCAGTTGCACCGTTGCGTTTGACAGCTGAACCCGGGGACATTTCACACCCGCAATGTCTCGCCGACGCCCGAATTTCTCAACTCGAACAGCCGAAGAAGATGTCTCACGTCTCGACCCAAATGAGCCGGACTCCTCTGCTGGTGCTGGGTTTCTGTCCCTGATACCGGCTGTTTCACCCCGCCAACAGGAATCGAACATCACGGAGCCTGAGATTAATCAACAACCATGGTCTGCAAGCCCATTTCAAGGCCTGGGAAGCTGGTGGGCCGGGAAAAAAGACAATGGAAATACACAGGACACCAGCGGAGAAGCAGAGTCTCCTCATATGCCCCTCTCTGCAGCTCCTCTGCGCGATGCCAGTGCCGATAAGAAGGAAAGGAATGGACATCGTTCTCGATCGACGACTGAGGAGGCAAAGAAGCTTGGCACATTCTCTGGGGTATTTGTTCCTGTGACGCTCAATGTACTTAGTATTTTGATGTTCTTGCGCTTTGGGTTTGTCTTGGGCCAAGCAGGGTTGCTGGGAATACTAGGTAAGTTATCCCCAGTTTCAATACTATGGCCACAGCTGACCAAGACAAGGACTTCTTGCCGTGTCGTACACAATCAACTTGGTAACAACGATGTCTCTGTCTGCCATCGCAACAAACGGTACTGTTCGAGGCGGAGGTGCCTACTATTTGATCTCCCGATCCCTCGGCCCTGAATTTGGTGGGTCCATTGGGATAGTGTTCTACATGGGCTACGTCTTCAACACCGGTATGAATGCGGTCGGCTTGGTCGACTGTTTCTACCAAAACTTTGGTAGTGTATCCGGCAACTGGGCAAATTTCCTCCAGGAGGGCTTTTGGTGGTCATATCTCTGGGGGACGATTATATTGGTTGTCTGTACTGCAATTTGCTTTGCAGGTAGCTCTCTCTTCGCGAGAGCTAGCAATGGCCTGTTAATCATTCTCCTTGTGGCAACTTTCAGCATCCCGATATCCGCCATTTTCATGAAGCCATTCATCCGAGAAGGCGTGGAGTTTACTGGGTTGAGCTTGCAGACCCTTGTTGGAAATCTCAAACCAAACCTTACTAGAGGTGCTGCAGGAAGTCAGATAAAAGGGAGAGAAAACTTTCAGGATCTCTTTGGCATTTTGTTCCCCGCAACAGCGGGTATCTTTGCGTAAGTACTAAGCCCTGCCATGGAGGAGTTCCGCTCGCTGACCATTTACCAGGGGAGCGAGTATGTCGGGTGACCTCAAGAACCCAAGCAAAGCAATCCCCAAGGGTACCTTGGCTGGCTTGGGTCTGACATTTTTCACATACACACTGGTGATCCTTTCAATGGCTGCCTCCATTACAAGGCAGTCCTTCTATAACAATGTGAACGTAATCCAGGTCGTAAGTTGTACTATGCTGTATCTTTTTTCCAATCTTGTCTCACCACATTACAGGTCAATTATTCCGATACCATCATCCTAATGGGGGAGTTTGCCACTAGCTTCTTCTCCGCACTAATGGGTGTCACTGGATCAGCCAAGCTTCTCCAGGCGATTGCTCGAGATAGTCTCGTTCCCGGTATCAAAATATTTGGTCAGGGTACAAAGAAGAATGACGAGCCTATCTATGCAATCATTGTGACCTTCATCTTCGCACAGATTACGATGTTGTTCGACATCAATCGCATCGCCTCTTTTGTGACCATGGTATACTTGATGACTTTTCTAGTCACTAATCTGGCCTGTTTCCTGCTGAAGATTGGATCTGCGCCTAATTTCAGGCCATCTTTTCATTACTTTAACTGGCAAACAGCTGCAACGGGAACGCTGGTAAGCGGCGTCAGCATGTACTTTGTGGATGGTTTATATGCCACCGGCTGCGTCAGTATCCTGTTCATCCTATTCCTGCTGATCCACTACACATCGCCGCCCAAGCCCTGGGGAGACGTCAGCCAGAGTTTGATCTATCATCAGGTGCGCAAATATCTTTTGCGTCTACGCCAGGAACACGTCAAATTTTGGCGGCCACAGATTCTGTTATTTGTGAGCGACCTTGATCAACAATACAAGATGGTCTCCTTCTGCAACTCTCTGAAAAAAGGTGCATTATTTGTCTTAGGTCATGTCATTGTTACCGAAGACTTCTCAACAGCTGTTCCGGAGGCCCGTCGACAGCAAACCATATGGACGAAGATTGTCGAATACTCCAAGATCAAGGCTTTTGTCAACATTGCCATTGCCCCTACCGCAGAATGGGGTATGCGAAACATTGTTCTTAACTCAGGACTTGGTGGCATGCGACCGAATATCGTCGTCATTGATCAATTTCGAGAGGATCAGTCTTTGGTGGAGACGTTATCATTGAGCAGTAACACCAAATCGAGACGACGCTCGTCAGCCTTTGGCTCCAGACGAGATGTACCAGACGAATCCGGAATTCCAGTCAAGCCCATGAGTAACCAGGGTTACGTGACAGTTCTTGAGGATCTTTTGTTTAAACTCCGGATCAATGTTGCAGTGGCAAAGGGATTCGAAGACTTGGAGCTGCCGGATCCTAAAGGTCGCCATACAAAGAAATATATCGATCTCTGGCCTATCCAGATGTCAGCGGAGCTCGGGGCCGATACTCAAAGCAAGCAAAATGTGTTGACAACCAACTTTGACACCTACACACTGATTCTGCAATTGGGTTGTATTCTCAACACTGTTCCATCATGGAAGAAGACATATCGATTGCGGGTAGCGGTGTTTGTCGAGTATGAAACAGACGTGGAGGATGAAAGAGGCCGGGTCGAGGCTCTTCTTGATAAGCTGCGAATCGAAGCCGAAGTTCTTGTCTTCTGGCTTGCCTGTGGAGACCTGAAGGCGTACCGCATAATCGTCAATGGAGACACTACTCCAGAGGTGGCAGATGGTCAAAGCCATGTTGATTCTGCTCTCCAGGACGAGGAATGGTGGCAGGGGGTCTTGCGAGCTCGCAACCATTCAGAAAGCCAGGCGGTAGATGCAGTCAATGATGAGATGCGGCTGGAGAGAGCAGCCACCTGGCAACTACCTTCGAGCATCGATAGCAGGAGCCGGCCATTCCAACAGGTAACCGGACTAAGGAGACTGATCCAATCTAACGGACGCAGACGTTCCGTGTCCAGTTTTAGGGCATTGGGAGGGGTCAACCTTGGAATGCAAACCCATCGTTTATTGGATGCCTTTGTTGATTACGATGGGGATACATCGAGCACTGAAAGCAGCGATGACAGCGATTTGGATGCGTACATCAGCGACCCTGAGATTGACGATGAGGTCCGCCATGAAGATGTGGCTAGCAGTCGGAATAACTCTTCCCAGTTGCTTGTCCGTTCCAAGAGTGACGATGTCCAGAGCTCTGGTGTCAGTCCATCAACTCGTCCTGTAGGACAGGACTTTGCATCCGCTATGGCAATCCCTTCAATAATCACCGACGAGAACGCATCCCCGAAAAGCAAATCACCCGCTCCAAACCGTCCTGGTATCAGCCGCTCTGCATCCAGCAACCGGTTCAGCTGTTCCCCAATTCCAGAAGCCAAGGTCAATGTCGGAGCGGAGGAAGCCGGCCCGTCAATAATGTTCGCGCAGAACGCATCACCTCCTCGCTTCGCAAAGCTTGACTCCATCTACGCACGGCGTCCATCTATTACCTCCCCCAGCGCACAGAGCGGCCAAACCGCGTCCGGGTTTCCCGGTTCTGCGTCAGTTCCGCTATCCTTCAACGATCTTCCTAGCCGAGCACAGCATCTTATTCTCAATGAGTTGATGGTTCAGCAAAGCAGTGAGACGGCAGTTATTTTTACGACTTTACCATCACCAGTGGAGGGAACATCTCTCCGTGAACAGGACAGTGCCTCATACTTGAGTGATTTAGAGGTACTATGGCAAGATTTGCCGCCGTGTCTGCTGGTTCACAGCAATAGCATGACGGTGACGATGAATCTATGAGACAACGACCATGTCTATATCTTTGTATCTAGCTAGCGTGATGATATCTATAGACAAATTGCATATACAGTTTTTTTTTTCCCGGGCATTTGCTAGCGAGCATCACATCAGATCAATGTTATTTGAACTTGGACTTCGAGAGTACTACTAGTGGGGATAGTACGAGACGGTATTGCTCTTGGAGATGTGACCCTGGTACTTACCTTATTCTGCACTGTGCATCGGGCTTCCCGAACGGATACTAGTCCTGCAAACTGCTGCATGTCAGAGCCGCCACCCGGAGATCAGCGGGGCTGACTGAACTCTACTATGGTGTATAATTTGAATTCCAACTCTTCCAACTGGTCCGGCTGAAGCTGAAGTGCTGAAGAAAGCGGCACAGCAAGCCCAAGTGAAATGGCAATTCTAGCCGACCTCATGATATCCGAGATTAAGCGAATTGTCGTGAACCCACCTGCCACCGGTATGCAGCTGAACATGATGCTCATGAGCGGCCTATTGGAAAAAGTGGGAAGATTCCCGAGACTTTGATTGGTTCCCGAGTTTCAATTAAAAATAAAAATCCACGAAAAGTTGGGGTTTAGCACCAATCATGACAAACCAGAAATCCCACGCCACTGATTGGCCATTGGCTCGTGCCCTGGTATACTCCGTAATTTGAATCACTGAAAATCCCCCGACTTCCTCTTTCCCTCTTGTCTCCCCAGTTCAATTCAAGAGCGCTCCAGGCAACCCCGTCATGCCAAGAGTTTCATAGCAATTGTTCTTTATACACTCTTTTCTACCCACCCTTCCCCCCCCCTTGCTGTGACTCTCAAAGAATATCACACCACCCCTGAATTTCAATACCGACCATGTCAACAATCAGCGAGGCGCAATTGAATGGCAATGTCGGTGGTTTAAATCCACAGCGTCGCCCGGTGGCCCATTTCCTCCCCGACGACATACAGAACGGACTCCTTTACCCCCCTGTGAACGGAAACGGTCACAGCAACGGATTTGACTCAGATCTCTCCGACGGCGGTTCCTCCACCGGCTCCCCCTCAGAAAACGGAACGAAAACACGCCGCCCAGCCATGTCTCGCAAGGCGTCATCCCCCATGGCCCCGACCTTTATGGTCTCTGCGCCTGGAAAAGTCATTATGTACGGCGAACACGCCGTCGTACACGGAAAGGCCGCCATGGCCGCCGCCATCTCCCTCCGATCCTACCTTCTCGTCACCACTCTCTCCAAATCACAGCGGACAATTACTCTCAACTTCAGGGATTTGGGATTGAAACACACTTGGGATATTGACACCCTTCCCTGGGATGTTTTCCACCGCGCCGATAAGAAGAAGTTTTATTACAGCCTAGTCACTTCTCTTGACGACGAACTCCTCCAAGCACTCGAACCCCACCTTAAACCCGTCTCAGCAGGTCTTCCGGAGGACCAGCGCAAGATTCACGTTAGCTCCGCCACCTCATTCCTCTACCTCTTCCTCTCTCTGGGTTCCCCACAAAGCGCTGGCGCCATTTACACTCTCCGATCAACCATCCCCACCGGCGCTGGACTAGGCAGCAGTGCCAGCGTATGCGTCTGTTTGAGTTCCGCTCTCTTGCTTCAGATTCGCACACTGGCTGGACCTCACCCCGATCAGCCACCGGATGAGGCCGAGACACAAATTGAACGAATCAACCGCTGGGCATTCGTGGGTGAGCTTTGCATTCATGGAAACCCTAGTGGAGTGGACAACACGGTCTCCGCAGGCGGAAAGGCTGTGTACTTCAAGCGAACCGATTACGAAAAGTCCCCCGAGGTCATCACACTTCCTACTTTCCCTGAATTGCCTCTCCTTATCGTCGATACCCAACAGACCCGTTCCACTGCGACTGAACTAGCAAAGGTTCGCGCTCTGAAAGACGCTCTTCCCGCCGTGACCGAATCAATTCTCAACTCTATTGATCAAGTCACATGCTCCGCGCGCGAAATGATTGATGCCCCAGGGTTCCAGGGTGATTCCAATGAGACAATGGCCAAATTTGGAACTCTGATTCGCATCAACCACGGCCTGCTTGTTTCTTTAGGTGTCTCTCACCCCCGCCTCGAGCGTGTTTGCGAGCTGGTCGAAACTGCCAACGTTGGATGGACCAAGTTGACTGGTGCTGGTGGTGGTGGCTGCACTATGACGCTTCTCCGCCCTGACGCTGACCCGGTTGCCGTTCAAACGCTCGTGAAGCAGCTTGCCGCCGAGGGTTTCAATAAATACCAGACCACTTTAGGTGGTGACGGTGTGGGTGTCCTCTACCCCGCCGTCCTGCGCAACGGCACCGACGAGGAGGGTGGTGAAGAGATCGACCAACAGAAATTCGAAGAGGCCGAAGGTCACATTGGAATTGAGCGTCTTGTGGGTGTCGCATTCCCCGAGAAGCGCGAAGGCTGGAAGTTCTGGAAACGTGCGGTTTAATATCCAACCTCTGCTTATCCCCCTTTCTAATTCTCCGACTTTGTTTCCCTTTCCTCTACACAACCACTGGACACTTAATAATCCTTCTATTTTCTTTTCATTTTTGAACCTGCCCTCCAATTTCGGTTTTCTATTATCGGTCCTGAGATGACTTTTTCTTCTTCTCCCATTCTTGTCTCATTCTTTGCACACATTGTTACCCCATATGCATTTAAACCCAATTTTTTATTGTGATCCTTGAGTTGATTGTGAACCTTGAGTCTGAGCATGATGTGAAAGCTATGACGACTGTTTCGGGTTTATCTCTTTGATCTATGATTTTATTGATTTGTTGGGTTATTGGAGGAAAGGCCCGCAATCCCCTTTGTCTTCGCATGAGCATGTCTTTTGGCGCATTGTGTCCGTTGGTTAGCTATGGGCAGTTTGAGATATCCACTAGTAATCTTGGAATAAATTTGGCTTATGATACTGATTGTCAACAGCCATTGAAGCAATGGTTCCGGAATTCTGCAACATTCTTTAGTTCTTCTATTCATCACAGATCCGGCGCATCCACAAGTGGATCCCGGGCAGAGCTGACTCAGATCTCAGACCCTTTTTATCGTAACTGCAGGCCCCTGCTTAACAAGACCATACCATGGCTTCGGTGGCATTTGCAAGCAAGGTAAAAAAAAAAGCTCTCCATCATGTATATACTGCCGGATAACTAACATCTATGTAGTTGAATACATCCAGGTTTAGCCTGTTGACCCGGCAAACCCGGAAACATGTCTTGATGCCACAAACTAGACGATTGGCTTATAAATGCTTCCAACGGCCTACAATCAGCAACCCAAACATACAACCAGGTCATACATTTCCATTGTCAACCAAGCTTTATACGACGCAGCCCAACATGGCCGGTACTCCAGCAGAGCTGCAACAAACCCTCACACCCGCTCTCATCGAAGACATCCAAAAATTCTGGTTTGATCACCTCAGCGATGACAAGTCATTGGTTCTCCCCGGCCAAAGCGAGATGAAGCGCTGGTTCTCCACCGATCATGATTTCGACAAAGCCTGCGTGTAAGCCCTACGCCCTCTATCTACTTCGCAAATTCGTACATAAACACCCTCCTTTCTTTCAAAAACAAAACTAACCGTTCAAATGTTAACCCAGGGCCCAATTCCAGCCAGCCCTAGAGACAATCCTAGCCTCTAACGCCACAGCCTCAGATATATTATCTGCAGTCGACACAAAAAACCCACTAACCTGGCTCAGCCTCCTGATCCTTCTAGACCAAGTCCCAAGAAATTGCTACCGAGGCCCCGCATCCAAGCAAGTATTCACGCGCTTCGATCCCCTTGCCTCCGAAATAGCTCTAAGAGCCATTGATCTCGGAATTCCCTTTCAGAACCCGATCCGGTACAGGCTATCGTATCGATTCTGGTTCCATCTGCCGCTGATGCACTCTGAGGATGTGCACGTGCACTACCGGGCGGTGGAAGTGCATGAGGAGACGGCTAGAGATTTGGAGGCGTTTTTGAAGCTGGAGAAGGACTCTCTGGGTGAGGATGAGAAGGCTTGCTTTGATGTTCTGTTTCAGAAGCAGGAGTCGATGAGGGCGTGGTTGGCTAATACGGCTGACTTTGAAAAGAGACATTTGGTTATTGTTGAGCAGTTTGGGAGGTATCCGCATCGGAATGCGGCGATTGGGAGAGTTTCGACGGAGGAGGAGGTGAGGTATTTGGAGGATGGCGGGGAGACTTTTGCATGATTATTTCAGAATCATTTTATCACTCAGAATCTACACCATTTATCATCACTAAATAATGGCTACTGCACCCCCGGCCACAGTCCTCTACGGCCCCGGCCCGGATTTACCTGCTGGTCCTGCTGGGCCATGGGCCGCATTAAGTTGAGTGGATTCATGATCCATGCGGCCCATGGCCCAGCAGGACCAGCAGGTAAATCCGGGCCGGAACCGTAGGGGATTATAGGCGGGGGCGCAGTTTATTTAATGATGATAAAAGGGGTAGATTCTGAGTGAGTTGTTACTACTGTTTGTGGGGATTTGGTGGGTATAAGTATTCCAACCTTCAAAGAAACTGTGTTTATGATATCTGGCCATTTCCGGTCCAGATTTGGCTTTGTACATATACTACTAGTAGATATAAAGAACGGAGCGCTTTGTGTACAAAGAAACTGAACTATTGACATATACTAGCCGTTTCCGGTCTAGCGTAATCCTAGCTTCGGTGCGGACATTAATCCGGGTATGAAAGACTCCTAATCAATTGATGCTCGGAAGCAAGCGCCCGAGGGTTTCAAGCTTGTATTAGTACTGTGTACGGGGGGCTATTCTTGCCCAGAATTGTTATCCCTGGCACATCATCAATTAAGAACACTCGCCCGATATGCTCAGAATCATTCATGTGATACCTTTCAGTCAGATTAATCAAGCCCAGTGCATGCATACGTAAATTGGTTCTTAATATTGTTCTCTTTGTTCCAGCCTCAGGCAACCAATGAAAACAGGCAAAAGATAATCCCCGGCCCCACCAAGCACCTCGACTCACCATGAAGTGATCAACTCTGATGAACACATAAAATGTCCAATTTCCTCCGCACAAAATAAACCGTTGTCGCAGAGGTCACTAAAGGGAAGTTCAACAAAGTCACTTCTCTTGTATCCCGAGTTTGTGTGACCAGTGCTGTACACAAACTTGAACATCCATCTCGAGCTCTCCCCCGCATCAAATTTGATAGCCCAAAGTCCAAATCCACCCCCCTCAAAATGGACGGGAAATACGCCAATGACCCCGTGTGGGCAAATATTACCCCAATTCCACTTGATGATGGCGAAGGGTCTGATGCCCAGCCCCTGGCGTGCATTGCCTATCCTACCGAATACCTTGAGGCAACATCTTATCTGCGGGCCGTAATGGCTGCGAATGAGATGTCTGATCGCGCGTTGGAGTTGACTAAAGATGTTATTGCGTTGAACCCTGCGCATTACACTGTCTGGTAAGTCTTTTTTCCAATGTATTTGTTGCTTTCAAAGTAATATGTTATTTGGTGACGCCCATTTCTGACACTCTCCCAGGATTTACCGCGCCAAGATCCTCTTCGCATTGGATAAGAGTATCGAAGAAGAGATTGCTTGGTTAAACGGGGTGTCTCTTAAATACTTGAAAAACTACCAAATCTGGTACCTACACCTACACCTTTACCTTTTATCTTCGTTTTTGTTTTTGAATATCAAAAAAAAAAACATCCTTCTTAAAAACAATCAAGGCTAACATCATCACCCAGGCACCACCGCCAAGTACTCATGTCCTCTCGCCAACATTTCCCCACCCTGCCCCTCAAGGAACTAGACTTCCTAATGGAAATGTTCGCCCAGGACAGCAAAAACTACCACGTCTGGACATACCGCCACTGGCTCGTCCGCCACTTCAAGCTATGGGACCACCCGCGCGAAATCGAAGACGTAAACGTCCTGCTAAAGATCGACGTCCGCAACAACTCTGCCTGGAGCCACCGCTACACGCTCCGCTTTGGACCCCGCGCAGACGACCAGTTCGACGCCGGAATGGCGAACGCTGGCGACATGTCCACCACGCCGGCGGATAAGGGCGTGTTGGCTGTTGTTGACGAGGATATGGTTGATGGGGAGCTGATGTTTGCGCAGGAGGCTATTGTGCGGGCGCCGGAGAACCGGAGCCCGTGGGCGTATGCGAGGGGTGTTTTGCTTGCCTCGGGTAGGGGGTTGGGAGAGTGGGAGGAGTTTGCGGCGATGTTTGTTGCGGGGGATGTGGTTAAGAGTTCGCATGCTGTTGAGTGGTTGGCGGATGTTTATGCTGCTGATTGGAGCAGGAAGGCGAAGGCTGTTGAGATGTTGGGGTTGTTGGAGAAGTATGATCCTGTGAGAAAGAATTATTGGGATTATCGGGTTAAGATGCTGGGGGAGATTGAGGTGTAAGAGGGTTTGATAAGGTTTATTGTGAGGTTCAAGCGCTATATGAATTGATTATTACTATCTATCAAAAAGTTGGTTCTTTTTGAATAACCCTTCAATTTTCAATGTTAGGTCTAGTGTGTAGTAAAGACTAAAGCCCTTACCTCAACACTCATCCTCGGGCTTGCATCCTCCGGTGCATCTGGCAAGGAAAATGACGTGTGAGGGACATCTACAGCACAGAATGCCTTGGTCAGACAATCAAGTTCTTGTTCCATATCTGAATCGAAGCACACATGTGCAACTTACATTTGACACTGTCCCCTTTTGAGTCGAAACTCTTGAACAGCAGAACATCTTCAACGCCTTGTCTACTCATATAGTACCACTGACAAGAATGTCTCGGATCATACAAAGGATACATGAGTGTACCTGTATAGTCATTGCGGATCATATCTGTTTCGACCAAGTTGGAGATATCAAGAGTACGTCCATCACAGACAGTAATGGGATCATCTTCGACGGGTCCACTTAGTGGTCTCCAAAAGCTAAGGTCGAATACAAATGTCAGAAAGCTGAAGATTTTTGGCCTTCACATCTCCCAGGGGTTTTCAGATACCAGAAACACTCACTTGATCATCTGGACTCGGCCGGAAAGCAGATGGCGCGATTCTTCGGGAAGATGGTTGCGAATGCGCTCCATCATGGACGTCTCGCGTTCATCTCTGGTAAGCAGTGTGTCTGGAGTCCATTAGAGTTGGCCGGTCATATAACATTTGAACAGATGCAATATGGCATTCAAAAAACTTGAACTAAACATACCGACATGAACCTGCCGGGCAAATTTCAGGAGATTTGGATTCCTTTTCCGTCGCTCTTTGGCGCTTTTCTTCTTCCTGATCTACAAGAATCAAGATTGAGGTAAGAAAAGGGTCCCAAACATGCAAAACAAAACCAGTCATGCAAATGTTGCTTACCTTCCAATCAAAAATAAAGATTCGACCCACCCCCTCAATTTCATTTCTCAAAATCGCTTCACATTCAGGGAAGAAGATATTTCGGACTTGGTCCGGGTCTAGGAAATCTCTTGGCTGTGTGAATCGGGGCGGCGGATGCCTTGCATATACGAGTCCGTTCTTTTCCAGAGTAAACGTCTCGTCGGCTTCCACACCTCTGATATCCCTAATGAGCTCCGGAGAGTCTGCTTTGCAGAAAACTAGGTTGTGTGTCTTGTCATCTTTCTTTCTGCGGCCAAATTGGGCAATTCGATATGGTCGGTTTTGGGTATAGCTGGTTTGCCATTGGAGGTATGTCAGGTTGGTTTGGATGTCCATTGGCATATTACTACATGTATGTGGGAATAGGGGAGGGAAAGAACTCGAGAACGAAACATAGTTCGATGTGTGTGTTTATTCAACATAGAGCGACCTATTTGCTTTATAGCCTCGATCTTGGAACTAGTTAGTATAGATTGTTTCTGAAAGGATTGAATGCTTGAGGATGCACTTGGAAGTTGGTACCGATGGGGCTCCTTGGCGTTGAGGTTGAAGCCTGATTCATACCTACAAGTTATCTTGGTACTTACCCATGACCCAATGAAAAGGGAGAGATCTCTGCATCGCTTAAATGTATTTTCTAGTGACTCACCGAAGGAGTCAGGGTCTTTTGGCGCTAAACTCAGAGAGGAAGTCGGGGTCGTCGGTGGGGGCCATATACTCCGTACCCCCGCCCCGCGCGGTAAACAGACACTTGGAGGCTGAGTCCAGACGACTGGATATCAAACGTTATAAGAGGCAGAAAATTACATGCGCTACCTAAATGCTATACATAGTAATACATAGTGTGGGGGGAGAGGCATCCGCCATCTTGCCCCCGTCCGGTTTATCAAAGGACAAAAAAGCCCGTGCCAAGATTTATTAGTCCTCAGCAAGGAGAGCAGGGAAAAGGTGGCCCTTCTTGGCATATTGACCATACTCTGAGTCCGATCCATAGATCGCAGCCGAGAAGCCCAGTTTAGCAGGGTTGGATGTATCTACACCGAGAAGCTCCAAAAGTTCTAGTGACTTGGCGGGCATGAACGGTTGTAGCAGGATGCCCGAGATGCGAAGCGATTCTGCGACGTTGAAAAGTGCCCATTGAGAGTTGGGGTTCTTCCACGGCTCTGTCGCATGGAAGTACTTGTTGGTCTGATAGGCAAATTATCGTGAGATGCTGTTCAATAGAGTGGTGTTGAGGGGTGTTCATACCTTATCAATTACGCTCATAATCTCTTGGAGCGCAGCACGCGGGTTCAGACCCTTCATATGCTCGGCAACCTTTGATGGTGTAGAGACTAGCATGATCTGATGTTGTACATCTGCCGGGGTCGGGGCCGGGAGGTTGTTAGAGGTTGCGTCTTGAACATACGAGCCCAATTTCCCCTTGGCGCACCCAATTGTGCGCGATGCCAGGTTGCCAATGCCTCCCTGGAGCAGCTTCTTATAATCACGAATAATGAAGGAGTTATCATAGTCAGCATCGTTGGCGAGACCTCCTTGATAGGCGAGGAAGAAGCGCATGGTATCTACGCCAAATCTTTCGATGGCGAAGAACGGATTTACCACGTTGCCCGTGGATTTTGACATTTTCTCACGGTTCATGGTCCAATGCCCATGCACCAGAACGTTCCGTGGCACAGGGAGATCCAAAGCCATGAGGAATGCAGGCCAGTAGACGCAGTGGAAACTGTGATTTGTCAGTGACGAAGTCGAAGAATATGCTATGCTGTACTTACCGAACTATGTCCTTTCCGACAACGTGAACATTGGCAGGCCACATAGAATCATTCTCTTTCCCGGGAGGGAAAGGGTATCCTGCCCTCGTGAGATAGTTTACAAGCGCGTCCAGCCAGACATAGATTGTTTGTGTGTCATCGCCAGGAACCGGAATACCCCAAGTAAGCCGCTCCGAGGGCCGTGAAATCGACAGATCTTGTAGCCCAGAAGATACTGACTGGATGATGGCTGTTGCATACTTGGATGGCGTGATGAAGGAGTCTTCTCTGCTGTAAAGCTCAAGTAGGCGGTCCTTGAACGCAGAAAGGCGGAAATGATAGTTGGTTTCTGAGGACCATTCTACTTCCTTGTTTGTCTCAATAGAGACCTGGTAGAATATGAGCATGTGTGAATAGTGCTGGTTGGGAGTCTAAAACTTACCATCCTCTTCCTGCCGGTTGCTGGATCCAGAGAGTTTTGTACCTGTGTTTGTGGGTAGAAAGTCTCATCGCTGACAGAGTACCATCCTTCATGCTTGGATGTGTAGATATAACCTCTGTGTTGGAGCATTTCCTATATTGGTCCGTTAGTATGGCCCTTTCGGGCGAGTGAAATTACTTACCCAGAAGTATTGTACCGCCTCCCGATGCGCTGGGTCGGTGGTTCGAATAAAATGGTCGTTATTGAGGTTTGCTGCCTTAGCTAGGGCCTGTCATAATTTAAATTTAAACCACTGTTTTGTCCGAAAAGGGGGACAATTAAATCAAGACATGCATACCTCGAATGTTCGACAGTTCATGTCGCAGAAGGCCTGAGTATCCATACCCGCTTGGAGAGCAGCTTGCTGGATCTGATAAATTTATCAGTCTAGATCCTGTGCCATTTTGAATGTATAATCCACACCTTCATTCCATGCTCGTCGGTTCCGGTCAATAATTGAGCATCGGTATTTCCGAGTAGTACCTGCCATCGTTTCAAGATATCGGCGATGACCATGGTGTAAAAATGGCCGACATGAGGTGCTATTGAGAAGCCAGTCATTAGTACAGTATACAAGTTGCAATAAGATTGGCCACTTACCCGCATTGACGTAGAAAATTGGTGTGGTCACATAGTATGGCTTTTTGGAGTTCCCCGGAGTTGGAGTTGGAGTCAGAGTCGGGGTGGTTGCAACTCCACGCTGGAAAGTCCTGGGACTTCCATATTTGCAAGCAGAGAACGCCCACGACCGTCGGTAACTGAAAAGAGAATTAGCCCTGGAGAGGGCACGGAATGGCGCTCTTGCGGAAGCCATTGGGGGCGAGCGGTGCGGAGAAGAAAACGAGTCGTCGCATTGGATGCATGTTATTCCGCATCGCGACTCGGAAGTGGTCCAAGCTCCGCCCGTCATTTTTCTCTGATCCACAAGCATCTCACTTTCTTCACCCTTGTATACATTGAGTCTGCCAATCAACACACTGTTATCTGGTATACACTAGTACCTACTAGGCTTATCTATACGCGAAAACTTAGCGCCTTTGCCATACTTATTTATTATATACCCCTCGCCAACCTTTTAAGCCGACGAATCCTTTCCAATCCTTCGCAATGGCTCCAGCGAGCGACGACCAGCTGGTCAGAGTGTCTACCGAAGGTAAGCCAGGCCCCTCGGCATTTATCGGTTCTGCCTGTATTGACTAGTTCTTTTTTTTTTTTAGCTGCCACCGACCTTGTTCAAACTTTTTACGGGGCCCTCACATCGAACCGCGAAACCATCGCGTCATTTTACGACCCAGCACCCTCTAAAATCCTTTTCAACGGCAACACTGTGGCGGACGGTGCTGCGGTCCAAGATATCTTTGTCAACCAAATGCCACACGCACACTACGAAGCCCAATCATATGATTGCCAAGTTATCAACCGCGCATACCCCACTGTTACCGCTTCTGGTTTGAAGCCGACCACCGAGATGACCGTCAAGGACATGTCGATCTTGGTGATCGTCAGTGGACACGTGCGGTATGGAGAGAACCGTGACCAGCCCCAGCGAGGCTTCAGTGAAACATTCGTCCTTGTGCCCAATCCATCTACTGAGCGCGGCAACAAGCGCCGGCGAGACTGGTTGATCCAAAGCCAAAACTTCCGCCTTGTGGTCTGATCTGTTGCACAAAAGACGAAAATAAAACATTTGCATCAATTATCGCTCCGATGTTTGTCGCTCTTTGGGGCGAGAAAGGTTTGGCTCATGAAATTCAACTCTACACCATCTTGAGGCATGAGTCTTTGTTGTGGAAAATACCTTTACCAAGAAGCTAGAATTCAAATGAATTGATAACAAGACGTGGTTGTGAAACAAATGGGGAATTACACTTGGGAAGCATTGAAAATGAAGAGACCAAAAAGAAACCACCAACTCGGCCATTACGACTGGGATACCGGAGGTTTGGAGTTGCGCGGTATCCGCAGGTTTGCCTTGACTCTCTCCAACAATTCCTCTCGAGTCGCATTGTCAGTCGGCAAAAGCCCGCGCTGTGATACATAGTTAGTGACAGCTTCAACCCACTGTTCTGGGATCAGGAACATACAACTCGAAGCCACCTCCTCATTTCGTCAGCAGTCCAATCTTCGGGATCTACTTTTGGTCAGAACATGCTTTCGTCATTTTTTGGTTGTCTTTTGTTACTCACCTCCTTTGGGGTCAGCTTCACTGGGGAAGACATCAGTGCCCCAGATGGAATAGGCTGCTACAGCCGTTACCATGCCTGCAAAACCTAAATGAGTGATGAATAGTTAGAACATCTATCTTTGAATATTATCAGCTTTCATGTATTCACCCATGAATAAATTCTAAAGAGTCCTCGTCAGCTTCTTGATAAGATCCATGTGGTTCCGGCAGGGTGGAGTACCTTGGAGTTCATGGCGCGATCCAGTGGAGTAGGCATCTTGACTTCTTCGATAGACAAAGGTGTTGCGTACTTGACAAAGTTGAAAGACTGGAATTAGGAGCAATGATCACACCAACTTATAACACAAATTTGAAAGGGTGATGTGTTCACTAGAACCTGGAGTGAGTTTGGACAAGTAGACCACTCAAGAGTCGAGGATGCACAGCCACTTACGCCACTCCAGACCGCTGCTGCCTCAGAACGTCTAGAACACGCTTTAGGCCATTTACAAACATCGAACACATACATCTTCCTTCCTCGCTTTTGAACCTTTCGAACTGCATAGTTTAGGAAACTGCGATAGCAGCTATGAACAAGCACAAGTCAGAGATTTTCGCTGTAATAGAAAACAATCATATTTTGCCTCGTACAAGTTACTCCTATGAGTCCTATCTATACACTCCACCCGGTCGACACCGATTCTCAATGTACATTTTCTGGCTTCTTTGAGCCTCATCATGGAAGCTGTCATATTCTTTACAGCAGTTACCTTCTTTGTTGCGGTGGGAAGCGCGGTCATTCAAGGGTGAGAGTGCTAAGTTCCCCGTTCATTTTGCAGACCACAGTCATCTCACACGCTGCCAGCATAGTCTTCTGGAAAAAATATCGAATTCGGTTCCACGTCACCAACAAAACTCCATCCATCGACAGCCGTGATTTGGAGGGCCAAGAGCTTGGTGTAAATCCCCATAGCGCGCCCCAGCCGTTAAGGCATTTGCGACATCAAAGCACCAACTTCCGACAATGGCCTTCAGTATGTTTTGATCAGACCAATCCGAACTGGAATCCGACAGTGGAACGAAGACATCAATCCAATCCTTTCGCAGCATATCCCGGACCAACAGTCCTGGAGGGGATATCGGAGCGTCTTCCATCGCCGCCGATAACGATTAGCCACTTGACACCCGCCACTCTTGCACGTGACCAGCAGGGCTTCACAGAGCAAAAACCCTAATCCGATCCACACAACACGATCTTGACTCTGATTCCTCACCATTGCAACCTCAATCAGCATCAACCGTCACCATGCCTCGCGAAGTCTCCGATATCAAGCAGTTCATTGAGATCTGCCGCCGCAAGGACGCCTCCTGTACGTTTTCGCCCGTTCAAATCGGAGTTGATCCCGATCCCGTGATGAAGAAAGAATGAGAATCCGGAATTGAAGACTAATGCCCAATTCTTTTTTACAGCTGCCCGCATCAAGCGCAACCGCAAGTCCCAGCAGATCAAGTTCAAGGTCCGCTGCGAGCGCTTCCTGTACACCCTTGTCCTCAAGGACTCCGACAAGGCCGACAAGCTCAAGCAGTCCCTTCCCCCTGGTGCGTCAAACCCCACATTTCCACCCGATCGACCCTACCCGTGACCCTACTAGTTCGCAAGCCTGTCGGAAAATCTATTGAAGGAGGCAACGAAACTATCCGGAGAAAACACTCATCTCATTTGTCCGAATTGAAGATTGCCCGAAGCTTTACTAACAATTTTTTTTTCTCCTAACAGCCCTCAAGGTTGTCGACGTCTCCAACGGCGACAAGAAGAAGTCCCTGTAAATTCAGTGACAATGGCATAAAAGGAGGCATGGAGTGAGATGCGATTGGTTGTCGATGCATGAAAGACCAACTGTTGGAGGGATAGATGGGCATAGCCTAGAATCTCTCTGCGAGCCGACACGGGGGTGGTGCATATGATTAAAAAATACGACATCCTTGCGTTTGTACACCCGATGTGATAATCCACCGGTCAAACGAACTCGCATTTTCCGGACGCATTCGAGGATCGCTTTTGTCGGAGTTTCCAGTCACCACACACCAATGAAAAAAACAGTTGAAACATCTTTACTGGGCTTTCTTACGCTCTTTCTGCGGGGAATTGCCCTGGTCCATTCTTAATGACATGACTTGGTGCATCCTTGAAACTATTCTTTGCCATGACAGTAGACCCCAAGGTTTCATCTTTTGCGTAAGGTGCTACGTAGCAATCCGAGCCATTTTTCGACATTTAAATGGCAAGTTTGAACAGTTCGAATATTGGCCAGTTGTGAGTTCTGGCCTACCATTCCAAGGCTCAAGAATTCGCATTTTCACCTTGCTTTTAACTTCGTGCAAGCACTACAAGGTTGAGTGCTGTTCCTCTAAACATTTAGTGATCCTATCATTGGTCACGACTTCTACAATGCTTCCAAGATCAAAGAACTACAAAGGCTTTTAGTTCCAATAAACAGGAATTGTTCACAAGTACAAGTCATTGTTGGTTTGTGTAACTGTTTCAGTACTTCTCATTGACTACTTCCCAGTATCCAAACACCCGAGAAGAACAAAGTCCTTTGTCTACCTAGCATCTGGGCAGGTCAGCTCAAAGCCCTGCAAACAATGGATGCTCCCATGTTGAAACATTCATGAGGGCTGAAGGAAATCCCGTGGATATGTAGTATAAAATACTACGTATCATTCTGAAGTGGAATCGATCTTATATCGAATCTCTCCCATTTCCTTCCATATCCATTTCATCGGAATTACTAGGCTTACCCTCATGAATGACCTGTACTAATGGACGAATTCATCACTAATATCAACCAGTTGAACCTGAGTCAAACTCATCTTGACCTTCAAGATGAGCTAGATATCATCCACCAAGAACCAGCTCATGCAACTGAAGACCTGTTTCCCATTCATCCTGGAATTAGTCGAGTTTCCGATACAAACATACGATCGTCCTCTATATCTAGCAATTCGCCAACATCCACATCCAGCTCCTCTGCATCTACTTCTACCAGCAACTCATCCAACCCCACCGAAGTTTCCCCATCACCACCCACATTCCCCCCAAACATCCTGAACACCCTACTAAACAGGCTTCTAACAGAACCCAGATACCTCACTCACCCCAACTTGTGCCACATCCGGCAAATCACCCGAACAACAGACGCAGCCGCCGCCTTCGTAGGAAACTTCCTCTACAACAACCGACGCTTCCACCGCGAACTAGAAACCGCCTTCCTGGGCCCATACCGCGATGCCCAGCGCGGCCGCCGCGTCCCGCTAAACATGCTCGTTCCAATCCTCGGCTGGCCAGACGAAGAACCAGACGTAATCACCGGCGCCATCCTGGACGATTGTCCCGGGTGCTTCGAATGGATCCGAAGACGACTCCCCCGCATGGACTGTTACGGCTGCAATCTGTTTGGGTGGACATACGTCGCTATCGCGGTATACGCGCGCTCGATCGGCATCCTAGAGTATCTTTTCGCGTGGGACAAGCCCGTCGGCGCAATGGATGCGGTCCTGCGTATGCGGGCGAATGCGTTCCAGATGTCTGATGGCCCGACGCCTGTGGCGCTTGCTGTTAGGGAAGGGGATGTGGGGTTCTTAGAGTTTCTGTTGGATTTGTGGGAGCCTTGTGTTGCGAGGAGTATTGGGCGGGAGAGGACCGGGGGGCATCGGGAGGGTCCGAGAAGGCGGAATTGTCTTTCGGGGATCGAGGGGTATTTTCTTTGTACCTTTGTTACGGGGGAGTTGGCGTGGAGACTTGCGGGTGTTGGCTTGCCTATTTATGATACGGTGCTTTCAGGTTTGGATGTGGGACGGTCTCGGTCTGGTTTTACTAGGCTTGCGACGGCGTGGCATGCTGCTGTTTTTAATGGACCGGGCTTTTTGGAGTATTTGGAGGCGCACTCGAGTGTTTCGAAGCTTGATCTGGATGCTAATGGTGAATCTCCGCTTCATTATGCAAAGCGAGCTAATAGAGATGATTCTGTCATTTGGTTGAGGCAACACGGTGGTGTACCTGGAAGATCCTACTAGGTAGATAGATCAATACATGTACATTTTTCTCTACAGGGTCAGTTCAACATACATTAGACAGTATGCATAGGAAAGAGTTGACACACCCAGTGCCCGAAGCACTCAAGTGATTCTGAAATTCAGATGTTGAATAATTACTAAGTGATAGGCACACATGCATTGACATTTGAAAAGATCAATATGTATGTTTCGCCCGATATTGAATATAGAGCATCTATTCCTTTCGCTCATAATCCAATTCAACATAGCCCTCAACCTTCGCATCGCCCAAAGCCTCCACAAATCCCCTAACCCCCAAGTCCAACCTTCTCAACTCGAATTCCCCAAAGAAATTCGGCTCAACAGAAACCTTAACAAATCCCAAGCTCTCAAACAGCGCCAAACTCCTAGCATTCTCCTTTCCAATCTTAACACTTAGCCACTGCAAACGCAACTCCTCCCCACCAGCAGCCTGTGCCAACTTCTTCCTCTCCTCCTCGTCAAGACCACCAACAAACTCCCGCAGAATACCCGCCTGTTTCTCCGCAACGTATCTCAAGAAAACCAAAAGTGAAGCTTTCCCGAATCCACGACGCTGATTCAGTTTCTCGGCTACCATTAGCTCGATTTCGCCCACGATCTGCGGGGGTGCATCTCCTTCTTCTCCGTCCTCGATGCGGAGGAAGAGGTTGATGTCTCCGATCATGTTTTCGGCAGACTCGTCCTCGGGACGAAGTGTGATTTTGGCTGACTGTGATACGGGTCGGCAGGTTATGAAGGTCAGCTTGTCTGCGTCTTGGCGCCAGCTGCGTTGCATGGTGTATTCTTCTTCTAGTGTTAATGGTTCTGAGGCTGTTGCTTCTTGGATTTCCTGGATTTTGTTAGCATACATGAAGAATTTATTTATTAGGGGCAGAGTGGTGTTGTTGTAGATGGCGGTGCCAATTCTTACCTCGTCTTGCATCCACTCATGGTAGCGGGGAACGTGCCATGGGGAATATGGGACGAGAAGGACCTTGGAGGTCGAGATAGCTGTATGGATTTTTGTTAGTATACATAGTTCATCAACTGCTTAGACAGCATGTATTGGTCCATGTATCTTGGCCCTCGGGGAAGTGGGGGAGAGGTATATTCCAATGGAATGGGGACGCACCAGTCTCGGCGTTGAGCAGCATCGGGATTCGGGACAACGCAGATGGGGGATGTTATGCTCTGAATGACTTCGAATACCCAAGGCGTTTCTGGGACTCAAAGAAGGACTCAAGAGGGATGGCTCTATTGATCTATGTTTGTTTAGAGGTCAAGCATGAAATTTTGGGCAAAGTTGCAGTTCCCGCTCTGATATGTGGGGCTTGGCACCTTTTGACTTCAAAGTGCAAAGAATAAGACTTAACGAGTCAACATTGACAAACAGCAAAAAAGAGAGAAAAAACAACAGAGAGGCCGGATTTTAGTAACATTGAATCATCGACATGGAAAGCTTAGGCATTCAAATGACTGCTTCAGAAAGATTGACGAATATCTGACACCGTACACGGAACTGATTTGCACCTTGTAAGCTGTAACTTGTACCTATCGATGCTCTATGTACCACAGGTAAAGAGCGCCGCGCAATGGACCGAACACCACAGCAAGGCGCCCAACATTCGAAGTAGTGCATAGCGTGAGAGGACGTTGAAGACTTTGACGGTTTTGTTCCAGGCCTTCCAGGGTCAAGTACACCATATCGCCGACATCAAAGTCGACCTCGGTGACGACCTGCCTGTTTCTTCTAGGGTTCTTGCGCCTTCAGAAGCGCATCTCTCGTTTCCACTCACTCTATTTGCATTGTCCTTGCGTAATATTTAGGCGCATCTGACGATCCCACTTGCCAGTCGAAGGGCATGCGTATTCGAACCAGTGCGCCCAGTTGACGCTGACGGTACCGACACTAATGCCAAGCCAATCATCAGTAAGTACTCTGACCAATTGTCCCGGTAATGCTTTACGTACAGCAGTAGCCTTTGTATGTAGTACTGGTTTGTATTCTCTGTTTGGCCGTCAGTCTGTGGATGTCTTGTGTTGAAAGTTTGCGTTTAATACCCATAATAGCGCAAAAAGCTGTCCAGAATTCAGATAGGAACTGGTGGCCTCTGTCAGATATAATCGAGTCCGGCATGCTGGTCCAGGGTGACACATTTTGTACGAACAACCGTGCTGTTTGAGCGGCGTCGGCACCCTTTGTGCACGGATATGCTGCCATGGCCGATCCGGTATGGGCAGTGGTTGTAGTAGGCCTGGTGGGTTGTCCCGCCACAGTTTGGCTCTTTTGCACACCGTACAGTGGTCGACATTGATAGTGGAGAATTCGCTGCAGCAGTTCATCATGCTGCCATAATCCGCAATCATGAAGCAGTTTTAACCACTCCATATAAAAGGGAAATGGTAGATGGGAATATGGGGGGCGACACAAAAGAGCAAAGAACAGAAATGGCTCACGATGCTGGATTCCATGGAGCTGAGTGTCATGGGTCCCAGCGCCAAGTCTTGTCTGGATTTGTCCTGGCACGTCAACTGAACAAGTGTTCAGCCGACGTGATGCCTGTCCTAAAACAAAAAGTGGGCTAGGCCATGGGCGCCGATCACTTCTCATGGGCTAGTCCATGTTTCTCTCTGAATTTGTCCTGACACGCAAGCTTCCTGGGAAGAAACATGACGCCTGTTCAGGGAGATCATGGGCTAAATTAAGAGGAGTGTTTGGCCAGTACTTCTTCACTGCTTGCTAGTTCATCGACCTGTGGCTTGTCCCTCCACACCACAACAAAGCACGGGATCGGAACCAGAAAAACACCAAGAGAGAAGATTGATGACGACGACGAGCTCAAAAGGGGCCGTTTGGTGAACTGCAGAAAGTAACGAAAAGCTTCATGAGAGACCGACTCGGAACTTGCATGGGAGCCAATTGTGGAGTGGATGAAGTGGATCCGGGTTTGAGAAGTAGAAGGAGAAGGAGAAAAAGAGATAAGGTCGATGGAAGACTTGATATGCGCGTAGGGCAGCTCTGATTAGGGGAACAAACATAGTACTTGGTGTACTTAAACTACACCTTGAAGACGAAGATGACCCAACTGCCCAGTATCAATTTTGATTCATCTTTAAAAGAACAATATCGCTATTATGCTCGTTACAAAATTCAATTCCTCCACCCTCCCTTTTAATACCGGTTTTGACCGAGAAGGATATGGCGAAGATCAATGCGAAGATGATATGCAGTTCTTGTTCTAAACTTTTATTCGAAGCCAGAGCCAGAGGGATTTGGTGGAAATATAGTTGTGCACATTCATGAAATAAGAATTTTGTTCAAATGAATAGAAGGGCCGTAGTAGGTCCTCCCGAGAAAAGAAATTTAATTGTGGTATCAGTCAACCGGCCGCTTTGTAAAGAACCTGACGACCGCCATGCAAAGATAAAAAAAAAAGACGTCCATCTTCAGGCCAACCTGAAGTTCTCATTGCTCCATAGGAAGCGTGTACATCAAAATATGGATAAACAAAAGGTCCAAAGTATTGGATGACGAATTCGTTAGCTCGAAGGGGGTGGATCCCACGAGGAACCAAAAGAACAAAGTACTGGGAAACCACAATACAAAAAAGCGCTCATTCCAAGATGGCGTATAAATAGACCAGAATAAGAAAAATAGGTATCAAGAACGAAAGTTGAAGACTAGTGTTTCATAGGAGTGTGAACGTCTGAAGATGCTTCTTCATCAGACGATTGAAGATGTGCGGGGAGTGTATCGGGTAGGGAGGTGATGGTTGGAGGGGCAGATTTGAGAACAGGCGACCCAGGTCCATCATTCTCGGGGATAGTGGAGGTGGAGATTGTAAGCCCCTGCATGGCGCCGCTGGCGCGGACACGGAATGAGCGCCGCTGGTCACCTGCTGGTGAAGCATGCAGGTCGTCGTCGAAATGATCCCCCGGGACAGCACTGATCACATCCGGCTCGGGATCTGCGACGCGATGATAGTCACTGTTCTCAGCTCCACTAAGCTCGGTATCCTCGGTGTCAGATTCTGGGCTACCTTCACGGCTCCAGTTTTCTTGTGCCTCGCTGCGCATACGGGAGATCTTCATATAGTTGTAGCACGCGATGCTGCCAATTGTAACAACAAGGCCAGTGATGTTAACGGGGGTCAATTTGTCATGGAAAATCACACCCGCAGCACTGATGGTAACAACCTCTTTGAAGATACCACAGATACTCAAAGTGACGACTGAAGAGCGCTTCAGCAAGGCGAATTCAGATGAAATCATGCAGAATGCCAAAACTCCAGGGAAAATCAGCAGGCCGGTTCCAACCCACGTTCCATGCTGCTCGGCGAGTTTAAGAAAGCCTTGGTGGATCTCGTTAGGACCCTCTACGGCGAGGGCAATAACGATAAGAGAAACAAACATGACGGGCGTGAGAAGAAAGAGAGTCGAGAAGGGGTTCGAGGTTGCCGGATGACGGAGCAGAAGAATCTGTGTCAGACCCCATCGGAATCCGGAAAAGAAGGCGGAGGCAATCACAAGGGTGAAACCAAGCGCATTGAATGCAGTCTCGCCGGCGACCATCATTACCACGCCGATCGTCATTGCGGCGATGACCACGATCAGCTTCACCGAGGGAGACTCGAGGCGGAATAAGAAAGCAAAAAGAAGAACGAAAGCGAGTGCAGATGATTTGCACATTGTAAGGAAAGTGAGGGAGATGAACTTCAACGACATGTTGCCCAGGCCAACGTCAAGGGACGTCGCTGCTCCGCAGGGAACAAGGCGCGTGAAGTAGAATAATTTAGTGAGCACCGGCTCGGTCTTTGGATCCTCGGTAGCCGAGTTTGTGACGGGTTCAGGGTGACGCGGGCGCAAGGATGGGAACAAGTATAGCAAAAGACTGGCGAGTGTGAATTGGACCGCCATGTGCAGACTAGTGGTGAAAAGGGGGTATGGGAAGACGACATCGCTTTCGGAAAACATCCACTTGTTATACTATTCGCGAGAAGAAGTAAGCATTGATGAGTTGGGAAGATAAGGACCTTGGGAGGATCGACTCACGATTGAAATGGACAATGAGAAGAAGTACCACATGAGGATCAAACCTGCATTAGCCATGAGCTTCTTGACAACATTGCGATCTGCCAGACCGAGGCGGAATATGTCATTGGTAGATTTGGTGTCGGCGATACGGGCATCCAGCTTGCGGCGTTGCCTGCGCCGTCGACGTCGCTGACGTTTCTGGTGTGCTGTGAGACCGGTCTCCTCATCGTATTGATCATCATCTGAACTTATGTCTAGCTCGCGTGTGTCCATGGCCGTTGCCGATAGATCCGAGGTATCGGTATCCTCTGCTGTTAATGGCTCTTGTTCATCCCATTTGTATCTGTCCTCCCCTGGTCGAAGACTATCATCTCTCCGTTCCGAGGGGCCCGGGTGTGTCGGTCGAGTGGCCCCTGTGAGCATCGAGCTTCGCCGTCGGTGGTGATTCGAGGGTGACATACCCATGTTGAAATTTGGGTTTAAATGCGGGAGGGGATGGGGAAGAGGAGAGCTGCGAGCCCCATGAGAGTGCGACCGAGAGAGTTCACACGACCCTTTATTGACGTGGGGGGGAAAGCCTCGAATCAGGATCGAGGAAAGGGGGGATCTCTCCCAGTTAATTTAGCGAATGTCGGAGAGTTATGTGTGGAATATGTGAAGGTTTTTTAAAAGAAAACAAGAAAAAGGAATGAAGTTGGTGGTAAAAGCGGTCACAGAGTCAAATCAAAAAAGAAAGTTGCTGAAGAAACAATCAAGATTGGCGGTGATGGAATCACACCCTTTTTCGCCAAGTTGTTTTTCTTTCTCTCCTCTTTCCCACTTCATTTCAACTCGCTTGCTCATTGGTCGCCACAACTCCACCTTGGCGATGCTCCACTGTCCGGTCGATCCGGGGTCCAAGGGGAAAATGCACACCAAGGAAATGCAGGTCAGGCCTGGGTCGCGTGTCATTGGCGGGTTACGACTTCCGAAAATCTCCTAGGGCGATAATGGCTGTAGGATCAGGTCGAGATCCGAATATATGTGATAGCCCAATACAATAAGCTTGCTGCTGGAACCTCAAGCTTGAAACCGTCTTCGATTCCTCGATGTGTTAGATCGTGGACATTATTCGTCAAGTCTGGGAGTTGGGGAGGTTGATCATCTCCCAAGTAGATCATGATCCTTGATAACCCAAGGCCCCGCTTGAGATAGCTACTCCTGCCAGCTCTTCCATAATGATGATGTGTGTCACCCCTCCATCGAGCTCAGGAACCCGGCCCATTGACGGTCCCTCATTGGCAGAGCCAGTCTAAATAAACAGACATGACCTCAGCTGGGAGCCATCATGATCATCATCATGTCGTTGCTTCCTAGGACTTCCGGCCTGTATGTGCGATCATATATCTCCCCCGGTGTGGTCGGGTAGAGGCATCCTGACCTGTTCTATCCCATTCCCGCTACCACCTTTGGATACAATTTGCCAACAGTACTGTCGAATATCAGTATTTCTTGAACCATCACTCCAGTGCTGTCTCATCACCGTCATCATGGCAGAGTATACGTATAACGCCATTGAAGACTATGGTCTGATTGGCGATATGCACACTTGTGCTTTGGTGAGCAAAGGCGGTAGCTTGGATTACATGTGCTGGCCGGTTTTCGATTCCCCTTCAGTCTTTTGTCGTCTCTTGGATGATAAGAAAGGAGGGTTCTGGTCTATCGAACCTCATGATTCGGTGATTGACGCCCACAGCAAGCAACGATACCTACCGTATTCGAATCTATTGGAGACCCGGTGGACCAACGAGGATGGAGTTGTCACGATGCTGGACTACTTCCCGGTGACACCCAAGAAGAGTGCCCAGTCAGGTCGACTTCTGTCTGGATACTGTCCGTGCAACGATCCTGGTGCCAACCGCTTCAAGTCAGGACTGCAGCATTCAGGTTTAGTCAGAAAGCTAGAGTGCAGTCGAGGATCAATGGAGTTGCAGATCGAGTTTTTCCCTGCTTTCAACTATGCTCGCGACTCGCACAATGCCCGCGCCAAACTGGAGAACGACATGTGCAAGCATCGACTGCAGACAATTCATTTTGAGAGTCTGAGTGAGAGACTGCAACTCGAGATCTTCGCGGATTGTCGGGAGCCAGAAAAGCTTGGATACCCAAAGGCCAAATTGGCATTGGAGGAGCGACCCGGCTTGCAGGGCCGTGGCCTGGTGGCTTGGATCCGCCTGTCTGAGGGTCAAACTTTGCACTTTGTTCTGCATAGCCCCGAGAAGGCGGTGCCAAGTTCCGCCACGATGGCTGCCTACCTGGGCAAGATGGAGGAAGAAACGTCGGACTATTGGACGGAGTGGACTCGCAAGTGCGCCTTTCGTGGCCACTACCGAGAGACAGTGGAGCGCAGCCTGCTGATTCTCAAGCTTCTTACTTACAAGCCAACGGGTGCGATTGTCGCTGCGCCTACTTTTTCACTCCCAGAAAATGTGGGTGGCTCTCGTAACTGGGATTACCGATATTCCTGGGTGCGAGACACGGCTTTTACCCTGTATGTCTTTTTGAAGATGGGATACAGCCGCGAAGCGGAAGCCTACGTGAATTTCATTTTTGAACGGATTTTCCCGCATGCCGCTCAGGATATGGAACCGGGAAGCAAACGCCCTTTTCTTCCGCTCATGTTCACTATCCGTGGTGAGTACGACATTCCCGAAGTGGAACTGGAACACCTGGATGGCTACAGAGGAAGCAAACCAGTCCGTATTGGCAACGCCGCTGTTTTCCACACTCAGCTTGATATCTATGGTGAGCTTCTGGATAGCATCTACCTTTACAACAAGCATGGAAACCCCATCACCTACGACCAATGGTCTTCTATTCGGCGCATGGTGAACTATGTGGTTAGTGTACGAGATCAGAAGGACATGTCCATTTGGGAATCTCGTGGTCAGGTCCAGAATTTCATCTACTCGAAGGTCATGATGTGGGTGGCATTGGACCGTGGCATTCGGCTTGCAGAAAAACGATCTAGTTTGCCATGCCCGGATCGATTCAAATGGATTCAGGTCCGCGATGAGCTTTATGATGAGGTAATGACCAGAGGGTTTAATACCGAGCGCCAACACTTCTGTCAAAGCTATGAAAGCCCCGATGTTCTTGATGCATCAATTCTGATCGCTCCCTTGGTCTTTTTTGTGGCGCCAAATGATCCGCGATTCATCAACACCCTGAAGAGGATTTTGCAAAGCCCAGAGAAGGAGGGTCTCTCCAGTGCCAAGATGGTGTTCCGATATGACCATGAGAAGGCAAATGATGGTATGCGCTTTGCTTTGTAGAGCCTTTGGCTGTCCAACCCCCCCTGGGCCATTTACTGATGTTCATGTTTCACAGGTGTGGGTGGAGGTGAGGGTGCCTTCATCATGGTTACCTTTTGGCTTGTTGAAGCCATGGCTCGGGTATGTGCTACCTATCGTTTCATTTCATGCAATCAAATTTCCCCCAGTTGACCCATGGATATATAGGCTGCCAAATATGATGTTCCTATCCCCAACATCTGGAAGCTCGCGCTCTCCCACTTTGACAATATTCTGTCATACTCAAACCACTTGGGAATGTTCTCAGAAGAAGTGGCCATCTCAGGCGAGCAGATGGGCAATACTCCCCAGGCGTTCAGTCATTTGGCATGTATCAGTGCGGCTATCAATCTGGAGAGATTGGGTCGTGATTAGTACTGAGGGACATGAAGAATAGTGGGCATCGCTGAACAACATTAGAAAAAAATGATTTGTATGCTTGGTCGCTGCAGTGATAGATTTAATTTACGTCTACTTAATTTTGAATGCCATGAGGATTTTCATTACCGTTTGCGATGATCTCTGTTGACGCGGCGACCCAATTTGGCCAACCGTAGCCTAAAGTCTGACTAACTGAGTAGTTGAGGGATTACTAACAACACGCTAACCCAAACAGTGCTATCTGATGATCCACGAACGGATCTCTCCGTGAACTACTAACCAGCTTGGCACTAGCGTTATCGCTTCCCCAGACCCCCTTCGTTCTTGTGCCCGAGACCGATTCCATAGCTGACGGTCAAGTCTGGAGCGCTTCCTCCTCTTGGCATCAGGATATGATTATCTACCTCGCTTTGCCTCTCCGATTTGTTTTTGCAGGCATATCCTCCTGATGGCGGATACTAGCGCCGAGTGGGCTGACCGACCACGCTCAGAGGGAGCCTTGTCATCAGATGAAGAAGATTTTGTTTCTACTCAAAGCACCGCCTCGGTGGATCCGGAAGCTATGTTCGTAAAGCGCCACCTCTCCTCGTTTGGGAAACTCAGCATCGCAGGGAATGGGATCACATCTTCCGACCAGTACGGGACTCGAACTTCAACACCAGGTACTGCCCCATCAGTCTACACCGGGTCATGCTTTAAGCCAACAGCCAAAAATCCGATGCAGCTCCTGGAGCTCCCTCTTGATTTGTTGAAGGATATCATCAAAGAAGTATCACCCGCCCTTTCCCGTTCTCTGACAGGCTGAAACTAACTATTGTCATCAATAGGTCACCCATACGAATGACCTTACCTCCCTTGCATTGACATGTTCTACCCTCCATGCCTTGACGGTCCCGCACATGTACTCCCGATTCGATATTGTCTGGCCTGAATCCTTGAACTCATCAAGCGATGACTATGCGGGGGTGGATGCCTTGTCGTACGGGCTATCAACCTTGGTCATGGGAGAGGACGTTTTCCACCATGCCCCTCTGGCAAGGCTTGATCGATCTTCGGAAGACTGCTCTCACTGTGGATGTGACAACCCACATCACCGAGGAAATCACATAAACGGCGGTATTGGTAGATCGCTGGGACGACGAGGGAACCACTATGCACAATTCACCCGCACTTTCTCGATCGGGAATGGCCCACTCAGCTGGGTCCAAGAGTATTCGGTGAATCGAGAGGTTGGGAAAATGTTGGGAACACTGGTCGCCTTGGCTGTAGCGCGCATGATCAATCTTGAGGCATTCATATGGGACATGCCGACCGGTGTCGTTCGTGAGATCTGGCTTGCCCTTGCCTCCCTGGCTGACGGATCGCATGGTCAATGTCGATTGGAGCGCATCTGGGTACGTTGGCACGATAATTCAGAGAATCCTTTACGACTCTCGGCAACGTTAAGCTCCCGTGTTCCCCAGAAGTACAAGCACGTCGAACATCCTTCGCTATCTGTGCTACCGCCACTTAAGAGTATAGCTGTTCTCGACATTGATGAGACTGCCTATGTCGAAGAGCTCGCTGTTCTAATCGAACGTTCCCGTCATTGTCTGACGGAATTACGAATTGGCGTTGCGTTAAAGGCGCACCTGTCTGACTGGGTGATGTGTGTCAAAGATAACGACCCCCCAATTGACTCTCATCTCAATTGGCCAAAGGTTGGGGGAATACTCAGCATTTTATCCAAGCAGAACTCCGTTCCCCAGAAGGAGGACATTATCTCGCGCTCGGCTTGTGACTCGCTTCAGTCAGATGAATCCACTGATAATGATACCCAGACTGGGGATCATGTATCTCGGCAGGGATCGAATTCCACACCATCTATTTCCAAGTCACACAAAGAGCTTAAAATAGTTTCATCCAACACAATTTCTTCAAGCCCTGCCCCGAAAGCAAGTGGCCACATTTATGGCGCACCCACTAGTACCAACAGCGAGAAATTGAACCTCGAAGTACTGGAGTTGGAACGAGTTCCTCTTTCCATACCACATCTTCTACCCCAGCTTGACTGGACCCGGCTCACTACACTTACTGTGATGCGTTGCGCAGAACATGAGACTCTATGGAGGGCGCTACGTCGAAAGTATGCGCCCCCTCAGCCACCCCAGAAACGGTCTCAGAAAGGCGAGAGGCGTCGATCCAGCCTCGGCAAAGATGATTACTCACTCAATATCAAATATCTGAGAACGGATACCGTTACTCCATACCTGATGCTTTTCATCAAAGATGCAATCGCCCCGAATACCTTGGAAAGTGTCTACCTGCATGAGGCCCCAGCCTTTGACTCAAACGTCAACATTGAAGCGATTTATCGGCATATTGTTCGGAAGCATCGATTGAGCCTCCGACAGATTCTCATTGATGCCTCTGAGCGCAATGGAAATGTGGACAGCATGGGTCAACGTTGGCATAAATGGATGTTTAACCAGGAAATGGTGTCCTTTGTCACTAGCGGACGAATGCCTCAACTGAGAGAGTTGGGGATGGCCATGCACTATCGTGACTGGGTAAATCTTGAGATAAATATTCTAAGTTCGTCGGCTAACAGTCTTTTTTTTAGCACTATTTCCTACAAAGGCTACCCAAGATGCCCCAACTACGCGCATTATACTTGCCGCGCATTAGCCATTCTGTTCATCGCGGTGAATTGAAAGAGCTCGCCTTACAAGTCCTTGATATTGTTAGCATCCGCCCGGATCTCAAGATCACTTACATCGGGTTGCAATCCAAATGCTACCAGATCATCGAAAAGAATGGCCCGAGCAATCAGTCAGATTCCGATGAACCTCCATCTTCCAACTTCGGCTCTGGTAATGATGGCCTAGGTCCTTTTGAGGACGACACCCAGGATACTAGTGATGATGATCGTGACCCACCTGCGAACAATAACGAGCTCCTTTCGAACGATTTTACTGAATCTGATAGCGAGATGGAGGAGAGCGACACTTCTCGAGTCCATTTTAAGCTCCAGGAAATTCTCTTTTACGACGACAAGATATCCATTTTCAAGGCCCGCCACGGTGTGATTTGACAGCCCTACTATCTGTTTTATGCAATCCCTTTACGTCTTCTCTGTAGTCATTTTTCATTTTTTGTTATTTCCAGTTTTAACAGGCGTTCGGGGCAGGCACTGACTTGGCGTTAAGCATTGGCCCTTTTAAAGTTGCTATATCTTTTAAGATACCATCTGATCACATTTGTAAGCTAGCACGAATTGCATTTTCAAATCTATCTATACCGGCTTTCCTCGTGAAGCAAACTCCATGGCTCATGGATTCCTTAATACCATTCTTGCTTCATTTGTCCGATATCAAAGCAATGATTCCATGCCACTAATACATGACAAACTGATCACAGCAAGAACCCACCATTGGTTCTCGCAAGAATCTCATCGTAATATGGCTGGAACGCCAACCACCCCTTTTCTGGCCCCCCAACCTGCTTCGACGTGAATTCCGCCTCCTCATCATTGATAATCTTCCTCTTATGACCACTCCCCAGCTCAGCCGCGTCAACAAGAAGCTGCGCATGGCATGTCTTGTCCAAACTGATAAACCAAAACGCCGCCTCATCAACACTCCCACCAACCTAAAAACAAAGCGCATCAGAATTTATGCATTCAAAAGGCACCTGGACATGAGATATTTGTATCGTTCTTCTCCACTCACCGTCAGCAACCCATGGTTCTGCAAAATAGCAGCCTTCCCATTCCCAAGCGCCCGTGTAATCCGTTTCCCCTCCTCCCTATCCAGCACCACACCCCCAAACTCCGTATAAACAGCATGACTCTTATAGAAACGCAGCGAATCCTGCGTAATCATATCAAGTTCCCGACCGAACGCACTAAACGCCTTTCCATGGACAGAGTGCGCATGACACGCAGCATTAACCTCGGGTCTAGCCTTATGGATCTCCGAATGAATGGCAAATGCGGCCCCATTGATAGGCTCGTCTCCCTCAACAACCTCTCCGTCTTCGTTGACTAGAATCAGGTCCGAGACTTTGATCAAGGCGAAGTGCATGGATAACGGGTTAAGCCCTGGATGTGGAAAGAAACATTGTCAGCAACCTTGGCTGCAATTGTGTAGATTGGAAGAACTTGGGCGGGGTCATACAGAAGTGATCTGTCAAGATGGGGTCTCGAACAGAGATGTGCCCCGCGACGCCCTCGTCGTATCCTCGATCGGCAAAGACGCGGAAAGCTGCAGCTAGGTGTTGTTTTCGGTAGTTTCTTTCTTCGTGGAGAGTGTCGAATTTGGGGTATGAGCGGATCTTGAGCTTCCGCCCATCTTTCGCTAGACCCATAGCACCAGACGCGACATTGTTGCTGTCTTCCTTTAATAGGACGGTAGCCGTAGGTGCCATGTTTTGGGAGATATGCAGCACGGTGGGACAGTAAGGCTAATTAATTGTTTAGACTAGAAGCTTCCAAATGTTAGTTGAGGCTTCAAATGTTTGGAAATTCGCAAGTTCTATCTCAAATGAGCACCTGTGCGCGTTTTAGTGGGGGTTTGGAGTAGGTTGAATGAGAGGAGATACACATTCATATACATACTAGTATTTCTTCAAATGTTTCTTGTTTTGGTGGATATTTATCCGATGTGCTCCAAAAGATTTTGGGGTTTGCTTACTCTACTTTGAATTCCATTGGCTCAAGTGCTTTTACTGGATACGGAAATATGTCAACTTGTGGCGAACCGCGTGGGCTGTAGCGGTGCGGGGTCTTGACTCTCCCGAGGTTATCAAGTCTTGCACTTCAATGTTAGTATGTGACTCTCCGAATTCAGCAATGTCAGTGCAAAAAGTCAACATTGGATATATTTTGGCGCTAATGTTGACTTCAGAGCTTAGACAGTCCATACTTGGTAAACTTTTGGGTCAATCGCGATCAAAATGATCCCCGATTGGGTTTGCAGTCTCCCTTCGCCGTTCATACTAATTTTGAAATCAAAGCTTCAGCAAACACATTGTTATATCCACTGGCAACTTTCCTTTAGTATGACCTGAGAATAACGAGTACAAACAGGTACTAGCCAGACGAGCCCATGTTGAGTATGGAGTACAATAATTTTGCACATGCTCCTTTGCTGAACACCTTCGCAGATTGTGCACGATGGATACTACACATACAAATACACATCTCAAGGGACTTTGCTCTTTATCTAAAGCTCATCCAGATGTCCCAAGAGCAATTGATACTGCGTTTTGAGGCTTATATCAACCTCTCGTGAACAAATCCGTTTTCCTCCCGGAAGAAATGCATGATCCTGAAAGAGCTACATTTTCTATGAACTGGCCGACCAGATTTGAGACGAATATAACGATTCATACTCAATGGCGCACTTACTTGCGTGAAGCATCTGGAATTTCCCAAGGTTCTGGCTAGAGATAACCTTGCAAGCCCAGACACACATGAGGTAGAAATGCAACTCAACCTATCGACCTCATGAATCTCTATCGTACCGAGGTCGTGCAGCACACTATTGCCTTAAACAGGTTTTGACCAACAGCGTGGCTCATGCAGAAATATGGACTAGAGCATCACAATATTGGCCCAAAAAATCTCAAATCCCGGATCATGGACTGGTGAGTCCCGTGAGTGTCAATCCAGGGGAACATTGAATATTGGCGTGATTGAGAGAACATTGATTGCCTACTTCAATCTTTGGCTTACTTCAGTCCATATTTCAAGGCGTAGGTGGGTACCTGAGCCAGCTACAGATACATGATGTGATGAATTACTATTTGGCATTGGATAAAACAAATAATTGGTTTGATTTAGAAGCCAACTCTTGCAAACACTGCTCAGGAAGATGAACTGGAAAGGGGGTGAGCTTTTCCAATTGTTGCTAGTTTCCAGGTATCTCCTAACGCAGCATGCCCCTTCCTACCAATTGCATACCGATAGCCCTGGAGTCTGAGCATGAAAGAAGAGTTGTCAGACGCATATCGCGTTGAAAAATGCATGATTCCCTACTCCATACTCCGCACACCCAAATACATCCTGACAACAGCGGCTAGCGTCCCCCTAGAAGCAGGGCTGGGAGTCGCCGCATGCCAAGAGAATCCGGTGAACAAGCCGATAGAACTAAGCCGACTTGCCGATCTTGAATATGCAACTGAATCTTCAAAGTTGCTTGATACCACCTCCTCCACCTGGAACGCCACTAACTGGAGACAACTTTAACGACGAAAGACCCTTGACAGTCTCAAATTCTGGTTGAATTATTTTGAAAACACAATTGGAATGATCTCCAGTGGCGATCAATTGGCAATGATGGCCGAAGACAGCCTTACATTTGAATTCTAGAAATACGTTGACGCATGCAGCGATTCAGCCTGAGCACAACATCTAAGCTTGAAGGAATCACAATGCCGAGTCTAAAGTGTATGCATTAACCCTGGCTTATTTCTGGAGAAGGGGTTAGGGGTTCTCTTAAATAAACAATGCCGAATCGACCAACTATTGGAAGTATAGCTTGGATAAAAAAGACTAGAGCGGGTGGGAAGCGGGCGGGAAAGTTCACTAGTGAAAAAGCGGAGGAAAATCACCCCAGAAGAATTGTGACGGGGCCTCCTTACATGATAGATCAACTTACCAGTGACGCAGCCAGTAAGCATGATGATCACCTCGCCTAGCCCCATAACTTGTCATGCCTCCTCCCCACCCAAATACTCGTATTTACTTTTTGCCCGACTTCATCTCTTGACTCTCCCGACATGGGGATACTCAATGAATCTCCCTACCCACGATTTTAAACCCTTCAACAATACTTCCCCAAATCGGTGAACAATACAAGGCATTTTGAAAATTTTTCGAACTAAGCTTCGAATCGAATCGACCCGATCCCGGCTCCGAATACAATGGCGGCCAAAATGCCCCAATCACCAACTACTACATCTTCCTCGATGGAGGCAGGACCTACATCCGAAGTCCAGACAAACTCGACCCCGGACTCGAGCACGCGACTGCCCAGGCGAGGCTCGCGAATCAGAGCCTCGTTCCAAAAATCGCATACCCGCGATGACGAATGGTCCCAGCCCGGCGGAGAATCACCATTCAGTTTCACAGGCTGGCTCCGATCCCTGCGCTCGAAAAGAAAAGACAAAGCCGACGAGCTTGATGCACGGAATAGCGGCGTCGGGTCGCGGAGCGACTCTCCTCCTCGGCTTCCCGAGCTGGGTCTCGACGGAGCGAGGCTGGAGCTGTTAGCCGAGGAAACGGGATTTTCGGGACAGCGATGAGCTTTTGCTTTTGCTTTTGTTGTGAATGCTGTTTTTTTTTTCTTCTCTCTTCCCTCTTTTCGCCCGGAATCAGGGGGGAATAGCGGTGAAGAAGGAGAGAGGCTCTAGTTAGTGGATCTTTGGAGCTTGTACTATTTCTATTTTCGTTTTTCTGTTTTCGATCAGGTATCGGGGAAATCGGGATGCCGATTGTGGATCTATTTTTTTTTTCCAGGCTGGAATTTGCGGGCATCCGGGAAAGAAAAGCGCCTGCAATTGTGATCGCTGGTTTGTTGCGTCGTTGGGGTTTATATTGAGTGTTTTCTTTTTTGGGGGAAATACTACTTACTTGTACTTGCCGAGGCTGGGAAATTCAAACCTTGGAAATTCCGACTGTGTATAGGCTGGAGCCTTGATGATGAAAATCAGTTGCAGGTGGCAACGTGTGGATTTATTTACGGTCGCAATGTTCGGTCATCAATTGTCATGTATAGCAAGCTTGGAATGGATCGATTTCTCTCGTATCGTTTAAATTACTGGTAGCGTTTATAGCGTAAATATACCTGGCGCTTTCAAGTTTGTTGGGGCGATGGCTGGTAGGTAGAAGGTATCCGATAGTACTCACCCCGAGATCTCGCATCAAGATTGAGTGTTCAGATAGAGTAGAAACAGATGACAAGTTAGCTATATTCTTCAACTTTGTCAATGGACATTGTTATCTCGTTCCTGACTTGACGTGCCGACACCCGATCCCATTTGTAATCAATCAGATAAAGCGAAATGTACATTGTACGTATACATAAGAAGAAAATACCATCAATGGGTCAAATAAAAATAAGCATCTCACCGCATATTACCTCTGCACACTTTTGGTTTGTGCTTATTTTATTGAAATGTCGATCACACAAACCGCACAGTGGACAGTAATCCCAAACGGAGGCTGGGAAGGCCTCAACTGTACCTCAGCACCCATAAATAACATCGGGCCCAACGATTGTCTCATTCAGATCCAAGCCGTGTCCCTCAACTACCGCGATGTCGCAATCCCCATGGGAGCCTACCCCATGACGTCCAACTCGGGCATAATACCCTGTTCCGACGCCGCAGGGATCGTGCTCGCCATCGGGAACTCTACAACCCGATTCAAAGCCGGCGACCACGTCTGCACAGCCTTCAACCCAGCCCACCAGTCCGGCCTGACATCCCTCGAAAAGCGCAAGTATAGTCTCGGGAATGTGGCCGACGGAACCCTGCGACAGTACGCCGTCTTCCACGAAGCGGGACTGGTATTAGCGCCGCGGGGTCTAAACATGGTTGAAGCATCCACTCTCTCTTGTGCAGGCGTCACGGCCTGGAACTGTCTCTTTGGCTTGAAAGATCGCGCCCTCGGTCCTGGCGACTGGGTTCTTACACAAGGGACGGGCGGGGTGAGTCTGTTTGCGATACAGATTGCGCTTGCGGCTGGTTCCACGGTCGTCGCGACGACGTCTTCGGAAGAGAAGGCTGGGAAGTTGAGAGCTATGGGCGTGCAACATGTTATTAACTATGTTCAGGACAGGGACTGGGGCGAGACTGCTAAGAGATTGTCGCCTGGTGGGGAGGGAGTTCATCATGTTATTGAAGTTGGTGGGGAGGGCACGATGCCGCAGTCGCTTAGGGCGGTTCGAATGGAGGGCGTCATCTCCCTGGTAGGATTTTTGAGTGGAGCGGGAACTGAACGGAAATGTGGGTTTTTGGATTGTTTGCAGACGATGGCTATTGTGAGGGGAATCACAGTTGGGCCGGTGGACCAGTTTGAGGCATTGAATGCTTTCATTGCTGAGCATGGTATTAAACCGGTGGTTGACCAGAAGATGTTTTCATTCGACGAGGCGAAGGATGCTTTTCAGTATTTGTGGGAAAAGAAGAATTATGGAAAGGTTGTTATTTGTACTTGAGCACTTTCAAGGTTCCAAGGTTGATGCAGTGCTTTATCAAATAACATTCAAACCAGGCCTTCAATGTTGGCACCCATTGTCATTGTAGCCATAGTATATTATGTAATGAGTCCCCATGACAAGAATAATAAGTAAAGATTGCTACATATGTATATGACTTGCTCTCTCCCTACCTTTGTAGCTCAACAACAATAGCCTCCGTAGAAAAGATGTCCAGGTTCAGGAGCCCAGATCTCGGATACACAAGCGTAGACTGCTTCTTTCCAAATTGTCCAAGTCTTCCATGGGTAGTATAGTTCCAACTATGACCACCCCAAGTAATCCCCGTATCAGAGCTAGCCCCAGGCCCAGACAACTTCGTGATCTCCCCCCAGATCACACCACGTGGTACACTGAGAGAAACCTTCCGGGTAGGACGCACGTAGCTCGTCGTGGCATTCCATTCATCAAGATTGATCACGACGTATCGTGCCAAAACACCCGACTCATAGACAGCGTATGCAGACAGGTCCCAGAGACCGAGATCCAATGATTTGACGTGGACTTTATTGTGGCGACCAATTACGTCTGCGGCAACGAGTTGACCATATAGTGGAGGTCTAACGCCTGGTCTTTGGCCGTTGTTCTCCACTGGGACCCAAGCAGCGTACCCGAAGGTAGTTCCTTGGATGAGATTGAAGCGGCTGATACCCTGTAGAGCTGTTAGCTGCTTTATTTCATTGCATTAGGAATCTTTTCCTGGTGGTAGGTTTCATTTACCATGCTCATTCCGTAAAGCAAATAATCGAGCAGCCAAAGCGAGCTTCCGAAAACACCTTCTACTTGTGCCATGTCGAGATTGATATAGTCACTGTTTGTCTCGCCGAGCAGGAATTCGATGCTAGGGTCAGCGGCGTACGTTGCTTCCATGTCGGGTATATACTGAGTTAGATTCCCAGCGATTGCGGTATGGTTCATGAAGGAATCTGAGCATGTAAGATACGGGTCATTTCTTTTGTGCTGGGAAATGACCTACTTTGCAGTCGGACCCAAGCCTGATTTCCAGATGCATATCTACGTTTTATCAGCAAGTGTATAAGAAGTAGGCGAATGGTTATTTTGAAAGGCATACTGGTGCAAAGAAACCGTCTTGACGTGACCGGTGTCATCGATCCCATCATTGAATGCCTTAGCCCTGTATTGGATGAATCAGTAACGAGAAAAGGTAGCACCATTCAACAGTTGCATAAGTCTTACGCAGAGAATCCATCACCCTTGAACACAAATGTCAAAGCCTGGAAAATTCTCCAATAATCCAACCCATAAGAGTTACCCCGCAGGACCTCGTTGGAAATCGCATCTGCGAAATAAGTCCACTCCCGGACGTAGTCCGCTGTCGAGAAATCCAACGGTCTGACGGCACCAGGATATAAATCAGGCTCATTTCCAACTTCAAATGCGACCAGGTTCTCCCTGATATGACTCAGTGCAACTCTAGCCTCAGCAAGGGCATTATCTAACGCGTCGCTCTTGTTATTTGCAAGATTCACCTGGAATGTCCAGGGAACACCGGGGAAACTTTCAAAGCCTTCGAAAAGCGTCGGGCCAATGTAGACTTCGAGAGGAATTCCATTATCGTACTCTGATGAGAGAATGATGGACTCGGTCTGTGAGGCGTTGTAGATGGCCCGGTCACTAGTTTGGGTTGGTTGTTAGTTATCAAACCCCCGCTTTTGAAGTTGGGATCGAATTGCTCACGCCGATGTACCGCCTACGCGGATGTGGGGATAAGCGCCTGTCTTCTTGTGTAGAAGCTCGATGATATCGCGAGAGAATTCATTTGGACTACTTTTGTTACCTGGACCTGTGTCAGTCTGGGCCTTACTTTGACGACTGATGGTTGGTTGATACTTACCGGCGTAGTCTGCGAAGAAATGAATTGGGATCGAGAAGGAGGCGAAGTCGTGTGCCACTATCTGGGACGCATCTACCGATACAGTTGCAGGGGCTTGGATCTTGGTGGTTGTTTGACCTGTAGCGATAGCGGTCACGGCTGGAGCATAGAGAGCCGCCGCCTTGATGCCCTGAGAGAAGCGCATGTTCGAAGATTAACAAACAATGCTTTTCTTTTCTTCACCGTGCTTTTCAGATTTTTAATGGGCCTATCTCCTATTTTTATACCTCAACCGAGGTCTCTATTTACCCCGGACTATATGCTCACATCGGACACTAAAATGATGCAATGGGGGTTTAGGTTCTCGCATCGCGATCCGGTTTGCGCACGGAAGTCGGCTCGGGTACCGCCTGCATTGATTTGGGTGTTGACAAGAACAGTATGGAATGAACGAGACTTTGCGTAGACCAGGTACAAACATTTGCATACGGGAGAAGTTAACCTTGTCATTCCATAATCATAATTCATATCATTGAATACTCCGACCTTGCTACCTAAGTATAAAGAAATCCATCGCTAACCCGCAAATTCCAAGATCCGAAGATGCTCCCGTATAACGTATTGCTAAAATAAAACATTCAGACAATCCCGCGGTGTGGGCTGAGTAACTCTCGCTCCACGAGCTGCGCCTCAATGGCACTTCGACGAGTCTTTTCATACTCGCTTGAGTTATCTTTGAAGACATGATCCATCTGCTCGAGTGTACGACCCTTGGTCTCGGGGACGAAATAGTAGGTCCAGACACCAGAGATTACACAGAAGACGCCGAAGAAAACATACGCTCCGTATCCGGTGTCTTCGACCAAAGGGGGAGTAATGAGACCGATGATAAAGTTGTTGCCCCAGTTGGAGCAGGTGGCTAGGGCAACACCCTTTGCGCGGAGGGAGGAGGGGAAAATCTCGGCTGGAAGCGCCCAGGGGATTGGGCCCCAGGAGGCACCAAAGGCGACCATGTAAAAGAGTAGGAAGGCTGCACTGGTCCATCCTTGGGCCTGATGGGTTGACCAGTCAGAGCTGTAGATACCCACCAAGGCTGCGATGATGATCATTGCAATGGCCATGAGGGCTGAGCCGACCATTAAAAGCTTGCGGCGACCGATGCTGTCCATTGTGAAGATACTGGTTGTTACACCGACCAGCTGTAGGACGTTGAGGACACCGGACATGACGAGTTGCATGCTCGAGTCTAGTCCCATGGTGCCGAACAGGGTGGGAGAGTAGTAGATCAGTGCGTTGATACCCACGAACTATAAGTCTTTATTAGGATGGGATGTCAGAAAGCATTGTGGCTATAACTTACTTGTTGGAAGAAGCTAATCATGATACCGATATGGGTTCGTCGCCAGCAACCTTTTCTGAAGCAATCGCCCCAAGATGCAAGCTCCAGCAGGAAAGAGTCCTTGGCGCTCCCGCTTTGCAAGTTGGGGTGTTTCTCGGCATTCATTTCTTGGTGGAATTGTACCTCCGCTTGGATATCCAGGAACTCTTGACGAATACGGCGATCTGTGTCGGGAAGGTTGCGCAGTTTGCAGAGACTCTGCAGGGCTTCTTCATTGCGGCCCTTGGAAGCCAGCCATCGGGGAGAGAATGGAAGGATTGCCACACCACCAACGAGAATGAATCCGGGAATCATCTGCAACAGGAAAGGGAGACGCCATGCCCATTCTCCCGCCATGTATCTGGTGGCATATGTGATCCAGTAAGCGATAACAATTCCAAGCACAATACACCATTCCTCAAGAACGAGCAGTGTTCCACGGCATTCTGGGGGACCTAGTCAAGAAGAAAGAAATGTTAGTTATCGCCCAATGGAAAATACCCCGATGGGATCCAAGTAAGTGACTTACTAATCTCGGAGATATACAATGGTGCAACCATGGACAACATGCCAATGCCCACACCACCTATCAAACGAGCCACAACCAACATCGAATACTCCACCGCGGCAGTCTGCAGGACAGATCCAACGGTAAAGATGGCGACGGCAACCAGAATGGAGTATCGTCGCGAGATCTTATCGGCGATCCAACCCTGATTCAAGGCGCCTAGCAGTGCACCCAATTCAATCATGGCAGTCAGTAGACCCTTCCAAAACCCCGCACCCGAACCTGCAATGCGCGGGAACTCTTCCAGGAATTGGTCCATCACCAAGATGACAGAGACAACACCTTGGTCATAACCAAAAATCAAACCACCCAGCGTTGAGCACGCAGCACACATGAGCACGAACGGATTGCTCGCCAGTCCCCGCAGACCCGCGGGTCCATATGGTTCCCGGTCTGCTGTGATGTGTTCTGCATGATGGGTGAAGCCCTCGATGACACCGTCGTCGGGCGAGAAGGTTTTGGATATTTCTGGCTGATCTGCCATTTCTTGGGAGGAAATGGGAATTTGGTAATAGAAAAGTTGTATATGAGAACTGGAGAGAAAGAAATAAGAAAGGATTGAACCCTTGGAAGACCTGATTGAGAAAGAGGGAATTCCACCGAGCTTTGAGAATGGGCTAGAAGGAATTTCCCGGGTATATTTATACAAGTTAGAAATTCCAATTCCATGTCTGGGGCTTGGAAGCTGGCTTCCCTATCGCGTATCCACCCCCTCCTTTTTCGACATGTTGTAGACCAGTCTCTAGAAGAGTGGATGCTGATTGGACGATTATGCCATAGGCCGATGTGGTTTTACGGGGACAGGTCGGGGGTGGGGTGCGCGATGACGGCAATGAGCGTTGGAATTGGGACTAACTGGAAAGGTGCCAAGGCCGCATGGGGAAAAGACGGGGTTGATCAGCGACTAAGGTTAAGCGTGGGGTAGCGTGGGAAAAGCGTAATCGGGTGAGACCGATTGGAGTCTTTTGAGGCGGCTATTGGCCAAGTCTTGGGATTGGCAGGGTCTGAGTTGCAGAAATCATGAATGCCTGCAATAGCATGATATTCAAGAACCAAGAGGTTAATACTAGGACCAATCGTGTAAATAAATAAGACAAATAACATTCTTGTAATTGACACACACTCTCTCTCCAACATCACCGTTATGTATCCCCCATTCTCAACTAGATTGGACTGGGGTTAGCTTATGGTACATTTTAGTCTCGGTCTCACGCCGAGAACTCAATACGACCCCTGTTTTACCAAGAAGTCCAGATTTCAAATAAGAAAAATCCCACTGCAGGTCAGAAGGCTATACGAATATCCGGTCACGCCGTCACCATCGGGCCGCAATACAAGAATGATGGAATCCCGCGACAAAGCGGCTGATACTACACCTGACCCATTACTAATGGAAGAGAAGGACTTGAATGGCTTTATAATTTATAGATGATGAACCCCTGGGGTATCGTCTTTTCCATATTGTAAATAAGTAGTGGATTGTTCTGATTTCTGATTATTCTTGTTGGACCATTCGAATTTCGGCTTCAGTTGCCCCTCTTCCTGTCCGCCTTTCCAGTGGATCCAACTTCCTGCTTATTTCCCAAATCTCGGAACTTCAAGCCCGATCCTCTTCCCTCCATCTTTTATTTACGGATTCCAGTTTCCGTTCCAACGACGTCACTCCTGGGTTACACCTTACGCGCCTTCACCAAACCATAAACACCCACACACCATGGCCTCTTTCGTGGAAGAGCTGTGGTCGAGCGTCTTCACGCCAGGCCCCACCCCAACACTGTTGATCGCAACAAATGCCTCCTTCGCCGCACTCCAGCTTGTCTTCTTCGCCCTCCTCTTAGCCACCTATAGCATCCACTTTGTCGTTCTCTCCTTCTTGAGCGCCGGTCTATGGTACTCCATCAACTGGTTCGCGCGTGAAGTAAGCGCCGTGCAGCGAGCACAGGAAGCTGAAAAGAAAGCACAGGCCGAGGCAGAAACAACCGGATCCGAGAGGAAGAAGGATTCCGTGGACAGTGCCGACAGTGAAACAGAGACCGAGTCTTTGGCTGGCCAGAAGCCCACCGCTGTGACAACTGGAAGTGCCGTGTCTGCGAGACTTCAGCCGACCGAGGAAGATCCTAAAAAGCGCATCAGTGCTGGTGGCGATAGCTCTGGATATGGCAGCACTGATAGCGAGTGGGAGAAGGTCGAGGATAACTAGACGGGGAGTTAACACTCCCCTTGTTGAAGACCTGGGAATGATCTACAATGTGATATTGGCAAGGTTCCTCCATAAATGAGAACCCATTTATTCATGGCCTGTTTATGCTCTACGGACTTTGATGTCCGAGGTGACACGATACCCCCCCCTTGTCATATGTTTGTTCAGCGTTGCACCCGATTTGAGTTGCACATTTGCTTGTTGTTTTTTGCCTTGGGCGTTGTTATTCCTGGAATCCTGCCGCATCAAGCCACATGGGTCAGTCTCACGCTCATTTGCATCCAGCGATCCAGCATTACATATAGTTCCTGTTACTCTATACCAACAGAGAAAGAATCTATATATTCATCTTACTTGAATAGTTTTATGTAGATTATATATATCGCAAGCAGCTTAAAATGTCCAATCGCGTACTGCAAGAATGGAGAATCACGTGACCACGCGCCGAGCATCATGGGTATCCCCAAACTCACATTCAACAACACAGCTTGACACCTCGGATTGATTTGATTCAACTCCAGATCTTGCACCTCACAATGCTGAAACTACCCTGAGCGCCATGATATCAACAATCCCCCTCAGCGCGGGACGCCGACGCGTCTTTGGCTCCGTCTTCTCCCCCGCGTCACTCGAAGCTCGGCCACCATTCGCATCCAATTCAAACGAGGGGACTCCGAACGCCTCCTTTCAATCGACCTCAACAGTTCGAAACGAGTCATTTGGATCAATCTACCAGCCCTTGAACAATACTCCAGACCGACTAGCATGGGACCAAGCGTGGTCTGCCGCAACGGCTTTCCTATCCGTACCCGATCGAGGGTTTGCGCCCATTTACGATTACAGAGAGACCGATGGGAGCGAACTCTTAAATAAATGGAATCGGGTCAGCCCTCCGTCCAAGGAAACTGGAGAGGCGCTGGCATATTTGACAGCTGCCGCGCAACACGGACAATCGGCACAGAATAATTTATTTGATTGGTATGGCGACGAGATACGGAGACATTTTCTCACAAATCTTCGGACCGAGCTCTTTGAAGTAGGATCATTCTTGCGCGATATCAAGGCCATGTGCATTGCTGACTGGGAAATAGCTTCTTGTCCGCCCTGAGAAGGAGGGTCTGCTAAGGACAATCGTGGACTGTTTGCAACTGGCCCGGAGAATCTACCTTGCACCCATCGTGCACTACTTGATGCCTCTCATACCGATATCCGAACAAGGGCGCATTTTAACCCAGACACAACGAGTTCTTCATACAGTTGTTTCATATTCATTGCCTTGGGAACACATCTCAACACTACTGGCTGGCGAGCTGTCACGAGACGCGCTTGTTATTATGGGCATTGATACACTGGTCGAAGATTCAACCTCAGAGGATGTCAGCCAGGATGGTATGGAGGTAGACCGACAATATTCCGTCTCGTATGAGGATTGGAAATCGAGCGATTCAGATGCCCAGGCACGGATTATGACTGAGGGAGAGCCTGGATCTGTTACTGTGGCTCGTGACCGACTTTTGGCTTTCCTCAATGGCTTGCAACTCGTGGGACTTGGTGGAGACAAGGCCCAGAAGGTTTTTGCCAGCGTAATGAATGTAATGATGACTGCATTCGTGCGCGCGGCATACACCGGTGCGGCTTATAATGGCCGATGGGAAAGGCCAACGTTGGTTGCCCAGCATTTAAAACACTGGGTTGAAAATATCTTCGCTAGGCTTGCAGTTCAAGTACTGGCAATTATTCACACGCCTCCTGCTGGTAATCAGATGGCGGGTGCCATGGATGTCAGTTTTGGAGACGTGGAGAAGTGGCAAGAGATTGCTATTGCCCGGTTGGGTGCTCTCCGAACTAGTGAGCTTTTTGATGTAATTGTGGAATGGCCTGTGAGCTCTGGTGCCATTGAGGACTTGCGACATTTCACAACACATCCTGCAGCTAGAGCACATGTCACGCAGTCATTCATTGCCATCCTAAACCAACGTCTTTTACACCCTGGTGCCTCCACAGTTCAGATCCTGCAACTGTACATCTCAATTATTCGCGCTTTCCATCTCTTGGACCCGAAGGGTGTGCTCCTTGATCGGATTGCCCGACCCATTCGACGTTATTTGAGAGAACGTGAGGATACAGTGCGGGTTATTGTCAGTGGTCTACTGGCAGAGCCATCATCCACTGCCGCCACGGAGGCACCGTCATTATCTTCCGGAGATACTCTGGCAGAATTGGCGACGGAGTTGACAAGGGCACACCAGCTGTCCATGAATCAGCATGACAGTGAGCTTGACTGGAATGACATGAACTGGATGCCTGACCCCATTGATGCTGCGCCTGACTATCGGAAAGCAAAAGGCTCCGATGTTATTGATAGTCTCATTAGCCTGTTCGACTCGAAAGAAACCTTCGTCAAAGAATTGCAAACTCTCTTGGCTGATCGCCTCTTACAGAAGCGTGAGGAGTACGACCAAGAGATTTCAGTCCTTGAACTCCTCAAAGTGCGCTTCGGTGACTCGGCTCTACAGGCGTGCGAGGTAATGCTTCGCGATATCCATGACTCTCGCCGTGTCGACGTCGTTGTACGCAACGATCAAGGATTCAACAAGCAGCCCTCACGCTTGACCTCCAAGCGAGTTCCAAGACGAGACATACCGGAGCTTCACACCAAGATCTTGTCACGCTTCTTTTGGCCCGAGATCCAAGACCAGGAATTCAAGGTTCCAGCAGAGATTCTCTCTCTACAAGAGAAATATTCCGAAGGCTTCGAGGCTCTCAAGCAATCTCGCAAGCTTACATGGCGTAACGGTCTCGGCCAAGTCAATGTTGAACTGGAGCTGGGCGACCGTTCATTCGCAGATGAAGTCACCACCTGGCAAGCTACTGTAATCTACGCCTTCCAAGACAACTCCGACGAGCCAGTCACGAAAACCGCATCCGAGCTCGCGGACTCTTTGGAAATGACACCACCCCTAGTCCGCAGTGCCTGTCTCTTCTGGGTCAGCAAGCGTATCCTCACAGAAGTCCAACGTGACACGTACCGGGTTCTTGAATTCCTCCCCACCGAAGACAGGCACCGCGCAGTAGGTGAGTCCGGCTCAATGGCCGGAGACGACAATCCGACCGACGATGCAGAAAACGCCGCAGTTGCAGCTGAAGCTGCTGCCGCTGCCGCGGCTAAGGAAACGGCTGAAGCGGCCGCTATGGAGAAGATGAACCTCTACTGGCAGTTTATCTGTGGAATGCTCACGAACCAAGGCTCCATGCCTTTGCAGCGCATTGTCATGATGCTTTCCATTGTTGTTCCCGGTGGATTCCCCTTTAGCCACGAGGAACTGCGCGAGTTCTTGGCTGGTATGGTGTCAAAAGGAAAACTGGAGATTGTTAGTGGGGGCAGTTACAAGCTTGTGCATTAATATGATAGTACTACTCGAGTAGCATTTTGTCCGGCGTTGCTGGTGGCTTTTTTATACCCATGAATGATGAGCTATCGTTTCAAATACCCTCGATCTGTCTAGTAAGCCTGGTATCGCTACTATTAGTCCTACTATTATGTACACGGCTGCTTTCCACCTTCGAACCCTGCTGTGATTGGTGCATCTACATAAAAAGCAATATAGTGGGTTCTGCACGCATCCAAGATCTCCATGCAGCAAAATGGATCTCAAGTCCCCAACCTCGAAAGACCAATCACATCCAGAGAAAACAAGCTCAAAGCTCAATGAAGAGAAAAAAAAAACCTACAAAAACTTCAAGAACCAAAAAGCCAAAGGAATAATCATAATTCCACAAAGTAAGATATCTACAAATAATAATCATAACACATAAAAATATCCAGCCCCAACTTTTTACTCCGCATCAAGCGGCGCAACAGGCGCCTGATCATCAACCTGAATACCCCCCCTCTTCTTCTCATTCGAGTCCCAAAAAGGCAATTTCCACCCGCCCTCATTCTCAGGCGTCGCAAGCCACAACCGCATAAGATGGCGGCGCGGCGCAGGCGGCGCATGATCCGTGTACGCCGTGCGCGCGTGCAAAATATGCGAGTTAGCCAGGAACTGGATGTCGCCGATATCAAGGATCATGTGCAGACTGAGTCGGTTGCAGGTGTCCTCGAGCACCTGGATCGCGTCAAGCTGGGCTGCGCTGAGCGGGGGGATGATGCCTGCGTCGGAGAAGCGGCTAAGTGAGCGGACGTAGTAGGGGTCCCACCTGAAGAGAGAAAGGGAAATGTTAGAACATGCATGGTCTTTTTTGGGGGTTGGGCTGGGTTGTGCCTTACTTTGTGTATACGCGGCCATTCTCGCCTCGCTCGAGGTACACGACGCTTGTGCGGATGAACTCTCTCTCGCCCGTGCTTGTCTCGCCCTTGCGGTCGAAGTACCAGATTGGCTCGGTGAGGGTCTTCAGGATGTCGGGACGCTCGGCGGCGAGTGTGTTGTAGACGTTGTGCGAGGAGACGAGGTCTGATTCGCCGCCTTCCAGGGCCTTGGCGATGCAGAGGAGTCCGACGATGTCGGAGTCGTCGGCGTGGAAGAATTGGCTGATGGCGGGCCGGGGGATTAGCGGGGGATTTTCTTTGTTTGAACTTTCGGGGTTCTTGCGGTGCTGGAAATGCATATGCGTGCAGCGTGGACTTTCACTTACCGGGCGTTTGTCCGGTAGATGCGGACCTTGTCGATCTGCGTGGAGTCTTCGCCGAGATCCTTGACGTGGCCGAGCACATGGCCGCGGCTGTTCTGGCTGACGAAGTAGCCAAGGTATGTGCCCAGGCCCATGTATGCGACGGCCGACTTGTGGTTACCCCATAGTTGGACGGGGAAGCCCTTGAACAGGATGAAGCCCTTGCCGTCGATCAGGTCGAGACGGAGCTTCTCCAGGTATGGGGCTAGGACGGGGACTTGGAAGTTGCTCTGCGCGCGAGATTTAGTTGGATGTGTACTTTCTACATATGTGTGCGCGTGGTTATAGTTCAAGGCGCAGCAGTAGCAGTGTAGATAGCACGGACCTTGGAAATACCGGTGAGCGGGGTCTTGGATGCAAGGAAGGCATCTGCGGCGTTGCTTAGTTCCTCGATCTGGTCGGAGGTGAACTGGTGTGTCCATGTCTCTGGCTTGGAGCGATATTCCTCCGGGTTCCAGACTGTAGGACCGGTGATCTGCTTGGGGAACTTTTCAAATGGCAGGATGTGGTCGTAGAGGGGATCGTGCTGGCCGGTTGTCCTTAGTCCGTCGGGGAAGATATGGAGCGGGGCTTCCTTGGCGAGATTGTGCGGCGCAATAGGCGCGGATGCGGTGGCAGCGGGAGCCATGGTGGATGGTGGTGTGGTTTGTGATGATGCTTCTCGCGGGAGCGGGGAGGAGTATACGAGGGAAAGGAAAGCTGGGGTAAAAGCGCTTGGATCTCGACTGGTCGTGAGAATGATGCGAATGGGCTCGTCGGGACTATTTATACTTTTTATTGTGTCTGAGATGCACATGTGTTTTTACCAATGGCATATTATGGTCATTGTCATCCTATGGTGATGTATCTAGTGGACAATATGGCGTGCGAGGCTTGCGATCCACCCATGGGATTGCGAATAAGTTGGAGTAGACATGCGAGCATTTGAGTGGGGCTTGCTTGTCCAAGGATTATTAAGGATTTACCTGAGTAAGACCAGTGGGAATGACTTTTGACATTGTCGAATACGATGATTGGGGGAAGTCTGTGGGCGATGGCGCAATTTGCGGAGGTGAATGTTGTGATGGCAGTCGATCGCATTGGATCGCATTTCCCGACGGCATGTAACCCTCGACATTGTAGATTGATAAGTTCAACGCTTGGCTTATTTGTACGAATATACCACAGATATTGAATTGCAACTTAGACTGAAGAGTAATAACATCAGGGCAAAATAATTGGCCTATACTGGTTCTAGTACTCGACGTTGAATTAAAGATGAGCAAGTTATAGTACGGTCGGCCATCACCAATCAACATCTGAATCTCAATCTCCAAGGGAACATCAAATCCACGGTTCCCTCTTCTGTAGGCTCACTCGGCCGATAGATGGATTTATCCATATCTCCAGTCAAATCTCGTTACGATCACCGTCATCCAGTCGTGTTCGCCGACGAGCCGATAGCTCGGAATAGAAGGCGATACGCGCTGGAACTTTTAAGGGTAAAGGTGTGCCCGTTCTCTCTCGTGCGAGAAGCATAGGTCATTATTGTTATGATTAATCAAGGAGATCGTTTGGAAGGTCAAAACCGGAACATTTCAGAAGGCTTGAAATTGGCTGGCGTCTTAACCCGCAAGTACTAAATTTAAAGTGGTAGACATCTCCTCACACAACGTACAAGTAATAACCCTCTGCAGATCTGCCATCTCGTCTGTTGGTTTTGCTTGTTTTGCTTGTTTTGCTTGTTTTGCTTGTTTTGCTTGTTTTGCTTGTTTTGCTTGTTTTGCTTGTTTTGCTTGTTTTGCTTGTTTTGCTTGTTTTGCTTGTTTTGCTTGTTTTGCTTGTTTTGCTTGTTTTGCTTGTTTTGCTTGTTTTGCTTGTTTTGCTTGTTTTGATGATTTGTGATTTATATGACTTGATCTCTAATGCTTGATCTACGGGTACTAGTACTGATTGAAGAAGCAAATTTCTTCAGTTCTATTTCCAAATCTCTGTGATGCCATACTTGTTGAGGTATAACAATCTCGGGAGTTAACGACTGCGGCCGAGCTTGAAAATTGGCAGCTGGTCAACCAAGGCAAGCGACCACTGTTGGTTCATATTGCCAGCTCATGTCATTAAAATTTCCCTCTACTAGTCAACTGACCAACTGATCAATCTCATTCGACACAAGGCAGGGATTTGGCTTCCTGTTCGGGATGCTTCTCTCCACCCGATTACTCACAGAAACCCTTATCAGGCATGCTGATCCGACGCCCTATCAGTGGCATCGATGGGGATGAGTCAGTACAATTTCTCCAAGTTTGAGGTACACTTGATATACTCAAATATTTTGCTGCACTACATATCTCATATTCAGCATCCATATCAGGCATCACACCATCAATACCCCAGAGCCTCAGAACCTCAGAACCTGCAGACTAACAGCACTCACCCCCGCAATACAATCAGTGTACTACTGCATCTAAACCTTCCCATGGCAAACCAAATCCACGTCGCCGTTTTAGACACCGATGTCCCCTGCCAGACTGTATACGCCCAGCGCGGTCTTTACAGCTCGCAGTTTCGAGTTCTGTTACAATCAGCCGCTGAGCGAGTCAACACAAACGCAGAACTACAACTCCAAAATGGTCCGCTAGCTGTGTATGTCACGGCCTTTGATGCCGTTGGAGGTACACTCCCACCTCTGGAATATCTACGATCCACTCCCCGCTCTCCAGCAGACTCTAAAGCACGTGGTCCATTCAGCGCCATCGACGCAATCCTAATCACAGGATCTGCATGTTCAGCGTACGATCCTCACCCATGGATTCGGGAACTCGAATCCTTTATTCAAATCGTGCACGAGAATTTCCCGCACGTCAAGATGTTCGGGTCCTGTTTCGGACATCAGATTATCGCCCAGGCTCTTCTGTCAGGATCAGCTACCAAAAATAAAGCCGGAACTGAAAATGAAACTCATTCGCAGCCTCACTCAACATTCCACGTCGAGCCTTCCCCTCTCGGCTTCGAGCTCGGCATTCAACCTATAATTCTCGACCCATCTTTCACGGCGAACTTCCCAGTGCTAGCACACCACACCTCATCTACTTCGCCATTCCGTGTTCAATTAGTCCATGGCGACATTGTCGTCCCTACCCCAGCCGCAAAAGCCGCCGCTTTAGCTGCAGGGCAAAGCGAAATTCCACTGCCTCCAGGCTGGATGAGTATTGGTCACAGCGCCGCATGCGATGTCCAGGGACTTTATTATCCGGGTCGCATCTTGACTTACCAGGGCCACTTTGAGTTCGATGTGTTTACAAACCGCGAACTATGCATCGAGTTTGGACGGCGCTCTAACTGGCCTACTGAGTTGGTTCAGCGATATGTTGAATGGATTGAGCGCGCTCTTGTCCCCGGTGCCGAGGATGATGATGATGCGAAAGCTGCTGCAGAGGCTGTACTGATCTTTTTTGCTGGTGAAGATCAAACGCAGGCCGCAGAGAATTCTTCTGCACTGGGATTGGGATTGGGATTGAAGTTGGGAGGCCTTAATGCACCTCATGGGATGCTTACGCCTCCTCTTGAATGAGTTGTTGGAAACTGCAGTGCCCGGGCAATGAGCCCTTTTTTCATTTTCCAATTTTTTTTTTTAAAGATTGCATTGCGGCATGTCATGTCAATTGCCAGGGTGGTTAAGAGGTTTGTGGTATATGGAGCATGAAACACGGTGTTTCGGTGGTGACGACGGGATTGAGTTGAGTGGCATGCATGACGAATGCGATCAAGCTGCTCGGGGGAATAAGCCATTTTCATCTTACAGCTTAGGCAACAGGAACAAACAGCAAGGACTCAGCTTGCTAGTTTGCATTGTGTGAAACAGGGTTAGAGTAAGCAAGACTGGGATCAACGGCAGGTGCCACCCCCCTCTCCCCTGAACAGTGGCGATAACGGAAAAGAAAAGGGTTGGTTGCCTTGATGAATGGCGGGCTGAAACGCAGCTGGTATGTTGAGTCTGCAAGGAATTGATTGGGATTCGACATCAATTGGGATGGGTACTTACCTTATGTACATACTGTCAATAATGCATGTTGGAATAGAGATGGAAGATTTGAAATAGATAGAATTCCAAGATCAATGTTCAAATTTCATGACCGTGTAGTAGGTAGTATGTGAAAATACATGGCGAAGCTACATGTAAGCTAATTCCCAGCCTCAAGCTCCACGAACCGAACTGCCTGGCAAAAGATCGCCGGTGGTAGAGCTACAGTAGGAACGACCTTCCAGAACCGAGCTGAAGCTCCGTAACGGTAATGGTAACGTTGTTTCAATTTCTAGCTCGACACACGACACACGACACAGCTCCACCGGTCTCCGCCCCGCCGCTTCGGGACAAAGTCCACCCCCGACACCTAAGCCTGCTGAAGCCCGGGGGGAGATGGGCCCAGGTCGAGAACAGCGGTGTTAGCCTAGATGGATTTAGCCTACGTGGTTTTACGTGTGTGTATACATATTGGACCCTATTACGGAGCAAGCACTCCATTTATACCCACAAACGGAGTACGGAGTAGACTTTGCAAGTACAATCAGGCAAGCTCCAAGCACCGGAAAACGGCAAAAAGCAGAGTTTTTTTTCCCACAGTAGCTGATCCCCCCTCCAGGCCTCCTGCACAGCCATCCACATCCGGGATGGCGCCCTTGCCGCCGAGTCCGGTGACGAATCATAGGGCGGGTAATAGGCACCGCGGGACTCCACCGTGCGCGAGTCGAAGCCAATCATATTGCTTTGGTCTTTGCTCTTCATCGGCATGTGCCCCCGGTGGAGAGCGGTTATACAGTGTACCGGGACTGTGTGTAATTACGGGACTCTTACCGTGACCTATTTAGAGTTGGAGCTGCGAGTTGGAGGGGTACCTGGTATATATAAAATATTATTAATAGATGAGCTTTGTAGAGATTAGTTAAACGATTGGTGAGGTTCTTTGACGAGTTTTAGAAAGAGCTTTTTTTTTCACCTGGAAAGCTAGAGGGGGATTCAAAGGCAGAGAGGCAATACTAACTCAAGACTACACAGCTAACCATCAGCCGCGGTATGCAGGTCCCACTAGGGAAGGTCAATAGCTTCTTTGTTGTTTTTTTTTTTTGCTTCTGCATTTCCAGATCTATAGATCGGGTTTCTTGTTTCTTGTTTCTTTCATTGTTTCATTACTTTTGATCTGGTCTCTTTTGATCTTTTTTTTTTTTTACTTACGCCATGACTTGCGTTTCTCTGGACGGTAAGATTACGGTAACGTGGCGCTAAAAGGCCTTGGTATTTGCCACTCGGAGCTCCCCTCCTTTCCAACCCAGAGCTTCTGGAATCTCGAGCTCGAGCTGGGGAGAGCTTCGGAGGGGCCACTGATAGCGCCTATCGCAACTACCCCCAACGTTTCTACACAGCTCTATCTCAGGTTTCTAAGATCAACCGTAGAACATCGGACGTTTGAAATTTGGGGAAATGAGTTAAGATGGAGAAGACCAGAAATTCCCAAACTTCCCAAAATTCAAATTTTTCAAATTTTCCCAACGCTACGGCGTGGCACCGAGCTTTCCGAATGGTTTGGTCGGGCGCCGTAATTATAGAACCAAATGACCATACACTTATCTGGAAAATCTCCAAGCTTGAATAACCCATGTCATGCATGCATCCCCCCTCTTTTCTTAGAACAAAGAACGAGACTTGAATAATTAGAGTCGCATCAAGTCGAATATAGAGGTGGAAAGGTTGACACTAATTCAAGTAACAAGAGCTACAATCTATAATAAGGAAACTTGGGAAATGCAAGCGGGGGGGATATAATACGTTAATTACGGTAAATACCCACGGCTACAAGGAAGCACCGCACTACCACGATGGCGGATCGAGTCGCTCAATGTACTTGTACACTTTCCTCTTTCTTTTTCTTTTCTCCCCGTCAAGAAGAAACGAGAGAAAAAGAGAGCAAGCCAATCCTGGCGAATCTTCAGCCCTTTTGTGAACTGTAACTCTTTTTTCCCCTGCACTTTTTTCCCTTCCTTTCCCTTCTTTCCCTTTTCCCTTCCCCCCCCCCTCAAGAGTGTGTGAGGCAGAGAGAGGGTCCTTTCGCCCCCATATATGCACCATGCCTCCCCGAAGCTCGTTGACCAGTTCCTTCTCGGTCACCGATGCCAACAATGAAGTTGTTTGCCCTTTGAAGAATAACGATGGTTCCAATTGTCGCAAGCGATGCTTGGGAGTGAGTCTTCTTCTTTCCCCTCCCCCCTCCTTTCCAGCCCCACCTGTTATCGCCATCCGCTCGTCCACAAATGCGGCAACTTTCTTAGGACGACAAGAAAGATCGAAAATTTTGCCATGCATATCCTTGAAATATTTATATAAACTGCTCTGGTAGACCTGTATCTGTCGAGTCTAATCATTCCGTCGCAATAGGAAAAGCGCTATCGCTCCATGCAGGAGCATATCCGACGTGCGCATCCGAATCACTACATCCCGAAGCTCCCGGCTACCGAAGAGAGCTTCCTTTTGATGGTCAATACCCCACCGGAGCAAAGAGTGCATCTTTCACCACCAGATCCTGCTCCTCCGCGACGTCGACATGGTTAGTTGGTAATCTGTTTGTCTGCGGAGCCCCGGATGACTGACGGCTACCTACAGATGTGGCGGATAGGGACATCTACGTCGCTGACGCCAGCTCCCCGGCCACCCCGCGAGCTCTTGATGAACCACACCCGGCTGCGGCCACCGCAGCTGTTGCGTTGGCACAATTGCATCACCATCGCCTAGCTTCTGACTGGGACACAGACATGGTATGAGTTGCTCCTTTTTTTTTTTTTTTTTTTTTTTCCTTTCGCTCTCACTTTCCCTCTCTTATTGCCCCGCGTGATCCCGGTCGCTGATTCATCTCCCCGCAATTTTTTAGGACACTCACTCCGACACCGATATCGCTCACGGTCCAATGCGTTCATCGATTGAATTGCCGTCGCTGCGCGACCATTTTAAACAAGAATCTCTGCCTCCGTTTTCAGCGCGCCCGCGAGGCCTTCTTCCATCAATCCTGAATCATTCGCCGCCCGGTCGCTCATCTACTTTGCCCCCCATTCAACGCAAAGAAAAGCTTTCTCGCCCTCGCAAATCATCAATTACGCAATCGGCTCGGAAACCCAAGCATGAACGCCAAAGATCAAAGGAGTTTGGTCGCCGACCCAGCCTGGGCGACCGTAAGGCATTATCTGCGGAACCTCAAACAGCAGCTTGGGCGCAAGGCAAGCGCTGGGAAGATTTGATTGAAGCGGCGACGTCAGCAACAGAGGTTGATGATGAACCGTACTCCGAGGTAAGTTGGAAGTTACTTTGCTGTGACTTTGGTGTTCTCTTCCTAACGCTCTCAGGCTGGTCGATCTCCAACTATTGCTCCACTGCTCGCCAACATCACATCGGCACCATCTGGTCCTAAGAATCGGTCTTCTCTACCCCCGGCCTTTCAATCTGGAGGACTCCCTCCTATTGGGACGCACAGAGCTTTCCCACCCCATTATGCTGCGTCACCTCTGCACAAGTCACTTACCCCGCCACCATTTGATGGCCCCCGAGGCCGCGACAGCGACATGGAACCATTCCCATCGATTGAATCATCTCTCGACTCAATGTCCTCGGCATCTGGAAAGAACTTCCCCTCGTCATCATCTGGGGGTATGGCTCATTCCGTAAACTCAGATACTAGTCCAGTTCTCAATCTTATCCCCCCCATTTCCCAACGCCAGCACCACCGATTTTCGAACCCCACCCCGGCTTCTTTCCGCAATAAGGAAATTCAGATCTACTGCTCACACTGCAAACGACCGTGGGCCTTGAATGAATGTTTTGCCTGTACAGAATGCATCTGTGGTGTTTGTCGCGAATGCGTCCCCATGTTCGTCGCCAGTCCACCAACTTCCTATCGCAGTCCAGGCAATGGTTCCATGAACAATCTTCAACCAGGACCAACCAGCTATCCAAGCGTTCGAGGGTGTCCTCGGTGCCGGACAGTTGGAGGAAGGTGGAGAGCTTTCCAGCTAGACTTCAAGTGATCCATCGACCTGATGGACTTGATGGTTTTATGCATGTTATGACTAACGCTTGATACATGGTCGTTCTTCCGTTCTTTATTCAACTTATATTTCATGACCCTTCATTTGGCGACATGACAAGACCGGAGTCATTGAGACTGGCGGTGTCGCCCCATTCATATTTATTTTCGGCACATTTCTCTGAACATCATGCAAAAGCTGGTTCTTTTACGCAGATGGTCTTTCCTTTCATTTGGTTGGTTTGGTTTGGTTTGGTTATCGTCGAGTGGCATCTCCGGGGGTTTGGTATGTTCATGTTTTTATGTGTGGTTTTTTTTCCTTATATTCATCTGCTTGGATGAATGCGCCGGATGTGGGCTTCTTGCGTTTATCGCAGATCGATATGATTGATAGAACATCAGTTTTGATGAGAAGTGCAAATAATGAACCATCTAGTCGTGATTTATAATGCTTCCATACCTACTAATAGGTATTGCTAGACTAATCGTGATTTGTATAGGGTCAAAGACGGGTTAATCTCCTTAACCCGAGGAGCCATATAGATACATGATTGATATGGATCCTTTGATGTCCTTGCAGACCCGGGTGGAACCAGACCCCCAAAGTCCACATGTGCAAGATTACCCCTCATGTTAACAACCCTGGCGTACCTAAGGTCCCCATCATCGTCAGTCCTGGGCATTATTTGATCCGTACCAAAACCAGAGATATCAAAGAATTATGACATCCACAAACAGAAACACTTTGCTTTATGTGGATGGAAACCTTACCTTTGGATTCCCACAAGAGGATGCGCCTTTATTAGAGCCAGAAGATGGTGAGCTATTTATCGAGATGCTCTTTTCAGGAACCAACCCCGCAGATGGCAAACACGCGACTCTGCTTGGAATCTACCCGGCTACTTGTTGACAGGGCGAAAACATACGGCACCCACCAGAGCTATCTGAGCTGCCTCGAAGAGATGGTGTTTCTGGTTCCTCCCAATCTTCCCTATTACCATGCCGCATGCCTTAGTGTTGTCACAATGACAGCCGCAGATATCCTCTACAATCTATTCAAACCACCACTACCGAGCGCTTCACCAGAGACGCGTCCAAAGCCCATGCTAATCCGGGGTGCTTCTTCCAGTGTTGGAATTTGCACGGTCCAAGTAGCATGCACTAGTGGTGTTCAACCCATCTTTGTGACTGCATCGCCCGGAAGACACCATCTCTTATATGAGCTTGGGGCCACTCGTTGCTTTAATTTTAAGTCCAAAACTGTCATTCTGGAAATCAAGGATGCACTCGCCAGCTTCCAGGGTGAGGCAATGGCTTATGCCTTAGATGCCGTAGGCAGCCATGGGACCCTGGATTCTGGATTCTGGAAAACTTGTCGCGGACTGCTCTTCTGAACAAACCAACATGGTTTCCGTCGTGTTTCAGAGTGACCCTTGATTCAAAATGCCTTTTGCTACGCCGAACAGGGATGTCACGCTGCGGGTCAAAGGTGTTCCTCATCCAATTACCAGGATGACTGTAACCACCAATGGAAGGGCTTACAATGGGCTATAGAAAACTATGGTAGTGCACCGGATGCATCAGATTAGAAAGAATTTAAGAATATTTAAGATTGGATTACTTCAAAGGAAAAACAAAAGGTAAGTGGGTCCAGATAAAGAGATAAAAGACTAAAAGGTGGGTCCCTGGACTTGGTACGCCGAGCCGGAATAATGATTCCCCGGATGTTACAGCATCGTTGTGCTTTACTGATTTTTCTAAGTATTTCTATGATAAAACAATAAAGCCAAATCGATAAATAGAAGTACAAGCTATACTTCACGCTACTCATTTTGAATAGCTCCACATACAATCTGAGAATTGGCTTATCTCCCGAAAGCGGGATGCCTCGCAGAAAACACCGGAAATCAAGGGGCGGGTGCCTAGAATGCAAGCGCCGTCATATCAAGGTAGGCTGATCATCGGCAGTTCTTTTTCTTTCCACGCATCCACCATTTAACTCATCAAAAAGTGCGATGAGCGACATCCCATATGCTCGCAATGCACAATATCAGATCGGTTGTGTGAATACTTGCAAGTACCAGTGGGGACGAAGAGAACCGTCCCCGAAAGAAGAAGCCTATCAAGAACTCCAGCATCATCTACAGTTCAGGATTCACCATCAGATCAAACACCAGGAGATGGATCTGCTGCCTTTCTTGAAGAGCCACCCGTCAATATCCTCCATACGGAGTTATTTTGCCATTTGATAACGGACACTTTGCCATCCTTACTGGAAGATGAAAAATTCTCGGCCAATGCCCAAATCATGAAGTCCAGTTCAACAAGTCCTTTTCTCATGAATGAGCTCCTTGCTCTAGCTGCCACGCACATAAGCATCCAGCGTCCATCCGAGCGGAGTATTTACCGCCACCATGCTACTCAATTGCAAAACCATGCCCTAGCTTCCTTCAATAACGCCCAGAATTCTGAGGAACCAGAGGGGTACATGTGTCGATTCATTTTCTCGTCCATGCTTGGCGTGCATATGCTGTGTGACACTTTGCATTTTCGCGACCCCGACTTTACCCTGTTCCTCGATTCTTTCACTCACTACCTCCGCATACACTGCGGGGTACGTTCGGTAATGCGCAACAAGTGGCAAGCTCTGAATGAAACCGCGCTTGGGCCTGTTTTGCGAGACGGCGAATTAAGATTGCAATCTAAAACGAATGATGGCTTGGGCCCGGAGTGCAGTAGGCTCCTAGGATTGGTTGAACGGTCAAATCTGGGACCTTCGATTACCGCAACTTATCACACTGCTATTGAGAGTTTGCAAATGGCGTTCAACTCAGTGTCATCTACCGATTCCCCCAGAGGTTATTGTGTGGGTGTTGTTTCTTGGCCTGCAACACTATCCTCTGAGTATATTGATCTTCTTACGCGTCGATCTCCAGATGCTCTGGCTATTTTGGCACACTACGCGGTTATTCTGCATCACCATCGGAATCTGTGGTTGTTTGGCGATGGTGGCCGTTACTTGATTCAATCTATAAGTGAATTTCTGGGACCTGGCTGGGCGGAGTGGGTGGCATTCCCTAATCACGCCTTGAGTGAGCCTACTACACCGATGTCACACTTGACATAGTCATTGAGATACTATGCATGCAGGTGATGTGTGTTTGATGTAAGTAGAATTATAATTTATACAATAAGATAGGAGTGGTTTCTATAAATAATCTCCGCACGCCCAATCAATATCACCCGAAATCCAACCTGAAGTTAGAAGATGTAAAATAAAACATCTTTATGTAGTCAATTTAGCACCTGCGATTTCCTTCCAAATCAATAGAACATTGAAGGCGTCTTCTTTCGTAAATTCTTTTCCAACTGAGCACTTATACTTTCTCAGTGGAAGGCCCCTTCTTTCGCACATCTTTCCAACCAATACCGAATGCAGAGAAGAACATGACCACTCCAAGTGCAGCAGTCATGTAGAACACATAGTCAACACTCGTCGCATATGCTAGCAACACACCAGGAAGATCTTCGATTGAAACAACGCTTCTGAAACCAGTGGCACCAACAGCCAGAACGGCCGCTTTATTAGCATGAGGCGCGTCCTTGGTGAGTAACGACCGAAGGCCGGCATCGAAAATAACATCTGCTATTGTGAGAAAAACGGCGCCGGATAGTGTCTGAGTGAACATGAGGATTGCCATGCCGACTGATATCTGGCTAGGATGGAGGGCGTTTTGGATGGCAACGATAGGCTGGAAATGAAGAGATTAGCTCATTTATTCCTAACTCCAGCTGCCAGAATTAGACTGGAGATTTTTACCGTTTGGAAAGCAAATCCTCGACCCGCGCCAACAATAATTCCAAACCCAATCCATTTGCCAACTGATGTAAATGGATCTAGTAATCCAAAAAGTCCTCCGCCAACAGCGGTGAGCAAACCACCAGCTATGGCCCACGGTAGGTAATATCCTAGCTTCCCGACTGTTTTTGGTCAGTATCGATCATGCCAAGCAGGGGTGGTGACGAGTGACATACTGAGCACACCTGATATCACTGCACAGGTGACCTGTGTAAGCATGACCGGAATCATGGAAACACCACTCATGATTGGAGAATCATTCTTGACAGACTGGAAATAAATGGGAAGGTAATAGGAGATTGAGAGGACCGTTGCGAAAAGGCTGATCATGAGAATGCAACTTGACCAGACTACCCTCTTAGAAACCATGGACAGAGGAATCATTGCTTTTTCTCCTTGACGATACTCCCAGAGGAGGAAGACAATGAAAGATCCGCCTGACCCACAGAAAAGACCGATAACCGTTGCACTTCCCCATGGATATGTGCTTGCACCATATTCGAGCGCAAGGAGGAGTTGGATAGCCGAGGGAGAGAACAGGACGAAGCCGATCAGGTCGAGCTCGTTGAGAATAGTTTTGGCTGCTTCTCTGATCGGCGGCTTAGGAATGTGGTTGGGAATATTGATGAATACCATTGCCACTGCGACAATACCACCGATGGGAAGATTGAGAAAGAAACCTAAGAAACGATGTGTTAGATATCGCATATGAAATCTGGGCGAAGAAAATTCTTCAAAGTCACATACACCATCTCCAGGATGCCTTTTCGGTAAATGCACCGCCAATCAGTGGTCCAGCAATGAGACCCAGTTGGCAAACTATGTAAATTGTCAGCAGAATAGACGAAAGAGATAGCAGCAGAGAATTACTGACAGCCCATGACTATACCGATGAACACTGCGAGCGGTTAGCAAATAATCAGAGTGGAGATGATCAGAAGACATACTCGGAGACTTGTGAAGTGGAACACAAGCAGAAATGATAGTCAAACTACCATTCATCAGGCCAGAGCATCCCAGACCTGCCACCGCACGAGCGATGATGAGCATTTTGGAAGATGTTGAAATGCCACATAGTAGGGAGCCCAATTCGAAGACAAAAAAGAAGACTAAATAGGTCCACTGTAGGTGTTTTTAGTATTCGTTCGACGGAGGGCGGCTCATCTGAATGGATGTACCTTGGTACTGAAGTTGCTATAGATTTTTCCGGTAAGAGGTTGCAGGCAAGCACTAAAAGAATGATTTGATTAGATCGACGGCTATCAATACCCAGAGAAATCAAAGTTAGAGCATACCTTGCAATCTGATAAGAGCTTCCATACCATCCCACATCTTCAAGCGAGTGGAAATGGGTAGTAATAGTCGGGATCGCCTGAATGTTGTCAGCAGCTACCCCTTGATTGGAGCAAATCGAACGGAATGTAGACACCCACCGTCACAATAATTGACACATCAAGGAGAATTAAAAAGCTAACCAAGGTGACAGCAGAAATAACCACGATGAGTTTAGTGCCGGTGAGATATTTGCTGTCATCCTCATTGTCATTTCCCACAGCCTCCGCGATCTCCTTCGGAGGTTCAGGTTCGTTTATTGAAGGCCGCGGTGTTGAGCCCGAGGACACTTGTACTTCCTTGTCGAAGTCTGAGCTTGACGGGTGGGTAGTGGATAAGCCAGACTTCTCCGTAGTGGGGACTGGTGTCTCCATATTTACCTGGGTCGTTTTCACAGCATATGTGTTCCCACGTTTGAGACGGAACGCGAGATCAGCTATATATGAGCGAAGAACTGCACACGTGATGCCGATTAATAAATCTTCCTGCACCTCTGCTCGTAAATAAGCGTTTTCAGGCGAGAACTCGCATAGACGATAGAGCTCAGAGAAAGACCTCTAGTGGGGTTCAAACTTCAGGGCATTGAATGTGAAGATTTGATCCACTCAAGCTGGGGTCAAAACACAACATCTTCCCAACATTGAATCCCGAATCCCGAATCCCGGTGGCCTTCAGCTGGGAGTACATCTGCATGAATCTCTACGCCATACACGCGTAAAGTACGCACAGGGCTTTGCGACACCCATGCAATGCCGTATTTTGTAATTGAATAAGCAAATGTTGGCCTATCAATGACAAAGGCTAAGATTAGGGCTTCTCATGACAAGAAAGGCATTGTCTGCTTTGTTCGGGCCAGACGAGGCTGAAATTCCCGGGTTTATCTCCGCTTTTTAAATCCGATCCCGAACCCAAAACGAGTTTCTTATCCAATCAGCGATCACGTAAGCTGGGCCTTTGTCCCCGCGTCAAAACGTCAAGCGGAATTCAGAATTTAAGTCCCCGAACCCCGTTTCCCTCTTCACCGCACCATCTACCCACCACACTTATCTCTTTTATTTCGCCATTCTTTTCGGGTTCTGCCCATATTGATCCCTCAATCCCTATTGCCATACCTCTCGGGGATTTACTCTCTAGGAATTCGCTAGTGTTCTGACCGTGGCCCGGTCCCCACGATCGGATATCGGAATGGAAACTAGCCCAAGCCAAAGTGGGACCCCGGCGCCCTATGGCCGAGCTTGCATCAACTGCTCTCGCGCCAAAAGTAAGTGTATTTTGCTGACAGTCGGCAGAGGTTGCGAGAGGTAAGATGTGGCGTTTGCACTGATATTCTTTGAGTAAAGGCTGATCACCCGTAGATGTCAACGGTTAAAGAAAGATTGTCGACCGTCGCCGACCGTACGAAAGCGAAGTAATCGCTCGTCGGCTTCTAAAACTGCCCAACTAGAGGCAAAGCTTGATAGTATTGTTTCTTTGCTCCAAACTACCAACGCGAATCCCGGTCTGCCGGCAGATTGGGATTCTAGCGCCCCGGGCTCAAAACAACCGTCTCCTTTTGCTTATCGCATGCCAACTCCGCCACCAACAGTGCCTTCACCAAATAATAGTTCAATGGTGGATGTGTGCACGTCTCTGCAAATTTGCCCAGAGCTTGCCGAGAGCTATCTTAACAACTTTCGTAAACAAAACTTGAAGGTTCTCCCTTTCCTTTACATCCCATCTCATGTCACCTCTCATCAACTTCGCAATGATCGGCCGTTTCTCTGGCTATGTATCATGGTAGTTTGCACACCGGGCGAAAGCAAAAGAAATATGCTTTCCGCCAAGGTAACTGACCTGATCCATCAAGAAGTCATCGTTGGATTCTCTCCGAGCATGGACATTCTCTTGGGAATTATGACATTTGTATCGTGGTGAGTGGCATATGAGAATAAATTCCGAAAAAAAACCCCCCGGATGATATAAATAGATGCTAACTTTAATTACCTAGGACCACCTTCTCAAAGAGGCCATTTCTCAACTTCTACACCCACATGATCATGGGTATTATCTGCGATCTAGGAATTAATAAGGCTGTCCCTAAAGATCTATCGACTTTGCAGGCTTTCAAATGTGCAGTGGGCTGGCAACAAAACATCAACACTGCAAGAACCATGGAAGAAAGAAGAACTGTTCTGGGGTGCTTTCTCATCACCTCCAGGTAAGTGCCTTAATCTTTCCAAATATATACATGTATTCTTTCTTGTCGGCTAATTGGTAAATTCCGCCCAGTGTTGCATTGACTTTAAACCGGATTGATGCCTTAAGATGGAGTCCACACATGGAAGAAAATCTGAACATCTTGATGGAGTCAAAAGAATGCCCCGAAGATGAAATATTGGTCAATTTGGTCAGGATCCAACTGGTGGTCGACAAAGTATATCAAGCTAGGCGAGATGGTGATGACCAGTTACTTTCACGCTTCTACATTAAGTCTTTTCAAGCGCAACTTGATGTTGTACGAAAGTTAATACCTGCGCACTTGCAACAAGATGGTAAGCTTGGCAACCGACTTTAATTTCTGACAACAACTAACCACAATAACAGAAACCATCTTGATGTACGTGTTCAACGCAGAATTGGTCATCCACGAGTGGGCCATCCAAGCCCCTATCGATCCACAATCCCCTGAGCTGTACCGTCTCGAAAGTCTTTGTGCTGCCCTCCACGCCACCAAAAACTGGCTCGACGTCTGGCTCTCGGTTCCTCCATTTTCATACCACGGCCTTCCTTTCACCACATTTTTCCAGTTCTCTCGGTCCATTGTGAGCCTATTCAGACTGTCCACACTAGAGGATCCCGGCTGGGACAAGACAATGGTTCGGAATACGGCCAATATTCTTGACTTCCTTGACCGAACAAATTATAATATGAAGAGATGCATTGAGACGGCTGTTCCTCCTGGCGACTCTGAATGGTGTACCCTTGAAAAGGGGATAAAAATGGTTCAATCGATAAAGCAGGGATGGGAGCCCAAGCTCATGGATGTGTGGTATCCAAGTTTGCCCTCTGGTGGCATGGCTGGTGACGAATTCGTTCCACCTGCCCCCGATCTCATGTTGCCTATTGACGGTCTGGATGATGCATGGATGATGCAGATATTTGGTTCCATGTGATCCGTTTATCTTTTGTTATTTGCGTCTCTATAGCTATGACTCGTGCCAAATGCGCCCAGTCTATCAGCGAAAGTCCACTCTATACATGTATAATACAATGATATTCTTATGAAGTTCATACATATTATGTAATCAAATGGCAACATTTGAATATGCAACTACGCATACCTACTACATGTAGCAGATATCTGGAGCTTGATCGGAGTCTGAGCTTGAGACCATTATATGGTTATGTCATATCCAGATGTCAAATTAACGATCGTACATAATGAAACAAACATCAATCGATTGATAACAAAATCGGCCTAAACCGGGCTTAGCAAGCACTTGAGGCTTGGGACCTTTGTGTACTTGGAAATACAAATCTTGGAACACCACATCCGCGTGCATAGAGTAACACAAAAAACCTTGGAATCACATATAAATGCATTGCTTATTTGAATCCATCAATTCGTAAACATACGCAAAATAGCTCTTAAACCCTTAGAACAACTCAGATGGCACCACCCATAAATAAAGACGCATCCAGCAGATCCGCATTAAGGAATTGTTCAAGATCAACGCGTTGCAGCCCAGGCAGATCGGCAACAAGTGCACCCAGCCATGAGTACTCCTCTTCATTCGGGTTAAACTGTTGTGGAGACTCGATCGGTGTAGCCTGATGGTGAACATTGAGTGCTTCTCCCAAAACATTAATATCATCTTTCCTGCGTTGTTGATGTAATAAAATCAACAAACAAGCCGTGCTGTAGGCTTCCGCCATAGCTTCCGTGTTGTAGGTAGATGCAACCAAGCTTAGCGTCTGCATTGCCTCAGGAAGTATAGCTAGCGAAGCTCGTGTATCCATTGTGAGGAGAACACAGATGATTTGAAAAGGCACATTCGCCACTTGATGCCATGGTGAGCATTCTAACACCATACTACTTGCACACCCAAGTCCTTTTTTCAATAATATCAGTACACGGTCTGCTACGCTTGAAGGAATATCCAAATTCTGGGTGTGGATGCGTCGCAGAATGCAAAGGGCGAGGTTGCATTGGGCGAGGACAGAGGGGGGCTGTGTATGTGTTCCGTCCAGAAGCTGGGCTAAGGTTGAAGTGAGATCGGTTTCGTCTTTTAACGTAGCCGGGTCAAGACTGACTGAAATTGATAAAAGACCGAGAACTTCGTGGGTATAATCTCCTGGTTTGGGCGACGGAGGGAGTGGCAGATCGTTCTTTTGGAAAGAAACCCTCGACAGACCCAGATCAAATGAGGTCCACATGTTCAAATGATGCGCGACGCCAACTATTCGCCTTTGGAGATCGGGATCGCATTGAGCGCAGTGGGGAAGAACTGAATTTTCGGGTGCCTCGGGGTGAAGGCCTGCGGCTTCAAGTAGATGCATGAGGGTTGAGCTGGCCACCCACGTTGAGTACGGCGAATCCGTTAGCCGCAAGTAGATGGATCTCAGTACCCATCCAGTCAAGAGGTCGAGGGACGGAGGACCTCTCAGACGGTGCATATCCAAGCAGTAACTGGCGGTTCGAACCAAATGCAACTCCGTGGTTGAGGCATTTCGTTGGGAAAAAAGACAACCGATTGCAGCGACACCAGATAGAACGCTATCATAGATGTCTGGAGTCAGTGGGGATAGCCAGCGTGCATCAAGTCTTGCGAAGAAATCATGACGATCAATAAACCCGTAGCACGGATCGACCTTGTCAAAATAGACCTGAGTCAAAGCCTTCATATGATCAAGAGAGGTGATCTCAATAATTGACAAAGCGCCTGTGGTGGGAATAGTTTGAGCCGACAATTTTCGAGTGCCAATATTCCAACCAAAGAGGTTAAGCTTAGGTGCCTTTGCAGGATCGATCTTAAGTCCGAGCTTCCTCACAAAGGCAGCGCCAGAATTGGCTTCTAAGCGGCGAACCATGCCCGATTGATCGGATTCAACAGTGCTTGGCCCCGCAGCTGTTTTTGGAGACGAGCGCGGCTCAGATTGGTCCTCGAGTGTTTCATTTGTTCGAGACTTTCGTGGTTGGGCTTCGTAGTAGCACTCATAGCCCCATGTAGTGCAAGTCACGCAGGGTTCGCCCGAATCGCACTTCCTTTTTCGATCCCTGCAAGGCTTGCAGGCCAATCGGGCCCGTTTACGTTTCAGAACTTGCATTATGCTGTGGCTGGGGCGATGGCATGAAGAGGCCAAGGGGGAAGTGGGAAATGCGGAAGTTGCGGGAAGGGCGGGGAGCGGGGTCGAAGCGGAGCGGCTCACGGGAACGAGAAATAGAAAGAATTAATAATAGCAACGAACAGCAATCAGTCCTCTTTTCTTATTTGAAAGTATACTTCTTTGGCTCTTAGCCTCTCTTTCTCCACCTGAATCAATTCATACTGGAAGACAATCGACTTTGAATAATTCGACGAACATGGCCAACATGGCTACGAAATTATTATCACGCTACCCGTGGGCATCGGGCCCATTTATCATCAGCGCGCCAATGCGTGTCATGTCCGGCCCAGCATTGGCCGTCGCAGTCTCACGCGCCGGCGGCTTGGGCTTCATTGGACCTGGTATCAAAACTAAAGACGTGGGCATTGATCTTGAAGAAGCTTCAGCCATGGTCAAGAAAATACGCGCCTCATCACCCGTGTTCGACTCTCTACCATCCAAAAACGCCCTTCTACCCGTTGGAGTCGGCATCCAGCTTTGGGCCGACGATTTGAAAGATGCTATCTCCGCGATTGAGAAGTTTAAGCCTTGTGCAGCCTGGTTATATGCTCCCCGTGATGATCCGGAAGATTACGTGAAGTGGTCGCATCATATTCGCCAAGCATCGCCAGAAACCCAAATCTGGATACAGATCGGGACCCTGGGAGAAGCAAAGCAACTTCTACAAATAGCGCAGAAGCCCGATGTTATTGTCGTGCAAGGGTCTGAGTCAGGCGGCCACGGTCGGGCGAAGGATGGAATGGGACTTGTGTCGCTGTTTCCTGAGATAGCAGATGCGGTTGCGGCAAGTCAGATTCCTTTGGTCGCGGCTGGAGGAATTGCTGATGGACGAGGAGCCGCGGCTGTATTATGTCTGGGTGCTTTCGGGGTGGTGTTGGGGACTCGGTTCCTGGCTGCGGAAGAAACACGCATTAGCAAGGGGTACCAGAATGAGGTTGTGCGGGCGTCGGATGGTGGTGCGAATACAACACGAACACTGCTCTATAATCATCTCCGCGGTACATTTGGGTGGCCAGATGCCTACAGCCCGAGGACAATCATTAACAAATCATTCATTGAGCAACAGGAAGGCGCTTCGTTTGACGAGCTCAAGGGTCTTCATGATGAAGCTTTAAAAGCTGGCGATGATGGATGGGGGCCAGATGGGAGACTTGCCACGTACGCTGGTGCTTCTGTTGGCTTAGTTCACAGTGTGGCCAGTGCCGAGGATATTGTGCGAGAAGTTCAGAGCGGTGCTCTGGAGAAGATTCAGTCATTGGGATTCTACAGTGCCTAGATGAATTCCTGATGTCCACCTAACCCAACTGAAACCTATCAATAGCAAACGAAATATTGCCTACTATATATGTCATATGCAGCCTAGTTACCACAATTAATCGATTAAACCCATTTAATCAAATTGTCCTCTATCCTGAATTGAAAAGAACATTTGAAGCGAAATTAGTCTACTATAGACATCTGGATGGTTTTCGAAATTACGAATGCACTAGTGACTAGACTGGGTGCAAGCCTGGCATGGGTAGTTTACATGTAAATCGGCACGTAGATACATAATTGACGTATAATGCTCCACCTAGTCTCGGTTGCTGGCTTGAAGCTTAGCTATCAGTGGAGACTGACATCATACATGTGGTGAATCCAACATGGTTACATGGTTGGTTGCGGGTGTTGCGGGATTAGCGGCCCCAGCTTGTTGAGGAACATATTGTTTCATCCCGTAAAATATCCGCAATAGCCGTTACCTCAGAGACTAGAAGATACCTTTGATTGTAGTAAGTATTGGTTCATGCAAGCAATTCCTGGCCATCCTTACTTCCAGCCCGGTGCGATGTTCTGCTACAATATGCCTCAAATCGAGCCAGATAATGAGGCTAAAAGAGCGTTACAATTAAACATTATGAATGAGGGACCATCGCTAGGACTGGGGAAACCATACCTTCCACCACCTAACGCCGAAAGCTATGTCGTTGATTTCGATGGTCCTGATGACCCCACACATCCATATAACTGGAATCTTTCTACAAAGTATGTTCACCCAAACGAAAATGAACACTTCTTACATCCGCAGCCAGTTGACATTGCATCCGGAACTCTAGGCTTTTCGCCTCCATCCTGGTCTGTTCAGGAACACTGGTCGTATCATTGACGAGTGCCATCTTCGCCCCCGGAATCGACAGCGCAAGTAAAGAATTCCACGTCAGCTCAGAGGTCGGAGCTCTGGGAACATCTCTATATGTCCTCGGTTTCGCATGTGGTCCATTGATCTGGGCACCTGCCTCAGAGCTACGTGGAAGAAAATGGCCATTAACAATCGCCATGCTCGCCGGAGGGATCTTCACAATCGCATCAGCCGTGGCCAAAGATATCCAAACACTAACAATTTGCCGTTTCTTCGCCGGCATGTGTGGCGCAAGCCAGCTCACGGTTGTCCCCGGCGTCTTGGCAGATGTATTCGACAATACCTACCGGGGAATGGCCATCTCGCTCTATGCACTCACGGTATTTGTGGGCCCTTTCACTGCGCCATTCGTGGGCGGGTTCATAACGGCAAGTTACTTGGGGTGGAGATGGACGCTTTACCTGCCGGCTATCTTGAGCTTCGCCAATGGTGCTGTTTCGGTCTTCTTTCTCGATGAGACTTACGCGCCATGTTTGCTCGTTGTGAAAGCTGCTCGGCTACGCCAGCAGACTGGGAACTGGGCCATTCATGCAAAGCAGGAGAAGATCGAGGTGGACTTTACGCAGCTTGTAGAGAAGTACTTTACGCGGCCGCTTCAGATGCTCATTACGGAGCCCATCATCCTTCTTGTCTCTCTGTACATGTCTTTTATTTATGGCTTGGTCTATGCGCTGCTGGAGGCGTACCCGTATGTATTCCAACATACGTATGGTATGCGTCTGGGGGTGGATGGACTGCCGTTTATTGGCTTGATTATTGGCCAGGTTATCGCTTGCACCTTTATTATCTCCCAGCAAGGGAAATATGCGCGAAAGCTGGTTGAAAACAAAAATGTTCCTGTGCCAGAATGGCGATTATCCCCCACGATACTCGGAGCTCCTGTGTTTACCATTGGAATATTTTGGTGAGTTTTGTTTATCTTCGACAGAGAATAAAAGTCATAGGCTCATTTTACGCAATTTAGGTTCGGCTGGACGGGCTTCACTCCTGCAGTTCATTGGGCCGCCCCCACTGCAGCGGGTATATTCATTGGATTTGGGGTTCTCTGTGTCTTTCTCCCATGCTTCAACTATCTTGTTGACTCTTATATCTCGCTGTGAGTGATTGTTTTGAAAATCGAGAGATTCAGAGAAATTGACACATGTTTGTATTTAGCGCCGCATCAACTGTTGCCGCAAACATTATCCTTCGTTCATCAGTCGCTGCAGGCTTTCCACTGTTCACCAAACAGATGTTTGAAAATATGGGAATTCAATGGGCTTGCACTTTGCTTGGGTGCTTGGCTGCAGTCATGATACCAATCCCTCTCGTATTCAGATCTTATGGACCCCTCTTGAGAGGAAAGAGCAAGCTATTTCGACAGGACCCTGCAGCAACATGCCCAAAGGAAGGATAAAATAGTTGAAGTACCAGAGGTATAGACTAATATACCATTCCTGCCTTCGCTCTCAACTTGGCACCGTAGCGCCAAATAAGCAATGGAGCCGGAAGCCCAACAAACAACCCAATCAATGCAATGGTAGTGTTTCCCCAACCATACCCAAGAACATCGTACATAGTGGGCGCAAAAAGCGGGAACAAAAAGGCAGTTAGACTGCGCATGAATTGCTGAGCAGCACCGGCGCTTCCAGTGTGCTCTGGGTAAGCCTCCATAACATAGGCCTGCAGTGGCATGCTAGTAATTTGCATTCCAAGCATAGTAATGAATACACCGATGTCAACGATGACCCAATGTAAGCGATAATGAGCCGCCCAGCCGTAAAGGAACAGACCCACTGGGCCGAGCAGGGCCCCAGGGAATATGGAGGGTGTGCGAAGCTCCGGGGTGTGCTCTCCATTGGCACGCGCTTTGAGTCTATGGTACAGGCTGTCCATAAGCTTTGCGCAGATCTGACTACCGGCAATTTCACCGAAGGCAACTGCGATGTAGTGTAAACCACTGATCTCAATGGATTCATTGTATTGCTTGGTCCATAGGTCGGAAAAGGTAGAGAGCACAATGTAAAGAATACCGTAATAGAATGCAGAGATGAGCGAGGAGATCTGAATAATGGGGTGGAAGGTTAGAAGCCGAAGTGGGCGAGACAATGCTCTGCCTAGGACTCTGGTGGCCGATCTGTTTGCGTTTATATGTTCATCTAGGGTGTAGTACCGCGAGTCACCAGTATCACGTCGAAGACGCTCAGCCCGATGACGCAGGATCAATGGCTCATACGTCTCATGGAAGGAAACGAATGAAACAACAATCATCACGGCTTGAAAGATCGACGTCGACCAGAACATCCACCGCCAAGTGGTGCGCTCTGCCATAAATCCTCCTATGATTGGGCCTGTAGAGGGTCTGCATCAGTAAATTGTCATGAACTATAGATAAGTCAATTGGTACGAACCGACAGCCGCTCCCAACAAAGGGATAAGCAAGTAAACACCCAGAGAACGACCACGCTGCTCTGGGCGCCACACATCACCCAACACCCCATTAGCAAGAGCATAGATAGCGCTAGCACCAAATCCAGCAAAGAATCGCGACGCAATCAGCACACCCTTGCTATTTGCAAACCCACAAGCAATATTCCAGATCAAGAACCAAATGTTCGACGCGTGCAAAATCGGCTTTCGACCATATACTTCTGATAAAGGTCCGATAGCAAGCGGACCCAGTGCAGTTGCCAACAGGTAGATGGAAAGCGCCATGGCTGACTCTGCGGAATTCATATCAAACTCTTTTGCTATTGTCGACAATGCCGGCGCCATGATGGTGGATACCATGATGCGGTTGAAGCCTGTCGCGGAGAGCACATCTGTGACGGCCCATTTTCGACCTGTCCGCCAGTCCTTGGGATTATCTGCATCGTAAGGCTCCGCAAATGTCACCAGAAATGGGTCATCTGATTTACTGGGATGGGCAGCGACTGGGGCCAATTCAACATCTGTGGGGCCAATAGTCGCGATCGCGTCGGAATTGAGTTCATGTTCTTGTAAATCCATGACTGATGAGATTCACTGTCGGCCTTACCCTGCGGGTCTGCTTTGAAGTCAGCATATTGGGAATCTTGGGGTATAAATGCGGAGTCTTGTTGACGGAAAGCGATGATCCGGAGATCACCTATCAGTAGCTCGGGGATCAAGGCGGCTCCGACCGTTGCTCCGAAAATCCGAACATCCGAATGCGAAGAAAAGGCGAGATTACTTGATAAGAGATGAAAGTGTACGATTGTTGACATATAGATTTCTTCGATACCCAGAGAATCAATAAACTAGTGTCTTACTCCCCCTGCTAGGTAGTCCAATATAGTCTCTCATCCACTGGGCAATCTAATCCGAGTTGCTGTCATAGAAGCTATTCGCTGTCCACCCATTTACCGCCGAATAATCAGCAAAAGGTGAAGTTCCATGTAAGACGTCGTAATGCCTCCTAGCTCCGCACTCATTGGTTTCAGTAGAATTAGCACTGCACTTATCCTGCAAGAGAGCAGCAATCTGTCGTCCCGCCTCCCGGCCCTCAAACCAAGCACCCTGCAAGAAACCAAAGTACGTAGGGCTGGTGGCTTCGCCCGCAAACCAAAGCCGGTCCGTATTGGCGCGTAGATTCTCATGCATCTCTAGCGTTGTCGCTGGGGGCCAGTTGGAGTAGCTACCGTGGGCCCAGGGCTCCGTGCTCCAGCGCGGGTAAAGGAAGGATGTCGGATCGGGAATGTCCTTTTCAGGGAACATTTTGCGTAGAACATCCATTATTTCGCGCTTGGTTTGCTCGTTTGACTGGCGCTCCACGCGCCAGGAGAACTCGTTTGTCACAGTCACAAAGAGAATGTTAGAGTCGGGGAGGAATTGTGGCATGGAGAGGGACTGGAAGATGGGGTACCAGCCTCGAAGGCCTGGATCGGCGTAGAGGAAATATTGGGTGTTCGTTGGCCAGAAGGTCTCGTTGAATTGCATGAAGATCTTGGTGTAGGTACCCATTGTGAATTTATGGATGGCGGTCTGTTTCCATTCTGGAAGTGTTGGCGTGAACTTGACTTCATCGCTTTGCAGGACGCCTAGAGAGAATGTACATATAGCATATGCTGCAGTCACACAGCTGCCGTCTTTATTGTGGATGGTGACTCCATCATCAGAGTATGTGATATCTGTGATTTGTGTATTGAGATGCAATCTCGTATCGTTGGGTTTGAGGAACGTGGCAGCCTCCCCTTTGATGATTGTGTTGAATCCGCGCTGGTCAGTCACAAAATTATCATGGTCACCGAAGACGTTCTCGGTCAGGTTGTCTCCGGCACAGCCAAATACCAGAGAGCTCTCCAGTGGGCTGAAATTATCCTCGAAATCTGGAAAATAGAATTCATAAGTCCACGGGAAAAAAAGATGAGGAAATAAGCTGAAACTTACCCCATTTCCACCAGTCAACCGCCTGTGCCTCCATATCGTGTTTACCCGGGCTCCAACCAGCGAGTGCCAAACCAGATTGAGCAGTCTGATCCTGGAGATTTTGTGTCAGGATCTCCCCCGCTTTCATATTGGCAATGTTGTAAGCATTATCATATTCGGTCAGCAAATGACTGTAGTCGGAGTACCCATTTTCATTGTACGTCGAAACATTATCATAGTCGGAGTAATGAGTCTTCAAATGGTATTTTTGAGCCTGTTTAACCGATTAGCTCACGTACGAGTGGGATTATCCTCTCATTCTGATATGTGTACCAGGGTCCAAATAGGGTTCTGAGGGCCACCCGGGTTCCCAAGACCTTGAACCTATGGAAACATTTGTACGTCAGTGACGATCACATAGTTTTAATGAGCTTCGACATACCCAATTGGCACCCATCTCAATAGTATAAGGTTCTCCGGTTTTTGGATCTATACCAAATGGCCTGTGCCAAGCTCGGCCTCCGATTGTATCCCGGTACTCCAGTATAGCGAAATCATGAACCGAGGCATTGGAAAGAGCTTGCTATGAACAGTTAGCTACCAACTTAACGGATACGAACTATATGCGAAGGAGAATAACTCACGGCTGCTGTGATTCCTGCAATTCCACCTCCTCTTTGGGTTGTTAATTTCGAAGCAGGCATAGAGTAGGTAACTGGCACGGATAGAGTCGGAGAGCCTTTCTTTGACTTACAGAATGGCAACGGTTGTCTTCTTACAAGTCCCCTCCTGGTTTCTTAGCTGCTGTGACACATGGGCAGCAGCCGGAATGGAGCAACTGGCCAAGCCCGCCAAGACGGAGATATATGGCAAATGCATGGCGCTGAAGATACTTCAGAAGAAGAGATTACAATGTTTGGGATGGAATCCGGGGCGTAGACGTTGCAAATAAATACTGTAGCACAGTGTGCTTCGTGCACAAAATATTGCCAATGCAGTGAGATGTGACGACATTATCTTGGAAGTTGTTAGTTAGCTAATGCCCAGGTTATGATCGACAGGGCCATGTAACCTTTCAATAGATCCACTCGTTCTAGGATTGCAGTATCGGGTAAGCCCATGCGGGGCAGGCTTGTCCATGCGAAGATCATCTCTGCGATGTCTCATTGAGAATAGAAGTTGAACGATTAGTATGTCAATTCCCCACGTCTTCGCTTCAGAAAAAATAATGAAGTTCTCATTGCGTGTCGGGATATAAGTGGGTAATACAAGTGAGACGTGGCTTGGAACGAAGCATATGGGCACCAGCAGCTACACTGCCAACCTTGGAAGTGCGCAGCCTAATAGTAGACTGGTATGTTAAATCTTGGAATTCATTCATATTTTTATCAATTGAAAAAGGGGAAGAATAAGGCTTTTCAATAGATGATCGAACCTAGACAGATTATCGGACTGTCTCCTAAAATATACAGCAGATAATTCGAAATGCACCACCAGCCTGCTATGCAAAGATAATAAAATAAAATATCATCCCAAATTGGTCAAACGCCAAAATATCAGAAATGAATCAAAACGCTGAAATCGGATGGGCGATCGGAGGCGGAGGGTAATTTGGCGCCGCTAAACAAAAAGCAAGAATGACACGAAAGAAATGGAAACATGATGCTGAATAGGCTCCACGTCGGCTCTACCTACCGGAAAGAATAAGAGGGACGGCTCATAGTGACACTTTCTGGTTTCAAGGAGAGTTGCTGATAAGGGGAGCTTCCAGGATCATAATAGAGTCCATCGACACTACCGTCTTCTCGGGAGAGAGAAGTGTAGTAGAAACCGGAGATGGTTAGACCTTGACGAGAATCTGTTGGTGTAATGAAACATCGTTCTATTGTACGTCAATGAAGGAATCTTAGTAGGACGTGCGGGGGATAATGTGGATAATGAAGCTTACCTTTCCATCGCATCAAGATCCACCCTTGCGCTAGTTTCTCGGTAATCCATGTATGGCTGACAAGATTCTTGGCTATTTCAGCATCAGGCAGGTCCTTGAAAGGCTGAAGCTTTCGCCAGTAGGTGGTGTCGGTGTCTGCATCCGCTTTGAAATTCTTTGTCTCGAGGGTATGTTTGTTGAAATCAATGATTTCACCCTCTAGGAAGGTCACGATATGCGCATCCTGAGTTGGTGATGTTTTGTCGGGGATGTTGTAAGCCTCCATGGTGCCCGAAAGGGTCATTTCGCTGAAATTTATGTTGTGAATGGTGACTTTGACGGGCCAGTTCTCATCGCGAGGGTTTGCTTGATATCGCCGTCCACTAGTCGTAGAGACAGTGATGCGAGTATTGGCCTCACTTCCGTTAACAATGACGGGGTCACTTGGCGCATTGGGGCTTGGTATCCGAGGTTGTAAGGCTGGGCAACTTGAATTCGCAGCCCTTTGGCATCCAGTGAAGACAACTCCAGGTTGGAGCCAAGAGCAGGCTGCTGGAGGGGCTATAGTATTTATATCTAGGATAAAATCACTAGAGAAGTTGTCTGGTGACAGGAAACCTCTTGCATGCGCCGAGTTGATACTCTCCTCAACGGAATTGGAATAGCGCAGATGATCCAGGTAGCTGATTGTATCTTTCAAGATTGAGTCCCCAGGGGCCTCGGAATATAGTTGCCGATGTGCAGCGGTGCGAGCACGCAAGTCACTGTGGGTGAGAATTCGATGAGGTTCGGCTCGGTTTGGGGGTCGGTATCGATATGCCCGCGAAGATGATGAACCTGCTGCCGCTCGCTCGGTTTCCTCCGACTCATCGCTAGCGCGGCTGTGCCTGTTATCCAAGAGGTAACTTTCTAGCGTACGTGTTCGAGATAAACGAGGTTGTCGCCTTGTGGATTGCAGCAGGGCTTCCATCGTTGAGATAGGAGGATTCCGAAAGACACTGTCACCCTCAGATGTTTCTCCTCGGTCACTAGCGTTTATAGATGGCGTGCGAACATTCGGGTCATGTCGCCGGGGTCGGCTTGGCCGGCTTGATGAGGTACTGCGGTCTGCAACAGCATGGAGGAAGGGCTGGATCTGATCTTCTTCCGATTCGCCGGCACGGGGAGTGTCCTCGTCCTCATCATCTGACCCAGGCGCCCAGCCAAAGAGCGATCGGGAATTTGATCGGCGACCCTCGTAGTTGGGCATATTCGTGGAAGCAGTAGTGTCTTCGTGCGGGCGATGCACTATAGGGATGCGACGGTTGATCTCGATTGGTAGGCGCGGGTTAGGCTCATCCACATCCATTTGACCCTCTTCGTCTTCCATGGGCTGCAAATAGGACGGTGGATACCGACGATGGCGATCTCGACCGAAGGATAGTAAACTTGGATTATATAGCAGGGAGCGAGACCGAAGGAAGTTCACATTCTCTTCGTGAGCATTATCGCTCTCCATGGGGACAGAGGAGCTGGAATTTGAGTCACGTTGCGATGGCGAGCCAGGCGCGGGTACAATTAAATGCGCTCCATCATGGCCATTGGGCCATTTCGTCATATTGTAACTGCTCACCGCCCTTTCGAGACAGGCAGAAAATCAAATTTAAATCAAACAACTGGTCAACTGTTACGATTCTATGAACAAGTTACAAGTTACAACTTGAACACAATCAAATATCAAGTAGAATGGAACCTTAAAGACCATCAAGGCATCCTTTCAACTTCTTCCCGGGTGCTCCGCAAACTATCCTTTATTTCAGCATACAAGCCTTCATCCTCTCATCCTCTTTCCTCCATCTGTTTCCTCCAGGAAAGACTACTAGTACCTTCCGAACTTCGAAGTCTGTTGACACACGGTATAAGGGGCTGGAAATGCTCCTTAAATTCTTCCTCCGCGGTCCTAAATTACTAATATCCAGGCCGCATCGAACTTTTTCCTGGACATCATCAATTTTACCACGAATACAAACTGTCCAGTGGTGAAATAGCGTGCGACATTGATCACTTCTTTTTCAGTTGCTTCCCTAAGAAGCTCGCCTTCATCGCGTTCGGTACTCTGCCAAGAATCTTTAACAAGTGACAAGACTTCTGGGTCCGCTTCGCTATGTGCTTTCCAGCACGTTGTCACTCAACCCATTTTACACGGGTCCGTGCAATCGATTTTTCGAGGAAAATACGCTCAGTCTGACCATTGCGCTCTATCTCAATGATTTGATGCCCATTCTGCATAGTGAATGTAGGGTCGAATCCAAAATCTTCTTCACTCATCCAAAAAAAAAAAAAAAAAAAAAAATCCAAGGTTAATAGACGCAAATTGAAGCCCGTCCTCGTTGATTATGAAGCGTTCAGATGCGGGTCAAAACCCCAGGACATTTCGGCGACTGTGCTGTATACATATATCCACATGTGTCTGTTTTTCGATCAAGAACTGCAATTAAGAGAGGCATGGCCGCAATCGCACGAAACTAGAAAAGCCATTGATAGCATTTGAATTTACAAGCTTTTTTAATTGCCTACTCAAATTTTGTTTATTTACTGTCTCGTGCATACACATCGTTTTCCATGGCTCAACTACAAATCCAACAGGACCAAGGAACGATATGACGTAGCTGTGGTATCATTTCATAACATTTGAATAAATGGCGTTATCTTCCCGGTCTAGAGAAAGATACAACATTCAGCCATTTGAGACTTCACATTTCGCGCCAATAACCCTTGGGGCAAAGTGAAAGCCGCAAATTACTATAGTCTTCTCCATCGCCACTTCCCGCAAATCCCAAGAGTCAAGACCATGACGACATCTCAGCCCCACACCTACGAAAATGAAGTATATGCAGATGGCCTTAAGAACTTAAAACCAGCCATTAGCTTCAACCCACTTGACTGGGAAGTCAAAGCCAAGGAAATTCTTCCCGCCGAAAGTTTCGGCTATGTATGGGGTTCAGCCGGCATCCGTGAGACAGACGACAACAATCGAGCAGCGTTCCGCAAATGGGCCATTATTCCATCACGCCTGGTCAAGGCGGACTTCCCAAACCTTTCGACCACTATTTTCGGCCAAACGTACAAATCCCCTATTGCGATTGCACCAGTGGGCGTTCAACGCATCTTTCACCGCGACGGGGAAATCGCAACTGCCACAGCAGCATGCAAGGAGAATGTTCCGTATATTCTCAGCTCGGCTTCATCAACCAGCATTGAGGATGCTGCAAACGCCAATGCCGACGGCCCGCGTTGGTTCCAGTTGTACTGGCCATCAAACGAGCACAATGACATTACCGTAAATCTTTTGAAGAGAGCTAAGCAATCCGGGTACAGCGTGCTCGTGGTGACACTTGACACATATATCCTGGGCTGGCGTCCATCTGACCTTTCAAATGCATTCAACCCTTTCCTGCGCCCGGATAACATTGGCGTCGAGCTAGGCTTCTCAGACCCTGTTTTCCGCCATTGGTTCCGTGAACGGCATGGTAAGGAGGTGGAGGATGACATGGGGACTGCTGCGGCAGAGTGGACGAAAACTATATTCTCGGGTCTCAGCCATTCCTGGGAAGATCTGAAGTTTCTTCAAGAGCATTGGGATGGACCGATTGTTTTGAAGGGAATCCAGACTGTTCGGGATGCAGAACAGGCTGTTGAAGCTGGAGTTCAGGGCATTGTGGTTTCTAATCACGGTGGTCGTCAGCAGGATGGAGGAGTCGGATCTCTCGATGTGCTTCCTGAGATTGTGGAAGCGGTTGGGGACCGAATGGAGATTATTTTCGATTCTGGTATTCGGACCGGGGCTGATATTGCTCGAGCTTTGGCGCTTGGCGCAAAAATGGTCCTTATTGGTCGGCCGTATGTTTATGGGCTTGCTATTGCTGGAGAGGCCGGGGTGTCTCATGTACTTCGAAGCCTTCTTGGTGACCTGGAATTGACGCTCCATCTTGCTGGTATTCCGTCTTCGTCCTCGGAGCATTTGAATATGAAAGTGCTAAGGAGAAATACTTGAAATGTTCCTGTTCTCAAGGCGATGTGCCGATATTGGGCCGGCTAGAGGCGCAGCTCATCTCCACATATTGGGCGTGTCTTGGATAAAAGGTCACTTAGATAGAGAGCAAATGTTCAATAACACTATTAGAAAGAAAGAAATAGATCAAATTACATCAGGATATTGGAATGAAGGAAGGAAGTACCTGAAAGTGGAACGGGATATTGGAGAGCTTCAGGCAAAGAGGTTCAACGTTGGGTAGTCTGGCATAACAACATAATACCAGTAGGTCTTAAGTCTCCATTCAATGTTCTCCGAATTGATGGAAATAAGAACCTATCAATTACCGAAGAGGAAATCCCCCTATAGACTAAGGCAAAGAAATTAATAAAACAAGAGAACGAGTCTGCTGAGGGAAACGGGGCGAGCGCAATGATGTGTATTGGGTGCTGCAAGGAAGGAAGAAGAAGAAGAGAAAGAGAACAAGCTATCACCAAACACCAAACACCAAATAGAAATAAAGTTATTAATAATCTTCTCTGTATTAACACCCAACTTCTACAAATATTTCAACCTTGCCCCGTAAGGCAACCCAGTACTCGGTGTCGCGAAATGCCCCATCACAAATAAGCATTAACGAGACTCAGCAACTGACTCGCGACAAACAGAGAAAGTCCCAGAATAAAGAAAACAATCGTAAACTGAAAGACGACTCGTTGGGCCTTATTGTACTTGGAATACTGGCGCAAGGCGAAAACAATGACTCCCACGGCAGCCACAGTGGGCGCCATATCTTTCCACGCAATATCGGTCATGTTGCGATCAACTCAATTCAATTCAAGCAACTTGAAAGGAGCTATCTCAATATTAGCATGGGATTCGCCGGGTTTCCCGATTTCGGTTGAATTCTACCAATAAAGTGGAGTATAGGGCGAATGGGCCAGTGATGATCGTTGGAGATCGCGGTCAACAATATGGACGCTGAAGAGATGGCTCACTTGACAAAGAATGGAGCGCAGAATTCGATGATGAGTATTTTGAAGAGAAATGATTTGAAGAGAAAGAGCTGGTCGGGTGGAAGATCTCCAAAAACAGCCGCGTATGCCAGTGGGGCATCGTTCCCTATCGCTTACCCACACAGTACACTACGGGCTGCGGCCTACGGGCTTACCCACACTACGGCGGTCCCTCCCGGACAGCCGCACCCGCCACATCATTTTTCTTTGTACCCGCTTTTATCACCGCCCTGGTATTCAAGCTAGTACACTCCAGCTGTAATTATTACTAGTAGTCATAGAGGTTAGGTGGTTGGTTAATCAAAGCAGAAGGTAAAAGCAGAGTAAAATGGCAGTACAGCCCCTTTCCTCCCACTTTTCCCTCTATTTATAGCGAAAATTGTTTTTGATATTGGAAGTATCCTAAAGCTAAGTCTGTAACGTAAAAAAGGGACCGCAATCTTTCCCCCGAGACAACCACAATGACAGCGCAAATACGACCACGAACACTATTGATGAAACGGAAGATGTACGAGCCAGGAACGCTGATAGGAATTGAATACAGAGAAGAAGGAAGCAGGATGTGGGATTCACAATGTGGGATTATGCGAATTTGAGGATTAAACCTGTACGGGCAGCCAGCCTTTTCTTTTGTTCTGGTCATTCGTTCTTGCGGAGTTACTGGCATGCCTGCATACTACTAGTAGGTCCTAAGTCTCCATTCGATGTTCTCCAAATTGATGGAAATAAGAACCTGTGAGTTGCCGAAGAGAAAATCCCCCTGCAAACCGAGGCAAAGAAGTGAAGTCATTGATAGTCTTCCCCGCATCAACCCCATTACCCCAAACTAAAGTTAAAAACGAAAAGCCGATGACTAGTATACAGTATACTACTCCACCGGATAATAACAACTATCAAGGAAAAGAACCATGTTGATCTTTTGGCCAGCTGAAATCCTCATTCCTATTTATCCTTCAGCTCCCGCCATTCGTTGCCATTCCTCTCTCCCATCATGATTGCAGAGGTCTCCACTCGTCCATCTCACAATGTCCAACAAATTCTCAATAAATTCCTACAGTTTCTGGATAGTCACATACGTGGCCATAGGAACAATCTCTAGTGCCTACGGCCTCGCAATAATAGGCACAACAGTCGGACAACCCAACTTCTACAAATATTTCAACCTTGCCCCACAAGGCAACCCAGGATACGACCACACAACCAACATAATCGGCGCCCTAAATGGCGTGAACTCCGCGGGCGCAATAATAGGCTGTACATTCCAAGCCTGGGCCGGCGATTACTTCGGCCGCAAATGGACCATGCAGTTTGGGCTCGTGGTCCTCATCTTGGGCGGAGCATTGTGCGCGGGGACAGTGGATATTGCGATGTTCATCGTTGCGCGGTTGATCGCCGGGATTGGCTCGGGTACGCTGGCCTGCATTGTGCCGACGTATCAGTCTGAGATCGCGACTGCTGAGACCAGGGGCGCAATGGTTGCTGTTACGGGCATCATGTATGCCGTTGGGTACTCTGTTGCGGCGTGGCTTGGATATGCCTGTTATCATATTCAGGACGGGGATTCGGTCCAATTCTCTTGGAGGTTCCCGTTGGCAGTCCAGGTTCTTTTCCCGCTGATTGTTTTGGTGGGAAGTCCTTTTGTTCCTGAGTCGCCGAGGTGGTTGTTGCAGCAGGGACATCGGGAGAAAGCGTTGTCGGTTGTCACGCGTTTACAGAGGGATGTTGTCAAGGCCAGGCAGGAATTCTTCTTGGTTGAGAAACAATTTGAGCTTGATCGATCTGTTCAGACGCGGTGGTTTGAGATTGTTCGGACGCCGTCTAATCGGCGACGCGCCTTTGTGGCGTGTGCGTTGATGTGGGGAGATCAATTCCTTGGAATATTTATTATTACCAATTATGGAGTCTTGATCTACGAGAGTATTGGGTTCGAGGATCCGGTTCCTCTTTTACTCTATGCATGCTGGGCCAGTTTTACGTTGATTGGTAATACGTGGACGGCGCTCTACGTCGACCGTTACGGACGCCGAACTTTCCTGCTGATCGGATCCATTGGCTGTGTTGCTTGTCTGATATTCTTGTGTGCCCTCTGTGCCCGGTACCTTGGGACGGATAACACAGCCTGGCTGCATGCTGCTGTTTTTTTTGTTTTCTTCTACTGTTTTTGGTGGTGTTTTTTCATGGATGCCACACAATATATTTACGTGACCGAGATCTTTCCGAATCATCTACGGACCCAAGGCGTGGCACTTGGCATTGCCTTCTTCTACTTGGCATCGGAAGTGACTTTGGTTGCTGCGCCCGTGGGCTTGGCTAAAGTTGGATGGAAGTTCTACTTAGTGCTGATTGTTCCATCCTTGTTCTATATTGGGGTCATTTACCTTTTCTTCCCGGAGACAAAAGGTCGGGCTCTCGAGGAGATAGGTGCTTTGTTTGGCGATGAGGCTAATGTTGCTTGTCATTGGTACGATGCGACAGATGCGGAAAGGGAGAAAATGGCAGAAGAGGCTCTGCAAGAGCTTGCTCAAGCTGAAGAATCCGAGGAAAAGGTCCATTCATCTCATCATGATTTTACCTGAGCACCGAATGTTCCACTATCCCCCTTGAATTTTCGGGTATTGAGTATTTACTTTTGTTATATTCCTACCCAGGATTATGAAAGGTCATTACAGGTATACATGCATACTAGCCATACTAGCCATACTCTCCCCAGTTATCCCATTGAAAGTATGAATGACTTCCATGTGTCTGAAATATTAACTTGCCGTGTATTTAACATTGACTTTATACAATTGGCTCTTTCCTTCCCAAAGCCCAATTCGGAGAATTAATCCTCGGGGAATTCTCCACAACCTGACCGTCCACGATAATAAACTCCTTGAACTTGCGAGGAGGAAGCCCGTTAGCGTAGAGAGCATCGATCTCCGCATATGACCTGTTCTGCGTCTCGGGCTGGAAGAAGTAAAGCCCAAACATAATGAAAAACTCAGCACCAACAAACAGAAACATGACCCTACCACCCCAGTTCAACTCATTGGGGTTGATAAAATAAGGGAAAATAGACGAAAGTAAGAGCGCCGTAAGCTGCTGGCAAACAAGCACAAACGCAATAGTCTTGGGCCGTGTCACCTGGGCAGCTGTCTCCTGAGCCACGGCCCATCCATAGCATCCAACTGTTGCAGTGTAAAGCATCGACCAGGTAATCATGAAGGCAAGCAGTGCGATGTTCGCTGAGGTATTAGAAGTCGGGGCGATCGATACGCCAGCGATGATCACTGACCAGAACATGAGGAAAGTGCCACCACCAATCAGACCTTTACGACGGGGAATCACATCGGACAAAAAGACAGCGACAATATTTGAGCAGAGTTGAAGGGTAGATGAGATCGCCGTCAGCTGAAAGGAGTTTGTTTGACCGATTAGTTCAAAGTAGTAGGTCTGGTAGGTGTTGGCAAAGTAGCCACCGCTGAAGTTCTGGGATTGAAGACCAAGCACTGCGACAAATGTACGGGATCTGTGTTCCTTGGAGAATATGCTCTTCCAACTTGTCTGACAAGCTGTGGACTCTTCATTCTCGAGTTGTCTCAGCTCAAGCTTGATGGCTTGAATGTAGATTTCGACGTCAGACTTTGAACCGTACAGCCGGCGAATGGCCTTGCGTGCGTCACTTTCCCTGCCTTTCTTCATGTACCAGACTGGGCTTTCGGGGAGGAAAGGAAGACCACAGAGATAGATTCCGGGGATGACAAATGTCATGAGAAATGCAAGCCTGAAAGACCAATTTCCAGATAAACCGGATGCGCCATATCCTGTCATTGATGAGCAGAAATTGCCAAACACAATGATAACATTGGTGAGAGATGAGGCCGTACTGCGCAGATTCGCCGGTGCATTCTCTGTCACGTAAAGAGGCGGGAGAACAGTTGACAGTCCCACAGCAAGACCCAGAAGAAGCTTCGAGACAAAGAGGACCGGAAGGTTAGGTGCAAAGACTAAGGCGAAAGAGGAACAGAGTGAAATAGTGACAGCAGTGTACAACAGCTTCTTGCGGCCTAAAACATCTGCAAATTGACCAGCGGCATACCCGCCAAAGACTTGGCCAATAGTCGATGCTGCATTCCAAAGGGATTGCCATAAAGCAGGAATGACCCACTCCTCGCCGTCGGTGTAATAGTTCCCATAGTATTTGCGAAATGCAGGGAAAGCTATGGCAGTACCGGAGAGCCCGGAGTCATATCCATAACCAAATGTCAGAAGCATGGTGTAAATCGTCCACCAGCAAAATTGTTTATTTGCCTTGATGGCCAACCAGAGTTTGCTCCATTGTTCTTTTGCTGTCGTGTTTGGCGCTGGGTGTATGCTTTCCTTCAATTCGAATTCTTCGTGAGCAACTTCAATGTGATTTGAAGCTCTCTTCTCACACTCCTCAAGAGAGTCTTTTGAATGGGCGAAATCCATTGTGACAAAAACAGCGAAGGAAAAGACAGGCTCGCTTGTTGAATTTGATCATTTGGTTATAACGACCTGCTCTTTAAATGTAGAATGTAGATGCGGGGGTTCCCCATGGGGAAGGTTATTGGTATAGAAAGGCATGTAGGGATTAGGTTAGTCTCGGTCCGAAGCTCGGTAAAATTGGCACGATTTGTCGGTAGTGTAAGGAGGTTCCGGAGAAACTTCGCAAAGCGCAAGTTCAAGTAGTGTACGAAGTAAATGGTAGCGACTTGGACGACGTGACTCACGTGAGTCTCGCCGAAATTTCCGAGCAATGATGTTCCAAACGCGAATAAATTGTCAGAGCTCGGATGACGCGTCTCAGAGATGTATCTCTAAGCCCCGCCATCGACACAGCCGAACTTATCCAAGATGCAAGATTCGGGGATACTGGTGTTCGTTTACTTAGTTGAGGGCTCGAGTGTATTGCTTGGCAGGAAAGGCAAAAGTGGATCTGACTTAGGCGCTAAGATAAGATAACGAAGTATCACGTGAGCAGCTCCCGACCATATTTTCTTCTTCGCTTCGTTTTCCTCTTTCTTCCACACACTTGTCTGCTTGTCAAAAGTGACATGGAATTTTAATGTTTGAATTCCAGAGTCGCCCTTGATATTGTTCCAGCACATCCGTACATCGCTCGGCTACTTATGCGAAGCCACACTCTGTGCAAATACGACGACTCTAATCTCCAATCATCCCCAGAAAAACGTGAAGACCCAGAAACTCGGATCGCGTCTGCAGGCTTCAATTGAAGCCTTACCTTCCATACCTCATGATTGTATCAAATTCCAGAGCATCTCCTTGCTACTGATTTATTACATGACTACTTCCCTACACCACATTCCCTCTTCGTGATTTCTATGATGATCTTTTAATCAAGATTGAACCAGGCTGTTATACACTTAGACTCCTGGGGCATGATCGCTAATACACTGAAAATTCTGATCGATCACGAAGAAGGTTTGTTTTGTTTTGTTTTTTTTGTTATCTTAGTCTAACTTAGCTTAACTCAATGCATTATTATACCTTCGAAAAGACAATTCCCATGTAGACTTTAAAGTGAACGTTGTTCACGTGATTTCAATTGCTGTAGCCCCCGGTGTTAGATTCCAACACCTTCACAGTCCAATTGGTTTTGGGGACGTCTTCTCTATTTTCAACTGCGGTCTTTCGCAAATGTTGAAGTCTACCGAGCCGCGTCGCAAATTGAGTTCCGCTGCAGCCTGCTTACATGGCAAAATACAAGCTTTGATGACCTATTGCCCCGGCCTAGCTCGCCGAGATCGCCGAGAAGATGGATCCGGGATGATGATCATCATTTCATTGTGCAAGCTGACGCATTGGGATGAATTCATTGACTCGGAAGCTCGGCGTGGAAAGTCTGTTTCCCAAGAAGCGGCCGCTATATTCAATGTTAGGCCATGCGGGGATCTGCGGCCGCTCCCCTTCACAATCATTGGTCCCGCAGATGCGGCCGCTCCCCATCTCTAAACGTGGTCGACATAGCACATTTCATTACGCCACCCTTTGCGGCCGCTCTCTTCGTCGGTTTATAAGCTGAAAATGCGGCCGCGTGGGCATACAATCGGAATGGAAATTCATGAAGCCAATACGAGCGGCCGCGAAGAATATGATCTACAGTATTTCTGTGAGCAGGATTACCCATCGTGGTCTATATAAACTCTGCAATTCCCAGAGATAGTCTTTTTTTCTCATCATCGCAACTACCATTCATTCCCTGTCTTACCTACCTATTCTATCACCGTTTCAACACCCCGAAAAACAGACTTCATCATGACAAAGGTGTGGTTCATCACTGGCTCTTCCCGGGGTCTCGGCCTCGCCACTACCAAAGCCGCCCTCGACAAAGGAGACAATGTCATTGCAACAGCTCGCAAGCCCGAGCAATTGGCAAGCCTAGTGGATAAATACGGCAGCGACCGCATCTACCCCGTCGCCCTTGACGTCACCAACAACGACCAAGTCCTCGAGGCTGTCCAAGCTGGACATGCCAAGTTCGGCCGCATCGACGTCGTAGTCAACAATGCCGGATATGCCAACACTGCCGCTGTCGAAGACATCACCGTCGAAGACTTCCGCGCCCAAGTCGACGCCAATCTTTTCGGCGTGGTCTATGTCTCAAAGGCCGTACTTCCTATCCTCCGTCAACAAAAGTCGGGTCACATCTTCCAGATTTCTTCAGTTGGTGGACGAATCGGTATGCCCGGTCTTTCGGCCTATCAATGTGCCAAGTGGGCAGTTGGCGGTTTCTCGGGGGTTCTTGCTCAGGAAGTTGCCCCGCTCGGTATCAAGGTCACTGTCCTTGAGCCGGGTGGTATCCGCACTGACTGGGCCGGTGCATCAATGGATTACCCACCCGTTAGCGAGCCATACCAGGCCACAGTTGGAGCCATTGCTCAGTTCCTTCGCCAATACTCTGGAACTGAGCCCACGTTGCCGGAGAATATTGCCAGGATAATCATCAAGCTTCTTGATGAGGAGGAGCCTCCGTTGCGTCTTGTTATTGGCGCTGATGCCATTCCCTACGCTGCTAAGGCTGCACAGACGCTTGCTGAGTCGGATGAGAAGTGGAAAGAGCTGAGCGTTTCATTGGCTTAGAGCTTATGGTATACTCCCGCTGAAGCCACAGTTTGTTAAAGATATCTTGCCAGTGTTACTTCTTTAAATACTAGAATAATGTCACACGAAGCTTATAAGAATATTGAACTTGCATTTTCTCCGACTTTCCTTCTCGCCTCTCTTAGTTTCGAAAAACCGTAAGAATCCCGATATCACCCATCGGATTTCACATTCTTCCCCTCTTTTTCCGCCCGACTCTCCTCAAGAGCCTTCTGAACCCATGATGCATCCCTATCCCGATCTGCCCTTGTTACCCGCTGCTGCGATGTAGCCGGTGATTGAGATTGGACTTGGGCATCCTGTCTTGCAGTACGAATAGAGCTGAAGCAGTACGTGCAAAGTAGAACCGCCATAGTAAAAGCCGCAATAGGCGCATTAAGGGACTTGAATATTAGATCTTATTAGTAGCTGATTATGTTGTAATTGAATCTCCAACGCAACATTGAATGCAATGTCTCAGATGTTATGCTATGGTATGATGACGGCCCGACGCGTGTTGGACCCAAGGAACATTGATTCAGACTTACTCCTGCAGATCGGCCGAGGGCCTTGGGATTCGGTGGGTGTTTTTGTGTCATTGAGATGTGTGTATTAGTTGTAGAAGTCTCAGACAATCTACCTTAAGCCTCGGAAGAGTGTCACTTTGGAGAGTCGCGGGAAGACGGGGAACGCCAAGTATTCCCCCCGATGGCTCCACTATCCAGTTGACGTTACTTTGCACCTTGATACCAGGTTTTACATGAGTTAATTCAACGATTTTTAGATTTATGGGATCCAGCCAAGCTTCTGTTAATTTACATTATTTGATGGTTCTTCAAAGCTTTACATTTCATTACTAAACTTCATGATAGCATACTGCTAGCATCCCGCATTCATTGTTGCTTTCTTAGTCGGCGCTTTATATCTCTCGCTGGCAGTATAACGCGGCTGAGCTTTCGCTTCAATTTGTGGTATCTCTATACCACTTGAGTTTGAATCCAAGTTGCTCTGGCTCTCCCAAATAAAGCATTTGAAGAAGCCCCCGCTTGTCTAGGTCTTGACATTTTTTTTTTTTTTTGAAAGATAAATCCTCTGCCGAGTCGTCTTGGCAATTATGTCTTGCGGGAAGAAGCGTCTCTGTGTATGCGGACAATTCTTTAATCGTGGTATATTTGTTGTGCCAACATTTTGTGATAATGTCGTCAATCAACGGATCGCCATCTAACTTGGGAAATTCCATGTCCTGCAGTAAATCCACAACTTTGCATCCATGCTCTTTGCGGTCCTCTGTAAGTTGCCGATCTTCATAAACTTCAAAGCCATAGTTTATGAGATAGTACAAGGAACCCAAGGCGAATTGTTCGGTTCGAGGACCTAGAAAACCAAAACCCCCACGCGGTCCCTGATCCTGCTCGTCGCTGTTGAGTATTCTTCCATACGGAGCCATACATGCTTCAAAATCTGAACCAATTTCAGCTGTGGAATCAAAATCAGACAGTTTTATTCGGTTCCGATCAAGTAGAATGTTTTTGGGTCGTAGGTCGCCATGTGCAAGATTGAGCGATTCTAGAAAACCAACGGCTTGAGCAAGATCGTTCATCCATTCCTTTCGTAAGGGCAGAGGCTCCAGTTTATGAACTTGAATTGACAAAACCTTCTGTTTGCTGGTCGCGAGTTTGGTTATCATGGATTCTCCAGAAAAGGGTTATATCTAAAAATGTTGTTAGTATAGTTATAGATATACTAGTAAGTATTATATACTAATAAGGGTCGCACCTCGCATATACTGAAGAAAGATGCCATGATCTGTATAGAGGAAACACTGAACTATAGAAGGGCAGGGCGAATGTCGAGAAAAGATCTCATAGATCTTGAGTTCTTTCTGGAATTGTTCTCTCTCAAATTCGCCAGATTTTGGAACTTTGACCACGACATGAGGATGGACCTCATACACAAAGGAGATACCCCCTTTCCAGAGCCAGTGTACATCGGGGAACTGCTGCTGAATATCCATGATAGCGTTGATATGGACCAGGTTGGAAGCTGGTCTGCAAAAAAGCTCGCTGCTGGGGGTGTGGGGTAGGTGAGCAAAGAGAAGAACGGGGTGCGTCAAAGTGAGGCTCTAAGGTTGACTAGATAGTTTAGCCAGCTCAACTGAATGTTCTTGGTGCTTCAATTTTAAAGCATGAAACACTCACGAATCTTCTCGGAACGCAGCAGCAGCAGTTGTAGAACAAAGATCACTTGTACAGCAGGCCCCCTTCCTGAAGAACCAGTAGAGGCAGCAGGTCTGTGCTCAACAGGGGTCTATAGTAGACTCTACTATAATCTCGTAACTCGTTACACAAAATTTAGTATACAAAGGCGACACTATGCCAATTGCCAGCGAAGGGCCTTTTCGCAATTCATTCCTGTTACTCCTCCCATCATTGTATCCGTATGATCCACTTCGCTATATTGTCGTTGGCCTTGAAACATATGAAATGCCACAGCGCTGTTGCTTAGCAAAATGCTCGCGTTCTTCTGGAATCTTGACTTCATGCGTAAGAAACTCCTTGAAAGGCACACTTCACCAAGGGCGATGCCGGTATAAAGAGCTCTCAAATATCTCTGTGCAAATCCCATAGCTCACCGCTAGGTAACATGCGGAATTAGTGGTAACTTTGCATAATTGACGTGTGTATAAGTACTAGTTTCTAGGAGCTCAAAACAATCACCACATGTGAGAACGACATGGTACATATTCCATTCCCGATCTGTTGCGGCAATCCGCGAATTACCCCTCAGCGATTCTCTCACCGGAGGCTCCGATCAGTTGATCGGGCGTGTTCCCGAGTTAGTTCATGCATGCTCGGATTTTGCGGGTTCTTTGAATTTGCCGAGTTCGTATCTCCGAACCTCCGCGGAGGTTGCGGTCTTGCGGATAATACCGGGGGAATTAGAGACTTCGTGCTGGGGGATGGACTACTGTAGTGAAGACCAGGGCCGGACGACGGTCAATTGAATAAATCGAACCCAACAGAACAATTGACCGAATATTAAATCATCGAATGTACATCTTTGCCTTGAACGTCATACCCACCATTTGATATCATTGGCATTCAATTGGCCGAGGTATGTTCCATCGGAAAACAAGAAAGTTGAAGAGTCCACCGCGGACAACATTAATGGCCGTCCGTCTAGGCTCGCCACTGCCCCTCAGACAGTGATATCACCAAAGTGGGTTCAGCCTGGGGCAGCGCTCATTTTGCCCTCACTCCCCCTTCAATTTTGACGTACTATTGCAGCTCTATTAAATAATTGATCGTTCTGTGTGCAGTAAACTGTAGAAAACGCCCTTGTAAAAGAATGCTTAGTCAACTCCGATGTCCGGCGACTCGGAGGTTCTAGACTTCCCCATTAGGACTAGCGCGAACGCTGAATAAGAATCAGATTATTTAGCAATGAATTCATCATTCTCCCCATATCAGATCTGTTTTTCGCCTTCAACCACCTTCATCCTCAACCTCAACAACCCATCACAATAACCGATCTTAACTTACTCAACACCCCATAACTCACAATGTTCAAGCGTCTCGTCACCGTCGCCCCTCGCGTCGGCGCTGCGGCGCCCCGTACTTTCTCCCCTCTCTCGGCCCTGCAATCCGTCCAGCCCATCCAGAGCCGTGTCCCCACTGCCTCTCCCGTCCAGCGACGCGGATACCACGAGAAGGTCCTTGATCACTACAACAACCCCCGCAACGTCGGCTCCTTCAAGAAGGGCGACAGTGATGTTGGTACCGGCCTGGTCGGTGCCCCCGCCTGCGGCGATGTCATGAAGCTCCAGATCCGCGTGAACAAGGACACCGGCCGCATTGACGACGTTGTCTTCAAGACCTTCGGCTGTGGAAGTGCTATTGCTTCATCAAGCTACCTTACCGAGCTTGTCCGCGGCATGTCCCTTGATGAGGCTGGCAAGATCAAGAACACCGATGTGGCGAAGGAGCTTTGCCTCCCGCCTGTCAAGCGTATGTATCTCTTGACGTGACATCACGTTTCGTGTGCAATGTGGGATTTATTTGCTAACTCCTGTTCTCTATTAGTGCACTGCTCTATGCTTGCTGAGGATGCTATCAAGTCCGCCATTTCCGATTACTACACCAAGAACCCCAAGACCAAGTCTACCGACCTGTCCGGAACTGGTGCCTCCATCCCTGATGTGACTGCCACTGCCGGTGCCGCTGCTGCTGCCGTTTAAATTGTTTACTCAAGCGGAAGCATCCGGAAACCGGGCTGAAACAGACCTCGGTCCCAGCAAGCAAAGCTCTTTCTCTTTTTTTTTTTCTTTATTCTTTTAACTGAGATGTGATTACCCCACGAGCGCTGTGAAAATACAAGCACAATCCTTTGATCGAGCGATAACTAGTTCCGAGCCGGATTTGATCACCGAACGACTGAGATTGTCTTGGTGATGGAGGTTTCAAACAAATATGCGTTATTTGTTTGCTGTACAGAATTTCTTTATTTCCCCTTTCTTTGCATGTTTGAATCCCTTTTTTGTTGGGCTCTTTTTTTTTTCTGTGGGGGCGCCTCGGTATCTGGGATCCTCGATCGATACTTTACTCTTCAAAAGCGATGGTGCCTTGATAGTTTTAATGAAACGATGAAATCAGAACTCGCTTTTCTATCCACACGTAACATTGCAAGAGTGATATGGCGCTGGGCCAATTGAAACCTTGAGCGTGAGAAAAACGTACAATGGCGTCTAAATATATGGACAAGACTATCTATACAGACCGCTGTATGAGGACAGGGGACACAGCAAAACCCTTGGGAAAAAGAAAAGAAGTAAAGGAACGCCATCGCTAGATGCACAGAATGATCACATCCGTGCTCTGAACCCCCAAACCCGGAAATCTAAAAGGGGATATCTATTTACAAAACAAAATAACAAACAAAATCGCGAGCCGACCGTAAGTTAGTGTGATGCGTTACGCGGTTCGCAGACCGAATCGGCTCTTCAAGCTCAAAGCCGTTTCATAGACAGACAGCTTTATCTCGACGCGCATGAATCCCATCCAGGCGGAGAGGTACCGGAAGAAATTCACAAAGACGCCACCAGAATCCCGGATCGCCTCAATTTGCTCTTCGAAGACAGTGCGGGTGGCGTAGCGCGCAAGAATGAGGAATGTGCGCATCGGGCCCTGGCGAGTGTGTAGGTTTTCGTCAAGACTGCGAGCTGTAAGGTTGTTAGTATACTCGATCAAAGCGATGATTTGAAGGACTGTTGGGAAACATACTAAGATCGTTGGTCTTGAGAATCAGAAGAATGATTCGGGGGACCTGGCTCAGCAATACCACCAACTGTTGCAGCATGCCCTCGCCCAGTGCGCCGGAGATCTCCTTCTTCTCCTGGGCAGTGCGCGAAGATACGACGTTCTGCTTCGTCAAGACAGAGTAGTCACGGCCAGTGATGGCGCTGGCGAAGAGAGGGAACTGCTCGTCCGTGACGCCGGCTACCTTGTGTGCATACTCACGCATCCGGGGAACATCAGCATCGATAACGGCGAGCCATAGCTTGGCATAGTTGCGACGCAGTTCACGGGGGATGTTGCGGTACAAGCCGTGGTCATACAGGATGATGTCGAAGTTCGGGTGGCTGCGGTTGGGGTTTACACGAATGGCAACGTTGCCGCCATGGGGGTCGCAGTGGAGCGGGGCGTTGTCACCGAAGATCATTTCGTTGAAGATGTGTGCGAAGGCAGCGGAGACCTCGTCACGGTCAATGTTGTTAGCGTCGAGGAAAGCGATGTCGTCGGGACGGCGGCCAGCGATGTACTCCATAACAAGGATGCGCTTCTGCGACCACATAACTAGAATGACTGTTAGTTTTGGGGGCTCATCATTACTTGAAGAATATTCATTTTACCTTCGGGGATAACCAATGGAGCGTCAGAGTGCTTCTTGAAATATTCGCTGGCTTCAGTGGCATTCTGGGCTTCCATGCGGAAATCCAGTTCAATGGGCAGAGACAAATCCATCTCCTTGGACAACCATTCCAAATCATAGTCCGGGAAGAAGCGCTTAAGCATAGAGAAGGTGAATCGGTTCAGCGCAAGGTCCAAAGGCACCCACTCAGCGAGAGCCGGGTGCTGGACCTTAACGGCAACCTTCTGACCAGTTTCTCTCAGGGTAGCAATGTGCACCTGGGCAAGCGAGGCAGCACCAGTTGGGTAAGGCTCAAAAGAGCTGAAAAGCTCATCGATTGTCTGTCCGGTATCCTGAATGAACATCTCCTCAATCGACTCGATAGAGGACACCGGGCACTTGTCCTGGAGCGGGATGAAGGTTTCTGTCCATTCGATCGGGAGTAGATAGCTCATGCTGCTAAGATGTTGGCCCAGCTTGATGAAAATAGATCCGTTCTTCTCGAGCACACGGAGCGTACGCTCAGCGCATCGCTTGTGGCATGCGCGGATGCTGGCATCGCGCTCTTCGGGAGAAGGTGATTCTTTGTTAAGGGTAACGCGGTAACTATGGTTCAAATAAATGTCAGTGAGAAGTTCGTCATGGGATTCCTTTCTTGAAATCTCGGTAAGAAGCGCGGAAGGTACTCACTCATTGATGCAGACTGCCAATGTGCCGACCACACGACCACTCCGTCCCGCTGCTTGGTATGCATGCTTGATCTCGTGAGAGTACACCACTCCGCCAACACCGATAGCGCCCAATGCAACCAGATACACAATCGCTTTCCGCGATTTCGGAGGCTTGTCTTTCGGTCCGTTTTTTTGCTGGCTGTTGGTCTCCGCGGTCAAGAGGGGTGAGGTTGTTGTGGCGAAACAGCGTCTGGACAGGGATGCACCCGAGACTGGTTCACATTGTCGAGGACTCCATTGCTGGGTAGTCAATCTGGAAGGCGAGAAAGTCGTGCGCAACGGCTTCGTAGCTAGACTGGAGAAAGTGCTGGCAATCGAGGCTTTTGGTGAGTTGCGAACTACCGGCGCGGGATTGGCCAAAGTCCGCAGCGGCAGGCGAAATGGTACGCTCATACCGACCAAGTGCCGTCCTGGCGAGAACAGCTAGCTAAAGAGAAAATGCAGGGAAAGCGCCAGGCTTAAACCATGCTCCTGCTTGGAATTGTATGATCAGGGAGATTTTTTTGGGACGGTTCTTGCCGCCAATCGGCTAGCCTCGCCCGGTCTCGGGGGTCGAGTTGCCACACGTGATTCCGATTTCAGCCGACGTCATCGATGAGTGTCGGAGTATAGGACAGTGGTGGTTTAGCAAGACTAGTATGGGCGACGCACAGTTAGAAAAGCGACGAGTCGGCAAGTCTGTAGTAAGTCTGCAGTAGATTGAAGTCCTGTTTAGGGACTACTAGTACGTCACATGTGCCATGCCAATGCGAAAAGGAAAAGCAGTCGAGCGTATATTGACCAAATACCAAGAGTCATAATCGTGGAACATCTTGATAATGAATAATTACGTCTGATCAAACGTTTATGTAAGTTCTATATGCAGCACCCAGTGCTATCATAGTGGGGGGAAACGACAAGACGATTAAGCACACAGATGATTTCACGACCCAAACCCCTTCCCCCCGTCTCCTTTTTGATGACGCCAGCCTCTCTTTAAAATCAGAATACAAATAAAAAAAACATAAAAAATTGATAGTGACAGCTACAATGACATGGGCAGGAGGTTCTCAATATCGAACCTTACAGACCCAAGTTATGTCCATTCAGAATCGGCAACCGCGGGCCGGCGGCGTCGAGGAATTACAGAAGGTCGACGACTGAGAGAGCTAGGCGCTTGTCCACTCTCGTCTTGAAGGGTCTCGATATAAGAAAGTCGGTTGGTCATTCCGCGTGGAACACGAGCCCGTGATGCAGCTGCACCGGTATTGGCTGCAGTGCTAAGGGAAGAAGGCATGTTTCCGTCTCGACTACCCGGTCGCATAGCGAGGGAAGAAACACTCAGGGAGTTGCGTGGATGGCGCGGGGTCTCGCGGCCCTCGAAATATCCCCTTGGTTGGCTTGCGCGGTTGGCTTGGGGAGTTGAGGGTGTCGAGCTAGAGAATAGATTTGGTGGAGTTGTGGATGTACTTTTCCTGCGGCTGACCGGTCTACGCTTGCTGGCGGCAAACGCATCGCTGCGCTCATTGGACTGAATGAGCTTGCCTGCCATGTCTCGGACGAGAATAGCAGGGTCATTCTCAAGTTCTCGAATGGCATCTAGTAAGCCATAGGTGGCAAGGAGACCACCTTGTTGTTCACTTGAGTCGCAAATTGTCGATATGATACGCAAAATATTTAAGCGTACGGCGGCCTTGTTGTGATGAAGCTTTTGACCCAGTCTCGTGAATAGATCCGGCCGAGCAAATGTGGACGCCACTGGGGGACTTAATCGAAGAAGCTTTTGTAGTGGGTCAAGGATATTCTCAAAGGCGTTTGCCTTGGTGAGTGCCAAGCACCGCACGATAGCGTCGGTGAAGGAGTTCCTGTCTGGACGAGTGTCTAGCAGATGCTCCTCGACCTTGGCGGTCTCTTCTTGCAGCCACGTGAAAATGGCATCCAGAGCCGTCACTTGCCAGTATGGATCCGCAAGTAGCGAGATATAGAAGGCGAGACCCTTATTACGCCATAGTTCTCTCCGGCCAACTTTACCGGATTGTGCCATATCACAGAGAATCGGTAGAGCAAACTCTTTCAAGGGTCGCTCAGTATTGACAATTTTCTGCAGCAAAGGTACGATACCGTTAAGGGCAGCATCCTCTTGCCGAGATTTGTTCAGACGGCACATGTTGTAGATGGTGTTGAGAATTTGGTTTGAAACCTCTCGGAAATGCCCTCTCTTCATAGTTGACCGAAGCAATTCCGTAAGGACATCAATTGCATTGGAATTCTGAAGAGAGTCCAGGGTAGTCGAAAGCATAGAAAGGTTCTTGATGAACTTGAGCATTGTGATTTGGTGGATGGGGGACATCCGTTTAAGTTCTTTAAGAACTCTGTGCAACACAGTTCGCTCCGAAACCATCTCTTTGACATGATTCTCAGCCTGCGAGAAGATGAAGAAGATGTTGGCAATGCGGCCCTCAATTACCTCCGCCAGATGGCCTTCTTCGTCCAACACACGGCTTAGCACGAGTGAGAGGGGGTCGAGAACAGAGTTACGCGACAAAATCCTGCAAAAATCATTTTTCGGAGTCGACCCCTGCTACGAGTATCAGTTAGTTTAAGTCTCATAAAGACTATGTGATCGGGATGTAGTCACCTGTAATTCAAAGACACTCCAAATTCCATTGACACCAATCAATACCAAATCGCGCTCATCCTCATAGTCGTCTTCCAAAAACTCAACTAGGACATTAAGACCGCCAGCACTAACAAACATTTGCAGTGTAAGAGTGGATGTTTGATACATCTGTTGCACAAAAGCAGCGGCCTCTAGACGAATTTCGCGCGGATACTTCTTGGATGCAAACTCATTGATGATGGGAATTCCACCAACGAAACACAGGTTCTCCTGGACTTCGTAGTCGTTGTAAATTATGGCATTGACAACGCGGAGTAGGCATATGATAGTGTCTCGGCGGCGCGATGTGTCAAGGATTTCCAAAATTGGCAGCATTCCATGTGCGCTAATGATGATGCTCTTGGTCTCCGGCAGGTCACAGAAATCAGTGAGGAGCTGTTCCGAAATATCTGCGAGGACTTCTTCGTCCTGGGATGTCTTCAAAGAGGCCACCAGTCCCTCAACTTGGTTCCTTAGGCGTGCATATTTATCGCGCGCGATGTTAGCCTCTAGATCCATTTCATCAAATCCTTCCTCTAGTTGGGCAAAAGGATCATCGTCGTCATCTTGATCTCCCAGCCATGAGTTATTAGACAACTTGGAGTTCAGCATCAAAGTGCTACGATCCGAGCCGTCATCACACTCCTCGGTATCTAAGCCCACTTCTTCAGCTCCGAGGATATCGGAGAAATCCTCGTCGCTTTCATTTTCTGCAAACTTGTGAATCTCGATTGTTGAACGGTCGCGTTTCACAGAAAGCTGCTTACGCAGTTGAGGGTGCTGACCGCTTCGATCGTCATCAAACGCGTTGTATCCGTTTTCATGTACCGGGGAAGCAGGATCGTCGTCTTCGAGAATTAGACCAAGTTTTCGATCAAGAACGTCCTCGTTTGCCATAATGAGATCGCTGTAATCCTCGACGGAGTTTTCTTTGTAGATATTAGCCGGGCGTGCTCGCCTCATCGGTGGCACAGGATTCTGTGTCAGGATTGGGACATTTTGCAAAGCCGATGCCGAAGGCTTGCTCGGTTGAGGCCGAACAGGGCTGTGAGATTTGGACGGTTCAACTGCCGAGGGCTTGGTTGAATATGGCCGTATTGTTTGTAGGGGGTCATTATCTTGTATTGTCATGGATGAATCTTCAAATTCATCGAAGCTGTCGTCGGGTCTCAACATTGTCCCATCGAGCGACGCAAATGCCTTGAGTCGCTCGGAAGAAAGCATTCCACCAAAGTTATCATGAGGTCGAAGATGAGGTAGCTGCAATGCGCTAGGGGAGATCGCTGTCGCAAAATCATTGTCCCAGTTGTCATCTTCTGCAGATTCTGGGGAACGGAACCGATCAGTAGTCTTGTGGGAAGTTGGAGATGGCAATGTGTCCACGAGAGAATTGCGCTGTGTAGAAAGAGGTCCGACACCGTGTTCAAACTTGTTGCTTTTCCTCGATGTACCTGCACCGGGAGACCGGAGGGCTTCGTTCCATTCCTGTACACTTTTCACGGCCTCTTCGTACTCTGTGGATTTCTTCGGGATAACAGAATCTGTTCGGCGAGCATTAACGATCCAAGGATGTTTTAGTAGTTTTTTTGCTGAGACACGCAGATTGGGGTCCTTTTGGAAGCACTGCATCAGGAAGTCTTTCACGGCCTATATTACTGTCAGTGTTGCACATACTCTTTGGATATCAGTAAATGCATACCGGTGAAGCACCTTGAGGAAGTGGAGGATGATCATCGTTAACAATGCGAAACAACGCCGGCATCGGCTGTAGGTTGTGATACGGTGGTTTTCCCTCGAGAAGTTCGATGACGGTACATCCCAAACTCCAAATATCCGACGCGGTAGTTGCCCCCGAGAGTTCAATGACCTCGGGTGCCATCCAGTACGGGGTACCAACAACGCTCGACTCACTCGGACCGGTTGTTCTGCTGGCCACACCGAAATCTGCGAGTTTGACCAGGCCTTCTTTTGTGGTTAAGATGTTTGCACCCTTGATATCTCGGTGGATTACACCTTGCTCGTGCAAGTACAGTAGACCATGCAGCACTTGGGACATATATAAACCAACCAAGTTTTCTGGGAAACGACCAAAGTTCTTTGCGATAGAGTGAAGTGAGCCGTTCTCACAGTATCTAAAGAAGTATCAACATCATGATTCTCCACCTCCTTTTCTTCGGGACACTTACTCGAGAATGATGTTTAAGGTTTCGACCGACTTCACAAATCCATGGTACTTGACAATATTCGGGTGCTGTTGTATCTCGTCAATAACAAGTTCCCTCGTCCGAACGTGGGGGGGGGAGTCTCACATCAAGGTTTTTCAGGAGGTCGATTTCCAGCTGAGACGTCTCGTATTAGTAGATTTCCCATTAAGATGCGCGGTGGGTAGATTCCCATACCATGATAACGCGCAACTCGCTCTTAGGAAGGTCCGTCAGCTTGATTTGCTTCACGGCGACTGTCTCCCCAGTATTCCAATTCAATGCACGGTAGACCGATCCAAAAGCTCCTTTCCCTAGACAGTCGCCCAGTTGCTGTAGAAATTCATAGTCAGCACCTGTTCAACCTCACAATGCGCGGGCGCATCTAAAGGGATCCATACGTAATCCTTCAGCTCTGCCACGTCCTTGGCCGACGACTTCAAGACCTTCTCCTCCTTTGGTTTCTCATCGCGCTTGGTTGGGCTGGTGCTGATCCGTGTCAATCGCGGTTTAATCGGCGTGCCGGGGGTCCTGGAGGGGGTGAGGGGGCGCGGCCCCTCATTCCCTTCGCCGGAGCGAGATACCATGGCAGAGTAGGCCTGATTTCTCTGGAGTTCAGTGCGGAGGATTCGATCCGATCGACAGTCTCGGAATGTTGTTTCAGGTAGACGGGGTGGGGTTGGAAGCTAAGGAAAGAGGCAGGAGCCGAGGGCAACAGTCTCAGGGTTCATGTCCGCAGGTTCTAGAGAGATCAGATTGTTAACTTGTCTGAATCAATCCGGTCGCAAACGAGTGTTATAGGGGTTGAGGGTATTTTCCGTATGCAGGCGTGTTAGGGAGAGAGTCTCACCAAGCGATCACAGGAGCTCTCTCGCGCGCGTAAATGTGGAACTTGGGGCTGATGCGCTTAAAAAGGACGGAAACGCAGAAGAATAATTAGCTCGAATCCACCCCGGGAGCAGAGCGACAGCAACCAGACTAAACCAGGGTGTTTGGAGCGTATGGGTGTAAATTGTTGATTGTTTTGAACTTTCCTCTCCACAGGCCGCTCGCCGCATCATGCAGCGGCTGTGCTTGACTTGCCCGCCGATCAGCCCTACGCCACTCTAAAGGTTTACAAACTTGATTCTTCCCAAACATAAATTTCAATAGTGCTGAAAATGTATTATAGAAGCATGTATTATTGTTAGCCTTGTCAGATCACATTCTGTACAGCAATATGTAGGCATGTAGCTGTGAATTTGTTCATCAAGTGCACATACATATCCTAGTCTGAGGTTCAAATGTTGGTACATGTTCAAAATGCCCAGGTGTCTCAACAATGAAGTGGATTGACTCTCCAGTACATAGTTTGAGTCCACATCTTTTCCACCAAAACCTTGGAACATGGATTCAATCGATGGTATCGTGGGCCCGGCGGGTCCAGGGGTAAATATAACCTTGGAAACCTTGGACCAGGCCTGGAGCACTTTCGTCGAGAGCATCTGGGGAACCATAGAACGTGAGGGCTGCATGTGCGTCTGCACGCCCGATTGATGTACAAGTTGATACTTGAAGATTGTGATTCAATTCTCGCTGCCCAGAGGTCCCTCCAGGGCCAGGTGGCGTTATATTAGGTACTACTATGTATGTATCAAAACACCTGGGCATTTTACCTACTACGTGATATGTACATGTGCCTGCTTTTGAATCCATTGCCAGCCTTTGAAGGTCGGCGGGATAATTCATCCAGGCTCATCTGTCCGGTGGTTTTAGATGGACCTGGGGATCATTGCGCAATACCAGTCTGCTCCAAAGGTAGGAACCTTGGAAGAATTTAATTCTCCCAAGATTCAAATTGTTTGCTTCAAATGTCCTCGTATGGATACATAGCTGTGTAAATAAAGGACAAGGGTATCATTTTTGTGCCTCCCGGAGCAACCGATGCACATCGGAAATCAAGTACAAGCTGCCTGCAATAACTAGTGGTCCACCTTGAGAAACATCGCTGGCCCATTTGATTGCGGGGATGAGATCACCTTCGAAGGTATTCACCTGGCCAATGGCAGGAATAGATCGAATAGCTGATCCAAGTTCCTCAGCATTGGTTGGTGTGACCCAGGGCATTCCATCCACGGGCCCAAATTCGGCGGTTGCAACATTATCTCCAGGCCGAATGATGGAGCGAAAGACTCCAGCCAGGTCCTTCCCACTGGAAGCCGCAACCACCCATGTCACGTTTCCAGATTGGGGTCGTAGCTTACGGTCAACATATTTCCCCAGAACATCAGCAGACTGAGGATTATGAGCACCGTCAAGGAGAGCGGGTTCTTCACGACCAACAAGACTATTCAGACTGATGTTTTCCAACCGACCAGGCCACCTCACGTTGGCGAGATGTGGAAGAAGGGAAAACGCATTTTCTTCAGGGCGGATCTTAGATAAAGCAATGCGCAATGCTGTTACCGCACAGCACATGTTTTCTTGTTGGTGGGGTTCTAGATCTAGCTTCTGGAAAAGCTGTGCAAGCGGTGGGAGTTGCGCCTCTACCTTGTCTGGGGAGACAAATGTTGCCTCGATACCAAGTTCTTGAATACGCGTCGACAAGGCTCCTAGCACCGCTGGCTCGTTGGTGTTGTCAATCACGCAAGGGACTTCTGATTTCAAAATTCCAGCTTTTTCTCGGGCGATCTCCTCAATGGTTGAGCCCAAGAACGCCTGATGGTCCATTCCAATTTTGGCAATAACCGAGACCAGCACGTTGCCCAGTATATTCGTCGCATCTAAGCGGCCACCCATGCCCACCTCGACAACTCCGACTTCAACATTTTCATGGTTGAAGATCTCAAATGCCGTAGCAGTCAAGAGCTCGAATTCGGATGCTCCAATGCCCAACGTTTGGTCTCGTAGTTTGACCTGGTCCTCGATTTGCCGGAATAGGGATTCTTGCACGACTCGTTCGTCAATGGTGATGCAATCCCACCGGTCGATCAGGTGTGGGGAGGTAAAACGGCCGCAGCGGACACCATCAGTTGCAAGAAGGTGGGAGAGGTAGGCGCTGATCGAGCCTTTGCCGTTGGTCCCCGCAATGTGGATGGCTTTCCAGGTAAGCGGGGTCTGTTGGAGAAGACGCGAAACGCGACTTAAGCCTAACTCAATCATTCCACCAAAATGTGCTGCTTATTAGGCAAGCTCAATTGTCATGATTTGGGGTAAAAGAGCTCACAGAGTCATTGTCCTCCGCAATGACGATCGGTCAATCACAAGCTCCGCAGTCGAGAGCGGAGACCAGTATATAAAAATACCCGGTCACGTGATAACCCGACCAACCGGCAGAAAAACGCAATCATCCCCCTTCCGATCGGACTCCATCCTGAATCTCCACTCACTACTTCTTGTGTTTCCGGGGTCGCGTACACATCGTTTTTTTAAAAGTTTCTCTTTGTTTCCCTCGTTTTTTGTTCACTAAGTTTCTTCCCCACGATTACAGCAATGGGTATTCCGTGAGTCAACCTCCTTTTTGTTCCTGGATGCGATCGCATTGCGCCACCTCGCCACCTCGTTGCCGCGTTGACTGACATGATGATAGACTATGGCGCGAGCCGTCAGAGTCAGACGATTCCAAGTCTGCTGTGGAAAAGGACTCTTCTGCAGCCGCACGATCAGCGATCCGTCGCCAGGCCTCCCTTCGACGTCCCTCGCGTCACACTGCTCGCGCGCGTGGTGTCGGCGGTTTATCCGCATTCCATTCCCAAATCCTCGATGAGATACAGCGTGGTATAGCTGAGCCTCAGATGGGGGTACGATCTCCTGTTCTGAATCTGGGAATTAGTGAGGATGGGTTAGATCTTGATGCGAGTCGTCGCGAAGCTTTAGGCCGGAACACTGCGCGTCCACAACCCAGTCGTGACGCAGACCATTTAGCCCGCCGTGCCAGAACCGCCCGGGAACAGGCTTTGTTGTCCGACATCCTCAGTCGCGCTGATCGCCGCCCGAGCCCTTCTTTCACCCCAAACTTTGCTCCTGCCGTTGCATACCGGACCGCTACCTCCGCCCGTTTACCCTCGGATGGTGTCCGTCTTCCCCCTCTCCCTCCTCTCCGCCGCACCAGTACTCTCAATCACGACTCGCCAACTTACATCCCATCATTTATTCTACGAGACTATCGTAACGACAACACACCAGGCAGATCCAATGAAGACCCTCCCATAGATGGGCTTGGTGACCGCCAGCGAAGCGTGAGCCCGGATGGCGAGCGTGAGAATGACGCATGGGAGACTCTTCTTTCTACTCTTACACCAGATGCCCATCTCCCTTCCACTAGCACATCATTTTTTTCAACCACTGGCCCCACCACCGACGCCTCGCACAACAGCACCTCTCGAACCTCTACCGCATCTTCCCAAACATTGCCGCCTGTTCACATGGCTCTAGACCCATACCCGGATCAGCTTCACCCCTGTGATTTAAGTTCATCGGAAGACGAAGACACCCCTGTAAACTACCATCGAATCGCCGGTCCATCAGGTCTTCCAATTGCACTACGTCGCTCGCCTGGTCTTCCTTCCACATTGAGCAACCACCCTCCAATCCCCACCATCTCTTTCTCCTTTTCCGACTCTAGCGATACAGATCTTCAGCAGATGCAGGCCATTCTGGATCGACTCGCCCGTCGTGAGGATATCCCCGATGACTGGTGGGCGGGGGCTGGCCTGTCGCGCAACCTGGGCCGTGGCCTCAGCACTGGTACTAACCCCCGTGCCAACGACAACGAAGGTACCGATTGATTAATTGACCCTTTTATCACATATTGCATCTTCCAAGTATTTATTATGACCATTTTTTTTTCTGCCCGGGGTTTTCTTTTCGTTGGAACATCTAATTATCTTGTGAAGCTTCTTTTCTAGGACAGGGTTTGTTGGATTACGGCGTTTGAAGATCTCTGGTGGTTTCGCCAGTTCATTGTGGTCCCGGCCATGGCCCTCCTGATTGTGTTTTGTGTCTGTCTTAGCCGCATAGGCTCCAGCGCAGTGTTTTTGTTTCAATTCATCTTCCTCGAAAATGGCCTGAGCATTGTTCTCCGAATACCACTTCATCATTTATCCTTATTATCTGACTGTGTTTCTCGATCGTGACTCGTCCATTCTCTTTCTGTTCGATAAATGCGCACGGCCACACGCTGCAGCCTTAGGAGTAAATCGTGCATGATGTCATCAGCACTTTAAAAAACGCTAGTATCAGACCTATTGTACATACATTGATAATTCACATCTTAATCCTTCAATTTAGTTGGCCATTCCTCCACGAAAATGGACAATTCATTTGCTGTCTATGGTGGGCCAATGGTTTGTGACGTAAGTCCGTTAGGCCTCGGAGCACAGCAGTCCCCACCGGCTCAGTCATAGACAGCCCCGCCAATCCGTTATCGCGGGATTGTGTAGCATTCTCGACGACGACCAAACACACTTCAGAGTCCAGACTGCGTACATATTGAAGCCTTTCCAGCCTCCACTCCTTTCACGCTATCTCACCCCACGATCTCTGTTATAGCTTGAGGAATTGCTTCAAAGTGTGATCCTCACCAGCATATACCGCAGCAGCACGCGACACGAACCCTCCTGAAGATCGCCGCGCCGAGCACAATCAGAAACCATACATCGAGAACTCTTCATACCCAAAGTCCATTATATGATACCCAAACTTGATCAGCAATTTAATTGCATCATGAACCCACAGGTGGAGCACCTGGTCAAGAAGACCTGGGGTAAGTGGGCGATCCATCACCCAAGTTAACCCCTGTTAGCCCCGGTCTAGCGCATTGGTCGGTTCTGAATGGCCGCAGAACCCTGCCTTGAACGAACACCTCATAATTCCATGCTCAATCGCTAACCTTCTCTTTGCAGCGAAATTCTGCTCAACCCCCGATGACGCCCGCTTAATGATCGCCGTCAGCGGTATTCCAGGCTCTGGCAAGACAGCCCTCGCCAACATGATGACCCAGCAAATCAACAAAATATATGCCTCAGAAAACCCCAGCTCAACACCAATCGCTACAGCTATCCCGATGGATGGCTACCACCTCACTCGTGCCCAGCTATCGGCAATGTCAGATCCGGACTATGCATTCGCGCGCCGCGGCGCAGCATTCACCTTTGACGGAGAGAAATTCCTGGCGCTCGTACAAGCTTTACGGAAACCGGTGACACTGGCTTCAACGGCGCTGTATGCTCCCAGCTTTGATCATGCAATTAAGGACCCCGTTGATGATGATATTCCGATCCCGGCGTCTTGTCGAGTCATCTTTTTCGAAGGAAATTATTTAAGTCTGAATAAGGAGCCGTGGCGCTGTGCAGCCGGGTTGATGGATGAATTGTGGTTTGTAGATGTTGATTTTGAGATTGCGAGGACGAGGTTGGTTAAGAGGCATGTTAAGGCAGGGATTGCAAAGGATGAAGAGGCGGCTGATAAGAGGGTGAAGGAGAATGATTTGGTTAATGGGAAGGAGATTGTGGATTTTAGGCTGCCGATTCAGGAGATGGTTTCGAGCATCTATGATCCTACATGGGAAAAGCCATGATCGTTAATGAAGTACAAAACTGGGAAACATTGTGTCAGCGTGCGATAGATTCATGTTGCATATAGAGTGATACTACATTGACTTGATGAAAGATTCGAAGGTTTCCACTAATTAAGTATTCGGATGAACATTCAAGTTTGTTCTTGCTCTAGGACTGCTTCTTTTCCAGGGTCAACTGGTGTCTGTGGTCGGTAATTTGGTCATCCAAATTCATCAAGTGCTAGGTATGTTTAGGGACTAATACCTACTAGTAGGTACCCACTTACTCTGTCCCAGCATTCAGTATTCGTTGAATACCTCAGGTACTTGGAAGATACACTGATGATCCATGGATGTCTTGAACATCTTGTTCATAATACGAATTTTAGTACATCCATGGGTCTACTCCAATATTTCCAAGGTTATATCTAGTATGTACCTCTAGTTGAGTAGATTAAAATAGACCAGACGAACTATAGCAAAATGATAAAGTTCAGACAAATGATAGGAATTCTTGCCCTAAACCTCCGACATTAAACCCATACTAGTAGAGACATGCTTTTTAGGGCATCTGCCTATCCCTGGGATCGGAAGGTGAGACATTGACGACACCACTTCAGACCATCGTTTGATTTTTGTATTTCGGTTTTAATTGCAAGTAAGACAGGAACATAATTGCAGTAGTGCAATTTAACATTAAACATGCATTCGGCTCACTGTAACGGAAAATGCATCGTTATGCCACAGTGGACATAATCGAAGCAGCTGACTGGGGCCAAGGGTCCGCGGTCCCTGACGCTAGTCGACTATAGGCATAGTGGTGCTTGGTCGTGGGGGAGTACATATACACTAGTACTTTCAATACGTTAATACGGAAGTATGTTTACTAGTTAAATGGAGCGGACAGGTGATAATTTCAGGGACTGGTACATTACCGTACGGTCAGGGACCGTCAATCAATTCCTTAGTTGAGCAAAGACGAAACTGCAGTAGCGGCGCCCACTCGGGTCACTCCTCAAGACCCTGATTATTCCCACCCTGAATCCTTTCCGTATCGAGATCCGCTTTTATCTCTCCTTCGTCACTCTTTGTCTTCGATTTGCACACCTTCGTTTTTTTCCCACAATAGTCACTCCTTCGCTATTTCACAGTCTTTACTACAACCGATTCGCTGCGCGATCTATCCATCCAATCCGTCCAATCTACCCGACTCTCCCTAATCTTTTCCAATCCGTGACTCCAGTCTCCTGCATCATGCTGTTCAAATCTACTCTCGCCCTGGCCTTCATGGCCCTCGCCAACATCGTCTCTGCCTCTCAGACTCCCGCATGTGTTATCTCCGTGATGGGGTAAGGATACCGACACCCATACGTTTGCGACTGACATGATGCTGATCTTCGATAGTGATACGGCCAACCCCGACGACCTCGCGACTATCTGCTGCTCTAAGACAATCCAGTCTAAGATCCAGAGCACGTGCGGAGATAACGCTGATTCCGCCTTGACTTTCTTCTCCAACACCTGCAAGAGCCACGGCTACACTGTTGGTAAGAATCTACAGGAGACCCGACTAGATCGATATCTTATCTAGGGCCCGAGGCTAATGTTGATCTACAGAAAAATCTCCCAGTGCCACTACCACCGGTACTGGCGCCACTGGTACCGCTACCGGCTTCACCACTGCTGCCTCGACCTCCGGCTCCAAGACCACTGGTACTAAGACATCTGGCTCTGGCTCTGGCTCTGCTAGCAGCACTGCGTCCGGTAGCGCTTCGGCTTACCCTTCGCCTTCTGTTGCTGGCGCTGTGGGCGGTCAGCAGCTCTCGAGCACCGCCTTCGCTGCTGCGCTGTTCTTTGGTGCTGCCGCACTTCTCTAAGAGTTCACAGCAGCAAACAGTTTCTCGCTCTCACAGTGCGACCTTTCAATATGTATTGATAAATAATTTGGCTTGGATATGCTGTATTGAATGTGTTCTCAGTTACCACATCCTTTTGGAAAAGGGCGATTTCGAACATGTTGAATGTCTTGCTCATCCATGTGGCTTTGTATCGAGTTCCCACACCGCTTATCACATTAGAAAGGCAATTTCGATTGCTTTTGGTGCTTTATTTTCCATACTTCTATTGCCCCTTTGTTGTTTCTTATCCCAAAACAACGCCTTAGGCAGCAGGCTCGAGTACTGTGGCCTGCTGCCTATTCCTGTAAGGAGGTCGCCAGGTGGCGGAGTGGGCGCTCAAGAGCCAAGGGTCGACGTGTATCCATGCCTACCGTCACCGCAACTTGTAGATCAGCAATGCGGGGGCGCAAGTAGATGTAGCTTAAGTGACACCGGAGTTGCCTGAGCCCGGAATGTTGGACTCCGCTCGGTCACCGCAATGCCGGTGCCATGCGCGAGGAGCTTCCGAGCATCGGATGGGACCCAGACACGTAAGCACGTGACCATCGCGATCCATAACTCGGTTTTCCTATATCGGGTTAGCGTGGTAAATGCGGTACATTGAAATATACATTCTTGACGCTCAGTCGAGCTTTCTACAGGCCCTTCGAGGCATGTTCTACTTGTGAAAGAGTCTCAGTCTAATGGAATGGGCTCAAAGTAGGACATTCTATATGGCAAAGCTACCTATTCAAGTTTTAAGGTTATACCTATCTGCTTGTAAGCTGAACTATGCCGTTACCAGTCAAAGTAGCGTACAGACACCCCTAACTTGCTTCTATGAAGTCTAAATCAATCCAGAAAAGTCTGCAGGGTGACTTCAGCAGGTTAACTTTGTATCTACATAGTTTATATAGGAATCCCAACGCATGTGGAAGCTAATATAAACCTCTCGCCATCCCTATCTCCAAACCCCGCTGAAACATACGGTGTACAAAGCTTACCAATCCTAACTAATTTTCAACAAAGCCCCACATAATAATTACTGAGAAGCTGGCTGCTAGGAGACGCCAATTCGCGAAAAAACGCGTCTGCCCTGGCGACATCAAATATCCTCCCCCTCCGATCCAGTCTTCTTTTTCTTCCCATCCCCTCTATCTCTAATCCCCTCCAAAATACCTTCCCCCCTCCTTCCAAATCCCTAATATCCTCTATTGCTTGCAACTCTTCTTTAATACCCACTGCTTTTCAAACCTCTTTTTTTGCAAACCCCTTTCAATCATCACGCCAAAATGTTCGTTTACAAGAGAGGTACGTGAAACCATCGAAGATGAAGCCTTTTCGCTCGAGACGCGGGGCAAACTCCCTCCTCGTTGTGCATGAGACTTGAAGCTAGTCTTGCCACCGACCTCCAACATCAGAAACTAACTGGATTCTCGTAGATGGACGCAAGGAACGCGTGCAGTTTGATAAGATCACTGCTCGCGTCTCCAGACTGTGTTACGGTCTTGACCCTGAGCACGTCGATGCTGCTGCCATCACCCAAAAAGTCATCTCTGGTGTCTACCAGGGAGTTAACACCATTGAGCTGGACAACTTGGTATGGTCGCCACCGCCATCCTTTGGCACTTGAAACAATTTTTTCTTCCTTTTCTCTTGCTAACTGCCACGTCCTTCAGGCTGCCGAGACCGCTGCGTACATGACCGTCACACATCCCGACTATGCCATCCTGGCCGCTCGTATTGCCGTTTCCAACCTCCACAAGCAGACTAAGAAGCAGTTCTCCATGGCTATCTCAGATCTCTACCACTATGTCAACCCCAAAAACAACAAGGCTGCCCCCATGATCTCCAAAGAGACCTATGAGATCGTTATGAAGCACGCCGATGAGCTCAACTCGGCCATTGTTTATGACCGTGATTTCAACTACAACTACTTCGGTTTCAAGACTTTGGAGCGTTCATATCTCCTCCGGGTTAACGGCAAGGTCGCCGAGCGTCCTCAACATTTGTTGATGCGTGTCTCTGTGGGAATCCACGGCGAGGATATTGAGAAGGCCATTGAGACATACCACCTCATGTCCCAGAAGTTCTTCACTCACGCTTCCCCCACTCTCTTCAATGCTGGTACTCCCCAGCCCCAGCTGGCTTCTTGTTTCCTGGTTGATGTCAGCAGTGACAGCATTGAGGGTATCTATGACACTTTGAAGACCTGTGCCATGATTTCTAAGACCGCTGGTGGTATCGGTCTCAATGTTCACCGCATCCGTGCTACTGGATCATACATTGGCGGTACTAACGGTTCCTCCAATGGTATCGTTCCTATGCTACGTGTGTTCAACAACACTGCTCGCTACGTCGACCAGGGTGGCAACAAGCGCCCCGGTGCCTTTGCCATCTACCTCGAGCCCTGGCACGCCGATGTGTTCGAGTTCTTGGACTTGCGCAAGAACCACGGTAAGGAGGAGGTTCGTGCTCGTGATCTCTTCTACGCTCTGTGGACTCCCGATCTGTTCATGAAGCGTGTTGAAGCCAACGGCGACTGGACCCTGTTCTGCCCCAACGAGGCCCCTGGCCTTGCCGATGTCTACGGTGATGAGTTCGACGCCCTTTTCGAGAAGTACGAGCGCGAAGGCCGGGGTCGCAAGACTATCAAGGCCCAGAAGCTCTGGTATGCTATCCTCGAGGCTCAGACTGAGACCGGTAACCCCTTCATGCTGTACAAGGATGCTTGCAACCGCAAGAGCAACCAGAAGAACCTGGGTACCATTCGCAGCTCCAACTTGTGCACTGAGATTATCGAGTACAGCGCCCCTGATGAGGTCGCCGTCTGCAACTTGGCCTCTCTGGCTCTTCCCACCTTTGTTGATGCTGCTCGTGGCGAGTATGACTTTGGCAAGCTCCACGAGGTCGTCCAGGTTCTGGTTCGCAACCTGAACAAGATCATTGACATCAACTACTACCCCGTCCCTGAGGCTAAGAAGAGCAACTTCCGTCACCGTCCCATCGCTCTAGGTGTCAACGGTCTGGCCGATGCTTTCCTTGCCCTGCGTTTGCCCTTCGACTCACCCGAGGCCAAGCAGCTCAACATCCAGATCTTCGAGACCATCTACCACGGTGCCCTCACTGCTTCCGCTGAGCTGGCCAAGCAGCTCGGTACCTACGAGACCTACCCTGGCTCTCCTGTTTCGCAGGGTATCCTGCAGTACGACATGTGGGACCGTACTCCTACTGATCTGTGGGATTGGGCTTCCCTGAAGGCCAAGATTGCCGAGAGTGGTGTTCGCAACAGTCTGCTGGTCGCTCCCATGCCCACTGCCAGTACCAGTCAGATCCTGGGCTTCAACGAGTGCTTCGAGCCCTACACCTCCAACATCTACTCCCGTCGTGTCTTGGCTGGTGAGTTCCAGGTTGTCAACCCCTGGCTCCTCAAGGACCTGGTCGACCTTGGCCTGTGGTCCGACAACATGAAGAACCGTATTATCGCCGACGGTGGCTCTGTCCAGAACATCCCCAACATCCCCGCCGACATCAAGGCTCTGTACAAGACCGTGTGGGAGATCTCCCAGCGTAACATCCTGCAGATGGCTGCCGACCGTGGTGCTTTCATTGACCAGTCTCAGTCCCTGAACATCCACATGAAGGAACCTACCATGGGCAAGATCACTAGTATGCACTTTGCTGGCTGGAAGATGGGTCTGAAGACTGGCATGTACTACCTGCGTACCATGGCCGCCTCTGCTCCCATTCAGTTCACTGTTGACCAGGAGGCGCTGAAGGTTGAGGATACCAACGTTGCCCGTTCTAAGAAGCGTGTTGGTGGTGTTGTCTCCTCTTACTCTGCTGTGCCCCGTTCTGAGACTGCTACTCCTGCTCCCATCCAAGAGAGCCCCCGCACTCTGGTCCCTGAGCCCATCGTTGCTGCCCCTGTCGCAGCTCCCGTTGAGGTCATCGCTTCGGCTGAAGAGGCTGCTCCCGCTGAAGAGGTTGTCGCCGAGGGCGAGGGCCCCCAGGGTGATATCTTCTCGGACGCTGTTCTCCAGTGCAGCATTGAAAACAAGGAGGCTTGCCTCATGTGCCAGGGTTAGATTCGCCTTGACATTGTCTAATGTTTCTGTTCTTCTTCCCCTTGGTTCCCCATGCAACGCCACACCGAGTGTGATTTATGTACTTCTATGACGAGATTGATGGTTTTGTTTCCTGTTCTTTTCTTTTGTCTTTGGTGGTTTTCTCAGGCGCACATTACCAGTTAAGTCTTTTTCTTTTAATTTCCTATGTACGTTCTTGTTACAATGACGTCCCATGTTCATTACATGTTTCTCAAATATGTATGCCCTTGTAGATGCAATCTTCCATCATCCGAGTACCCGGTGCTCTTCTGTACCTCTCGCACTAATCAATACAGCGAACAGGACTCGGAAACCTCCCGAGCCGGCACCCAGCGGATTCGCCTTCCATATCCGGCGATTTGACGTTCCAGAAGAGCAGGCGATAGAAGACTGAAAGAATGGTTCCAAGGGTTCTTTGCAGAACCGAACCATAGAACGCTTAATGATGAAACTTTGAAAAACGTCCCGAACCCACATAATCCGATGTTACTGGGTCTAGGTCCACGGGTTCCTGATGTAACAACGGTTCCACACTTGGAATGCCCTGGAGAGCGAACGCCTTCAATGATCCGACGCCACGAGGTCGGCACATTCCTACAATCGTATTGCACATGTCGATCGGATATGTCCAAAATTGGTCGCAGATTTCTTATCCAGGGTTTCCAATGCAAAATAAATGAAGAGACTGTAAGAGACTGTGGTCAAGTTGCATTTTTGCAGATCCGTTCACTCTACCGAACACCCTTGCACCCCAGCCCGGTCAAAAAGCACCAGCAACCACACCACTCCTCACTCCCCAGCCCTTGTCTACCCAGTAAAACATCCGACCATGAAAATATTTTATTTCATCTCGCTCGATATACTTGCCGATTTTCGTCCAAATTACCACGGTACCTCCCTCTCATTCCGGGGTGATCGTCGGCCGAGTGGAGCAACACTGACTGGCCGGTCGAAAAAAAAAAACGAAAACCAAGCGCGAGAGAAAGGTCCAGAGTGTGTGGTGGATTCCCACCAGTTACCGTTACCGACGGGGCCGTAATGCGAAAAGACCCCCATCAATTGGTCGGGGGGTAGAGACCCCAGTTCGGTCTAGAATTGTGATGGAGATCGGAATCGTTTCACATCACCGATCTGGGAACCTGTGGTAATGCGTATTATGATGCGCCCACAGACGAGGCGTTTACAGGGTGGTTCGGTGTGCTTGTAACTTCAAAGTTGTTACGTGGGGCGGGGACAAATGTCGGAGATCACGACATTGGCAGTTATATTGGAGATATGCATGTAGAAGTGCATAGATGATACATGGTATAGACGGACACACTCTTTTCCCTCCTAAGTCTCAGTTCGTAGCCCGTGGACAAGTGGACACACACAAACGCACCGTTCAGGTGTCATGATCGAATCGATGTTAGTGGTTTCAGGGTATTTGGTTTGGTTTCCACCGCAAGCCACACTTTTTACAAAGCCCCACAGTGACTACAGCATTCGCGGTGATGTGATGGGGAGCGAAAATGCGTTTTCAGGTGGAACATTGAAATTCGCGACGGGCGTACATACAGAGCGGGGGGGAGGGACGCTTTTAGGTATGTCGTGTCTCTCATAGTGTAGGCAGTAATGCAGTTGGGGCATCATCATTCGTGGCCCAGTCAGATCTCTCAGCTGAGTGTACATGTAGATATCGCCGTGTCTCATCATCGTACCAATTGGATGCTGGCGCAGGGACCCGCAGTACATACAGCCAATAAGACCTGTCAGGGGCATTAAGGCGCAAGGTGTACATACGATGATAGAAAATGCTTGGCCCGTTCTTGAAAGCCAAAGTGAAGAAAAAAAAAAGAATCCAGAAGCCAAGAATCTCAGTTTTGGCGAAAGTCTCGAATCACCAAAGAAGGTGGGGGAATTTTCCTATTGGTGTTAAGATTGGATCGGTTCATTCAGCCGCCCGGACCCATTAATGGTTTAGGGTCAGGAGAAAGAAAAACGGTGGCACACATCAACCCCTGCACCTGCGTTGGCGTAACTCCATGGGGCCAATCAGGGCTTTGAAGTGTTAGGTTCCGTGAGATCCAGAGTCCGGGTACCTGTGAGGAAAGTTAATGGTTTTAATGGTTTTAATGGTTTTTTTGGGGGGAACTGGTAAGTTACTCGGGAATAATTGGGTCCAAAAACCAGGGGAATTGTGGCTTGAATTAGATCCATGGGAAAAGAGAAAAGTGGAAAGGAAAAGTGGAAAGAAGGGAAGGTGGGTCGAAGGGGTTTGATTTCCGCCCGTACTCCGTTATACTTGGTTTTTTATTTTATTAAAAGCGCCTGGATCCTCTCTTTTCTTTCTTTCTTTCTCCAACTCGCCATTCCTTTGCGACTCCTCACTCTCGTTCCTTTGAGTGCTTCTTGGTCATTTCAAACTGCTGTGCAGTCGACTATCATTTACAATCACTTTCCCTCGAAAACCTTCATTCTTTCCCCAAGTTCATCGAAATGGCCCCAATCACCAAGACCCTCGCCCTTGCTGGCGCTCTCTTTGCCTTCTCTGGCTTCGCCGCTCCCATTGAGAAGCGTGCTGTTGTGTGGGAAACTGTCACCGACGTGGTCTGGACCACCGTCGATGTTACCACCACTCTCTACCCCCAGGAGCTTATTGCTACTGCGACTGCCACTGTCGTTCCTGTGACCACCTCCGCCGCCGTTGAGACTACCGCCGTCCACGCAGCCAAGACCGAAGAAATTGTCCAGCCCACCACCAGCTCCACCAGCACTAGCTCTAGCACCACTGTTGCCGCTGCTCCCGTGACCACCGAGCAAGCCGCCACCACCGCTGCCCCCGCTGTCGTTGCCGCCGCCGTCGAGCCTGCCACCACCAGCTCCAGCTCCACTTCCACCTATGTCGCTCCCGTTGTCGAGCGTACCACTTCCTCCGAGGCCACTTCCACCACCTCGGCTGCTCCCGCTGCGACCACTTCTGCTTCCACCACCTCTTCCGATGGTTACTCCGGCACTTGCGATGAGGGCTCCCCCTGCACCGGTGACTTGACCTACTACGACACTGCCACCTCTTCCAGCAACCCCAGTGCCTGTGGAACCACCAACGATGGCCTGACCGAGCTTGTCTTGGCTCTCCCTGTCGGCGTCATGGTCGACTCCGACTGCGGCAAGTCCGTGACCATCACCTACAACGGTGTCACCAAGACCGGCACCGTCGTCGACAAGTGCATGGGCTGCGACGATGGCTCCGTCGATCTGTCGCGGGCTTTCTTCGAGGCCTTTGACTCTCTCTCCGCTGGCCGTATTTCTGGCGCTACCTGGTACATCAACTAAGCGACAAGTAACAATTGATACCATACGACCGCGTAGATCGCGGGGCGTAGCAGGATTGGGAAATCTCTGGTAGATTTCATATATGTCACATTTTTTATCCCCCCCATCTTTATCTTGACTTCGTTCCCATCTGCCCTTTCCTTCGAGTACGGTCATCTTTCCTTTGATCTGTTCTTGTTGAAAATAGCACACCGGGCCCTCTTTCATTCTTTTCTGACACTCCCTTATGGATTACAGTTCCATTTTGAAACAATGTGCGCCCCTAGTGGGCTGCTTTTATCGACTTTCTTTCATGTTGATAGCTTTTTTCTCCTCTTTTCCGCTTTGTGACAATATTACCTACCAGGGATTGCCCGCCTAACAAACCCCTTTGCCTTTACCCTTCTGCCTCCCATCCCAAGCGCATGCTGGCATTGCCATCAGGATACTTTGGCTCATTGGCTTTTATCGGTCGATTCGAAGCATCTTGATGTTTTGTGGGAGTGTCATGATATCTACGACGATCATGTTGGAAATGAACACCCAAAAAGGAACGGTCGCTTTGCGCCTCTTTTCCATAGTCTACTGCTGTATGGAATTGGAATCTACGTTTCTATCTCGAGTTTCCAGTCTCTTCTCATCTTCCCATCTTTAAGCTTGTATCCTGTAGTAAACTTTAGTTGCCCAAATTTTACAGGGTACTTCCTTCATGGGGGTAGAACGATCCGTCACATGCTCGTGGCGAGCTGGGGAGGCGAACGCTCCATCACATTGGAGCTGGTCCAGCCATGGCTTCATCTCAGTTGGAGTGTTTTGATGCCACGTCCATGTCTTATTTCCAAACAAATAGACCGATTTTTATTGCTCTTCGCAAAACGTTTTGGCGCGCACAGCCTCAAACCAGAGTGTGGTATTATCGGAAAACGGTTTGGCTCCAAGAAAAACAAAACGAGCCTCCAAGCTATGCATTTCAAATAAGCTTCAGTAAGCCCCATTTACTAGTGGACTTTGGATAAATACATAGCAATTGCATTCAATTTTTGGACATTGTGGTCCCAAATATGTGATTTATTGCCAATTGAACCTGTTCCGAATAGCAGCACCAGGGACGACACACGCCTCAAACATCAAACAAACACCAACAGGTCTCAAGCCTCACTTGACTCATCATATTGACCTTGAAATGTTTCATTCAAGTTATTAAAACACCGGGTGCATGTACCCAGCCTACTGCTCGGTCCGACCGTCTGTGTTGGTGCCTGTTTGCATAGCCTCGAAAGATGATCCCCCTGACGATCTGCGTCAGTGCTCATTATTGAGTTTGCCCACACGACTCGGCCAGGTTGATCAAAGTGGATTCGATTCCAGTGGAAAAATCAGGTTCGACGACAATATTTGGTTTTCTATTTTCGGCTCTGTTTTTTAAGCTTTGGACTACATACCTGCTTAGCATAGAAGAACCTTGCAGGTGTATGTACCTAGGAGAAATGCATGATCAATACCACATTAAGCACTATAGTCTATTCAATGTTTCCAAGGTGACCCTCGGGCATACCCGACCTAATGTTAAATACATCTCCTATATGTATCAATATATATATATATTTGGTAAAGATACTGTATCTTTACTATATCAAAAGAAATATTTATCACTTAGTCAAAATAGTATCATCCCTAAAAGTGTATCATTATTGATTAATTTAGGAAGGTTCTCTAATTCATATCAGAACAGCTCTTTAGTATCTGAATCTTTCCTGACTCGAAAAAAAGTATCAAGCAGTATCAAACATTAACACATATTAAATTCAACATTGATGACTATCTAGCATTAACGAATATTGCTCAGATTGGCGGAAATTGCCAGATGAAATGTAATACTCTTTTCGACACTTGGTGTATTCCCAATTGCCTTCTCCATTTATGTCTATGACATATTCATGTTTAGGACATCAGAGACATTCTGAAGACCAACTAGATCGAATCTTTGACCTTTAGTTTGAAGCCAAAGCAGATTCAACAAACCGTCTTTTTCGGCAAGTGTCATTTGCTGGATGCAGATAAGATATCTGATTTGCTCATGATGAGTCTGGCTCAATATCATGATCACTTTTCCGACTCCAAATATACCTGATCCATCAATAGCTTTGTACTGAAAAAAAGCACTGAGGCGTTAATTCATCCTCCACAGTTACAAATCATCGGATATGGCCAACAGAACCATACGACCGACTTCACTTGCAAATTCCTCTGAATCCAGAACCTCTTGCGCACCATGAACAGCCACATTCCTGGGACACGCAGTCTTTACCAGCATACTCGCCACGAGACGGTACACCATAATGGTGAGGGCGCGAGCCTCAGGGGGGGAGGCCAGTCCCCAGGATATGATGTTGGGCCTCTACTTTCAGTACTGGACCTAAGGTAGATGGAAACCCCGTCTGACTTGAAAATCAGTAGGTATTGATAACCGAATTGATGTTTGCTTTAGGAGATTTTGTACTTACCTATCAATCCCTGGTCGGTCAAATCCCGATCACATTCGCATAGTGGTAGAGACCCTGAATACTCCGTCCATCTCTGAACATGTGCTTTGAACATTAAAGGATTGATCCCAATACCCGAAAGCAGGTCAAAAGCATCCAGTAGCCAATATATGTATACCACTCAGATGTTAGATTCTTGTCGTAACCTTGGAAGCCTTGATTGCTCATGTATATGTGATCAGAGAACCCATATGTCAGCCATAGGTCCTGTATATAGTATTTGCGTTGAAGGCGCCGAAGCCGATCGATCTCCTCCAAAATATCTGTCTGGAATGTCTGCTTTCTGAGCGTGCTCTTCGAAGTTGTTGCGAGGTTCACACGTTTCTGTGGTGGATGTTCCGGTTTTTTGAAGGTTTGTTGATAAATCACTTGATTCACATGTTTCGTTAATGCAGTGACTCGTGATAGATGGTAAGATAATTGAGCCTTCAAATCCCGCGTTTATAGTGACTTGACTTCACCTAGCGTTGATTGGGACACATGCATTGGGTGAGCACTATTCGCCAGATGGGGCAGTCTGCTTTGACAAAGGCATGTTCTTTGCACAGGTAATCGACGACTGTCAAGTTGATATCCATGGGGTTCAAGTAGGGTACCTTCCAGCTCATGTCGAGGCCATCGGGAAAGGGTTGCCATAAATCTCAAGTGCTCGGAAATAATACCATCACTTCTTGGTTGTGGAAAGCATGGATACCGCAATCAAGCTGGTGTCTCGGTGTTGCCCAAGTCGTCCCAGTAAGTAAACAGACTGGCTGCTCCAACTCCTCGTTATAAGAGGCGATATCCGGATGACCATCATCCTCAATGGGTCTAAACATTCAAATGAAGGTAGAATTGGTGAGCTTCAAAGGGAGCTAACAATTTGATGTCGGAGTTTGTGTACTACTCATGTCAATTGCCGGTTGTGTTGTAACTTATATTTCAATTTGGCAAGGTTGGCAATAATGGCCGGTATTGGATATCATTATTGCGCTCCATGGCCGGTCCATGGTGTGTCCAGAGGAACGCCACCTGACGTTGATGGGTATTTCTTTTCCCACTTTTATTTGGAGTGGAGAAAAAATTGACAGGACATTTTATACCCAGGACTTTAGAGTTGTTGCCCAAACACCTGGTGCTGGAAACATCCAGCATATGCATGGATGGAAATCAATTGCCGGTAGTAGAATCCTTTTCCACATGTTCAATGTTCAATGTTTCTTTCAACAACAAAAATAACATTTGAATATATATCAACATTAAAGATTGAAAGAAGATAGCTTTTGTTTGAGAGGGATAATACTTACTCCCCAAGCTCTATCTTAGTATATCATCAACCAACATTGAATGTTGTTACCTGCTAGTATGTAGTCATCCTCAATATCCCTAGTTATGCTAAGCTGTTCATTTGAGACTCTAGAAACACTCTGTAAGTCAGATGGACAGGAAATTTTGAAAGTGCCGTCGACATCTTGTACATGAGCAGATATGTTCAAATGTTTATTAATTCTTGGAAATATCATATCAATTGATTTACATCTTCCTAATACCTTAAAGTTTGAGACTCCAGATGTCCGCTTCTTCGCTCCAAAAACACCTAACCGCTACCTATAATTACCCATATGCATACTCCGTATATATATTCAACTGAACCTAAAATGAGCCCGCAATATACACTAGACTCTCAGATAAAGCACGTACTTTGCCCATGGTTCTCCACTTTGGGCCTCGGCGAGAAAAATCACTGGCCCGTCAAATAACTATGCACCGAATACATATGAACCGCTGACACATCTTGCAGCAGTCGCCAGCTCGTAACGTCAAACAGGAACCATCTCACAAGCAGAAGAGAACCACCACAGCGTTTATAATATGATATATCATCCAGGGTCCAAGTAAGTTCGGTTTGTACGGTCCGCAGGTGCAGATGCGGGGTGGCGATGCGATTTTGACTTTTTGTTCTAAGCGGAAGTGGAGATTGATGAGTACTTTGGATATTATTCGAAGACTATGACAAGGATAATCCAGGTACCCGTAGCCCCAGGCGGTTGGACGGGTTGCATATGGTTGCATACTCACATTTTACTGGTTGCCTGTTTGAGGCTGCCCGTTTGACTCTGCATTCCTTGTTCCGGTTAAACTGTTGCTTCTTCAAGATGGTCGGGCGGTTGGAGAGGGATCTCGGATCTTGGGTCATCTCATGATCTGATACAGGGGCGATGACGGCAGAGTATTGGATTGGCGCTATTGGTCAGAAGTACATGTATGTTGACTTAATTTGCGATACATAACCAACGGGTTAGCTTGACAAACTCCCGATCGTGTTGGGTGAGTTTGGAGGGCGAAACAACCCACACACCCTGTGGCTGTTAGATACATCTCTTTCAAATATACATGGGTTGAGTGAAGGGTTAGGCAACTCGTGTTTTAATGGTTTGTAGCAGGAGCGAGTATATGTAAGATGTTTGAAACCTGCAAACGGTACTAGTATTCTGTGCGACATTGACTGTCTTGAGCAACTGGGAACGAAACAGTTAAAGCGGATTTGATATTTAATGAGTCATGTACTAGTAGTCTGAGCCTATCTTGGTTGGTATTGAGGCATTGTTCCCGTGAGAGCAATCCTTCTGTTTACAATATCCATGGATCCTATCTTGATCCATTAGGTGTCAACTTCATAAGAATATAAGCTTCAAACGAGACATAGTGTTTTTTATTCTGCTTTTCTTTACATCCCTTCGTGATACGTAGACGAAAACTTTGCCGATCCATGACCAGCGGTGTATTCGTGTCAATCAAGTGATCGACACGTACCGAATCCATGAGGCATTGGCGCGAGAACAAAGGCTATCTGAAATTAGTACATCTATAAAGAACTTTGACAAGTATGATGCAGGGATTGTCGAATCTGCAGACTTTCTGTGACCAATCTCACCAAACCCTTCTTTTTGTTGTACAGATCTCCATTGATTCTCTTTGGACTTCGCTTGGGCCTTGAGCCCCACAGTTAGACGCTGTGACCAACGCACGAGAAACATTTCCTGCCTATTTAGTTTTCACTGTCACGTCATTAATGGAGAAAGAGAAAATAAGAAATAAAAAGAAGAAATAAAAGCCACAACGGGGTGAGTCCGAAAAAAAGAGGGACTTCTCGGGTAGGAAAGTAGATTTTGTGACCGGGTCACAGACGTGCGCGATCTCCGACATACCAGAGCGGAGTCCGAAGGATCGATGAGACTAGTTTGAGGCGTTTGAGTGAATACTACTCAAGCGAAGAGACTCGTCAGCTACTATGGGTTTTGGTGAATTTCACACCTGTATATTTGGTATTTTTTTTTCTAGACATTATTATGTCATTGGGTTCACTGGGGAGTTCAAGGGTTTTTGTTTTCCAGCCCTCGGTGTGTATAGAGAGAGTCTCCACTAACCAGAAAGCCACTCCGTATCTCGGGGTTAAGTAGATTCAAAGATGAGGAGTTCGATTAATTAAAAATCCAGTGCTACTCTACGGCATATCAAATGAAAGAAAATCTTAATAGAATGAATAGGGAGCATCCCCTTAATTTATTTCTCCCAGAGCCAAAATAGAATAAAAATATGACAAAGAAATAATCAAAGTCCAGGAGACCTTCTAAACTCTAGAAAACGAACTGAAAGGGAATTCAATAAATATAAAAAAAAGTGAGAAATATGAAAAATACCCAAAAAAATCACACGGAATGACCGAAGCTGAAAGGTCATTGGGTGGTGAAACAAAGCTGAAGGCTGAGAAGAAAGATGTTCACTCACCAATCAAGTAGTAGAACGGCAACATCCAACTGCAAGGCCGTGGTCTCCGCCTTAATGATCCCTCACCTGAAACTAGCGACCATCTACGATCATCTTTACCGTTCCAGGACAATACCAAGCCTAACCACAGGTACCGTTCGAAGTGAATTGGGGCTTGTTAGGTTGTTTCACCTCCTGCGCCGCAAGGCTCCCGTCGCCCCGTAATTGGTCCATTATGTGGTCCTCGTCCCATTCACGTCCCTGAATGGGGGGAGACTGAGTCGCTGTGGGGTTGACCTCTCCACTGCTCCAGGGTACATATACCTTTCTTTCCTCGCGTTTCTGGGAAGAGCAAGCAAGTCTTCTTTTCTCTCATTTTTACCTGTTGTGCTGGGCACTCCTTTTTCAGCAAACATGTTCATCCTTCCATTCGTATGTTCTATCTCCATCTCCACATTTACCTCGAAATCCTTGGATATACTAACCCTTCTCCAATTTTCAGCTTTTGGCTGCCGGCAGCCTCCCCCTCATTTCCGGGGCGCCGATAGCATCCTATCTTTACAAGAAGTCTGCAGACGCAGTGTCCAGTCCTTCCATTGTTGAACGCAGTACCGTTGTTGAACGCAGTTCCGATCTTTATGAAGCAGTTTTTGGTGGTGATGGTTCGACCGCCGACGGGTGGCCCACGATCTCGGAGTGGATCTCCACTTTTGACGAGATGTAAGTTTCTCCAATATAAACGAGAGCCAGGATGCAATTGGGGGGAAACAAGACCAATCAGACTTATTCGTTATCTTCTCTTATTTCTAGGTTCGAAGCCAACGAAGCTGTCATGTCCGCGAGCTGTGCTCAATTCGACGTGGCAGATAACTCCGATGCTGAGAACGCCGATATCAAGACCGCCATCCAAGCTGTCGCTACCTCCAGCGGTGTGGACGCCCGTTTCATTCTCGCCATTGTCATGCAGGAATCCAACGGCTGTGTCCGTGTCCAGACTACCGACAACGGCGTCGTCAACCCCGGTCTCATGCAAAGCCACGACGGCTCCGGCTCCTGCAACAAGGACGGCACAGTCCAGAACCCCTGCCCCTACAGCGAGATTCACCAGATGATCGTCGATGGTGTTGAGGGTACCACCGAGGGTGACGGTCTCGAGCAGCTCCTCACTGCTGAGGGCGGCTCCACCGCTGAGGATTACTACAAGGTCGCTCGTTGCTACAACTCTGGCTCCGTTGATTCGGACGGTAACCTCGGCCAAGGCGTTGCCACCCACTGCTACGCTTCCGACGTCGCCAACCGTCTTCTCGGCTGGTCGTCCGGCACTAGCTCCTGTGACGCCGATACCGTCGGCGACTTGACCGACTCCGACTGGTCAGGCAGCAGTACTAGCTCTGGAAGCACTACTTCTGCCTCGTCCTCGGCCGTTGCCACGACTTCCACCGTCTCGACCGTTGTCCCAGAGGCCACTACCTCTGCCGCCGCTACCACCGTTGTCCCCGTGACTACTGCCGCCGCCACTACTGCCGCCGCTACTACCTCGACTGCTGCCGCCGTGCCCACCACCACTTCCGTGGCCGTGATCCCCACTGCAGCTGCCACCAGTGCCGCGACTACTACCGCTGCTGCATCCGCCACTGCGTCGGCTTCAACTTCGACCTCCACTGACCCCGTCTACCCATACGCGACTTCGTCTTGCACAGAGTACTACTCCGTGGTCTCGGGCGACTACTGCGAAAAGGTCGAGAGCCAATACGGCATTACTGCGTCCGAACTCCGAAGCTGGAATTCAGGATTGGACGAATCCTGCTCAAATCTCTGGTTGGGATACCAATATTGTGTCAAGGCATAAATGTTGTATCGCCTTCCAGTCCTTTCATTTTTCTTTCTCGGTTCACACTAGAGACATTCTTTCATGCCTACTTTTACTTTCACTTCTACCACACCCTTTTGGTTTGAATCCTTTTTTTTTCTTGGACTCTGATGGCCGTGCCATTGGATCTTAGGATGAACATTCTCTGAAAAAGACGTCTTGTACAAGAAGGTTGGCGATTTCATTTGCATATATGGGTTTTTGCTGGCTCTTTGCCCATCTTTTGCTAGCCGACACGATTTACGATAGCTTTTTTCTCTTTTTTACCTTTTTCCACTTTGATACCACTGCGTCCTGCAGACAGGCAAATACAAAACATTCGTTCTGATCAATATTTATTTTAAAATTACAAAGTAGCTTGAAATTGTAGATCGAAGATTTGATTTGATTGGTTGGAGTAGTATGCATTAGAAGCGCCCTGAAGACACGCCGTATAGCATGCCCTACCCCACCGATCTCCCATTTCCACAAGTGATTCTACATATTCTTATTTTCTCCAAAATTTCCTTTCAAATTCCCATAGATCATGACTCCTGCAGGCTTTCTTCAGCAAAGTCCATCCAGCGGGTACTACCTTCCGATAACGAGATATTCCATAAAGCATGGAGTCGGCGCGTATAGCGACCATCTCATTCGCCGCCAGGCCATATCGAATCACAAGATGCCCAACAATGCACCAAAGGTGACGTTGCAGGGCTGAATCAAGCTTTCGGTTCGGTCGGGAATCTTGCATAGTATCTCCTTTTGAAGTTTCAGATAAAATGTAAAAGTACAGAAACGCTGTTTACGCGCTTGCAGACTAGACTGGGATGTGGCCCATGTGGGTGATGGGAGGTGGGGGTGGAGACGGATTTGTTTCGCATTGTCACGGTGGTACGAGGTGTACGTATTCTGTTTGTCATCTATGGATGAAGCTAATATACAGAAGTAGGTGATCGGTATGGTATTGGATTTTTGCTTGAAGTCAAGAGAAGAATTTGCCAGAGGGATGAAGTCCATCTCTCTACTTTGATCCAGCGCGAAGGTTACTATTTGATCCTTGGCCAAGTAATAAGGCGGGCTTGAAACATGGGGCAGGGAACATGAGATTTTTCACAGCCAGAAGACATACGAATGTCAAAAATCTCAACTCAATTGATTTACAGTGATGTTCATCATGAAGAACGTCAACATCTATACCACCGGACTTGACGGGGATTATTCACATCCGATCTACCCGCGCCACTCTAAATCCTACCCGACCACTCCCCGACCCGAGCCAAATCTATCCAACTAGCCCAACCACCAACAATAACCCCCATACCTGTCCAATCGATGGCCCCATCAGAAGATCCTAGTCCCACACCAGAAGTACGGCCATCAAAACGACGCCGCGTGGCCGTCGCCTGCGATGCATGTCGGAGCCGGAAATCCCGATGCGATGGCACCCGGCCTCGCTGCTCACTGTGCACGGATCTAGGCTTTGAATGCATGTATACACCGCCGGCTACGGCGACGAATGTAATCGTGCAGAAGGAGTATCTGCATGGGCTGGAAGATCGGGTAAAGAAGCTTGAGGATTCGTTGAAGTCTGTTCGGGATGATATTGATGGGTTGGTGGTGCGTGTTGATCGGGTGCCAGAGGCACACCCGGTGGCAGTTAGAGGTGGAGCTGGTGTTGGATCTAGCCAGGAGGCCCACGGGGCTGTTCCTGTTTCTGATTCCGAGCTGGTTGGGCCCGAGGACTCGGTTGATGCGATGGGTGCGATTTCTTTCGCGGATGAAGAGGACTCGGGGTTCTTCGGTATAGTGGAATTCATCTTGATATTATGAGATAAAGACTTCTGGAGAGCAATGCTGATAATTGTCACAGGGCCATCCTCGAATATCGCTTTCTTGAGACATTTGTCTGGGGCGGTAGCTCAGCAAGGATACCTCTTATCTCCTGGAGATGGCACCGGAGTTGCAGAAGGAGGTTTCATAAGCGTGTCGAAACCACATTCAGCAATACGCCAACCAGCACAGGAGAAAGTCAATGTATTTGCGTTACCTCCTCATGCCGAGACTTTGGCATTGATTAACCTTTAATTTTCGAATACGGGCCTACTCTACCCGTATATTTACCCATCCACGTTCTTGGCGACTTATCACCGAATGGCGCGAGAGAATTTCGCCAACGTTCGAAAAACATGGCTTGGTCTGTTGAATATGATTTTGGCCATGGCTACTATCACAGCTGATTCAGAAGGCGCCAGTGCGGACACGCGCATCGCCGAATCTGATGTTTTCTATCAGCGTGGTCTGGGGCTTTGTGGTGGTGAGCTGTGGCGCGGTACCACTTTGGAGCTTGGTAAGTATGACCGGGAACACGAGTTATGAGTTTACCTCTTTAGGACGGGATTTTGTTACTTACACAGGGACAGTCCAGTTCCACCTCTTGACGGGCCAATATTTGCAGGGCACTCAGAAGTCTGTGCAGGTTTGGACTGTGCATGGACTAGCAGTAAAAGGCGCTTTACAGCTTGGACTTCACTCTCAACATGCATCTCGCCAATTCGATCCCTTGGAGCAGGAGTCTCGAAAGCGTACTTGGTATTGCTGTATTATGCTGGACAGGTAAGAATGAAAAATATTGCATGGTGATAATCGATACTAATCGTTTAGAACACTGAGCATGACCTTTGGCCGACCGGCTGCTATTCCGGACAGCTATGTGAAGCTGGAACTACCTTCAGTGCACCAATTTGAGTCTTCATCGGATGTAGTGGACGCCGAGACATCTAGCCTCAGCGTCTCTTTTTTCAACTGCACAATGTGAGTAACCATAAATACGAATATGAAAGACAACAATTAACGATTCCAAATCCACAAAGCACATTGTATAAAAATCTGTGGAAAATCCTTGACTGTCTATACGGCCAAAACATCGGCTGCGACGACCCACTAGACATCAGTCCAACCTTCACTCACATCTTTCAACTCCAGGAAGGTTTATTCTCCTGGGAAAAAGCGCTTCCCGTCTCCTTACAACTAATCACCAAGACCAGCATGGATGAGATACCTCGAGAAAAGCTCCCAAACACCTATTATTCTTCCTGGAAGTTCCGGGTCATTTTGACACTACGCTTCCTGAACCTTAAAATCTTGCTCCACAGACCCATTCTCGTCAGATTCATCATGGCCAGTCGATCTCCTGACCGCGACACTTACGACATCAGAATGCTACGGTCTATGGGACTGAGCATTGTGGAATCCTGCACCGATTCTGCCATGCAGATAATCGACCTTGTCTACCGAGTGGTTTCGGACCCGGAATTGAAGAAAAGCTTGTTGGGCGCATACTGGTACTCGCTTTACTACAGTAAGTCAAGCCCAACCCCTTTGTTCCTTCCTCTGCTGCAGAAGCCTTTAAAGAAAATCCACAGTCTACAAATGCTTACGAGTGAACCAAACATTAGCCTTCAACGCCGCTTTGGTCATTCTCGGCGCTATTTGGGTTTACCGCGACACAAGCCTGACAGGCTCACCAATGCTCGCAAAAGCAAGCGAATTAAGAGATTATCCCGGTCGAGCAGTTATCGCGCTCTCCAAATTGGATAATGGGAATAGGCTGATTGATCGGTGCCGGTGCTTCTTGGAACATTTTAATAAAATATTAGTGGATCCTGGTGAGTTTCCTCTTTCGATATATCTATCTTATGTATGTCTTTTTCGCTATTCAAAGAGTTGTTTATTAAAATTCATACTATGCAATACAGATACAGAAGGCCCGACGCCTTTGTTCCCATCGTTGGGTATGGGTTCCGAGGATCTACCGGCGGCAGACTTTGATTTCTCGCCTTTTGGTATGGAGCTTGGGGAATTTATGATGGATGATGATTTGGTGGCCATGATCGATAGACAGAGTCTTTTGCCGACAGATGCTGGATCGGGCTGAAGCTATTAAAAGCTGTGTGTATTTACTGAATTTATACTAACAATTTGCATCATCACCACACCAGAAAAATTGAGCGGTTACCTATCTATACGCTTTAAATTAAAACCCTCACAGAAATTCAGAGTTATGACCTACATGTAGTGCTGTGCTGTTATACATACGATATTTTGCATAATGTATGTATCAATATATCCTGGAGAATCAACGCTTCTCCATCTCCCTCGCAATACCAGCACGCCGAGCAATCTTGCCCAGCAAAGGCGCCATCCCAGCATGATTACACTCCGGCAGCATCCTCTCACGCAAATCCGACCTATCAACTCCACCCCTCTTCTCAAAACTAAACCCGACCTTCTCCACAAAGCAGTTATACTGCGCATCTGCTCCCCTCAACGCACAAATCTCACCACGAACGCAATCCCCATCACAGCTCGGAACCATATACCCGCGCGTCCGCCTTGCCCAGAAATCCCCGAAAAGCGCCGCATCTTGCTCCATCGCCACGGTAACATTGTGCCAAAAAGCCGGCGATAGCTCGGTGCTGGAATCGGTGACCGGCGGCACAAGCTTAGATCCGTAAGCCGCCTTGGCAGAGTAATATGGTGTCCATTGCACGGACGTCTGAGATTCTAGCGGATCATCGCCATCGATACCAATATCGGCGATGTACTGCGTAAAATCCAGCACACCAAATGTGACGGGGTCGATATCGTAGACGCGGAAAGAAGGCGGGCCGGACGTCGGCGTCATGGACGGGGCGATGTATCCCATTGCCGTCGCGGTATCCCAGCTCCGGAGTTCATAGTCCGAGTACGAGATCTGGAACTCGTCTCTGTGGGTATGACCGAAGAAGATAGCGGCGATGGTGGCCTCGTAGCGGCGTACTATCTGATCGAAATAGTGCGAATGGTCATGGAAATGATCAGGGTTACCGGACGGGATATGCGAGATGAGCCAGACGCGCTCGGAAGCCGTTTCGGCGGCCTGGAGCTCGTTGACCAGCCATTCCAGCTGGCCGCTGGGGTCTTGTTCCATTGGTTCGGTGTAGGCGAAGAAATTGTATTTGTAGTAGAACATGCTGTTGTAAGAGATTATTCGCAGGTTGCTGTTTGGGTGCAGGACCGAATATGCTCCGTACTGGTCCGCGAACTCGATGGACGGCGAGCCTGACAGCGCCATCCAGTTCGCTGTTAGGGCATCGTAGGCCCATTGCGGGTTGTATGTTGAGGGGAGCTGGGACGAGGGGAAGAGATTGAGGGGGGCGGTGTCGTGGTTTCCTACTGCGGCGTAGACGCGGCCTAGGCCGTCTGCCATTGCGCCGTAGGTGGCGTTGAAGTTTTGGAGGACTTCGGATCGGTCGTTTAGCCAGACGTCGTGGGCGACTACGTCGCCTGTGTAGAGCGAGAAGGCGGGGCCCAGAGCCTTGATCGCGGCGTTCATGCTTTCTTGCAGTCGGTGTGGAGGGTCGCAGTGAGCGTTGCCCCAGGGTCCGCAGGGGGTGGAAGTATGCCCTGGTGCGTCACCGTCTGTGTAGGTCCTGCAGCATATAGGCTTGGAACAGGCATAGTTAGAGCCGGGCTCGTAGGAAAGGTCAACGTGTGTGTCGCTGAAATGGACGACTTGGATCGGGGGCTCGCCGCTTGGTGGGGGTCGACTGGTTGATGGTTTGGGGAGAGGGAATGCCAATTCGTATGCTCGGACTTCTGGGTATTGACACAGGCCTAATAGGCTGGCACAGAGTGTTTTGGAAGTGTGGGATCCTAGCTCGAGATTCGAAAGGGAGTACTGTACTGATGGGCCTTCGGCGGTAATGACTCCAGCGCAGACATCGGGGTCCTCGGCCTATCTTTGTGTGAGTTTGATGTTTTTAGTGGAATTTTTGATGGGACAGCTTACACCACTGAGAGCGCAGACTCCAGTCAGCACATCGATCATGAAGGTATCGCCGAGGTTTGCTGCTAGTTTTAACCCACCCAAGATAATCTATCGTGGTGGTGTAAGCTTTGGAAGGTTCCTCGCTGTATGATGAGTTGTAGTGATTGAGTCATACCTGGCAGCTGGTACAGTCAACTGCCTCCTTGAATTGATTCCAGATATCAGTGATCCAGCTTTCGGTAGATTCGGCGTGAGCATTGGAACAAGGTAACCAAGCGAGTAAGGTACTAAGGAATAGAATCTGGCTCGGTTTGAGCAGCCACATTTTGAGATCTCCAGGGCTGTCGTTGATGATGATCCTGGAGTACTGCAGGTGGTCTTATGAAACACGGATCTGTTCAGCTACGAGATAGAGTCTTATATAGGTGGAAGGGGTTATTTTATTCCACACGTGGGGCCCCGGTCTGCCGAGAGCACATGTCTACTAGTACTATAGAGCAAGCGTGCATATGCCCAGACACTGAATGTCTCTGTTCGCCTAGCACCGGAATCTATTTTAGTGAACTATTAATATTGAAAATACCTACTAGTCACGGTAGTCCTTGATGACGGATCTGAATGATACGTATTAAAAGTACTAGTAGCTTTCATGGCTATAAAGGCTATGCGCGGAAAACCGTTTTGTTTTTGTTTTTGTTTTGGGTAATATTCAAAACGCGTTTCGACTTGAAATGTGGACTTTGATCCAACATTCTGACCAAAATTGGCTACTATTCGCTCCTTGTACCTTTCAGTACACCTTCCTCGTCCAGACTGGAAACAACCAGTCTCATGCCCAGGTGGATCCTAATTTAATGGAAAATAGAACCAAAAGAAACCTGGCCACTATAAACTAATAAGGACTACGGAAGTTTTCTCCTGAATGGCCTCGGGAATGTGATGACATGACTACAATAATGCAACATTGAATGGACGGGATTTATTGAAAGCCGACTGAGAGGGGTTCTTCGCGACTGCATCCTTAAACAAGTAAGCCCAGCAAACCATTGTTTACAACGCTGCACGCGGTCAACTAATTTCCGCCGCTGAAACGATATCTTGGCCCTGCACACTAAATCATTAGATATCTGCTGTGTGGATGCGCTTCGCGTCGGCTAAAAATGAAATCACTCCTAGTTTTAGAATTCTACGCCGGACTTGACATACAATTACCTAATCTCAAGACCCTCGTTGCTGGATAGAAGCTGAAATTTTGATGGGTAGTAGGTATTAACATTTTGAAAGTAACAGGATGTATATACAAGAAGAGAAAATGTGTCCTAAGTAGGACCCACCTGGGCATGGACCAAAAAAAAAATAGAAATATCCCAGCATTAACCTTTGAATGAAATTAGATTACATATAAGATTCAGAGCAAGACCTTGGTATAGGTTTTCTCTATAGAAGATTAGCCAGCACGAACACTCCTCCAATCAAAATGGGCAAATGAGGCTGGTTTTCCATTCGGGAAATAGCGAGGCCAGTGTATACCGCGCTTGGCGAGGTGGCTGTTGCTGATGCAGAGCTCGAGGTAGCAACGAGTGGAGTAGACTGAGCAGTTCCACTCGCGTAATAAGCAGAGCTGGATTTCTGCAGAGTAGTGTGAGGCTGACCAGAGAGGGAGACAGCCAATGGGGCAGTAGTAGATTTCTCTGTTTGGGAAGACTCGGCGGAAGCCGCCCACTCAGTGGGAACCGAAGCCTCGGTAGAAGTAGAAGTAGACTTGACGGAAGCTGCAGACTCGGTAGCAGCTACAGAGCCAATGGAGTCTCCGAAACCAGTGGCAGTCGCAGAATCAGTGGAAGCTACAGAGCTAACGAAATCTGCAGAGTCAGTGGGAGCCGCAGATCCAGTGAAACTCACAGAGCCAATGAAATCTGCAGAGTCAGTGGGAGCCGCAGATCCAGTGGAATCCGCAGGTGATGATCCATGGCCCCCTTCGAGAGAGGAAGAGACATCAGAGGACCCGGTGGCAAAAGCAGCATAACTTGACAGAGTACTGGAAGTAGTCTCAGATCCGACAGTCGCACTCTGCGTAATCACAGGAAGGGAACCGACAGAAGAAGTCTCCCCAGCCTCTGGACATTCCGTAACAGTTTCGTAGAGTGTTTTGGTAACGGCGTGGCCACTTTCCCACACTACTGTGGTAGTTGGAACTATCGTTTGGTAAACACTGGAAAGATGATCGGCAGTCTTGGTAAAGCCAGTTGTTTCGGCGGTGATGACCTCGGTCGGCAAGGCAGAATTGGAGATGCTAGTCTCGGTGATTTCACCACCTCCGTTGGCACTGCCAGGCTTGTCACCATTACCGGGCTTGTCACCATTGCCAGGCTTGCCATCATTGCCATCATTTCCAGGCTTGTCACCGCTACCGGGCTTGTCATTGCTGCCAGGCTTGTCACCGCGACCGGGCTTGTCATTGCTGCCAGGCTTGTCACCGCGACCGGGCTTGTCACCGTTGCCGGGCTTGTCACCGCTGCCAGGTCTGTCGCCACCAGTCATTCCACCAGGTCCAGTACCGGTAGGCTTAACAGCGAAGACAGAAGTTGTCTCAGATCCGGCAGTACCAGTTTGGTAGTTGGAAAGAGTCTCGGTTGGGGTTGGAACTTCCGAGTCAGTAATCTTTGATGATGACCCAGATGCAGCTGGTGATATATTGAATGATAAGATAGAGGCCGAACTGGAAGCCTTGGATGTGGCCGTGATCAGAGGAATAGAAGAAGTGGCAGTGACTCCGTGTGAAAAGCTGATAGATCTCAACTTTGATACACTGCTGGGTTTTCTGGAATGCTGATGTATAGATACAGATCGAGTTGGAACGCGGATCGATGGCGAGCGCGAAGCACTACTAACCAGGCTGGAGCTAGTCACGGAGTTGGATTGGCTTGAAGGAATGGGGGTTAAAGTTGATGAGGATTTCACAGGCACACTGCTGGTTTGGACGGGAATCGAGCGCATTGGAGTTGATTTCGATAAAGGCGAGACGGATGACAGTGGGCTTGAAGTGGAAACAGGACTGGGCGAGTTCGACGGCGCAATAGACGAAGAGACAGCTTGAATTGAGGAGACAGGAGATGATACGGCAACAGTGGCGGAGGATGTTGATAGTTTAGCACTACTCGAAGGTGTAGAGGATGACACGGCAACGATGGACGAGGATGTCGATAGTTCAGCGCTGCTCGAAGGTGTAGAGGATGGCACGGCAACAGTGGAGTAGGATGTTGAGCACACGGTAGTTTCAGGTTGAAGGAATTCAAAATTGTCAAATCCGATATGCGCCGTTGTAATGGTACATTCAGGAAGAAACAATATAAGATGACTTTCAGCAGTAGGCTGGAAGTCAAAGGAGTACTCCGTCCAAGAAAGTCCTGCTGAAGATATTTTGATCTGGTCTTCTTGGAGGAGATTTGCATTCGTCTGGGAATCTTTGAAGATGTACATGTAGCAGTACTCGGTGCCCGAAAATGTGGAAGCCTCTGCGGCAATTGAATATGAAATGGTGTATGTCATGCTTGTGTCGAGTCCATCGACAGTCTGGTGAAGAAATAGAGCATCATCGCCCCGGGGCATGGTGCTTTTTGTGTCTAGATAGTACACTCCATCCGCAGCAGTAGTGAATGCCGAGCTTGACGAGCCTACATTGTAGACCTCGGGGTTGGCGGATGAAGAAACGTATGTCCAACCAGTGAGATCTCCATCTTCAAAACTGGGGTTCGTGAACAGTTGTGGTTGATTGATGGAGCATGAGACAATTGGCACGGATGTACCAATGGCTGGGAGGATATAGGCCAGAATAGGCAAAACGAGCGAGCTCCTCTGCAGACGAGAAAACACCTGCATGGTGTCAAGATTAATGAATGAATCAGGTCAAACGAATGGACTGTCTCTCAAGAGAATAGAAAAGAGAGGGAAAACCTTGGAAAAGAAGAAGATTATCAATGAGCTGAAAAAATTGAGTCAATTGCCTAATTTAAAGATCCACATGTTCCTGAATCCTGCGCGTAAAATTTCCCGCATGGTTGGAGGTCATTAGCGTTCCTGGCGCTAGCGGCGGTGGCGTTGGATGTTCCTGAGCTAATTCGCCGTGGATTTCACAAAACTGTTGACTTTAACCGATCAAGACGTACGCCACTTCAAATAGCGGAGCTTCTAGCCTCTGGTTTTTCTGATTTTTCTTGCTTTGGCTATGAGACAGAAAAATAGGGTAAACATTCAAGAATCTGGTAATTTCTTGGTCGGCAGCTCCAAGATCTTGGCAACTCTAGATACCTCCGTATGTACAACATAGCCCACCTGGGCAGGTAAGAACTTTGAAATATAGCATTTCATGTCATATTGAGAGAATAAAAAATCATGTCTCCCGTCTTCGAATTGAAGTCTAGGGACCAGATGTGAGTACCGCGTTTTTATTCTGGATTTCTATGTACCCATAGGGCCTGTGGCCCTCCTTATCTCCACCGCGTAGTACCTGTGAGTTAACTGTTTCTGCTTTGGGGACTAACCCTGCATCAAAAATGACCCTGAAGAAACATGCCCAATACTCCAAAATTGGGACGACCATGGATATGCCATGGAAAATCGCATTGAATAACGTCAAGCTTGGAATCGATCTATGGGATCTTTTCACGATCCGAACACTTCATTTCAGACACAAGCACAAGCACAAGAACACCGCCCTTGTGTACCAACCCTTAAACATAGCTCACCAAGGTACAGATGGTCAGAGTGGTTGAAGATTTTTAACTGGGAATCAAGTATCCCAGAGCGCTGGTAAAATGGGTGGCAGGAACTCAGGGGGGGGGGGGGGTTGCCTTAGTTACTTATGGAGCTAACGGCAGCTTGGCACTTTGTCGTGAAAAAAATGGCCGCCAAGGAGAGGTCAGCTGATTTTCGGCACCTGACCTTGTTGATCTACCACATGTGCAGACTAGGTACTCTGTAGCTTGCATTAGCAATCTTATCGGGGCATCCATGTTCAATCATGCCAAGCTCATCGGAGCTGCAAGCGACGATGTGGGGATCTACTAGATCTCGACTATTACTGGTTTGGATGATTAGCCGAGCTTGTATCTGATCAACATGGATTTTATCTGATTCAGATCCCACTTTTAATCCACATGGGTCGGCAATACTGGTCTTTATATATACTCCAGAGTCCAGATGAATCATGGTAGAGATTTGGGGAAATGTTAAAGATCACCTGATCTCCACGGAGAAATGAAATGCCGTGAGATGATTGATCCGAACAGCTTGTACGGACAAATGGAGGGATTTGCTTTTTGAATCTTTCAAAAACATCTGTCATTATTGGCATTCAGATGTTTTTTTCTTTTGTGCCTTTTCAAGTAGGGTTTGGTCGGACTAAACCTGTCAGTGGCCCTTAGTGGCTTCTCTTAGTGGCTCTCAGTCCATCGTGGCTTTTTTTCAAGGGCGATCCATATTAAAAACCCGGGAAAATTGCCTGATGTTTCCGTAGCGGATGGTGGCGTTGACTCCCAATTGGAGAATCTATTGGTTCAAAAGACGTGGAGAGGTAACAAGTTACAACCCAAGTGAAAACCCGACGGGAAGAAGCAAAATGAATTGACGGTGTAGAGAGACGGTGAACAAGCGAGATGATAGAATTGGTTGAGAGATTTTTTTTTCTTAAGCGCAACGGTTTTTTCTTTTTACTCCAAGACCCGGTTTTGCGGGAACCAATGACGCTGATCCCTTTCTTAACCTCCACATTTTCTCCTCTTGGATTTTCCTCCCCCTCACACACCTTAGATGGAAAAAGTGGGACTGTTCAAATTTCTATTATTTCTTATTCTTTCATGATTCCTCTCCCTCTATGCCCTTGTCGAAAATCGAAAAAAAGTCGAAAAAACCCCCTCTACCCCGGATTTCGTGGGATTATGCGGTCTCCAGCTGATCCCGATGCTCGCAACACCTAGAGCCATAATCACCATGTATTAGCCGTTGTGGATCTCGCTACACCCCCTACTCTTTTCATCGAGCTCTACCATTATCCGCGCCACCCCCCAGTGGCAGCTACACGGTCAAAATGCAAAGCCGCCAACCGGTCACCCTTGGTGTCTCGGTGACCTTCTTCGTCATCGCCAGCGTTTTCGTGGCCCTGCGCTTTATATCTCGTGTCTTCGTGGTCAGGAGAGTCGCCCTACACGACTATTTGATGCTGCTTGCATGGGTAAGTCGCTCTGACTTTTTGCAAGTTCTCTCGGGAACCCGCAGTGCCCACGCACCTGGGGTTGGATGCCGCATGCCGCATGCGCATACTAGGTCACGTGCTCTCGTATGGGTTCACTGGCTAAAGACAGGACTCTGCAGGTGATTGACTTCGGCTTCTCGTTCTCATTATTTTACGCGATTCGCAACGGACTCGGCCTACACTCAGACGACGTTCTCCCCGAAAACGAGGCGGCCCTCAATAGAGCCAATTATGCATTTACCGTCCTCTACGTGAGACCCCGAAAGCAAAGTCCATGCATCGAATACAATGCACATCGTACTAATCTCCATCAATTATTAGAGCCCAGCGCTGATGGCTGTCAAAACTTCGATCCTCGTTTTCTACCTGACCTTGACAAGGAACCAAAAGGTCTTTCGATGGGCAAACTATGTTACTCTCGCAGTCGTCAATGCAGCTGGCCTTGCGTTGACGCTGGTCAATGTGTTCCAATGTCGACCAGTCTCTGCCGCATTTCGCGCCAGCCTCCCGTCCGGTGCGCATTGCACCGATATCGTCACACTCTATTTATCCTCATCTCCCGTAAACATCATTACCGATCTGGCCATGCTGTTTCTTCCAATGCCACTACTTACCCAGATGCGCCTCCCAAAGAAACAAAAAATCATTTTGATTATTACTTTCAGTTTCGGTTTCTTCGTGGCCGTCGTGGATGTCATTCGAATCGCTTTTCTCCAGCAAGCAGCTATCTCGCGCCAAGTTGCTTTGAAGTCGATTCATCTTCAGAACGTTGGCACTGCGGACTTTAGCTGTAAGGCTATCCCATTCACAGGATTATTAGTCATGCCATGGAATGCTCATTCTTTTTCTTTCTAGGGTACGCGTCGTTTTCGTTCATGTGGTCTGCAGTCGAAGTCAACGCGTCTATCATTTGTGGATGCGTTCCGAGTCTAAAACCACTCGTCGCTCGTATTTTACCCAAATTAATCAAAGGCACCAATGACGTATCGGATCCAACACCCCATCGCTATGCAACCGGAGAGCCCCCAATCGCCATCCCTCCCCTGGCAGAGATTCAAGATTCCGGCTCAACTCAAACTCCGGACAGTAAAGGAAGCGGTCCCTCTGAAACAAGGCACAGTATATCTGGTCGTCGCCGAAGCTCCAACGCTCCTGTCACCATGTTGGACTTCCTAGGTCATCCTCCTACGGGCCCCCATGATACAGAGTCTAACGCCCAGACCGGCTCATCCTACCCTAACATCACATTCTTCGATTTCGTCAACATGAAGTCCCCAGAGAGCATGCTGAAGCTCAACAACAGAGAATCCATAGCTCCGATTGCATTGACAACTCTACTTTTCTTTCTGTGGGGCTTTGCATATGGATTGCTTGACATACTGAATACCCAATTTCAGACTATTGTTCAATTGGATTCTTGGCATTCATTGGGATTGCACGGCGCATACTTTGGAGGTTACGCGGTGGGTCCATTGTTAGTTGGTCGACCAGTCCTGAAAATTTGGGGTTTCAAATCCACCTTCATCACTGGGCTGTGCATTTATGCCTGCGGAACTCTCGTGTTCTGGCCCTCTGCCGTTCTCACATCTACTGCCGCATTTACGGTTTCGAACTTTATCGTTGGCTTTGGCCTTGCAGTTTTGGAAACGGCAGCAAACCCGTTCATTGCGTTATGTGGACCCTTGGAAAACTCGGAAATTCGTCTGAACATCTCACAAGGTGTACAGGCCGTTGGTAGCGTTCTGTCTCCTCTTCTAGCAAAGCGGGTTCTTTTCAGGAATGTGCAGGACGTTGCTTCTCTGGTGAATGTCCAGTGGACTTACCTAGGCATCGCCCTCTTTGATGTCCTTCTAGCCGCAGCTTTCTATTATCTTCCAATCCCGGAAGCATCAGATGAGGACTTGGAAGAACTGGCAAATAGACGCCGGGATGATAACATGGCCAAGGTTGTGGGAATTCCGGTCGTCTGGCTCACGCTTGGCCTAGGAGTCTGGTCACAATTCTTCTACGTCGCGGGTCAAGAAGTCATTGCTACCAGCCTCGAGCGCTTCGTTTTAACCGTGGACCCTAGCTCTTCTCTTAATTCCTTTGATTTCCTCACGCTTGGCCATAGTCTCTTCGCTATAGGTCGATTCCTCGCGGCCTTTGCGCAATGGTTCTTGAAACCACGTTGGCTTCTCATGGTGGCCTATGTTGGCATGATTGTTTTTTCGGTGCTCTGTATGAACACCACTGGCTCTGCGGCCATCGCTATGGTCATGCTGGTATATCTTTTTATGAGTGGCGTCTACAGCATTATCTTTGCAATCTCCTTGCGTGGCACTGCTCGACACACCAAAACCGCCTCCGCATTCCTTACAATGGGCACCTGCGGCGGCGTCTTCTTTCCCTTTGCAGAATATGCTACATACAATGCGCGCGGGACGTCATACTCGTTCTGTGTTGTTGTCGCTGTCTTTGCGGCGGGTGCCATCTTCCCTATATATCTCAACCTCGTACCCGCAGTCAAAAAACAAGTCGACCCAGTACCCAATGAGTACCTGCGTCGTCATCGTCGCCGCAGACGTGCCCCGGTGGGAGCAATTCGCCGTGAAAAAGAAAACCAGTCTAGGGGCGGTGTTCTCTCGCGCCGACGGAGCGTGGTCTCCAATCCGGATGATTTACCTGATCTTCCATTCCCGGGAGAGACACATCAAATTATCCCCATCCCTATCTCGAGGAGTCTTCGCTCCAAATCGAGCTCTTCCTTTCAGGATAACTCACAATCCTCTAATGAATCTTCAACACATCGACATTCCCCCATTCCTGAATGATGACATGACCTTTCCTTATGTACCATGATACCCAACATGATTTACAAATATGTTTTTTGTTTATTTTCTTCCCATAATACCACCAATCCTTTTTCACTCTCTTCATCTACTCTTAATTCCGGGATACCAATTTTTTGCTATTTCTTTACTATTTCTGAACCGGGGACTTTAGGTGGAGTCTTTTGCTATCTAAAGGTGCATTTGAAGCTGGCTGATTTTCGAATCTTGGTCATGGGCCAATCATCTATATACAGCGATGGTGTTGTAACAAAATTAGCTTATCATAAATCTCAAAATGGCTCTACCATCAGGTCTATCGCATTTAAATTCCATTGAGGGACCATCCAACCCTTCCTAGAGCCCCAGAGCTATGAGGCCTATGCATTTCAAGCTTGTGAGTTGATTTCACGGATCTGTTCACCTACATATATCCATGCCTAGAGTCGTTCAAATCCCAAGCCAACATGAAATACTCTTCCGCCCAAGCCAAGTTCTTCCAAAATCGTGCTCTTTTTTGGAACCTGGGCAACCTTTCTTACCTATGCATGTACGCCAGGGCTTACTCCATCCACCTCCAGGCCGTGCTAGCCTCAAGTGCTCACTATATACATGGATATCTACCAGGCATATAGTACCTAATAGTAGGCACCTGCCTAGGTGTCTTCTGATGATGTCCAGGTGCTTACCCTCATCTATCTCACATCGGTAGACATGCATCTTCAACCCCGTTTATCGCCACTACCAAATTTAGAACCTTGGCACCTTCATACCATTCCCAGATTCCTCATCTATACCGTTCACCAAGCTCGATTGCTCATATGTGCACAGAGTTCTCCCGTTGAAAGACTGATACTACATCCATGGATATTGACAAGCTCCTGAGGTCAAAATTCAAACTTTCGTAAATTCCTTCGATTCGCAGAGTTCATGGTTTAAGCTCACAGACTGATTCGACTCGCAGAATATTTCAACTCACAAACTTCTTCGCTTCATAGACTCGAACCACTTTCACGTTCGACAAACCATTGCCGTGAATAACTTGCCGTTGAGCGCGAATATCCGTGGACCCTCGCAGCAATCTCAAACCATTTGCACAACGACCAACAACATGTCCCCCCACGAGCCCCCACCCCGCCTAATAATCTTTCACACCGGCTCACCAGAGACCAGTACCTTCTATCAACGCTGGTACCGGTTGATGAGTCTACTCGAAACCAAAATCGAAGTCAAGACAGCCCGCCACATAACCGCGCTCCCAGCCCTCATCGAAGACCCAACAACAATTCTCATCGTTGCAGACAGCGAACTGGCATTGCCCAAAAACACCTTCTACTGGGACATTGTCCTGGCCTTCGTTTACTACGGCGGTATTTGCATCACGGCGTGCGAGTTCTACAGAGTCGACCCCGAGCATATCGCACCTTTTTTCGCCAGGGCGGGACTGAGTTGGACCTCGGGCTTGTTCCGTCAACATAGGAGATTTGAGTTCAATCCTGCGGCTGAGGGCGGTCCCGAGGGTGGTATGCTTGATGGGCGTGCACCGCAAATCTATCGTGCGGGAGGTCGGCCTATTTGGAACGTTGAGGAGCGGCACATATGGTATTCTTTTGATGATTCTGGCGAGGGTCCGCGGGCTGTTGGGACTACCACTACCACTACCACTACCACGATGGTTGCGATGGCGGGTTTTGGGCGTGGCTGGCTGGGGTATACTGGGAGTAAAGGGTCATGCCGAAAGACGATTGATATTATTGTTGCTATGTGTGGATTGAGTGCTTGAGATTTTGGTCAATGTTTTTGTTCATTTGGAAGACTGGGTTTAAGACTGCCACCATACTCAAAGTCATCGAGTCCCTAACAACTATCTAAACATGCGCTGCAAAGTGCAGTTAAAGCCGCGAACAAGGCATAGAAACTGCAATAAAAGGCGGTTCTAACTGGATGACAATCCAATTAATTGAACAAAACGGCGAAAGGGTGCAACTGCGAGGGGCTTAGTAAGTCAATGAGATTCAGCGGCCATGGATGCCGTTGAAATGTAGACGAGGCAGCAGTTCACTGCTAAGACCTTTTATCGCTTGTAGTGGAATTTAATGTGATGTGGCAATCAAAAACAACGTAATTGTTTTAAGGCCCTGAACTCGAGAAGAACACAGACAGGGGAGAAAGAGAAAAGGAGAAGAGGAAACAGGAAGGAAAGGACAACCTCATGTTGTAGATGGCGGCACTAACTCTTGTGTCTTCGAAGACCATGAGATTGGCGTACCATTGAGGAAGAAGATGAATCCTTCAATAGACTTCCTTAACAGCATGTCGTTTGCATGTCATGCATCGAGGTAACTGACCAGACCTGTCATATTAAGTTTCTCTCTGCTCAGACTGACACCCCCTGGCTTCATATTGTTGAACTGCAGACCCAGTGTTGTTTTCCCTGTTACATAACGCAAGACCTGCTTAGACAGTCTCAACGCATCTTTCAACGGGAAGGTCACTGCTCTTTGCAGCATTCCAGCGACATAGAACAGGTCTGGACTAGTCTTCATGACAACCATCCCAATTTGCCGACTCGAGACCTCAATTGCTCGATCTCATCATCGTTTCGGCGTTGTTCCTCGTTGATGTCGTCTTGCGTCATCGGAAGGGTTGTTCCAATTGTAGCCGGCACTTTTGTCGGCTTTGCATCTTCCATTCTTTCAACTGATAGCAGGTCTCGAGCATATTGAGCTTGATCGAGTTCGATGCTGTACTCGCCTTCATGCTCAGTCTTTGTAATGTACGAGCCTAGGAACTTGGTTGGATCGCCCATATCCTTGATCTTTAATAAGGATTTGACGTCACTGATGAGGTTGTCGCTCAGTAGGAGTAGAAGCCACTTCAACGTTGTACTCCTGTATGGCATGAGCTTGTGCCATGTATTCGCTCTCTCCAGATGTTTGGAACTGAGGGTGACGGCGGTTTGTTTGCGAGATTGCCACGAGATGGCGGCACCGGCCAATTTGAAGACGTACCCTGAATCCTGATTTGGAGAGACAGACTGCGGTATGCGGACCTGTCTTAGTCGCATCGGTGTATCCATGTAGGCGCATATCTGGCGTAACGTTGGCGTTGAGGGTTGTTTCGTGATAACAAAGGCCAAGAGATTTCATATCCTATGTCAGGTAGCGGAAGACCCTTTGAACGCTTATTCGGTGATCATCACTGCACGGGTTAGCGAGCGAGTCAAGCGAGATTTGACGTTGCAAATGCAATATCAGGACGAGTCATTACCACTTTATTTTCACGCCAATGTTCTGGCTTCTCAGCTCATGCGCAGCTCGCTGCCAGGTCCAGCTGGTCAGCCCTCAAAGCCGGCATCGAGATTGCTGGATGCATTCTCTGCTCTGCCGAACAGACAGTCTAAGGCCATGAAATGATCTTCCCAGATGTGTTTCCATATGGCAAGATCGCCTGTCTTCCTGCAGCATGGATAACACTCGTGGCACACCCAGTCTGTATCAGGTTGTGGCCCTTCGGGGGAATAGGGCATGACATGTAGAGCAATTTGGAAATGGTGGCGCTGCTTGAGGTGTATCAGTAGGGGGAAGATATCGCTGAATTCCTCGTTATGTTCCAAGCACAGGATGCACCAGTCTTGAGACGACATTTTCCTGGTGACCAGTGCCGCGCTCGTCGTATTCTTCTCCGGGTTTGTAGGATCTTCAAGGACGTGACCTCAACCTTGAAATTTGAGGGGTTGCTATTGAGAACCTTGAAAGTGGAGAAATTGCTATAGTTCATCGACGGTCTTTGGTAGAAACAAGCTTGGAAGCATGACGAGACGAGCAGGAGAAACCAACATTGAGTTATTTATACGTTTGCCCCTTCACTTCGGGAATGTATTCATAACACATTCAATTTTCAAACGAGAACAATAAAAATATAGTGAACAATAAAAAATAGTAGCAAGAAAGGTAGTAGCGGAGGGGTCGACGGGTGTATACCAATCCTAATCGGGAAGTACCGTACTCTCGTGCAACTAGCTATTGGAGACAGACAATAAAGCGAGAGAAGTGAACCTGAAAGTAAAGCGAGAAGTGAGTAGAACTCATAATCAACTCAACGTTGAATGAGCATTTGATAACGATCTTTTGAAGTCTGCGCATTTTGACTACCAGACTCCCTTCCTCTAAGTGACGGTGCGCTCTTCTCAGTAAGTGAGTGCAATCACCAAACTGACTAAGCGGCCCGCCCCACGCACACAAAATCGCAATCCCGGCACGAAGCCCGGAGTCCAAGCCGCCAACCCGAAAGCCGACTAGGGCCAAAAAGAAAAAAGAACAAACCCACCAAGTACGCTACATAGGGCTTTTCTGTCCCCTTCCCGAACTATACCCGGGTGATCGCGCGAAACAGGCGTTAATGGAGACGATGGAGTCGGCACCCAAGATTTTCTCGTGTTTCAGCTGCAAGAACCATGGTTGTTGAAGAGGGGTTTGTTCTTGTTCATGTTCATTCCTCAGGACACTGGTACGATCCACTTCGGATAAAACGGCGACGAGACCGTTCTTGACAGGTAACTTAACTTAGCTTCCAGACTTGACTAGACTAAGGACGGAGTAACTAGTTATCCGTCAACTAGTTTTGTTTTGTGTCTTGCAAGATGGACGGGCAGTTGTGGGTATGCGTGTGGATCAATATTGAACCGGTGAGTCGAGTCTGGTGCTGGGAAGTTTCCAGTGCAACACAACAGCCCTGGGGGTAGGTACCGTGTAGGTACTGTTCAAGTCTGGAAATATTGAACGCCGAAGTACATAATGCATGTGTACTTGAGGGGTGGATGATCAAAGCCACATGTCGTACTTTTTTTCGAGGATCGAATAAAGCCACGATAGAATTTAATCGGGCGATCGAATCGATATCATTTCCTGCATGCGAAGGCAAGGAAAGTACCGATCTGCAGTCCACTTTGATCAATCGGCCGAAACATTGAAGATTTGGGTCTGGGATTCGGAGTAAGCTTGTTTCAGGGGTGAAGGACACTCAGGATTGGAAATAAATAGAAATTTAAGACATTTCAATTAATGATTACTCTACTTTTTACATATATTTGTTCGTCCGATCTGTAGATCTCCATTCCACATGGATGTACGGAGCAAGGCGAGCCAGAGCCAGACAGGGATGTGTGTGTGGGGTGGGGGGGAAGAAACAAGAACCTTGGAAAAGCACCAAGCACAATTAACATTTCGTAAAGCGTACGCACGGCGTAAAGGAAATGTATTCCGCAAGACGCTGTAAAAAAGGGGGTTAGGTAGTATAGCACATACGTACATAGTGCAGCAGACACAGGCACATTCTAAGGTTCAAATGTTCCAAAGGTATTTCAATACCCCCCCACTTTCGACCAGAGCCCTACAATTGATGTGTACCCGTACGGAACAGAGAAAGAAGCCCTGCAGCACTCACTCAACATTGAGCCTCGCGGCGATCCATGGTGATCTGAAACCTCGCGATTCCACGCATCGAGTCAGCATGCATTATCACCTAGTACAGGCTTGCCAAGCTCGTAACTGATGATCTCGGAGAATTAAAATTTGCGAAATTTCCTGCGATCAACTGCGAGGAGACCAATAGGCGTGGAAGGACGGCAGGATAGGCGCCGAATTAATAATTAGCGGCCAAACTATAACTAGTTCACGCACTAAGGGGAGTCTTTCAGCCACGCCACAAACACAAAACGTCAAGCACACGGCACGGATCTGCTGTCGACTTGGAACTTGCTTGTTGGTTGGTGGGATTGTTTGGGGGTTGGGGGGGGCTATCGGGATTCGGATTCAGATCCCTATATGTACTCCGTATTGTGGACTGGGTTTTTCACATATGTGCCTAGAGTGGTGCTGGGTATGGAGTATAGATTTAAATTGAATAGTCCGGGTTTGGCCTGTCCTCCGGGTTCTGTTCTAGAGCTTGTGGGTTGGATGTTGTAGGGGTTTTACTGTGGTTGGTGGCGATTTTGGATATCTTTTTTCCATGCCGCGATTCCAACTTGAAGATTATGCTAGGGGTTCTTGTCGTGATTTTCGAGTCTTTTTTTTTTAATTGGTTTTTTTTTTAAACGTTTTCAGGGGCATGATGTTTGGTTGTGGTACGGACGGTTCCAGAGATGTGTTCGATCTGGAACGAATCTTGCGAACCAGATATTAAACGAACCGCGAAAGCTTTACAAGTTGAGAAAAATAAGAATAAATCAAACCAATCCCAGTCCCCCGTATGCGTAACTGGTCTCCTTATAACCCGATTCCTTTGATAGGGGGGATACCATTCTCCACCAAGGGACAAGGGACATGGTCAAGACTCAGCCTAAGCCAAATAAGCCAACCTTGGACCCAGAATACATGTGGGATCTGGATTCTGGGGTGTCCACAGCGGAAAAGCACAAAAGCACAAAGCACAAACTAGTGGGGCTGCAACAGGGGAGACATTTTCCTTTCTTTTTTCCTCGATTCTTATTTGTCTGTAGCCAGTCGAAAGAAGGGACAAGAAGGGGAGTTCAAAGAAAAGAAATAAAAATAAAAAAATAAAAAAACCTTGACGCTAGCACGGTTCACGGATTGGCGGAGTAGAAATGATTGACACTCAAGATTACCCTTTTGCTCTCGACTCCGGTGCCGAGACAACTTGGAGACCCGGCCGAGATGACGTCCACGGATTGTAGGAATAATCAACCTGTAAGCGGTTGGAAATCATTTGGAAAAATCCCTTTTTTTGGCTTTGATTTTCCCTGTTCTGAGGTGAATGAAATCACTTAGGGCGTCCCAGCTGGCTGGATCCGAAGCGCGTTCCAAAAATGCGAATGAGAACTGGAGGGGGGTTGAAATCGGTTTACCGTATTTTTTGCTTTCCCGGGTACTATGCATTCAAATCAAGCGCTCTGTGGAGGATTGGCTAGGTACTTTTATCGAACTGATCATACCGTGGTGCGAATGCAGGCCTGGATGCAGTTTGATTGGGTATAAGTAATGTTTCATTGGTATGGAAAAGGTATAGATGCATATATCCATCAGGTCTAGTTTTGGATAACAGCCACATAAATTAGATCCCCTGTAAATGCGCTGAAACCACCGAGAAATGATGCTCAGATGTCATGCAGACAACTTCAACCTCGGTACAAAATCTTTGTAGTAATGCTGTATGGGGGAAAGACGCTTTGGAGAGTCGACAATGAAAAAGAGAGGGTTGAGAAGAAAAGATTCAATCGCTGGACAAGAGAGACCAATGGGCTGAGAACTCAATGGAGATCAAAATCATATCAGAGAGATGAAAGAAAAAAAGGAGGGAACCATGCAAGAGAAAGGGAGCCGCGGTAATGATAATTTTTGTACTTCTCACCCGCGTGAACTTCGAGGTCGCGAGTTCTGAGAAGAAGAGTCCCTGAGAACATCTGGTGCACGCGGTCCAACCATCCAGTCTTCCATGGCGAGCCATTCACTCCAACTGCGCTCGGCGGCTTCAATCTCAGCGTCCAAGGGCCCCTGTAGCGGGCGCAAGAATGGGATCGTCTCCAACGGTGACATGTCGTAGTCTTTCTTCACTCCAGCCCAGCCTCCGCTCTTCGCAGCAAATAGATAGTTGCGACGTTCCTGCTCATGCAAAGGTCCAACTCCGCTGCCCCAATCATCACCAAAGAATCCATGCAAGACGCCCGGGAAATCCATTCCGGTGGCGACTAAACGGCGAATGTAAGGAATTAACGAGGCAGCGGGTGGGCTTGGTGGAGGTTGATGGCCCAACCCGGCTGCTGACGGATTAGAATGCGAGTTCGAGTTCGGGGTTGAGGTCGAATTCAAGATGGGGGTTTGTCGCTGGAAGGGGAGTCGGATATTCAAAAAGGCGGATAGCGCTTGGACGGGGACGCTGTGTTGAGCCTGGTCCAAAAAGTAGCGCTGACAGCTCTGATAGCATGGGTACCATTCGAAGATGTCGAAGTTGTCCTCTGCTCTTCCCGGGGCGCCGGCCAGGCCCGACATGATGGCCGGATCAAAATGTGGTTGGGAATTCATAGGTGGTGATGGATATTTGGGAGGTTCTACTGGCTGTCTGTTTTTGATGGGTTCATATTCTTAGCTAGGCGTTCCTCTTTGTTTTGGTGTGTTTTTTTCACGGTTTTTTTTTCCTGAGAGAAGGGGAGGGGTGTGAGAGTTTGGCGCTTCGGGGTTTCCGTTTGGGTCTCAGTGGGGTCGATTTCGGCTCCCAAAAGCCGCATCTGAACCAACCAGCCCCAAATGAAAGTCCGGTAGAACCAGTCAAAACTGAGAGGGAGAACGTCATAAAGGAAAGAGGGAGGAGAGGAAGGGAGGGGAATGGGAAAAAGGGAAGTGTTACTTGTTTGAAAAGAGATCCCTACCTCGACGAACCAGTACGGACACTCGGCGTCGGGAGGAAGGAGAGGAAGGGGAAGGCGGGGGAGCAGAGCGGAACAGGTCTCTGATGGCGCCGAGTCCTCGGCCAGATTGGGGCTTGTTTATGGACATCGATCAGGAAAGGACCATTTAGGGCAGCGACTCATGACAAGATGCCTGCTCAGGTAAGGGGAAAGAGATGGGTAATGTGATGATGAAGACCCATTGATCTTATGAAGTAAAGAAATAGCTGACATACATGTTGAGTGGGAGATGAAGAAGGAAGGGAAAGAGGAGAGTAGTAGGGAAGAGGGAAGAGAAGTCGATATAGTTAAAAGGGCTCAAGGGACAGAAATGAAGATCGCAAGGAAACTTTATTCTGGAACGTTCATAGAAAAAAAAAAAAGGGAAAAGTGCAGTTCGATGTATACGGAGTATTTTTGGTTTTTGAATCGGATCCATCAGAACGGGTCTATCCGGTTAGGCCAATCACTTCCAAACATCAGATCTTACTCTTTTTTCTCAGTGGAGACGATCTAGAGTACGGTTCAGCTTGACTTAGTTCCTGGTTCCTGGTTCTTCGTTCCACGGGACTTTTCATAAGTGACCACTGTGATGATTACTGGGATATCTACTGGGGAAGTTATCCTTGCACATATAGACAGATCTCATACCCCCGTTTGCCACTCCTCATTGGTTCCAAGAATCAAGACGGCGTCGATTCTAATCACCCTTACCCTTTCTAGCTCTCCCCTTTTTTTTAATTTTCTATTTTTTGATTTCTATTTTTTGATTTCTATTTTTTATCTTATTCTCCTCTTTTCTCTGCCGAGGTCTCGTAAGTATTATTCCCTTTTTTTTTTTTTTCTTTTATAAATTTATAAATTTATTTTTATCATATTTCGCTCCTTCATTCGATGCCCAAAGACATATCAGGCATCGAGGATTTTCTCATCACCGGGATCAGGGTTATCCAAAAAAGGGGCCCTTAACTACCTAGGTCCTACCTGTTCGGGGTGAATTATGCTAGACCCCGAAGGTTGTCGCTGCAAGGTGCCTAGTCATGATTGGAATTAAGCGTCCACGAGGACACTTGAGTTATGAACATTTCAATTATAAGAAAAGATGACTGGTCAGATGCTTCAAATGTTACTTTCCCCCACTTGGAATATATTGGCCATGTGCCCTGATCTGCACATCACTGCGCTTCAAATGGTTCCAGATGTCTGGAGAAAGGGCTCGTGGTTAGCATACCACTTTGCCTCACGTAAGGAATATTCCATACCTTTTCCAATAGCTTTCTAAATTCTTAATTTCTCTGTTCTTTCCCCCTTCCCCTGAAGAACAAGAAAAGAAGAAAACACTGGAAATATTTCCAAGGTTGTAAATATCCAAAATACAAAATATCAAATAAATTAAAATCAAAGCCAAAACAGGGAGGCAAAGGGAGAGAGGCAAAGAGGGGGGCGCTGCTGGATACCTCCTAAGAACCGATAGCTTAGTTTGCGATCGCGTGTGGCGCTACCCAATGAACTCGGTCTTGTTCGGAAAATATACGAAAGAGACAGGGAGAAAAAAATAAATTGCAGATTTGATCCATCGATCTTATTCAGCAGGCGCTTCAAAAAGCCAGCCGTATTCAATCCCCCCCCCCTGCAAGATCAGATCTCTTACTTTACGAACTATTCAAAACTAAAAAAACAATCGCGCTCGGGTCCTTCAAATGGCGTCACTAGAACACGATCTGGGATCTCAAGTCAGACGCGAGCAGGGACCACCCATCGAGCTGTGAGTCCTTTCTTACTTACCCTCTTTAGCAACTTAACCTCTTAGAAGCTACGACCTTATGTTACCCACCATCACAGGGACCCCAAGATGAGCAAGTGACAGAGCCGATCACTGGAGCTGTGAGTGGTGCTCCACATTTATTACGAAATATTGTGGTCATGGTGAAAATGCTTGATCGTAACTTGTTTGGGCAGTTCTTTCCCCTTTTTTCTAGAGTCGAGGCGAGCATTGCGGGTCTTGTCAGCTGCACGAAATCCATGACTCCAGTCCCAGGGGTATGGGATATTCAACTTGGACATTGAACAATGGTGGTTCCTTCAATTCCCAGTATTATTTTTCATGTTTAAACTTCTTTTGTCATTCTTTCTCTGTTTTGCCTTTCAATCTGAAGCTGACGATGGTCATTCTGATTAACTCCGGACTCCCTAATTTGCCACATGCGGAGGGCATCGAGATCCACTTTACCATGACAGGTTAATATGGGGTTTCTTTGCGCAGTGATTACGGAGTATGATCGCGTGTGCGTTGCTACTGCATGTACTTGCATGTGTACTGCATTTGGTCATTTATTCCATTTATCTGTTGATTTTCCTTTTCATTCTCAGGGGCTTTGGTTCTCACAACTTTCCAAAAAAAAAACCCCCCCCCTACTAATTAATCCCTAGGGGGGCCACAACAAACCGCGCGGGAACTGTAACCGCCGATCGGATGCATTATCCACAGAGTACCCACGGAGTATTATTTTTGGCAATTGAAAATAATGCAAGGCATCTCCAACATCCGGTTTTTCTTTACATCGGCTTTTGTCTCCGGGTTACACCTTTCGCGCTGTAAACTCGGCATTTAATAATACGCTCTGCAAGATACTGCGGGCCGAATTCCAGGATATGCACGAGGATATTTGGGTTTCGAGATGGATCGTTAATGGCGCCAGGGGGCGCAAGGTTTAATCCTATTTCCCGCAAGGTGGTCCCATCTTCCTTCATCTTTTACTTGTACAATATGTATTGAGGCTCGGGGTGGAATGGAGATCAATATTTCAATCTGCAAGCGCTTAGCGAGCTTCGAATTCTCCCTCCCCCACCCACCACCCCCTTTCAACTGGGAAGAATTATTCCGTCCCGACTCTATGGAACTTGGAGAAACTATCAGAGGCCCAGGCTCTAGCGCTCTGACGCAAATTGACTTGGATTATGCGGCAGGACGAATTGTCCGCGCTATTTTCACTTTCTTTCTGCACTGCTACCTGATGAGCCGCCGGAGTTGATGATTTGGGTTAGCCGGTCGCTAATAGCGCTGTTGGGTAAATAAAAGTCCAAAGTACGGCTTATTCGGTCAAAATAGGTTCGGAGTATCTTTTTAATCTACGCTAAAGACTGTATCTATGACTGCCCGTGGAAGAACACGAGACGACATCCTCGTGGATGCTGTCATAGATCAGTCCCGGCAAATTTGACTTCAACTTTGGAACTCTTCATGACCTCATGTATAATAATCAAATATTGCAATGAGCAATAGCGGTAAGACCTTACTTCAAACCTGACTCCCAACAATGCACAGATAAGCAGAGCGTGCATATACTTTATTTATTGCATCACGATTCCAGAAAAGAAAAATGCGTACACCTTGCCGCTTCATCCAAATCTATCCTCGTGCATAGTGAGGCGAGTGAATGGCATAAATCTACAAATCATAGATGCAGTAACTCATGATTCCAAATCATTTACTTCTAGAAATTTAGCCGAGGCGGCACCAGAATAAGAAGTGATCTATCAACTTTCCGTCACCGCTCAACCCCGCTACCACTTCACTAGGAACGTGCCCAGGAAAGAATTAATCAATTCGTAAATCGCCTTGGAAATGAAGTAACAATGAGGCATTTCTTCCAACAGTTCCAGAATCAAGCAAGGACTCATTTCACAACATTAAACCTACTACCTACAGACACGTACTATACAACCTTGGAAACATTCGTAGTATACATGCACATATGTATCCATGGATGTTTTGCCACTGACGTTATGTATGCGGGAAGACATCTAGGTAATACCCCCTCTTTCCATACACGTTCACTTCAGTCGATAGGACTCAGTGCTGGTAGATGTACTTATATATTAGGTATACAGTACTAATTTGAAGACGACAATATCGAGTAATTTTATGTGTCAAATCCCCGATGCCGTCCGCCTCCCCTCAGGTGCTCCTATGATAGGGAAACTACCTGCAGACCTCGGGTGTACTTCAACTAGGCTGATCGCCCTATCATCCCTCGATGTGTCGGAATGGAAGACACTGCGGAGACCGCCGATGCCCTGCGCTTTGATCCGTGTCTCACAATGCGCATCGGGCACCAGCCACTGTGGCTAAGCAGACACACCTGTCGAAAAAATAAAGATTTAACTAGAATGTTTACTCCACATTTTTTGAATGCACGTGGCTGGTTCTGGATCACTTTTTGGATATCATATTGCGTGAAGTTTATGTAAAATTTAAGCTGGATCTCATATCTCATGCATGGGTGAGTCTGGGGTAGTTTGGTGATGTGGGCTCCCCTGCGGGCGCTAGGTCTAGGCTAGGAACGCTTGCGGCTTGTGGGGTTTGGGGCCGGGCCAGAGTTGCGATTTTGGTGGGCTTGATATTGATGTACGTTGATGGAATCCACTATTTTTGATGATGATAGTGCTCCCTTTATATTCCTGTAGTCACTCTCGCCAAAGACAGGTCTTAACTGTACTCAAAGTGTACTGGTGGGTCATCCTCCAGATGTCGTGGCTGATTCGGGGTAAGTAGACTTTGCTGAGTAGCGCATTAGAAGTATATTCGAGCGACTTGGACTGGGTGATCACTCACTCGGGAAGAAGGAAGATAGACAC